GAACTGTTGTTCAACTCAACTTGATGACTTATACTACCACTGTAAGTGATATCATACACTTCAACACATAACAACCATAACAACCATAACAACCATAACAACCATAACAACCATAACAACCATAACAACCATAACAACCATAACAACCATAACAACCATAACAACCATAAAAACCATAACAACCATAACAACCATAACAATCATAACAACTGTAACAAGCTGTAAGCTATTATCGTAAACACAAACTGTACAGGAGCTGATCGGATGCCACTTTGGTTTATTAGAAAGGCGAAGAAACCTCGAGCACTCCAGTATATTAATGTTGAAGCAATGGGATGGGAGGTTATTGGCGATGGAACAAGAAGGCTTGGATGAATCAGTTTATTATGGCAGAATGGCTAAGAGCTTTCTATTTACATATAGGCTCTCATAGACAGATTCTGCTAACAATGGACAACTTTTCAGCACATATTTCTGCCGTTGAAACAACGCCTCTGCCCTCAAATATACAAATTATCTAGCTACCAGCAAATGCAACAAGTCAATTCCAGGCCCTTGATCAAGGCATTATTACCTCCCTTAAAGCTCATTATCGTCGACAATGGCTTGCGTTCATGCTAAACGCCTTCGACAACAATGAAGATCCTCCTAAAACTATTAACTTACACCTTGCCCTTCGCTGGATCATCCGATCGTGGTATCACGATGTCTCAAATATGACTATCTACAACTGCTTCTGCAAAAGCACAATCATCAAAAACCTGATCCAACTTCCTCTTGAGCACATTCCGCCTCTTACTGACCTTTACAACCAAGTACAACAGCACGGCCGAATTCATGATGCGATGGACCTTTCAAACTTTCTAAACCCAGCGGAGGAGACAATACAAGAGGGTATACAAGATAGCGAGGGGGATATAGTACTACAAGAGGTCATTGAACAATATATCCAGCCTCCTAATGAAGGTCAAGATGATGATGATGGGGAGGAGCTCAGACTGCCGGTGGTTCATTCTATGCAGGCAGTTCTACAAGCTCTCCAAGTTCTGATTGACTTTACGGAAACTGGGAATAGTGGCATAAGGGAGCTGGCAGTTACGCTCCGTTCTTTAGAGCATATAGAAAGGGAATTAGTGGTCAAAAGGGCAAATGAGGGCATTCAAGGCACATTGGACGTTTGGCTTATGTAATGGTTTGATTACTCGATATTCAGTATATCTCGATATTATCTAGAGGAATTATTATATCGACTTATCGCGTGAGAACTGTATTCAAGAATACATTGAATAATTTTGCTAACCCTGCTTATTTTCCTATATACATAAATATACCACCAGGATATGGAAATTAGCAAGGGTAGCAGAGGTATTATTGCTCCAAACTGTTGTACCAGATCACTTGGAAATTTTGGACCAAAGGATCTTTTTTTTTTGTCAAGTATTATTAGTTCAAGTTGTTTAACGTGGTTTACCACCAAACGGAACATCCCACCAAATGAAACACTTTCCGATAGCATCGCAACCTCAAACCCAATTACTCCACCCTAACACATTAAAATTAACTACACTCAATTGAATTCTCTTCTCCTAATATCTCTTCAACCTCTTGACAGGTTCGTACATTATGCCCAGTCTTGCCGCACCTCCCACAGCGCCGCGAAGTCGATGGACCAGCCTCTACAGCACCCTCCTCATTTGACCTTTTCTGTCGTTTCAACCCTTTATCCTCTTTTTCAGCGATCAGTTTTTGAGCATCTTCTATAGTAAGTGACCCTCCATCTTGGACACGTGTACGCTTGGCTTTCTGACGCTTTGAAAGTGCTGTGTTGGCCTTTCGAAGGGTACGGACCTCCTCTTGTATAAGGGTCATTTGGTGCGCAATGCGGTCTGTACCCTTCACCAGCTGCTTTACAGCTGAAAAAATCGTTGTTGGGGAGCTTCCTTGATGAATTCCAATTCTATTCTGTACAAACTTAGACTGCAAAATTGCATCAGCTGGGGTTTGTGGCGTTTGAGGGACCCAAGGGTCAGCCTCTAGTAGGGGGGATCCAGTTGGTGTTGGCGTCCGTAACTTGATATCAAGCTTTGAGAGAACTGCTTCTGGGTTGTACGGGACTAGGCCAGTACCTCGAAAGCCAGCTAGGATATTTTCAGTTGTCATTGTATGGTCGTGGGCAGCCTTGAATGCAATAAAGAACTCAATCTTAGTGATATGGGTAATAGAGGCCTTAATGAAGACCTCAAGTTCTCGACCATACATTCGCTTTAGTACACTAAAACACCCAACATCAAGAGGCTGGGTAAGATGTGAGGAGTGCGCAGGGAGACAGAGCGTAATAATGTTGTTCTCCTTGCAGTACATATCAAACTGGGCAGATAGGTGGCTCTCATGGCCATCTAGGACAATCATCCGCCAGACCCCTTGTGTTCGTACACGTGTATGCTGATTAAAGTGTTTTATCCAGTCTAGACCTGTATCATTGTCGGTCCAGCCATTTGGTGAGGTCTTGATGGCCCAAGTAGGTGGAAGGCCGCACTCTGTGTACCAAGGCGCAAGGTGATGCTTGCCTTGTACAATCAAGTATGCAGGCACTACAAAGCCGTCTGCACTCACACATTCAATCGCTGTTGCCCATTCCCGATTACCAGACTGAAGCTGCTTTGCTCGGCCTTTTCGATCTGAGCTCGTAACAACCATATTCCCACAGATAACACCCATCATAAAGCCCGTCTCATCAAAGTTGTAGAAGTCAGCATCCTGGATGCTGTACTTCGCCTGCATGTTCTTTACCAGCTCAAACCACTTTCTTATACAATCAGGATCTTCGCAGAGGGCTCGCTGGAGGTCGTACGCACGAGAGAGACGCGTCTTAAGCTTTGGTTCATTGTGTACAAAGCGGTAGGGCCAGTTTTTTCCAACTGGGGGTTCGCGACGCGTCGCACGGAGGAGATTCGCTATATCTCGTACATCCTCAATTCGAGGTGGAAATGCTCGCGAATCTAGGTCAAGTACGTATCGTATGAGCTCCTCTTCCTCAATTGGGGTCAATGGACGTTGTTTGTCGCGTCTACCAGCTCGTGGTTGGCTTCCGTGTATGCGACGGGTAAGTGTTACATGTGGGACCTCATATAGCTGCGCAGCACGTCGGATGGACAGTTTGTGGGGTGATTTGGTAGCTTGAATGGCTAGTAAAACTCGGCCTTCATTAGCTTTCTGAGGCATCTTTTTGTTGTGGTGTGGTGGAGTAATTGGGTTTGAGGTTGCGATGCTATCGGAAAGTGTTTCATTTGGTGGGATGTTCCGTTTGGTGGTAAACCACGTTAATCCACTTTTATAAAATATTTAGAACCCAGCAATCGATTAATATATGCCATGGAGATCCTACAGTATGGTATTATACTTCAATATGTCGACAACTCTGTGTACTACGACTTCTGCTCTGCAGCCAAAGCAGTAAAGGCCTGCAGCAAATCATCTCTTAAATCTTCCCATCCCTCAAGTCCAATGCTAACTCTCAGAAGTCGTCTATCAACTGTAGCATCCGTCATCGTGCGCCACTCAATCAGACTCTCTACACCCCCCAGACTAGTAGCATGGTGGAATAGCTTTAGCTTGCTGGGGAGCTTTCTTGCGAGCTCCTCCTTCTGCATGATGATGCTGAAGACAGGTCCAAACCCGTTCGGCATCTGTTTCAGCAACCATCCATCTTTGATGTCATCTGTCTGCAAGCTTGCATGCTCAATCTTAGCAAGAACTTCGCGAACAGCACTGCTGTTGCCGGAGCTCAGTGTGGCACTATCGCCGACACTGGACTCGGTCTCGGGGTGCAGGGCAGCATTCAGCCATGCAACGAGCTTCCCGGTATTGAGTGCCTGTCTCTCTACACGGATTTCCAGTGTGCGGAGGCTGCGAACTCCCAGCCAACCTTCCATATTCCCCATCACGCTGCCGATCAGTAATCTCTCATGCTTTAGATTGTCAACCCAGCCTTCCTTCACTCTGGCAGGGTTCACTGCCAACACTCCACAGAGCATATCAGAATGTCCACCAAAGTACTTGGTACCACTATGCATAACAATATCCGCACCCCATAAGAATGGATCCTGAAGTGGTGGTGGACCAAACGTAGCGTCCACCGTGAGATAAGCCCCCCTCGAGTGTGCCTTCTCGGCGTATTCCTTCAGGTTTGTAGCATTCCCAGTTGGGTTGAGTGGGGTCTCGATGTGCACGATGTCGCCAGCTTGAAGATCCTCGGCCGGGCAGTCGAGAGGTAGATTTGTTAGGCCCGTGAGTTTCTTATGGATGCTGATGACGCCATGGCAGCCGTGATAGCCCTCGCCAATGGAGATGCGCTTTGGGTTGAGATGGACGAGGATGGCATGGAATGCAGAGAGGCCAGAGGTATATGAGATAGCGGGGCCATTAAGTAAACTAGAGAGGATGGCCTCGAAGCGAGTTGTGTTTGGTGCAGTGTGTCTCGAATAGTTGTGACCCTCAGCCGCCGCTGTGTGCTACTGCCGTTAGATTGAGTATCAGAATGGATAGGGGCTACCTACATCGGCTTCAGTCCATGGAACTAGCTTTTCAGGATCGCTGGGGTATCGATATGTAGTGGAAACATGCAAGGGAGGAGCAACATCTTGATGCCCGCCATTGAGGGCATCGTCCGCATGTATGGCCACCGAAGAGACGGAGAGGCTGGATGTTGCCTCTGGCACAACTACGTTGCTTTCCTTGATGCCCGACATTGCTTAATATTAAGACGATTTAAATGAATCAGTAGGTTAAAAATGTGGTAGTGAATATAATAATACACATATCACCCACGGCTCAAATGTCGAGCTTCCCCGCTATGTTTACACATGGCGGGGCAAGTCCGTCATTGGCTCGTAATTTCGCCTTCTCCGATACAACGGCCTTATCTTTGTCGCCTTTTAAGAATTAATCACGAACCTGATTCCTGAACCTGTTCATCCATTGATTATTGATAATTGATTTATGAGCTATGTGATATAATTATTTGATTTCGAGGTGTAATATTTCCCATAATTTGCAGCCAAACGCTAAATGGGTATGGTACTGATTCCATGTTATAAAAACGGCTAAGCTTTGCCCAGCAAGCTCGAACTCCCAGCCAAAATCCTTCTCATATTTATTCCCCTGGAACAGCTACCCCTGCCATGGAAAGCAAGCTCAAATCTCAGTCCAAAATCATTCTCATACTTGGTTCCTTGCATAAGCTATAAATATTGCTAAGTCAAAGCCGATAGCCCATGCGACACGGTCATCAACTTGTTCAGTGATTTTTCTACTTCTCTGGCACCGGAGTCTGTCATTCTGAGACCCTCATATCGGATTCCGGACTTTGCATAATCGTCAATTGTCGTAAAAATATGCATTGCCCTGCTGACTGATGTAGTTTCAACCGTCATTCGGAGGATTAAATTTTGAGTGGCCAAGGTATCCGGAATCGATTCTAAAGGCAGCAACATCGTTTTGGCTCGATTTAACTCTGGCCCCTGATGCGCCGCCATGGATTTTTGGCGTCTCATTAGATATGCTCGTGGATCGCCATCTTGAAGCACAGTTTTGATTATATTCTCTTGCGCCGACATTCCCTGCATTGCCACATCGCCTGTTTCAGCCTCTAGACGAGCTACAGCAGCGGTTTCTTCTCGTAGCCTTCTGGTGCTTGTTGCTTTCCTTCTTTCAAAATCCATAGCAGCATTTACATCGTCATGAAATACTGATATGCTTGTTCTTGGCAGTCCTTGCGATGGTGAAGTGTCGCCAAGTGGAGTCAAATGGCTCGACTCGTATGCGTTCTCACGAACTCCAGGTACAACCTCCGTGCTTTTAGGAATGATGAAAGGCGTCTTAAATTTTCTCCGGAGCTTTTCCTTCGACCGAATTTGAGTGGGTGGTGGTGACCATGGAACTCCGACTGGAAGGTCTCGAGCGGTTACGAATCCATTTGAGTATGGTGGTTCATAATGAGGCCGAGATAGACCGCCCCCTGTTATGTGGTGGGATTGCTGCGGCTTGGGGCCATGCTGAAGTTCTGCCAAATCATCAGTCTCATATGCCTGTTGTTTGTTTATCCATGTCTCGACCGAACTCTGCGTAGGGCCTGGTCTTGGCTGTTTGCAGATCTGGCTTCCTGTTAATCGGTTGGACATGTCTTCGGTGAGAAACAGATCGTCAGACGAAGCTGGGGGCGTCTTATCAACAGGAGTAATGTATGACCTCAGCGACCTTGGTCTAAGCGTCCTGGAACCCTGAGGTCCACGCTCAGTTGCTGGAGTACTCGTATGCTTCGCGAGGATCCAAGGGTTCAGGGTATTATGGTCACTGTGCTCTAGAGTACTAGGTGGTGATTGTGGCCCACAAGAAGCATCTCTTAACACTTCCAACTCTCGACCCCATGCTTTATCAACAATGGCATCGGCAGTTATATGCCCCTGGATTTTGTTGTTTCTTGTCCCGTAATTGACTCCAGGAGTTTGAAAATCTGTCACGCCCACGCTCTTTGACACCTCCACGCGTTGCTGAATTATAGAATCATGACTCGCAGCAGACTGGGGAGCAGGTAGGCCACTGAAGGCGTCATCCACTGGGGTTGGGAGGGTATTGGAAGAGTATAGGGATTTGAAGAGTCTTTCTGCGGCGGAAAGAATGGCATCCTCATCTTCGAATAGGACATCATCCTTGGCAGGCTCGATATTGGGATCATAGCTGCCAATCGGACATGTAATTCTCAAATATATGAATGGATCCTTTGGAACTTCTTTGCCAGCATTTGAAGCAAATGCTCGGATATGTTGCTTGTAGGAAGACATGACCTTTTTCAGGGTGCCTCGTGTACAAGATACTGGTCTGGAGTCAACTGACGCATAGTGACCGCCTTTGAGTTTTGAGAAGTCCGAATCTGGACTTGGTAGGAAGGCCCGTATTCTAATAAATGAGTTCGCTGTCGTTGTTCCGATTTCGTCGATGGTATCAAAAATTGACGCATCATCTTCACATGGGCTCGCTATTTCGATGCATTGTTTAGCAACATCTTTCCCAGCGACTTGAATTGCGGCCTCCTTGATATAACCTTTGGGATGTGGTATGTATGACCAATTTCCTTTGCCTGTATTTGCCACCTTGAGGGTGAATCGAACTTGAAGCCTCGCCAGAGCGTATGACTGAAGGATGTTCTTGATTTTGGATATTGTTTTTGACGCATCGCTAATGGAAGTTTGCCTTCTGACAGGGAGAGCGGAAAGAAAATTGGATACGCAGACCGTGGTACCAATGGGATGAGAGATAGAAGACTTGCTTGATACGCCTCCAGTGGCCTTGAGTTTTACCACGAAGGCAACGGGTTCTCCTTCTGCTCGAGTTGTGATAGTCACGCTTCCAAGACTGACAGAGCTGGCCAGAGCTTCGCCCCGAAATCCGAGACAGGAACTGCCAACTTCCCTCAATTCCTCGAAATTCCTCAGCTTGCTGGTATGGCCATGGCGTCCAAGCGAGTCGAGGTCTTCTTGGGCTATCCCGTGCCCATTGTCATGAACTTCAACCTTATCAACAGTATTTGCCGATATTATCACGTCAATCGATGTTGCCTTTGCATCAATGGCATTGTCAATGAGCTCCTTGACCAGTGATGAAGGTGTTGTGAGGGCTTGACAGGAGCCCAGGATCCTTGTTGTTGAAGATGGCAGTGGCTGGATTGCCATACTGATGATTTTGGGGCTCAGAGATGCACCAGCATCACATTATATCATTTGGCATTCTACGCCATTAATCTGATAACAAATGAAGGCTTCTAAGAGACTCGATGGCGGTGATAATTATGTGACATTGAAGGCTATGCCCAGTAGAGGTTGACGTGGTTACCCATGGTTTCATGGGAACCTTATCGCATCTGATAAGCCATGTGTGGGATGTGGATGTTTGGTTGACTCGTGGAAAAAACCCGTCCCTTTTAGGTGCAGTACGCTCATTAACCCCGCAAAACCTCAAGACGCTCTTTTCAATACCGACACCACGTCGCGACTTATTACCAGAGCGCTCTGGCTGCGCCGAACGCCGTTTAAACCAAGCTCGCGCCTTTCAATAGCCAGAATGGCCACCAATTCCGGGGCAACCAAATCAAGTAGGATATACGATCATGTCTGGTTGAATGCGCACAAGCTTACCACATTACTACAGTCGGCGAGCAAGCGGGCCCAACTGGCCTCGCTGCGTCTGGAAACGATGCGGCCAGCAAGACTGGCGCGCCTGCAGCCGGTGCCGAGGGGATGAAAGTGAAGAGTGAAAAAGAACGTATGTGCTCCTCGGCATTGTCAAACTCTTCTGGATTTTGCATCTTTGGCACAGTGATATGACTAACTCGTTGCACTTTAGTCGAGAGAGAACGCAAGAAGGCCGAAAAACAAGCTAAATTCGATGCAAAGAAAAAGGGGTCCGCCTCTACTCCTGCTGCAGCACTTTCGAGCAAGAGCAAGGAAAAGAAGGCCAAGGCTGCCGAGAAGGCTGCGGAGGAGACTCTCCCCGAATATGTAGAGGATACACCGTTCGGAGAGAAGAAGAGTATGGCTGGCCTACTCAAGAAAGTGAAATCAGACTAACGGTGCGGCAGTCCTGAAGTCATTCGACGACCCTCAGTATAAAGCGTACAACCCAATAGCCGTCGAGTCCGCCTGGTATTCTTGGTGGGAGAAGGAAGGCTTCTTCAAGCCTGAATTTACCGCGGATGGCGAAATCAAACCGGAGGGAAAGTTTGTTATCGTGGAGCCGCCTCCAAACGTAACGGGCATGCTCCACATCGGCCACGCTCTCGCAAATGCCCTGCAGGATGTCATGATCAGGTGGAACCGTATGCAGGGCAAGACCACACTTTGGCTTCCAGGATGCGACCACGCTGGTATTTCTACACAAAGCGTTGTAGAGAAGACTCTTTACCGCAAAGAAGGCAAAACTCGCCATGATCTTGGGAGAGAAAAGTTCGTCGAAACGGTGTGGGAGTGGAAAGGAGAGTATCACGAGAAGATTAATGCCGTCTTGAGGAAGATGGGAGGATCATTCGACTGGACTCGCGAGGCTTTCACCATGGATGAGAACCTTTCAGCCGCTGTTACGGAAACATTCTGTACACTGCATGAAGAAGGCACCATTTATCGCGCTAACCGTCTTGTTAATTGGTGTACGCAGCTCAATACCGCTCTATCCAATTTAGAGGTGGAGAACAAGGAGCTCACTGGCCGTACTCTCCTTGACGTTCCAGGCTACGAGAAGAAAATCGAGTTTGGTGTTATTATTCACTTCAAGTACCCGATTGAGGGAACTGAAGAGACTATCGAAGTGGCTACTACCCGTATCGAGACTATGCTTGGTGATACCGGTATTGCTGTACACCCAGACGATGAGAGATATAAACACCTTGTCGGCAAGAAAGCTGTTCACCCCTTTATCACGGGCCGCCTCCTTCCAATTTTTGCAGATACATATGTTGAGAAGGATTTCGGAACTGGCGCTGTCAAGGTGACCCCTGCTCACGACCCCAACGATTTTACTCTGGGTAAGAACCACAACCTTGAATTCATCAACATCTTGAACGACAATGGAACTTTCAATGAGCATGGAGGCCCTTACCAAGGCCAGAAGCGATTTGACGTACGATATACGATTCAAGACGACCTGAAGGCTCTCGGCCTGTTCGTCGACAAGAAAGACAATGCTATGAAAGTACCCTTGTGCGAGAAGTCAAAGGACGTAATTGAGCCGCTGTTGAAACCGCAATGGTGGATGAAGATGAAGGACCTCGCCGCAGAGGCTATGGAGGTTGTCAAGAACGGAGAGATCAAAATTCTTCCAGAGTCGGCTGAGAAGAGCTATTATAGATGGATGGAAGACCCACAGGATTGGTGTTTGTCAAGACAGCTGTGGTGGGGCCACCAAATCCCGATATACTATGCTCAAGTCGACGGGGACACTTCTTATGATACTGATGAGAAGCTTTGGTTCGCTGGTCGCACGGAAGAGGAGGCGCTGGAGAAGGCACGCAAGGCACTATCTGGGAAGACTTTCACACTCAAGAGAGATGAGGATGTCTTGGATACATGGTTTTCGTCCGGTTTATGGCCATTTTCTACTCTAGGATGGCCGAATGCAACTCACGACCTCGAGAAGCTATACCCTACGTCGATGTTGGAGACCGGATGGGACATTCTGTTCTTCTGGGTTGCCCGCATGATCTTCCTTGGAAAGAAACTGACCGGAAAGGTTCCTTTCACGGAAGTGTACTGCCATTCATTGGTTCGTGACTCTGAGGGGCGCAAGATGTCCAAGTCGTTGGGTAACGTTATCGATCCCCAAGATATTATCCATGGTATTTCTCTGCAAGACTTGCACGCCAAGCTTCTGTCAGGTAACCTGAATCCAAATGAGGTTGAGAAGGCAACGAAATACCAGAAGACATCCTTCCCAGATGGAATCCCGCAGTGCGGCACTGACGCCCTGCGTTTTGCTTTGGTCTCCTACACTACAGGCGGTGGCGACATTGCCTTTGATATCAAGGTCATCTACGGTTACCGCAAGTTTTGCAACAAGATCTACCAGGCCACCAAGTATGTCCTTGGCAACCTGCCCGCCGATTTCGTTCCCCAGAAGAGCGCAAAGAAGACTGGCAAGGAGTCTTTGGCTGAGAAGTGGGTCCTGCACAAGTTCACGAACGCGTCCAAGGACATCAACAGGGCTTTGGAAGAGCGCGAGTTCATGCGTTCGACAAACATTGTCTACCATTACTGGTACCAGAGTCTATGCGATGTTTTCATTGAGAACTCGAAGGCCATCATCCAGAGCGGTACCGACGAGGAAAAGCTCTCCGCCCTGAACACCTTGTACACTGCCCTTGAGGGTGCTCTTACCATGATTCACCCCTACATGCCTTTCCTTACTGAGGAACTCTGGCAGCGTCTCCCACGCCGCCAGGAGGACAAGACCCCCTCCATTGTCAAGGCTGCGTACCCCGTGTACGATGCTGAGATGGATGACCCAGCCTCTGAGGAAGCCTACGAGCTTGTCCTGGGTGTCTCCAAGGGAATTAGGTCCTTGATGTCCGAGTATTCTCTGAAGGATGAAGCCGAAGGTAAGTCAAGAACTCTATATGCCAATGTAAGCGTTACTAATTATCTCTAGTCTACATCCAAGCCTTCGATTCGACGTCCCAATCTACCGTCACAGCCCAGACCCAGTCCATCAAGTCCCTCTGCGGCAAGAGTGTCTCCACCGTCCAGATCCTCGGCGCCTCCGACTCCCGCCCCGCTGGCTGCGTCCCCTTCTCCGTCTCCGCCGCAGCCGTCGTCTACGTCCGCGTCACCGGTCGCGTCGACATCGACAACGAGATCTCAAAGGCGAACAAGAAGCTCCAGAAGACGCACCAGGGTATTGACAAGCAACGCAAGATCCTCGATGACCCAGACTACAAGGCCAAGGTCAGCGAGGCGCTGCAGGAGGTTGAGCGTAAGCGGTTGGCGGATTTGGAGGCTGAGCAACGTGGGTTTGAGGAGACGATTAAACAGTTTGAGCAGCTTAAGCTGGAGTAGATCATCCTCGAAGGAACAGGAGATATGTTGATATCGTGTCAACTTTTGAAGACGCTACAGATGAGGATAGGTCATAAAATTAGATGCTTTGTGTGTTAATACAATAAAGATGTTAACCAGGAAGCGCGTTCATATCCTCAGTGACAAAACTTGGCCCCTTACACTCGTAGAATACCATATTCTTTGCCGGAGCCCTGATCTTTTAGATACACACAATAAGCTCACAGCGCGCATAAGCTGGCCCAGGTGAACGATTGAACATTAATATGCATCCATTTTCCGATATAAATATATCTATCGATTGCTGCTACTCTACGATGCGAATCCAGCACAGGCACAAGAGAGTGTGAATAACCATAATCCATATAACTTACGCTAATATCCATTTTTAAGGATGAGCTCGCTCCCCGCGATACCCATTAAAACCACACAAACCCCTCCCTGCTATCGAAACACGCAAAACGCCCTGTCAGACAAACCGCAGCATCCGCCGTACAAAAAACATAAAAAATAAACACAGTGAAGGAATGAACGCCCCAAAAAGACAAAATCTGGAGTTCCACCAGCAAACTATGCATCGACACAAATACCCCTCTCTCTCCTCCGCTCCATTACCACAATTAATTATTATTATCATAGTAGTCGTCCCTATAGCTGCTGATGTTGCTATGCGCATTCCACTGCCCGGCCTGTCTCTGTCTCCTCTCCTTCTCAAACTCGCCCCAGCGCTTCATGTTGATCTTGCTGCTGTCGAACTCGCCCTCGTACTCGATGCCGGCCTTCTTGGTCTTCTCGCCGGCCGTCTTGCGCGTGTCGCCCCACGAGAAGTCGTCGAACTTCCAGTAGGCGTAGACCGGGAGTACGAAGTTCCAGATGGGGAGGGAGATCAGGTAGATTAACATCCAGACGACGTAGGACCATCTGTGGGCGGTGAGGACGATCAGGACGGCTGGGAGACCGAGGATTAGGCCGAGGAGGACGAGGGGGATGACTTGAACGGGCTTTCTGACGATGGATATGACGACTGTTTCATAATTAGTACTTGATTTTTGGTGCTGTAGGAATTAGGGAATAACTTACCGACGTAGATAGTGAACGCAATAGCAGCGGGCAGGACAAGTGTTCCGATCAAATCGATGAACACCACGAACTGCATACTGAAGCAGAAAGTACCACATAGATCTCTGACGAGAACCAGTTCCATCAAGTTGTGGATGGTACTGTTAATCCATCTACGTCTCTGAGACAACAATACCGAGAATTGCTCAGGCACAGTAGTTTTGCATACGGCCTGTGGCACAAAGACCTGCTTGCGCTTCGGGAAAGTCCTGAGCATGAGTGTTGAGAGGTAACGATCTTCACCAAGCAACAACAAGTTCTTCTTGTGTAGTGTATCGACCACGTTCTCAGAGTAGTGCTCAACGACGTCAGGGTTGGCGAGGATAGGGACCCAGTAGTTTTGTCCACCCTTGGGTGCCTTGATTCGGTACACACTGAAACATCCAGGGAGACAAGTAACGCCACCAAAGACGGACTCGAAAGATTTGGAGAGATGATGGGAGATGAAGTATTCGAAGACTTGGATGGCTGTAACCCAGGAGACTCTCTTGTTTGCAATCTTCGTCTCACCACACAATCCCATGATCTCTGGGTCCTTGACCATGGCGGAAACCATGTGAGTTAAGCTGTCGGGGAAGACCTTGGTATCGGCATCAACCATCAACACAACCTCGAAGAAGTCTGGTGACATTCCAGTGATTTTCCATAAGCCGTTGAACATCTCGAACTCGAGCTCCGTCATCCGCTCGTCGAACATAACCTTTTGGAGGAAAGACATGAGGATAATTTGCGAGTCACGCTTTCCTCTGTTTCCAGGCTTGCTCTTCGATGCTTCATCGGGGGTTCCGCACTTAACAAGACACATCATGGGCACTCTCTGTTGGCGATCCAAAGGAATTGCCGAGTCGGCGCCATAATCGTAGAATCCAGAATATACCTTTGCCATGTTGTGTCGTTTCGATCCACTTGCAACGGCGACGTAGCTGAAGGCCGGAGCGTCCTCAGGCAGCACAGAGTGATCCTTCATCATGCCCAAGACAATTTCAGGGGTAGAATGTAGCTCGCCCTTTCCTTTGATCATACCATCACAGATAACGAGTATCATCTTGTGGCTGTTGGGGTAATCGGTTGTCGCTACAGAGTCGAGTGTGGTTCTAATACCCTGCTCACCTTCTGAGTAAGCGGTGACAAGGCAGATCGCGTGTGCAAGAGGATATCCAAATGGTTGCCACTCTGGAGGAGGCTGAGGCACGACAGCTTCATGGATGAAGCCAGCAGGGCCTGGCCCGTCGCCTGATACATCGCTCATAACACCGCCATCTAGGTTCGAATTAGGGAAGCTCATTCGGCTATCGTTTTGGCCTCTATACATCGGGTTTGGCGGGAATAGCTGAGCTGCTGAGTTCTGGCTCGCCATAGTCGTCGGTGCCGGCCGTGGTCCTGACTTCTCTCCATTTAGTGTATACGGGCTTGTGAAGCGAGACGTGGTTGGAAGGAACATGCTGCTGGCGCGTCTGCTATTTCTGTCCGAGGAACCAGCAGCAGTGCTGCCGGGGTCTCCCGCAATGCGAGGAGGGGCGCGATAGATGTCGTTTGTCCACTCCTCGATCTGCCTGTTACGTTTCTTTGGATCCGAAGATTGTGAGGTCTTACTGGCCGCATACCTGCGGCTCAAGAACCACTGGAAGTAGAGAGCGAGGACGAATTTTGCTCCAACAATAGAGATGATGAATGCGAGCGCTACGTAAAGCACCACTTGGGACGCGATACAGCCAATCGTTTCGGTATCGACGCTTCCAACCTTGATGATCTGTTCTAAACATTCGGCAAGTTCCTTGTCTCCAGAGGCTTGGAATTTATGTGTTATGTCTCTACCTCTGATTCCTTGGTTCAGGGTGGTAGCCTTGTTGCCGAGGTCGACAAAAATTCGAGGGACAGTAACCTGCGACCCATTAAACCATTTCAGAAGATCCAAGTCCAACACATTCCCAGAGTAGACAGCCAAATTCCTTGTACCATTGTTGATATCATCCCAGGTGTAGTAGACATCCCCCGCAGAGTGCATGCCATAGAATGCAGTTCGTCCAGGTGCGGTGGTATGGCATTGATGGCCAAGGTAGGGTCCGAAGCTCTTCTTTTTAGGATCACTGGAGCCGTCCTGGTTCAGAAGGTTGCATGGGAAGTACCAACCGAGGTTTCCCTGGTCATCACTTGGAACGTCGGATCCCTCTGACTTTGAGATCAAGCCTTTGCACTTTCCGTTGACGTTTTGGAAAAGAAAACTGCCGTCCATGCCTCCATGACTTTCAGGCACATACAAGATATTTGACTGTTCCGGAATACCCATGGCCGCAGGATGACGAACCCCCAATAAATTATACGCTTTGCCGTGGAAGATCATATATCCTTTGTCGACCTCATTTACGCGGAGTCGGGTTGGTGGGTTACCACACACAGTGGCAGTGAATCCAAACGTGAGAAAGCCGACGAAGGCCATGACCATGAGAATAATGCTGATAAGTCCCATCTTCTCCCTCCATGCTCTCTGTTGTTCTTTCGCTGGCTTCCCGAAGCACCTCAGAATAAAATCAGGGCACCAGAATGTGATAATCGAGCAATACACGTTCCACAAACTAGGCGGCTTGAGGACTTCTGCGTCCCTCTGGCGGCGTCTTTCTTCTCTTGTCTGCTTCCTCGACTTGTTTGTGTCACGAGTTAGCTTTGAGGATTTATGGTCCTTTTCGAAGTTGCCGGTGTCTGAACCTTGCATCGTTCCTTGGGATTCCAGAGGCGATGGAGACCCATAGGGACCATCCCGAGGACTGCGCTGATCCGGCTCGCCACTCCCGCCATTTATATCTCCTTGATCTTCTAGAATCGGGTCGTTTCCCGTAGTCGAAGGCAAAACTGTCATATTCGCCGCATGTTGGCGATAATAGTAGTTTGGATGGTCGCGGTCAATGCGGTTTCTCTCAGGGCGGATCAAGCTTCGCTTGCGTTGGAAATCCTGTGCAGCTGGAGTTGCGGGGGTGGGGGACTGAGGCGGGCGAGTATCAGCGGGAGACCCGGCTCGTTCTGTCCGATGTTGTCTTGTCCGTCTAGATGTTGGAGATTGCGAATCTTGCCCAGCATATCCAACTTCGGCGTCGTGTGACGGTTGAGGGCGCCCAGTGGAGCTTCTATACGTATTTCGCCGTTCTTGGGGGGGGAGGTCGCCGCCCCCAGGTCTCTGGGGTAGGGACATATTGCGGTTCTAGAACCTGTTAATGAAACCAGTCAGTAGAAGTCTTCCAGCAACAATCCCCCAGCGCTTGGTGTCAATTTCCAGCCCCCAAGACCCTCCGCACAAACCCCGGATGCTTGTATTTGTGACTGGAGTCGCAGCGTGGTATAGATGCGAGAATACCAAAAAGAACAAAACATATCACTTGAATCTGGGAGAGAACATACTTTAACTGCAAAATGCGTATGACGCTCTTGGAGCTGTTGTTTGTTATGATCCAGGGCGGTCTGGCAAAACCCTTCCTAATCCCGTCTTCAGGAGATGTGCAAGTCGACTCGTAAATCGGAGTTGGTGTCTTTTTGACGAATATTAAGTGCTGAAAGAGATCGTAAAGTTTCGATAGTACAGTGAGAAAGAAGAGCGATGCGCGTTTTACAACAGGCTATGGCGAAAAGGGATACGAGCAGCCGTAACAGCAGCCTCAAGAATGGCAGAACGAGGCCTTCAAACGAATGCAGAGGCCGTGAAGGCTCAATAAGAAATGGTAACGAAGTCGGGCATTGAAGTAATATGTGCGGGATAGCGAGCGACGGTGATGGTGGAAAGGTTGGCGAATTGGTCGTTGTCCAGTGGGATATGAGACGGTATAGTGTGGTGGCGGTACCTCAGCACATGAACACGCACTGCTCAGTGTATTATTATGGACCCACTACCCACACACAAGGGAAGGTACTTTAAACAGTACGGTAAAAGTACTGTAACAACCAGCGACGAGCGGAGTAAGTGCAGGTACCTTTTGTTTTTTTTGTATTGGGCAGAGTTATGGTGGGATGGCACGGCGCGTTCCCACGGGCTCTGGAAATAAAATCCAGTGTGGTATAGTGCGGTATGGGCCACTGTCTCACACTGTGTCTTGCCTCCAGGCCCTTAGAGTTTCTCTTAGACCCTGTGCAAGCCCTAGAACAAATGCTACTCAGGGCCACCATTCACTGTAACCTGAGGCCCGTTAACCCCCCGTCATACTCCGTACAGCATGGTGCTACTGTACAGTGCCCGGCCAACTGGCCCCCTTGTCGATCCAGCTGTGTACCAGACGGTACTGAAACCCACACTGACAGGATACAGTACGGAGCTTTCACAGGGACACACTAGCACCAATACGAGCCTATCATTAGCTAAATCCACCATTTAACCAGGGGGCCGGGTGCTACAGTACGGCGCCAAAGGTTTCCATACGTGTCTGTGCTTTTTCCCATACAAATGACTGTCATTTAGGCGATTCGTGCACAGACCCGTGCGGAAACTTATGGCGCCGTACTCCGTACTGTAGCTCCGTACTGTAGCTCCGTACTGTAGCTCCGTACTGTAGCTCCGTACTGTAGCTCCGTACTGTATTTACGGCCCTTTGTCCTCATTAGTCGATTAGTAGTGCCAAGTTTCCCGAGGCATTCCTTTCCCCCCCGTCCAACGGAGTTGAGCTAGTAACATCGTGATGACGATCAATGAAAGGTAACAGAAGATCGTGGCTGACATTTCACCTCAAGCCCAAGCCCATATATGTAATGCTTGACATCCATCACTCGGCCAGCGTGGCCCTGTTACAGTACACTTGTGTTGAGGCTCTTGTGCGATATGTCTGGGCAATTTCCAGCCTGATCGCTTTGATACCGGACGACCAACGACCTGGAGCTGAACCGTCCCACGGGCCCATCCTCATCGTAGCATTGCCCATCGAAGTCGTAATTTCGTCTCGGAAGATTATCGGCGTTCTCAGACACTTCGACTTTTGCCGTCCGGATATATACCACCAAAAGGCCCCAGCAGGATTGTACTGCCTTCGCCCTCTGTTGGCATTGTTACTATTCTGAGGCAAAACCCTCGATTGGGCCACCAGATGCACAGCGGCGTGCCTCCTTCCTTCGAGGGACAGGAGGATCTCGTATGGACTGGAGAACCTTGTGCGGCTACCCGATGGTCCGTTCCCTCCCCTAACTCCCTCTACTTGGCACGTCTCGGTTCGAATCGCATTATTTAAGATCCGTAGTTTGCGTTCTTTCTGGGTAGCCGAACCCTATGATGTGTCGCTGGAGAGGCAACATCATGACGCGGGATGGCGGAGCGGGGTGTGGGGTGGCCAAAAACACGGTGCCGCTTCACCGATGAAATTGATGTCTTTCCCGATGGTTTTGGTGGTTGCACCCCTAAAAAAAGTCTCAAATATTCGTCTCAATCAGGCCACATGAAACCCCCAAAACGAGAATATTCGGTCTTGGCACCTGGTCATCCGAATCTCCGTACCAGATCTTCTGTCCGCTTCATACCTATGAAGCGGACAGGGGAGTTCCTGTGCCACTGTGGGGGTCCGATGCTCCATCGATGCCTCCACAGGTGACGATTTAAAGGACGATCCCAGAAAAGACGATCTTCTTTTGCATACTGTGCTTTCTGAGACCTTCCCAAGCCCGTTAGAGAGTAAATTGTTTTAGCTCCGTGAGACTGAGAGGACTGAGAGGGCAAAACAGGTATGCGAATGCTAAGTTTCAAAGCCTATGGTATTGGCCGATGGGTCGAGATTAAAGCGGCACTTGGGATACAGTAGTTCGGCGTTTGTTGCCCCCGCTATTGTAGTTGTCTTGGAAGGAACTCCACCCCACCATGGGCCCTGTCTTTTCACGCTGGTCGTCCCCAGGGGTCTCTCCCCGTTCCCCCTCAAAAATCAACACCCTCATCGCCCTCCGCTCTTGCCAACAGAGTTAGCATGTCACCTTCAGTTTTCTCTCTTCTCTTTCTTTTCTCCAACTCCAATTCCCTGTCGCCATCTCTGACCGGACCGATGAACTGTGTAGGTTTTGCTCTGTGATGCAAGTCAGCAAAGTACCCCGTAAGGGGCGGGCGGATTAAGCAATGGATGAAAAGGGATACAGTACATAGAAGTATAAGTGGGACACAATCATACTTTTCTCTCCCTCGAGATGACTGTGGCTTTCGTAAGACGACGTGGAAAGCCTTACAGTAAGGCACCAGAGGCACCAGAAGCGCTGGAGACGCCGCTCAGCCAGTGAACCTGAGCCGCCTGTGGGCTATTATTGGAGTGGTTGAAGCCAAATTCCCACATTGTGAGGTCGCCAAGCCCTTATCCAGCCCGTTCGCGCGTTTTTGTGGCTTTTTTTTATGTTGGCGCCTTTATGTTGTCATACATATTGTCGTAGAGTTCTGTTCGGTATGCAAAGTAGTAGATCAATAGAAGCACAGAATCGAAAGCGTGGACAGCATTAGCACCTCGGCGGCCGTGACTTCGGCGGCCGTGACATAGATTCGCATTTTTTTGGGTAAAAAGTGTGCCTGCAGTGTTGATGATTGGTCAAAGACAACCTCTCTACCTTGTCGCCACTATGCTTAACTGTTATACTTCTGGGCATACGCCTGGTACGCCGCAGTACAAGTTTTCTTAGCCCTTGCAAGTATGAGAGAGACGAGGTGATGGTACGTACGGAGTACTGCTACAGACCATAACTCCCACTCCACTCCACTCCACTGTCTGCCTCCCTCTCAACCTCCAAACTCTCCATCTTGTTTGTCTCTCTCTCTCTCTCTCTGATCTCCTCCATTGTCAGCCTCTTCTATTCCTATCTTCACTCGCTCGCTCTTCCTAACCAGCTGTCCTTTTTCTCTCTCACTCTCGCTCCTCTGAAGACGCGCGACGACACGGGCACTTGGGCTGAATCTGAGAAACCTGGGATCCCTCCGATATTTCCACGAAACCCCCCTCGCCTACAATCGCACGGCACAAACATACAAACTTCGAAAGTGAGATGTTTTCGCTCTAACACCAAGCTTGAATTTGTAGAATTATTGTCGATTGCGAACCCTCAGTCCTCTCTTGGGATATATATAGCTTGTAGGTGATGCTCCACGCGGCGTCCTGGAATGCAGCTAACAAGCATCCGTCACCAGCAGCCCGAGACACTCGTTATTGGCGCCTGTAAACGTCTTCTTGCCGAACTATTTGGCTTTGTTGAGAAGTAGCACGGATCTCGGACATCGTTGACAAAACGACCCCAAGAAAGCCCCGCAACTGCCGCTCGAACCCCCAAGCAACAAATATCTGTGCGGTTTGGCAAAGGTCCGAGCTGCTCAGATCAGTCTGCAGATATAGGGCATAGTCTGCCTTCGCCAGGGTTTCTGAAGCCCATTAAGCAAGGGGTTTAAACGAAAGGAGGGGAACAACATGGCGTCAATACTAGCGGATGTCAATAATCCTTCCGAATATATACCACGGCAACAGCCATCCCCAGGAAAACTACGGATGATGGACTATGGATCGGCGGATAGCTCAAAAGAGAACAACGGGAACGAGAAACCACAAGCCGTTATACCCATGCAGTCCCAAGGCCGATTGCACGATGCTCCATTATCCCCAGTAACGATCAACTTTCAGTCAGAATGGGCAAGACCTTCCACAGCACAGATTGAAACCATGGGCACACAGTTACTAGAGAATAATGGCAGCAATCAAACATCGGAATCATCGAGGTATGAGAATACAGACTCAGAGGCAACCGTTCATGATGTTGCAAAACGGAGGCAATATGGCTCCCATATTGTGGGGAGCCGCCATGGATCACAGCATGGCATATTGTCCAATATTGAGAGCACGGCTTATGCGTCATCTTCCAGCGGCCCTGTGAAGGATGATAGGGAGCAGGCACAAAGTGCCCCAGTTTCTGATGCAAGCAGCACATCTTCTGGGAACAATGTCCAGGCAGCTCCTCCACTACAATATCACCATATGCAAAGGCGATCAGATGATTCCGGAAAGCTTGGCTTTGGCCAGGGGAATGAACTCTCTGTAGGAAATGGGGACAATGGAGCTAATATCAACCGCCACCTGACACCGTCGTCAAATTACGGACGGCGCTCTTATATTCAGCGTCCTGCCTCAGCTTACTCTGTTAATTCGGACTATGGCGCAAGGGGTCGTTCTCCTATCATGCTTTCTCAGTCGCCCAGTTGGTCAGGGCGTGCTCTATCCGCGCACTCTGGAACACCAGAAGGTAGTCGCCCGGCTTCGTATATCGACCTGTTAAATGCGCCGTACCCTCAACCCCCGCCAGTTCCTCATGCAATGTTTGACAACTCGGGGCTTCGGTCTGCCGTTGGCTCTAATGCTTCGCTTCTTAGTACTCAGAAGACACTCGAGATGTACCGACTGAATGTGAAAAAAACGAATGATGCTCAAACCCAATATGCATTTGCTCTCCTATTAATCGACGCGGCGCGAGAAATCGGCCTTACCGAACCCAACTCATCAACTGGGAAGCAAAGCCCAAAGCTTGGCAGGGACCTGGAAAGCCCCTATGTTGAAACGGCTGCTTCTTCGTCACAGGATCTGATCAGGGAAGCGCGTGCTATCCTTCAGAAGCTTGCTGACCGCAGCTACCCCTACGCTCAATACTATCTTGCAGATGGGTACGCCTCGGGTCTATTCAACAAGGGCAAGGAAGACTACGACCGTGCTTTCCCCCACTTCACCGCTGCAAGCAAGCATGGTCACGCAGAATCTGGATACAGGGCTGCATTATGCTACGAGTTCAGCTGGGGTTGCCGCAAGGACCTTCAAAAGGCAGTGCAATATTACAGACAGTCGGCCTCGAAAAACCACCCTGGTGCTATGACGCGACTTGGACGTGCCTGTCTCTCTGGCGATCTTGGCTTGAACAGGTATCGTGAAGGATTAAAATGGTTGAAGCGGGCCACAGACTCAGCAGATCCACAGTACAATGCTGCTCCTTACCACCTCGGTCTCTTGTACGAGACTGGCTATGGAGACGACGTATTCCAAGACGAGACGTATGCTGCTCAGCTTTTCACAAAGGCAGCAGGTTTGGGACATGCGGAAGCTTGCTACAAACTTGGAGATGCATATGAGCATGGAAAGCTATCCTGTCCTCGCGACCCTGCGCTAAGCGTCCATTTCTACACTGGTGCAGCACAGAAGGGACAAGCGTCCGCAATGATGGCTCTTTGCGCTTGGTACATGGTTGGAGCCGAGCCGATACTGGAGAAGGACGAGAATGAGGCGTATGAGTGGGCTCGTCGCGCTGCGGAATGCGGTAAGTACACCAGTCACTTGTATTTTGAAGGCCATTTACTAAACAATAACTCCTAGGCCTGACGAAAGCCGAATATGCAGTCGGCTATTTCACAGAGATGGGCATCGGCTGCCGACGTGACCCTCTCGAGGCAAACGTCTGGTATGTGCGCGCTGCCGAGGCAGGCGACGAGAGAGCACAATACAGGCTCGCAGCCATCAGAGCTGCGGCCAGCGGTGGGATTCCGATGGAAGTGGCCGAGCCAAAGACGAAGAAGGGGAAGAAGCTGCAGCAGCTACAACTTAGGACGAGCAGTTTGGGCGTTGCAAATGGGCCTGCGACGCCAGGTCCCCAGGACTCGACCCCGCGAGGTCTCGGCACGGAGAGCCCAAAAAAGGACGAGAGCCCAAAGAAGGACGACAAGGAGTGCGTGGTGATGTAGGGGAAGTGTAGCGAAAACAGTGCAGCTCCAAGGAGCAGACTTTTCCCGACTTCTGAGGCTCGATTAGGGCTTCGTTTGGGGTAATTCTTTCATGGCGGGTTGGGAGGGGCAAGTGTCATTGGCGCTAGGTGGGGGAGCTTTTTTGGGGTTTGCAAAGTGCAGGAAAGGTTTTTGTGCGAGATGGCATTCATCGGGGGCGCTTGCATGCGAATATGGCGCGACGCCGGGAAGAAAGACGGACAATTGTGCTTGAAAGGGGGAGAATGGGGGGGCGCGAAGCAAATAATAGACGAGGCGCCTCGTTGATTGAAGACATGATTGAACGGCTTTGGGGGCTACTTAATATAGGACAGAGAGGAAAAAACAATATGAATGGATGACGAGGTTAATAGCCTTGCCTTAATTATGCTCTATAGTCTTTGATAGCTATGAATACGGTTATTTCTAAAGCAAAGGGGCGGGTTTCTATTGTTCCATATATATTAGCCATATATTGTCTAGACACTCAACACTCTATCCTTAATACCAGAAACTAGGATGTAGATCGTGATTTTCGGGGCATGTACATCACTGTAATCAAGGGGTAAATTTCGCGCCGAATTTGTCAGAAGCTACTCCAGGAGCGAGGTAATTTAACAGTCCGGAAACCAAACACATAACAAGCTAAATGATATATCCCAGCCCACACGCTACGCTAAACGCCCCCTTAACCCCCAATTTCAAACTGTTATAACACCGCGCCAGGCGCTGCAACTCCACATATCTCAAAAAAATCAAACACCCACCCATCCTTCACAACCCCCACGCACAATGCCCATGCACCGGACACCTCCCCGGCTTCCCCTCCCACCAACTCCTAATACACTTCTCGTGGAAGCGGCACAGACACTCCAACCGCGCCATCTGCACTCCGACTTCGAACTCGTCGAGACAGATCGTGCACTCTGCGTCGTCTACGCAGTCTTTTTCCGTAGCTTTATACGGGAACATCCCCGTCCGCCGCGGCTCGGGTGAGAAGGAGGAAGATGGATGAGCGAAAGGCGAGTGGGATGACGAGCGCGTATGTCCAAGGACCACAGCCGCGTGCTGCGCTTCGCGGAACGCCGTTCGGCCTTCTGGGGTGTTGGGGAAAGATGATATATCAAGAGCAGGCGGCTGCAAGTTGATAGCCTGAGCGAGATTGAGATCGCCCTGAGACGACGCAGATGAGATAGCTGAGTTGGGAGAGTTCGAGCGGACCTCTGGAGGTGATGATATGCTTGAAACCATAGTCGTGTTTGATGGACGTTCATGTCTCGCTGGAACGCTCGCGGGGGACTGCTGGCGTGGACGGCCGCTGTGGATTGCGATTTGGTCCTCGATGCACTCAGTGACGTGGTTTGAGCGCAGGGACTCGAAGTCTAGGAGGGTGCGAGAGGGTAGTTCGCAGTGGCAGACGGGGCATTCGTCTTCTTCGCGGATGCGAGGTATTGGAGGTAATGGTCGGGATGTGTCGACTCCGGAGCTTGAGGGTTGGGGCTGCTGGGGGAAGAATGGGTCGAGTAGTGAGCGGTAGTGTGGCTGGGCGTTGCTGGGAGATCCTGTGGAAGACATTGATAGGCTTTGGTGGCTCTGATGGCGGGGCCCGGGGGGGAGATTTCGATTTGGATAGCGACGTTGATATGACGAGGGTCCTTGGTTCAAGTGGTGGGGCCCAGTATATGAAGATCCGCCGAGGTATGAAGTCTAAAAGGGAATTGAGTTAATACCGAGTTAATAGTGATGTTAACTATGGACTAAACTCACCTGGCTGCTAGATCTTGGTGGGTAGAGACTTTGTGATAGCTGGCGCTGGTGACGGTGAGTAGCGCCTGTTGAGCTGACGGCACGAGATCTTACAGAAGCTGCACTTGCTTGGCGTTCGAGATTTTCCATGTCCTGCTCACCAAATGAATACGGGCGGCTGTTGGAACTCAGGTAGTATGTTGGTGGTGCATCTCTCCACCGTTCATCAGCTGCGGTACGCTGAGGCTGTGGTGGCAATGTATTTGGATCCGGGACACAGGGGTTGCATAACCGGACTTTCGTGCCCCCAAACTGTGGGAGGTGATCTATATCACGACCCGCCAGTGGCGCTATAGGAAGTGTTGTTGCTGGTCCAGATACAGGTGGCTGGACTATAAATTGGTACGGGATCGTTATGCGATGAGGCGAACAATTAGCACAAACAACTCTTCCGCATTTCCTAGTCTGAATTAGTACGTCTTAACTTCTCCCCCAACCTGTTAGGAGTACTTGCCTGCAATGGTGCTTTCTGATAAAAAAGCTGAATTGTGTTCGACAAATAGGGCAGTATGTTACCTCCGCATCAGGCTGCCATCGTGGGGGACCGACAGTATTAGCTGTAGCTTCATCGCCATCCGTGTCTGCTGTGCTTGTTACTATATCATGTTCTGGTGTGCTTGCTACTACATCATGTTCATCTCGCTGACTAGTTAATGGCCTTCCTTGCTCCGAATCAGACTCGCTCCTTTGCACATCTCGAAGGTTCCTGGTGGAGCAAGTTGTTCCATCTGACTGGCCATTATCAATATTTTCAGCAGTGACCGAACCCCCTATGTCTTCCGTCTCTAGGGTCTCCGCTTCGGCGGATGTGGGCGGTTGTGCAGGAATGTCGCCGCCCTGATCCAGGGGTAATGATAAAATGCCGGGTTCCACCGGAGTCGCATGACTGCTTGGTACGCCATTCCCTGCATCATCGTCGGTCACAGTTTGGCCCTGTACCGCCTCCTGATTGCTTAACGACGGTGTTAATGATGGCACATTCGAAGTCGATGGCTGGCTTGCGGGGGGTGTTGGGTCGGCTTGGATGCCCAAGCTTTCATCTGCGAGGCTTAGCCTCTGCAAGGCGGGGCCATCATCGCTTTGTATATCTGATATATTGGCAGGTTCAATATCTGCTCTTATAGGTTCGGTATCTGCACTAGCAATCGCTGGGTCTTCCTCGTCCCTCCGTATAGGCTCAATGTCTGTATTGGCAGCCACTGGATCTTCCTCATTCGCCATCAGGCCCCTCGGCTCCTCCTCTCCCAAGATATTTGGTTCGGCAGTATCGATAATCGGTGCTTGGGGCGGGTCGGCTGAGCCTTCGTCGGCCTGTGTCGCCGACACCTGCAGTCCAATCTCCCTAAACCTGCTGGTTTGAAAGCGGGCTCGCAGCTCCGCTTCGCTAGTCATTAGGACCCAGGGAGCTCGCCTTCCCTATTGTCGTGTTTCTTTAGAAAAGCTTGTGATATGCAGTATTCTCGGCGGACCCTCAGCGCCACTGAGTAACACTATTAAGTACCGTTCGAGGTCGGCTTTAATGGAGTTCGGCTCCCTCGTAATGCTGTAGGCAGCCACAGTGTTAGCCGGCAGCTTCATAGGATAGATAGCAGTGGGAAGAAAGTACTTCAACAAAGCCTAAATAGCTGGATTACATAAATGAATCCCCATAGACCCCTAGTTGGTTTGAGATTCTGGCGATTGTGGTGTAATCCGAGGATTTAGACGCCCCACTACGAGCACGGTCTCTGGTCGTCTCCTGCAAGCCTTTCGACGGCTATCTCCTTATCGTTATAAGATTTAACGACAGATAATAGAATATTCATCAACATATCACAAGGCATTTACGAATATCTCGAACTATGGCGCCAAATATTGTAGGATGTCGTGTGGCTACCCGCCAAGGGAGCGAGGCTTCGGCTGACGTTTGGGCCTTATCGTAGCCTTATCAAACCTTATCAAACGCTAAGGTCTCGCTCACAAAGGTACGGCTACTGAAACTTTACAAGTTCCTGAATAATGCCAATGTCTTCACATCCGTCACGTGGACATGTTATTCTTCTGGCCAATAAAGATAGAACGTGTGAGACCTTTTGACTTTGAATAAAACGAAATGTCTTCTAGGCACTGACTCCTATGATTTTCCGTTTGGGCGGTGAATGTCTTGTACTGACGCTAAAGGTGCACACGGAAAGGCCCGAGTTTGTGGCGAAGTTTGATGACAGTGGAAACGGAACGTTACCTTGACATCCGTTGACATCCTGCCTTTCTTCCCATTTTTTTTGTCATCTTCTGAGCAACTCTCGTTTCTCGTATACAGTTACAGGTGTGTCGTTATTTTTAAGTTTCTGAGCACTTCTTTACATCTGATCCAACAGCCACGTTCATAACGATCTTCCATATCAAAAGCTTATATCCGCAAGACAAAGGGTTGGTGCTTATGTTATAAGGTGTGAGGACGGGGACAGTCAAAGGCACCCAATACTTCAGCTCATAACACTCTTTATTCTGGCCATAGAACCCTCGCTCTTGGGATTCTAGTTATCTCACGGTACTTCTATTCCGTCTATCCGACTCATATCGCCTTCAATGGGTAGCCTGGCTGAGGCATCTACCCTGCCCTTCTGGCAAGTCAATGTCCCTCCGGAGGAACGGGAGGAAGAATGCCCTCCATTCTTACTGAACGCGCGTGGCAAGGATCTAGAGATCCTTGGCACCTCGGAGTATCAACGCATGACTTGGCCTGAGCTACAAGGACATATATCCCAGAATCGTCTCGACGTCCTCCAACGCACGCCTATCGAGCTCCGGCGATACTTTGCTTTCAATTATGAGATTAAGATGAAGTACGGCAGCGTCATGAACTTTGTGCTGGGGGAGAAGCTGCATTGGACACACTCCATTGTGACAGATGGAAAGCCGTTCGAGAAGGACTCGGATCTGTCTATCAAGTGGAATGATTGGCCGTATGGCATCGATGAACGCATTTCTCATCTTGTTGTGTGGACGAAGTTTTCATTAGAAGAAGATCCCAAGATGGGGGGGGATCTGACGGATAGACAGAGGAAGCAAATCGATGATTACGTTGAGAAGACGTTTAGAGTTCATTGTGGAAACGATAATGTGAGTCATTCTCATGCACTCGTCGTTTGATGAAATAAATGAATTAGGGACTTGCTGTGGGATCAACTATTAGGTGATACTAACCTTCAGATAGGTTATATGGTTTAGAAACTGGGCTAGCCTTAAAAGCGTGCACTCCGTGGAGCATTTCCATGTCATGCTATTCAATGCAGACCAGATGTTCCTGGACAGGATCACAGACGGAGATGTGCCAATATCACAGACGGTCTAATGGCCTCGAAGAGAGCGATCGCGAAAGATAATGTGTTTAATCATAGATGATGTGCATAGATTGGCATTGGGATGGATGCCGAAAGAGCAATAGATTAGACTCCTTCGCTATGGATGATGGAAGCAACTTTTGACCATTCTGCTACTGTGGCCTAAAACTAAATAATATAGAAGCAGAATCCCACTCCAAATGCAAAAGTATGTAAGATCTCGCATAATAATACCATTCCCTGACCAGCCTTTGGACTTCCACGACTGTCCAACGTCAGCCTTCTAATATAATGCCGTATATGACCCACCGTTGCCCTAGTGGAAACCGGTCATCTGTTGTTTATGCTTCTTTGGCATCTCGCCTCCGTTTAATAGTAGTAATCTGTTACCAGCGAGACCGGTACTGTTATGTCCCAGCCTGCACATGATATGGATCTGGCTCTCCGCGAGTAGCATCTACTGCAGAATCATTTCGGCTCATCCCTGCATCTGATGGTCTCCCGGATGATCTCCGGCCTGGGCACCGCTGCTATCGCCCGGGAAGTTATCTAAAATCCAGCTATCAAGCCTGCCTTGATACGGAAAAGGGACCCTCGACTCAACGCCTGTGTTCCACGAGAGCCATTCCTCCCAAAGGGTCTTGGAAGTGGTGTCGATCGCAGGATTTGAACTTCGGCTGACGGTCACAATTGGAGCCTCTGCAAACGTTGTTGCGCTAGGTTTAACAAGTGAGACTCTGACATCGCTGAAAGGCTCTCGTGTTGTGTATGGGAAGATGAAGTGCTTGATAATCCGGTTGACGAGATGTGCTGCCAATGATTCAAGAGTCTCGAAAGCGGATTCCTCAATAGACTGGTAAACCGTTAGCATGAGAAATAACCATCAAAATCAAATTATATACCTTCACCACAATCTGTTCCAGTTCATTATAGTGATCTTGGCCCACAACAACATATGGGTCGATTTCAACAGTGGCAATGACCATTTGCTTGGCTAGTCGCTCGTTTGGATTTAAGCCGATCAAAGTGGGAATCTTGATATTCTCGAGCTTCAAAACTGCGGAGTATGGCGCAGACTGGTTAACTCGATTGCCAGGGAGATATCCCGCAGTGATGGTGAGGCTAACGCCTTCGCTCAGGAGAGTACCCTTTGGCAGTCGCAAGGTCATTTCCATTTCTTGTAGGGTGTCCATGCTCAAGAGGGGATGCTCATACAGGGGCCCATCCACAAGACACGGGCATCCTCCTCTGATATATGAGTGTGCGAGTGCTGCATCTGGGACGCTACCGTTGGCGCGTCGTCCGGTGAGATATACGAAAATCCAGTTTATAAGATCAGCTACATTCCAATCAATTTCCAACCCAGGCCAACCTGCGAGGGGTCCTGGATCGTCTCTGTTTGCCCCGCGACTTGACAAGACTTTCAATATTGTCTTACTCAGCGTGCTATAGTTGACAGTTCCGTCATCAAGTCTGTCGTTTTGCGCTGCATAATCGAATCTGTTGCGCAACGATATCTTCGCAGAGAGTAGCATTGGCTGAAACCTGTTGCATCGACCTTTTGGGTCCTTTCCGCCCCAGATATCTGTTCCAACAAGGGCGTTGCTGGCAAGATTTCGCACTTCAATTACAGAGTGGTTGCTTGAGTAGCCCGATGCGATCATTATCTCTCGGTATTTTGTAGCACTGAGAGGGCTAGTTAGGAGCTGCGCACGGCCAGGGCCATTTCGTCCCATCGCGCTATTGCCCTGCTGTCCTCTTCCAACGGGCCGTATTGGAGTTTGTTGTTCCCCGCCAGCTACAAGGGCTTTGGCGTCAGATCGCCGTTTCCTGGCGGGAGGGATGACCGTGCCATCTTCTGTCACTTGCGCGCGTTTGAGCGATGAGTAGATGTTGTATATATCGTGAGGCAATAGATCAGGATTAAGAGTTTGCCGTAAAATGGTTACAGCCTGGCGTGGATGAACACCTGCAAAACATAATTAGAATCTCTACTAGTGAGTCGCGACGCAATACACCATACCATTAACTTGAAGCTCGCGGACTTTTTGCATCGCCTCTTGGTTTAGCCGGCGATGTCCAGAATGCGCCGACGTTGAATCGCTCGGCGGGTGGTTATGTGTTCCATAGAACTCGGAGGGCCGATATCGAACCTCCCAGCCGGCATTGTCCTTCAATTGGACCCCCAAAAACGAGAATTGGCAGTCTGTTCGATGGCTCATGTCCTTGCGTTTCCTCTGGGGTGTGGATTCGTCTTGATTGGGTTGCGCTGGCTTGGGCTTTTTACACCTGTCGCATGCGTACGTGACAGTTTTACGGTCATTATGAGTGGTGCTTCTCAGCTTAACAAAGCACTGGCCAGTACTCCTGGCATGAGTTTGTATGGCATCAAAGAGCTCATCTTCCGAGTTATATATTATCGTGGCTGGCAGCGAGAGGAGAACCGGTGACATGTGGTTCCCGCCAAAGTTATTATTATTGTTCGTGGAGACCACAGGTGTCGCGGTTGAGGGAGATGGCGACGAGGATTGCGAATCAGACTCGGACATCGCTGCGGATGAGGTTCATCTATTGCAATACGATTCTTTTGGTGAAATGGTGGTGTACGGCAGAATCTCGTGAGCCGGAGTGATATAGTGATGAGGTTGGTTGGGATGGGGCTGTCGCGAAGCTCTAAGAATGGGTGATTTCTCCGTTCGACCTGGACAGGATAGGCAGGCGGTGTGTCGCGTGCGCTCAGCCTTGTCAGGTTCAGCCCACTTTCCCTCGTCCACAAGCAGATGATATGCGAGGAGGAACACAGTTACTCAGCAAGAGTTGCATCTTATTTGCGTAGGTCAACTGTGTCAAAGTCGGGCTCTTTGTCCCTACAAAAGTAGTTCTATTGTTTACTTGTAATACTCCTTTACCCACCCATTATCATGAGATTATCAGATAACCTAAAACGAACGCCAGGCTCCGTCCCTACCAAATATCCCTTCATACCATTATTTAGAACGCCGATGCCTACTTTTTATTGTTTTTTGTGCATACTGGACATATCCACGTCCCAACCGGCTCACTCTTTAAACCGACACACGGCCAATGGAACCATTCGAAAGGACATTCGTCGTTGTCGCATGCCACCATATCGCCAAAGCTAACCTTCTGGCAAAGACAGTACTTTTTGTCATCGCTGCCTTCATCTTCTTCACCTTCAAACATCTCCTCGTCGGCACCCTGGTGCTTCTTCACAGGAGGCGGTGTGGCAACGTCGTCCTCGTCTGCCAACGAACCTGTTTCGGCATCACTCAGCTCGCTATCATTTGTGGAAGACGGGGAGTTCTTATTGCCAGTGCGCTTAACGCGACTGAGCCCCGACTTTCCAGGTTTTGGTTTATGTGGTGCAATACCTTGCTTATGAGGGGCAACCTTTTTCCCAACCGTAGGTGCCTTCGGCCCTCCTCGAGGGCCAACACTACCAGCCCTTGTTGCCGATGGAGTCCCGGCCTTTGGCGTTCCAGGACCTGTCGACGCATGCCGAGCCAGCCCGCTTGAATTTGCTGGGAGAGTGCCTAACCCGCCTGTGGTTCGCTGGCGCTTGTTCGCAGCACCAGCTGACGACTCCCGTGACTGCCTCTGGAGAAGAAGAGCAGCTGCTGGAGTTGCAGGTGCAGAGGAAGATATGTGCGAAATCCCTTGCTGGGCCTGAATTTGCGCCGAGCCTACCCTTTGTGCGCCAAGTGGTTGGGTCGTCGGACGAGACGGTCCACTGTTGGCAGACGGCGGAGGCAGCTGGGCTTGAGCCAGCGAAGCTGTGTTCAGACTTGGATGATTCACAGGTGGCTCAGCGGGCGGGCGGAGAAGTGACGGCATATCAGAGTCCGCTGGAAACTCTCCTCTTTCCTGCAGCGACAAGATCTGCAAGTCAAAATTTCGGATGTGCCTATCAAGTGTCTGTTGTGTTTTTAATGCCAGCGCGCATTTCTCTTCCTGTAATATCTGGGCTTTATCGTAGTTTTCGAGTATCTGCTTTCGAAGGACAGCCTCTTTCGGATTTGGTGTAAGGCTTCCATTGGTTCTTATCCATTTCTGAATGCTCGCATCGCGACTATTGATTACATCCATGCACAGTTGAATCTGGCGATCCTTATCGGCTGTCTCCTCTTGCAAAAACTGAAGCTCGGCGGGAAGGTTGGACGCGCGGTTAACAAAGTCGTCGAGGACGGTCATCGGGTCATTTTGCTCTTGCCCAAGCCCTGGCGGCATGTTGTCGAAGTGGGCGTTGATCGAAAGATCGTCTCTAGGCATAATGTGTTAATACCGATAAGGCACTCAAGAGGTCTCTGTGAACAGTGGGAGTGGGGGGATACGTGGGGGGGCTTACCTTAAATCAAAGTCTTTAGGAGGAGTTTGTATAGATTCACTCCGGTCGCGACTGCCGGCGATGGGAGTTGATGGTGAAGAGAAGGAAGTGACGACCGTGAGTGGGACAACAAGTGAGGTACGCAAGGTAAGTTTTAGTTAATCGGACGATTTGCGGGATTCATCAGCCTTGCCGATGGCAAGGGCGGGGAAAACCGAGTGAACAGTCCTCAAAATTATGCAAGCCTATATTTCAAGGCTTCAATCTACCACTCCCACTCTTGCCGCCCATAACTCCGAAGAGGGACTTTGCACAGCTGAGAATTTATGTCTATAATAAAAGCTTGTAGAATTTCTTCCTTTAGTTGAAGTCTTCAGTAACTAGCTAAGTGGAACGTCCTAAGAATTGCCAGAGTCAAAAGGGGACAGTTCACTCGGCTCCTAAAGAAACAACGGGAGGGCTAATCGCGCTAAATAACTTAAGGTTTGGCGTTGACTAGCCGCTTATGGAACCACCCAAGCAGAGTTTCAAGAGATCGAAGGTCGAGTCGCAAGGCACGAAATACATACGACGTACATAATATATCAATATTGCCATCAAGAGAACTTCTTCATCTCGCATCTCCCTGCAGCTTAGTATTGCCGTACCATACACACACCTACACCTCTCAGCCACATCACATTAGACAGATCACAGGGAGTCCCGCCCGCCACAGAACGAATATCACGTGCGGCACATAGACCTGGCGGTGGCGGCGAAGATCGAGGAGGCCTCGCCCAGGAGAGAAGATGGTGATGCCAACGAACACTATTGTGCAGAATTACGGGCCACCGTTTGCAGTGCACGGTGATGTGGACAACCTGAAGTTCTCGCGCCAGATCAAGGAGGAAGCGATCAGGAATGGCATCAAGAAGCCTAAAGGATACACTGTGTCTTGGCACTTAAATCCCGAGATTGAGAGGCATCACTTTGGACGTTCGCATCCTATGAAGCCATGGCGGTTAACGTTGGCGAAGGGCCTCATCACATCATATGGCATGCACTATGCCATGGACTCGTACGTCTCAAGGAAGGCCACACCGGAGGAACTGGCGGAATTCCATACGCAGGACTACTTGGACTACTTGAAGACAGCCATGCCGTGTGAACCGGTTTCATACCCAAGTCATCCCCACAATCTCGGTGGCGACGATTGTCCTATATTCGAAGGCCTGTTTGATTACTGCTCGATGTATGCCGGAGCATCCATAGACGCTGCCAGAAAACTTTGCAACCATCAGTCAGATATTGCCATTAACTGGTCAGGTGGTCTACATCACGCAAAGAAATCAGAGGCTTCCGGTTTTTGCTACATGAACGATATCGTTCTTGCGATCCTGCAGTTGTTGCGCCACCACCCGCGTGTGCTGTATATTGATATTGATGTCCATCATGGTGATGGCGTCGAAGAGGCGTTCTCCTCGACCGATAGAGTGATGACCGTGTCATTCCACAAATACGACAAGGACAATTTCTTCCCTGGCACTGGTCCTCTCAACAGCACAGGCCCAGAAGATGAGCATAACCCTGGCGCCCACCACACAGTTAACGTCCCCCTCAACGACGGTATAGACGATGAGCAATACACTTCCCTCTTCAAAACCGTCATCCAGAGTTGTGTCGACCGGTTCCAGCCTTCAGCAATTGTCCTACAATGTGGTGCCGATTCCCTTGCCGGCGATCGTCTTGGGCCCTTTAACCTCCAAGTCCAAGGCCACGGCGCCTGCGTCGCCTTCTGCAAGTCTTTGCGCCTGCCCCTCCTACTCGTCGGTGGCGGCGGGTACACTCCTCGCAACGTCGCCCGCGCCTGGACCAACGAGACCAGCATCGCTATCGGCTGTGACGCGACGCTGAACCCAATTCTCCCGAATCACACGCCCTACCGCAACCACTTCCGGCAAACGACCCTCTTTCCCACCCCGGATGAGCTGCTCACGGAGAGCCGCTTGAACCGCAATACCCCAAAGCGCATCGCAGAGATCGTGGCGAGTATTAATGAGGAGCTTCGCTTTGTGAACCACGCGCCGAGCGTTCAGATGCAAGATATACCGCCAGATTTAACGGGGCTGAGGGATGAGGTCGAAGATGAAATAAGAGAGAATCGGGAAGACAAGGATGAGGACTACCGGAAAGAGAAAGAGGAGGCGGTTGGTGTAGATATGGAGTTGTGAGGGCCCGGCTAGGCTAGGTGGGATTTTCAGCTGGAGTTTGGGGTTACGGCCACCGCATAATACAGAGCGGGACATGGGGTTGGAGTTGCAACTGTCGTATTTTGTTAGGTCAATATCGTTCATCTAGACTCGAGTTTTTGACAACAGCGCCTCAAGCTATTGGACATTCTTGGCATCGAAGTAGCAAGTAACTGATTATCTTGCCATGACGAAACATAGTATTACTTACTGTAGAAAATTTATTAAAATTTATTGTCTTAATTTAAATATTTACTTGCAGTATTTAAGGTTGGTGGAGGCGACACTTCAAACTCCATTAATGGCTCAACTAGCCTGACATTTTTGGTATTTGCATACGCTTATATGTAACTCTATGCTGCAGCTCCTGCAGACGCTTCTACGTACGTTACAGCCTCCACAGCCTCTACTTTTAGGGCCTCTGTTTTCTGTGTTAAGGCACCTACATCCGCCTGGTTCGCAATGCGGCGTTTGATCTCCTCTACCAAGTTGCTGATCTCTACCACAACGCCGTCCTTATCTGGGTGGTCTTGGGGGAGATGGAGTCCCAACTCCTTAATCTTGACCTGGTTCTTCGCGAACTCATCCTCGCCAAAGATGACACCAAACGGCACACCATTATCCTCTGCCGCCTTGAATTGTTGTTGTAGCTTTGGCTTAACCTTGTACATGAATTCGGCCTTACCGTAGAGTTAGCAAAAGGGCCATTACACAGTGTGGACATCTAGCACGTACCTTAATGCCAGCCTTCCATAGCTGAGCGCAGATGGCCATACGTTCTTGTAAGAGGCCAGTGAAGCCCTTACCACCAACTGCCATTACGTAGACATCAACCTCGTTGTTTCGCACCTTAACATCATTCTTCTCCGCCTCCATCCTTGATTTTGTGATTGAGAAAATACGGTCGACGCCGAAAGATATTCCAACACATGGGATTTGATTCTTCCCGGAGAACATGCCGACAAGGTTGTCATATCTGCCACCAGCGGCAACACTACCGACGCCTACACTAGGATCATTTGATCGGTCCTCTTCGCCATCCGCGCCCTTTGACTTCGATGGCTTCTTGGACGGACTAGGAGGTGCTGCCGTAGCTGCAGATGTTGTAGCTAACGTGACTGGCGCGGAGCCAGGCGCAGAGCCTTCCGTAATAACCTCATATATGAGGCCGGTGTAGTAGTCTAGGCCTCTAGCCAAACTAAGGTCGAACAAAACATTGCTGAGCGCATCAAAAGACTTAAGATAACTGAATAGGAGATCCATGTCTGCCAATCCGGCCTTCATGGATTCGTTGGCCATTAGCTTCTCATCAGCCTTGAGCTTAGTTAATAAGTCGGTTTGTCCCTTTAGTACAACATATTCGCCAATCTTGTCTGCGATCTCTCCATCGAGACCTTTTTCTTCAGTCATCTCCTTGCGTACATCGGCCCAGGGCAGCTTATCAAGCTTGTCAACCGCAGACGAGATAGTACGGATTTTGTCTTCTGGAACACCGCACACCTGGAAAATACCGTCCAAAATTTTGCGGTGGTTCAACTTAATTGTGTAGCGGCCGTCCCATCCCAAGCCAGTGAAGATTTCAGTGGTGATTTTCACAATCTCCGCGTCGGGGAGCATGGCGTCGTATGTCCCAGCAATATCGAAATCGCATTGGTAGAATTCTCTCATCCTGCCCTTGGTCATGGCAGGTTGGTCACGTCTGTAGACCTTTGCTATGTGATAGCGCTTGATGCTCTGGACCTCTCTGTTCATGGCTAACCACCTAGCAAATGGTACCGTCAAATCGTATCGGAGCGAGCAGATTTCGCCACCTTGGTCGGCCAGGTCATAGATGAGCTTGCTATCTTCTCCATATTTGCCAGACAAGATTTCCTTCAGTTCAAATACTGGTGTATCTATAGTGACAGCTCCGTGGCGCTTAAAGACATCCGTAATGGTGGAGAAGATCTTGTCGCGAATGACCATATCAGTTCCCTGCCCTGTATGATATTAGTGACCGGACAAGGCCGCAGACCAAGGAACAGTTACATACAGTCTTTTGTCCCCTTTGGCGTCTTCAGCTCAAACTTGGGAGCTTTCGGAGCTTTGGGGGCTCTAGGAGCCTTGGGAGCCTCGGGAGCCTTGGGAGCCTCGGGAGCCTTGGGAGCCTCGGGAGCCTTAGGAGTTTCGGAAGCCATATCTAAAGACTCTTGAGAGAGTTCCGGTGTTGATGGCGAGTGTCGATAGTGCAGGTAGCTGGTCGTAACCGTAAAAGAAGCAGCTTGCTGTAAAATTCCGTGTCGTATGAAAGGCCGTAAAGATCGTGAGATGGGGTTCCGAAGGCACTTCATTCGAGAGTCATGTCCTTTAAAACGTTGTGGTATTTTGTGACTCGAGCGGTTACTGCAAGGCTGGGTCTACTTTTTTTGATGCGCGCCCAATGGATAAGGTTGTATGTAGCCTGAGGTTTGGGCCCCTAAAGGTCCGGTTACCGCGACTGTCAACGATTTCGCTTCCCGTGACGGAGGGTTCAGTGCCAAAGCTCCACGACGCGCCTAGTGTACATGAGAATATACGCAATCTAAGTTTCGCGGAGACACGCCACTTTACTCTACAACATTGTTTACAACACCTCCAATACATATACGATATCCGTCTCTATGCATTGCCTCTAATAAATATAACTCTATCACTACTCAACAGGCGGTACATCGTTCGCCATGAACGACACGACTCTTCCAAAACTCCCTTCTGCCACGGGACAAGATGCTCCACCAACAGCAGCATCTGAGCGCGTTTTGAGCGACAACGATGTTTTCCCGTTTCTTGTGCATTCCCAAGAGTCAGTGACAAACGGAGGGCCACCAGAAGTCGATAATGGCAAGCTGGCGCGCCAGAAGAGAAGGCGAACAAGGTATGTTTACGACTTAGACTACGCCTCCGGCACACTTTAGAGATGCCCTTTCTTTGAGGGATACGCATTAGAACACCTGCTAACGTGCTACCCTAAAGCCCAGAAGACCAAGCTACCTTGGAAGCAGAGTACAAGAGGAACCCAAAGCCCGACAAAACAGCGCGTCTGGAAATCGTGAAGAGTGTCGCTCTAGGCGAGAAAGAAGTACAGGTTAGTTGGAGGTCGACCTGATGTCCAAATCCGGCGGACACAATCTGAGACAACAACTAACAACATAATCAGATTTGGTTCCAAAATAGACGCCAAAACACAAGAAGAAAGTCGCGTCCACTTCTGCCACATGAGATTGCTGCATTTGGACTTGGTGGCATGGCGGCTCTATCATCCGACCCTATACTCGCCAGCACGTTTGGGAGCAGTTTTGGTAGTAGCCAAGGCTCTGACCAAGTACCAGCCAGCCCCGAGACGGAACAAAATGCCCTTCCCGTAACGCATACGGAGGGACCCGAGCAAGCCTTCCCTGGCACACCGTCCCCAGCGGCTACTTCTGATAATAACCTCCACGGCAGAGGTCCCACTATGGAGGCTTCCCAGCCAACTATTACTCCTCTTAAGGCGAATACTAGCTTCCAATCTTCGGAATCTTTTGATAGTTCCTTTTCCGCTTCCCAAGGGCTTCCTCAATCCTTACCCAGTACCCTCGGATACCTTTCCAATCGTTGGAATGCAGGAAGCTCTTTCGGCAACCCGCCAACCTCGCAAACACCTGATTTTATGACACCCTTAAGGTAACCATCGCTCCTAGGATGTTTAAGTAGCAACTAACTAACTTTTTCTTTAGCTTTGACCCGCAGCTCCCATCATCATGCCCAGAGCGTCTAAATGCTTCAACAATCTCGACGCCCTCATCAAATGTGCGTCTCTCGCTTTCTCTAGACGGCAAAGCTGAGCTTGTCTCAACCGAGCTCTCTTCATCCCCGCCGCGTCCTCAGCAATCTCGCCCATCTTCCGCACTGTCTAGTGCTCGTCGTCATAGTGGTGGCCTCCAACGCAGCCAAAGCACCGCCCTTCCGTTCACCTCCATCTCTCCCCGCGACGCCCCATCGACGCCCTTTGTTCCCCGCCTCCCTACTGGTCGCTCCCGTGACGCGCGCACCTGGGAGTTCTGCGCTGACGCCGAGGCACGCGACGAACTTACCACACAAGCCGAGAATGAGAGCAGTGGTAGTGCAGTAGCTGCCATTAGTCTGATCCGCTCAACTAGTTCTACGGCCCTTAAGTCTAACGCGAACAAGCGGAATGCCCCAAGCGGAAATAGCGAGAAGCAGCGCAATGGAAGTGGCAAGAAGCCTATGCTGGTTAAGGCAGTGAGTAGCCTGGCCGTAATGCAGACTGTAGGCGGTAAACCCCGCAAAAATGCCACGAAGCCAAAAGAGAAGGATGTTGTGGTGCTCGTTCAAAGCCCAGGTGGAGAGAGTGACAAGGAAAACTGGATTCCAGGTGAAGGCAACGAGGGCAGCCAGACTAGACGACCCCTGCCAAGCCACCGTCCAAAACTCATCCGTACAAAGGTACTTGGGAACGCGAAGTCGTTCACGGGAGGGAACAGCTCAAATGTGGGCAGAAGCAGGACTAAGACCACAAAGTCTGTGGAAGCTGAGATATTTGAAGATCCAGAGGATGAGGTTGTTGATGTGGAGGTAGAGAAATTTATGAGGGGCGAAGTTAGTCCGAGTAAAAAGGGGGACTTGGATTGTATCCAAGGACTCCTCAGTCTGAGCCAGGGGAACTGGAGGTAAAGCACTGAGTGCTAAGTGGTAACGAGACGATATGCTATTGTCTGGGTTCTGTTGGATGGAGGTTTGATGTTTGATTCCTGTGTATACTGGCGGTGGTGTTCTGGATAGGACGGTTAGGTAGCATGTTTTGAGTGTTCGGCTCGTCTTTGTTTAATGAGCTCTCGCTTGCGATATAGTCTGTTAGATTCCACGCCTGAATACATGGCAGTCACAAAATCTTAAGATACATATCCGATATAAAATCCCATCTGAAAGGTTACTATGCTATGAGATCCCCTCATCCCAGCGCACACGGGTATAAATAACCGTACATAATCAACGAAGATGCAAATCATGTACCATAATGAAACAAACCGCTCCCCCTTACCTTTCCAATACCGTTTCCTTCCAGTTTACCATTTCTCCCTCCCGAAGACGCCTACTTCCACTCTAAAAGCTCTTCTTCTTAGCATCCTGCTCGTTCGCCTCCGCCTCAATCGCCTTAGCCTGTTCGGCTTCCTTCGTCTCTCTTACTTTTGCCATAACCACCTCCCTGAATATCGACTGCTTCGCAATCGCACTCAGACTCCTCTTACCCTCTGGAGACGCAGGTGGCCAGGGATCCAGGCTCCCACTGGAAGACCCGGCAACAGGAGCAACCGCAGCCGCCTCAGAGTTTTTGGGTAAATCGGAATCTGCAGGTGCCTCGTCTTCGTCGTCATCCTGCATCTTAAGTGCCTCGATGCGGTTTGCGAGCTTGATAATCTCGATACCGCGGCGGAGACGTGCCTTCGCCATGTAGGCTTTGATCTCGGGCAACAAATTGTGGTCGGTGGCGTTCTTGCCGCTGAGCCATGGGTTACGGAGCGCTTCCTGTTACCGTGTCAGTAGTGTCAAACTTCGATACGTGGCGACAGATAGATGGGCATAAGACTTACGGCGCTTGTTGCTCTGGCATCGGGGTTCGCCTGGAGAAGGGAGTTGATGAAATTCTTGGCATCGTCGCTGACGTCCTTCCAGTATCGCTCGTGGAAGACGATCTTCGAACTCGAACACTCCTCAATTAAATCTTGCAGGTTCTCACTGCGGAATGGAGAGTAGCCACATAGAAGAGTATATGTGATGACCCCCAACGACCACATGTCCACGGGCTTGCCATGACCTTTCTTAAGCATGACTTCCGGAGCTGCATAGCCGAATGAGCCTGCCATGGTAGTTAAAACTTCATCCTTAGTGTCAAGCATCTTGGCGATGCCAAAGTCGGCAAGAACAAGGCCTGAGTTGGAATCCGAGGTGAGATAGAGTAGGTTTTCTGGCTTGAGATCTGTTTTTACGTCAGCTTCGTCACAAGTCCCAAGGTGTTCGGATTATTATACCCCTGTGGACGACGTTCTTCCCATGTAAATAGTCGACCGCTTCGATTACCTGGCGTATGGTCTGCGATGCATCCTTCTCGGTGAATCTCCCTTGCTCGCAAATACGGTCGAAGAGCTCACCCCCCGTCGCCAGTTGGGTTACAATGTAGTACTTGTCCTAATTGCCCGCCAAGTCAGCAATGCCTATCAATGATGGAAGTCTGAATGCGTACCCTTGACTCAAACCAATCGACAAATTTGACAATATGCGGGTGGTGCATCTCTCGGAGCATTCGCAGCTCGTCGATCACCATCTGCTCGTTTCCCTTGACATTCTTCTTGAGAATTATTTTAATCGCAACCTTCGTGCCATCATGGCATGTGGCCTCTCTAACGATTCCATAAGTCCCAGCACCAAGAGTCCTCCCAAATTTGTATTTGGACCTGTGTCTGTCGTCAGCGCCGGCCAATTATGAATCGTGGTAGGGCTACTTTTTATCGTACGTCTCAGGCTGACCCTGGATCTTGTTCAACATAGTCGAGACTGTGCCCATGATGGTTAGCAGAGATTCATTTATAAAACCTTTTTACAACGTGGATGGATATGGATACAGGCGGGCAAGTACGCTCGTCTGCGTCACAGGTTGAGTGAGGACAAGGAATGCGACTCACAACTCATTTTGACTTTAGGAGTAGTTGCGACAACGAATCAAACGTGCGAGATAAACTGCAAATGTTGGTGTGGTGTGTGTGTGTGTGCTGTAACTTTTCGTGAGGTGTTGGGCAGTGAGGCCTAAAAGGCGCGTGAAGTGACAAGAGGGTTTGGAGGAGGGGTCGAGATTGGATAAGCCAATGTCCCCAGAAACAGTATGATCCTAAGCGCGCAAACACAACGGTCTACAAGATGGGAAACTGAGATGGGAAATGTAGTTTATAGAGGCCACGTCCTTCTGAGCAAATCCAGAACAGAACTTCTTTTGGTCGTGTCTGCGGTTTATATATACAGTGGATAGGCAAGTGCTCAGCCCCAGCCGCCGCGGGGTTAGGATGTGGCTGTGATCGGGTCGCTCCCTCGATGCTCCAATGATTGCTGTGGACCAGCCCTGGTGGCCGATGAGGAACTCCACAAGGCGGAATTAACTGTGAGACAACGGAGATTCAATGGCCAACTTGCACTTTCTTTACAATTATCAATTTTAAGTGTATAAGTTATTGCATATACATTTGAGTTTATACAAGACATAAGTTTTCCACGCCCGTCATTTGTTTTAACATGAGAGCTGCCCAGCCAATAGGGAGGCTCCAAGCGCCTCAAAAAATGTATGCTTATGTCAGCCTCTGATGAGGAAGTCGGAGCGGTCCTTGGTTGTTACCTTGCGAGTTTATAATTCCAGCTCTCTTTTGCTCCATGGCCCTCTCCAGTATCCGCTGTTGAGTCGTTCTGACTCTACGAGAATTTCTGAATAAATCTGTTGTTTGCTCAGGATCTGATCTAGCACCAAGATATTTTTCGGGAGTCATATCTGAATCTGATTGCTTTGGCGTATAAAAGCTGCGCCTGGCTTGCGCCTCTTTCCTTCCGCTTCAACAACCTCAACTTCTCCCTTAAGTTAAGAAATACACGCAATACCCACAACTTCCTAAAGATGTTATCAGCTTCTAAGCGTCTGGGAAAGGAGCTTTCAAAGGTACGAACTGTTCTATGCACGAACCAGAAGAGACTAACCGACCCCTGCTCGTCGTTCAGATCCACTCGAACCTACCACCAGGAATAAGCTTAGTCGCTGCGGATGGCTTCGCAGAGTGGTTCATGGATATCCAAGTCCTCGATGCGAATCCGATCTATTTGAATCAAACTTTCCGCCTTAAATTCAAGTTTACTAACGCATATCCAATCGGTACACACGCCGCCACTACCCCCCACTTTGTAACAAATACTGACATATCCGTTGTAGAGGCCCCTGAGGTAACCTTTGTCAAAACTGCAGACCGTCCGATCCCAATACATCCCCACATCTACTCGAATGGCTTTATATGTTTAGATCTGCTGGGAAAGCAGGGATGGAGTCCGGTCCAGAACGTGCAAAGCATCTGCATGAGCATCCAGAGCATGCTAACCGGCAACACAAAGCCGGAACGGCCACCTGGAGACGAGGAATTTGTCAGGACAAATAGACAGACGGCGAGGGATGTCAGCTATATCTACCATGACAACCAAGTGTGATACATGTATATTATGGAAGAGGAGTTCAAGGAAGTTATTTACGCTTAGCGCTGAGCAGAAACGAAGCACAGTCGATGTTACTTGAAACCTCAGCATAAATGTATTGCGAGATATTAGGCGTCTATTATTAGACTTCACGAAATTATGATATGAGCCCATACAACCTGTGTGTGATACCTGAAAACCGTGACTTGAAGTTGAATTATATCCGCGGATAAAAGGCCCAGAGGGCTACTCCCAGCATACACGGCGTATACCCCATGGGGTGTGATATGATCCTTCGCTGAATAAAGTTTTGACTGCGAGCCATGATGGTGGTGACAGTGATTATCCTATTCCAACTACCTCGCAAGACCTCATGGAGCATATTACTACGTGAGATCCTCCATGTAAAGGGGGAAGACGGAGGATAGGGCCGAAAAGCCCCCATCTCCCGCCTGGAAATGCTCACTCACATTGAAGATCTCCATCTTGCCATGGCACCTCAGTAAATCACCGACGTGCTAAAGTCCGTTGGGATCCTGGTTCGAGTTTGGGATAGGAATAAGACGATGCGTTACCCTTCCTCCATCCGACACTACCCTATTTCACCCAGACTCGTGAATAACAGGATTCTAGCTCCCGTAAATATCTGTTTGCCGTCTTCTTTCTGTTACTTCTTCCATCCTACAACTATATCCGATACACTCAACTCGTTTCACCAACTTGCATTCACCATCATCAGTTACAATCACCACAAACAACAAGTTTCACAAGAACAGACTTAACCAAACATCATTCAAAAGAAAGTAACAGGTTCATTTATTGGAACATCTGTGGCCAACTGTGAACCAAAAGAAGACCAGAAGAGAAAACTGTGGGCAGTAGCCATCCAGCAGGATATAAGAACCGCGTCAACACTGAAAGGGTTCCAAATCTGACGTCCAAGTGTTATTTTTGGACGACTGAGCATCTGCTGTTGCTTTCTGGACCATCCCGAGAGAGGTTTGAAGTGGCAAAGAAAGAACCCAGATAAGAATACATGCTGACATAGTCTAGGACAATCTGAAAAGAATCTGGACTGAAGCCAAGCCCACTCATTCTCAGCGACAACGGCTTCTGTGCCACATAGTTCAGACCATATTCATATCCCATTCATTATTATCATTCGGTCCAAGTGCCAAATTCGCCATGTGCGTCAAAGAATTCATCGGCTTCAACTGTGGCCACTGTGCCCTCCCCACACTCCGTGGCTGCCCGATCGTTTCTCAATCACCACATTTCCCTTACTGCCGGTACCCTGCTGAGCGCCCTATCATAGTCACTGAGAATTGCCCCTCATGTGCAAGAGTGGTCTGGAACCAGCGCACGCTGGCTAACGAAGAGTCCCACCGGGAGATGCATTACAGACTTGGGAGGGAAGGGTGTGTATTTGAAGGTGAGAAAGGGGGGTGTGAGACGAGGTTTGATATTGATATTGAGAGAGAACTGGGTGGTGGTGGACGACAGATTCAGCATGCGGGATATGAGAGAATGCTGGCACCAGGACAAATGCAGATCATGGAGATGCCAAGTGGGAATGCAGAGAGAAGTGGAGGTGGGGCAGGAGCGACAACGATGGGACGGAAGGTATCGAAGAAAGACCGCAGAAAGAGCAGCAGAGAAATTGAAGAGGCGATCGCGAGGGTAGAAGCCAGGTTCGCCGCCATAAACATGGAATCAAGCAGACATGCAGCGATTGAAGACGCGCTTCGCAGCGCAGGGCATGCCTACGGGGCTGCTCCTGGCGGCCCAGACAATGACCCCGACCTTTATGCCCAGCAGACACTTTTGGACCGTGCCAGTAGCCTGGAAATGGAAACCGATCAGCAAATGAGCAACTACTACCACAACCCTAGGAACAGTTCTGGGCTTGGTAACGTGTATATCGGTCACCAATTTGGCAATGGGGCGGTTGGACATGAGGCATTGCCCGAGAACGACTCAGGTCCTCAGCTGCACGAAGCTCATCTGCCCGGTGAACGACAAGACTGGGTGCAGAATTATATCGGCACGACAAAATATTACCCAGGAGGAGAGCAGTTCAGAGGCGCATCTTGGGGTGAGATGATTGCTAATGTCAAGTATGACCCTGGCAGCGTGGTGCCCAGGGGCCCCAGAGCCAAACAGTAAGTGCAATCTATGGCATAATGCATTTGCAAAGTTTGTACGAAAGTACATACGAAAAACATTACTTACTGACTACTTACAGGGAAAGAAGCATTCGGTTTCGGGGTGCTGCTCAGCAGTTCAGTTCACAGATGTTGCCTTCAAACTTCAGCGACCCGGCTCTGGGCGCTCCAACTGTGGACGGTTTTCACGGTGGTCGGTCAATACTGTCTGAAGGAATAGGTGCAGCCGCACGGCAACCTGAGCCCTACGCACCCCCAGCGGACCCTCTCACAAGTGTTAACCATCCAGTATTTGATGGCCTAAATGAGTACTCTCCACCAAACCGACCATATCGAGGCCCAGCCATTGTTAACAGCGACATGGCCAGCACAGGATATACCTGAAGGGCACGAGTCTGAAATACATTGTAAGTGCACAAAAACAGTCTAGATGTGATGATTGAGTTGCTTGGCTGATGACCTAATAAACACAGATATATACAAATACTCGAACTGTTGCACCATTCTATTTCCCAGCTGTACAAACGCGGCCGGTTGACCTCCTCCACACATCACGCCTCTCTTAACGATCAACTACGATTTGTTAGTATATTTGTACCGCCATATGTGTGCGAAACTTACCCTCTCCGAACACCAAATCCATCGTTCCAATGATCGCAACCGCATCAGCCAGAAGATGGCCTCTTGAAACCTGGTCGAACCCTCCGAGATGGGCAAATCCTGGAGCGCGAATCTTGCACCTGTATGGCCTCTCGCTTCCATCACTGACAAGATAAACTCCCATCTCTCCCTTGGGTGCCTCAATGGCTGAGTAGGTCTCTCCTGGTGGCACGGTATAACCTTTTGTGAAGAGCAAGAAGTGGTGGATCAGGGCTTCCATGTTCTCCTTCATGGCAGCTCTGGGTGGTGGCGAGACCTTGTAGTCTTCCACTCTGATTGGTCCCGCTGGCATCTTGTTGAGGCATTGGTGAATGATGCGGAGGGACTGTCTGAATTCCTCCATGCGGCAGAGATATCTGTCGTAGCAGTCTCCGTTGACACCGACTGGAACATCAAACTCAACCTGGTCGTACGCGTCATATGGCTGGCTCTTGCGGATATCCCACGGTACGCCGGATCCGCGAAGCATAACACCGGTGAAAGACAAGTTCAAAGCATCGGCAGCAGACACAACTCCAACGCCCTTTGTGCGGCCAATCCAGATTCGGTTATCCGTCAAAAGCTCCTCCGTCTCATCAATGCGATCGGCGAACTGCGTTGCCCATTGGTAGATATCGTCGAGTAGGCCGATGGGGATATCTTGGTGGACACCTCCTGGACGGACGTAGGCAGCGTGGAGACGGGCGCCAGACACTCTTTCATAGAATTCCTAACTTGTATATTAGTGCCATTCATATGCAGCGATGACATTAGACATAGAACAAAAATAGACCAGTATCTTACCATGAGCTTCTCTCTCTCCTCGAACCCCCACAAGAAAGGCGTAAGGGCACCAACGTCCATGGCGTGAGACAACACAGACATCAAGTGGTTGAGAATACGCGTAATCTCTCCAAAGAGGGTTCTGATCCACTTGGCACGCTCTGGAATCTCAACATTGAGAAGCTTCTCGACTGCCAGGGAGAAACACTGCTCGTTGGTCATCATGGAGACGTAGTCCAAACGGTCGAAGTATGGCAGTGCCTGAAGGTATGTCTTGTACTCGATCAACTTTTCGGTTCCTCTGTGTAATAACCCGACGTGAGGATCCGATCGCACAATCTCCTCTCCATTGAGCTCGAGAATCAGTCGCAACACTCCGTGAGCAGCTGGATGTTGAGGTCCGAAGTTGACTGTGTAGTGTCTAATCTTCCTGTTCTCCACATTCTCTCCCTCCCGGTGAGTTTCCTCCGGGGTGATATTGGCAGCTATATCAGCATCCCGCGGTGCTGGCGAGGTGAAATTGTCCCCAACAGCTACCAGTCGTGTTGCTTGATATGGCTCCGCGTTCCTCCGCGGTGTCGTTGCGAAAGACCGTGTTGTTGCAGGTGCGGCAAGCTTGGACGAAGGGGATGCGCGCATACACAGGCGCTTTGCGCTCTGGCCGGCGAGCCTATATAAGGAGGATGTCATGGTGATCAATCCCACAGGTAGGCTCACTCCTCGTCGGCAAGATGGAATGGATAAGTCGAGGTGTGGTAATGTGAGCCTCCAATTGTATGCCGATGAAGTGTGGTCGATTGGGTCTAAATTCGACAGCTTCTCATTGGCCGGCAATTGGGACAGGGATGTTGGTCGGCTTATTGCGCGAGTACAAAACATTTTTATTTTTGATACTGATATCGCGATAGAAGCCCCGCCACAACTGTGAATATATCTCACAACTATGGCTCCATATACTCCATCACAAGAGGAACTCCAGCGCCGAAAGGTAAATTTCCCTTTCTAAAGAAGAGATTCAAGTGCTAAGTTGAAACAGGTTGTGGGCATCAACTTAGAGACCGTCGACGATGTCACATCCACCGACTTTCCAGGCCATTACGCTGGGGAAGATCATTCTTGGGACCTAGATCTTTTCAGGAAGAATCTGAAGATACAATTCCACCACAATACCCAATTCAATGCCTCATTTTCTATTTCTGGCATTGATGCGTCAGTTGCAAATGCCTTCCGTCGCATTCTCCTTGCCGAAATACCCACCCTCGCCATTGAATACGTTTTCATGAACAACAATACATCGGTCATTCAGGATGAAGTTCTTGCGCACAGGTTAGGACTAGTACCTCTCAAAGGAGGCAGAAAGGGGCTACTGGAGTTTATGAGGTGGTTCGGCAAGGCGAACGAGGAAGAAGGCACTGAGGCCGGGGAGGCATTCGATTACAACACGATAACACTGAAACTGCAAATCGCATGCACACGGAATCCTGACGCGGCTCCGGGAGAAACGGATTCGAATAAGTTATACATAAACTCTGCGGTTCATGCCAGCGATATCGTCTTCGAGCCTGTCGGGAGACAACCGGAGTTCTTTTCCGGTGACGACACCATCACAGTTACGAATCCAGATATACTTATTGCGAAACTACGTCCGGGCCAATGCATAGACCTTGACATGCACGCGATTAAGGGAATCGGAGCCGATCATGCCAAATTCAGTCCTGTTGCGACAGCCTCGTACCGATTATTGCCAACCATAACTATTTTGAAGCCAATACTTGGAAATGACGCCGAGAAGTTCGCAAAGTGCTTCCCCAAAGGTGTCATTGGGTTTGAGAAGGTCACAAAAGAGGAGGCAAGCACTCCGGGCAGCGGGTATGAAGGCCATGCAGGCGAGAAGAAAGCAGTTGTGAAGGATACGATGAAAGACACGGTCAGCAGAGAGTGCTTGCGACATGAAGAATTCCAAGGCAAAGTCAAGCTTGGCCGCATCAGGGATCACTTTATATTTTCGATCGAAAGCACTGGACAGTGGGACAGCGATGAGCTCTTTCTGGAGTCGATCAAGGCTCTGAAGCAAAAATGTGTAAGGTTTAAGCGGAACCTTTCATTAATGACCAAATAATACTCTCGGATGAGTTGGAAAGGCTGCTTTTACCCCAGGAGCATTTATCGGAGTTACGGGAGCTGGCGTTGGGCAGGTAGATTTTGTAAAACATGCAATCATTAGATTCACCGGAGCTATGATTTGAATCTTGCCATATGTTGGTTTTTTACATTATGCTCTGCCATGCTCATGACTTAAGTGAACCGGTTTTCTCTATGGCAATATCGAGACCACATATCGCTACTGTCTAGTCCCCTATGTGTACTTGATGCGAAATCTAAAACTGACGCGAGCGAAAGCAGGATCAGTAACTGCAATTTCATCGCCCTCGTTTACGAAGTCGCTGACTTTCTTATCGAGATTTGGTCTCGTGGCTTCTTCGAGACTCGCCGGGCTCCGCATATAAAGCGATTTCCCCTCTGCACGAATAGATGGCTTCTTTAACTGTGCGCCAGGAACAATTGCCAAAGCATCAATAAGCTCTTGCAATGTCCATACTTTATCGACCTCTAGGTCACGCGGAAGGTTACCACAAACAGGACAGTCGTCTTTCTTCTCGTGTTTGAATGTGAACGTGTAGATGCTGTCGTTGCCGCTGTACATCATATAATTCTCCTCCATGCCCAACGATGGGGCAGCCGAGGTTGCGAGCTTGAATGCCTCGTTGCAACAGCTTGCGGCGATAATTGCATTTGTGGAAGCAATCGCAGGAATGATGTTCTTCACCACGCCTTGGGTGAGAGAATATGTAACACCACTGATATTGAACTCTTGTGCTCTGGCGAGGGCTTTCCCATGGAGCCACGTGATATGTTTTGGATCATCATTGTCAAGTTTTGGGAATGGCTTTTCTTGCTCCCATGCGATAATATGAGCCCATTCGATACAGTGTTCTGGCTGTCTTGGGATCGTGGCCAACGTGCAGAGCGGCACTGCTGCGCGGGGGGCATGCATATCAAGTTGGCACTCTATACAAGAAGTCATAGTTGGTATTATAACTCTCGATTGGCCCTTGAAACCTAGAAGAGTTTAGAAACGAATGCTTTAATTGGTAATATGCTGAACCTACCTTCTGTCCCACCATCAATCAACGGTTTGAGGCTGTCTGGGTTCTCCTCGTCAAACAGTTCTACCAGCTGTGAATTAATCCACCGCCGTGCCTCAATGCTATCGAGCCCACAAACGACCATCCCAAACTGCATGTAGAAAGTATCATCTTTATCTTGAATCATGCAATTATGGGGCGTGATTCTGACACCCGTTACTCGTTTCATGACAAACTTCGCAGCGACCTCAGCTTTATATTTCCCAACATCGCTATGGCGGAACAAAAACTGGCGGTTCAAATTTGAGACATCTATTGTGTCTTTGGGGCAGATTTAGTCAACGTTTGCTCTGAACGGGATTAGCTGGGACTTACCCATATCAATGACATGAATGTCCTTAAACCCTGACAAGGCTAGGTTCTTTAATATCTCGCAACCCAAGCCTCCAGCCCCTCTTGGTGTTGTAAGCCAAACTGACCCAAACTTAGATATCACCCAACGTACATTACCCTAGAGAAAATGTCAGTACCAAACTGTAGTAGAACATGTCTCACGTGAGTCTTACAATATCTTCATCTGTTCTTGGATATCAATCCTACCACCGCTCGTACTATTGCCGTGTTCGTCGATCTCATAACTTTCATCGGTGAAACCGCCTTGGCCCTTCCTAATGTTGTCGAGGTACTTCCTAAAAAGCGGACAGTGTTAGCATTTCCAAACTGAGGTCGTCCAGAAGCCACGCTACAGAGGTGACCGACCATCGCCCTTCCGAGTGGCTGCTTGAAGGAAGCATAGAAGGTGGCATTTGAGATGCCATGGTCGTCGCCATATTGCCACTAATAGCTTGAGAAGTAGTAGTTGCAGCAAGAGAGGAGGCGGGGTTGTCGTTACTACGAGACAAGGCACCTAGCTACCAGATAAGAGCTCAATAAGCGTTATCGTACACACGCCTAACAAGTACTGCCAAGTTACACCGCTCCCTCCCCACGTAATACGCCGTTGTCCTTCGTCACGTCCTCATGCTTTCAGGGACGTTCTAGATCAACCTCGATAGAGCTGTGATGTAGAAAATGGAGGATTTGCTCACACCTATGAGTACAGCTTATAAGAATATTAAAGAGGATCAAGAAGATGCTTTGGTTGAAACCAAGGAGCGACGGGAAGCTCCTCAAAAGAATGAGTTTCAAGCAAGAAGCCCACGAGAAGCTCTGGAGATGCTCCAAAATGAACCTGACTTTTCGAATCTCATATCAATCCTGAAGTACTTGGACACAACCAACGGCATATCTCTCTCTTCTCCGAGCCCGTTAAGTTCTCAGCTGATTAATGTTCTGGTCTCTGATACTGTCCCAAATTACTGGGCAATCCTCTCAGAAAGGGGCAAGGGATCCAAGGCCTTCAAATACAAAAGAGAGAGAGATTTGCTCTTGAACTGTTTCCGGAATGTTACCGGACTGGGTGCTATATCAGCTCGACTAAACGTCCTGATTGATCAAAGCAAGATCACAACTAAGAAAGGCGATGGGCCGAATTTCGTCCAGTCATTAAGGGACTACCAAAGTGTCTTGGAAGACATTTTGCACGGTAATGCCGTGCTTCAAGGCCTTTGGAAAGTCCTCCAATCTGAGCCTATTTCCAAGCAAGCATCCTTGTGGCGCGAGGTTACTGTGTTGATTGGCGGCAGCAGGTTACTAAATTCCGCTGCCGAAGCCCATAGTATTATCAATGAGTCTAACAATACTGTTGAAGAGACTTCATGGCTTGCGGATGGAGTAAAATATAGCAGATGGATTGCATCAAACATTCAATACTGGGCAAAGCACATAGCATTGGAGTCCGTCAGCCCTTGGAAGCACCTCACAGAACTCCTTTCGAAAAGTTTGCGTCTCGGGTATCCCGGTAAGGAACCATCTCCCCACTAGGTCCCCATATTCTGGCTAAAATGTGAAAAGATGTCATATTGGAAGCTATACTGGATTTAGTTCTTGGAGCTGAAGACGACTTAAAGGTGCTTCAAAAACTTTTGGACGTGATTCCTACTTATGAGCAAAAATCTGTCCTGAACTGCGCTTTGCGTTTACTCGTTAAGCAGCATCTACCAAGCGATCCTAACTATGGCGATGTAGCCTGGTGGCAAGAAGATACCGCTCGAGTCTCTGCGGGAGCAGCTTATTTAAGTACGATTATCAATGGAAACGCGGCACGGAAGGACTTACTTTTGTCTTGGATGACTGGATTGCCTGGTGCTGGTATTGGAGAGCCAATAAGCATCCGACGTGCGGCAATAGCTGTCATTTCTCTCTCCAAGTACGACTTGGAGGCTATTCTGGAAAAGAGCATGCAACAGTTTGGTGACCAACTCTATATCAAGCATACTCCTTCCATGCAGCAAGACGGTGCGAAACACCCCTATCCCTATTGGTGCAATAATTAAGATGTTGTGCTAATGAATATACAGTTCATGCCCAAATTTTACTTCTTTGCGCTGGATATGTGCACCGAATTTCTCCAATGAAGCTAAAAATTCTTGCAAGATCTGGAGTTTATCTCAACGCGGTATCCAATCGCCTATCTGCCTCCTCAGAAAGAGCGCGATTCCTAGGAATGCTAGTCGGTGAAGCTATATCTGGTCTCGTGGATCCTACTGGGAATCAAATGGATTTCAAGATGGAAGAACTCAAATCTCCGGAAGCCCAATGGTACAAAGGCTTAGTAGGTGTCATAGACAGCCTTGGCTCAGTTGAGTCTCTTCGGAAACATATCGCGCCAGAAGCCAAGCAAACCAAACCAAGCCTTCCTCGTGAAGTAAACAAACCAATCCGACTATCTCAGGACTCGTCCAAAATTATTTCTATTGAAGAGGTTGACGACGATGGTTCAGAGGAGGAGGACGATCTGGTCCCGTACACAAAACCCGACTCTGACGGGGAAGATTCGGATGAAGATCCCACCCTTGTTGTGCGGAACAAGCCTACTGCGCCAGTATACATTCGGGACCTTATTTCATATTTTAGGGACACAGAAAATTACGACCGTCAACGATTGGCCCTGTCAACCGCAGCCTCGTTAATCAGACGGAAGTCCGGCTTTGGCACTGAGGTCAAAGACCATGCAGAGGAACTCGCTACCGTATTGATGGGTCTACAGGATAAGTATGACATTGATGATTTCAACGACGTGCGCCTGCAGAGCATGATTTCAGTTCTGCTCTGTGATCCGCAAAGAATGGCAAAGTGGTTCGCTAGGACATTTTTTGACGGCGACTACTCCATATCACAGAGAGCTTCCGTACTCTCAACTATAGCGATTTCCGCCAGAGAATTAGGGGGGCTCAAAGAGGAAGACAAATCACTTACGAAAACAGCTCTGGCTTCCCGCAACAACTTTCCATCAAGACAGCTTCCTCAAGGACTGCACAATATTTATGCAGCAGAAGAAAGCCCGGTTAACTCTCTATCTCACCAGCTTTCTAAAACCATGATACAGCCATTAGCTGCGTCGCTGGCAGATAAAGCTACCGGCCCCGATATTCTAAAAGTCAGAACTTTCTCTTCGCGCCTTGCCGTCGAATCCCGACGAGCTCCACCTACCGTCAACGCCCTCTCCTCCATGGTCGCAGAATCTTTCTTTTTCCCCCTGACCGGGCGGTTCTTTGCACACTTAAAGGCATACGGTGGCAAAAATGTGATTTTTGAGTCTTTTCTCTTGAGCAGTTATCTGAAAACTCTCAGTTTGATTATGCACGCGAGTGGGAGCAGCACTCTGCAGCTACCTCAGATGACGAGTGAATTCTGGGACTTGCTGCTGGCAGTGAGAAGCCACACAATAGGTGACAAGTCCGTGAGGGAGGCAGTCCTCTTCGGCTTCATGACTTTGTTAGAGGTTAATGGAGACAAGAGGCGGCTGTCAGAAAAGCACGGGAGAGAGTTATTGGAGACACAAAGATGGGTCGAGGCCATCTTTGGCTCTATTGGGGAAGGGGGTAAGGAAGAGGAGAGAGCAAGGACCTTAGCGGCTGGAGTGCTCTACAGAATCCGAGAGGTAGTAGAAAAGTACCAGGCGCTATTGATGGGAGATTTGGTGAATTTTTGAGTGTAGAGGAATAGTTGTAGTTACAACTTGTGCACCTCTGAGAAGAAATACAAGTTATGTTAAAAATAAATTTATCAGCGGCGATATCAACACATCTTTATATTTTCGGTTATTTATTTTAATTGCTTTGTTTACATGGAAAGAAATGTTGGCGCGTAAGGAATTTAATTTGGTTAGCAGTGCTGCCTCTTATGTCAAATTGGCCTTCCATCACAAAGAAGTGGCACAATGGATATAAAGTACAAAGAACAGTAACTGAGGTTGACATTTTTCTTCTTAAACCCATGTATTGCTCTAGCAGCGCGTTCTGCGCCGCTTGGTGTGCCAGCCTTTTGTTTTCAATAGTGATGGTGGCTGGTCTTGAAGTCTAAGACATCACAGTAGTCAAGGGCGGACACCTGATAATGGACACGCGGTGATAAACAGCAACACCAATTCGACGAAAACAGAACAACAATTCAAAAATATCAAACAACACCACACGACATCTGCTGGCAATCTCATATCTCTCTTTGTTCCTTGTTTTTGGACCAGCATATGGTCGCATGGCAAACGCATGTCCAGATCGACACTCCATAGCGAATGTGCTCCATTCCGCAGTGGCGTGTCCCTGCATCCTGGCCTCACGACAAAAGCTTCATTGCCGCGCAAATTAACAACTCTACTTGCATCTAGCCTCGAGTACAATGGGACTCATACCTTTGAAATTGGTTGCGGCCCTCAAGCCAGCTGACCTACATCAATCGATGCCCAAAACAACGCCCGTACCGTTAAGAGCTCCAGCCAAACCCGTCCTGCAAGGTCACAGTTCAACGCCGGCCACGTATTTTAGGTCACCAAGAAAGATATTACAAGTCAAGGCAACTAAGTCAAGTTTCCTCCCATATGGGAATGACGAATGGCGAAGCCTTCTAGACGATGTAAAAGAACTTTTCCGGAACGGCCGATATAAAGAGTGTTCAGACCGCTGTGCTGCATCTCTCGAGCAAGTGAGAGGACCTGTAAGTTGGCCCACGATTTTTGTCGACGCGTCTTGCATTGCCCTTCCCTTCAGCGAGATTGGAAATATTTACTATTGCCTATAATGGCCAGTTATCAGATACCTTGGATTATTTGGCCTAAAATCAATGTTATTACACGTAGAAAACGAGATTGACCAAGCTAATGATAATCCAGGTACACCCAGCACATCTCACATACATCTCATTTTACGCCGCGCTATGTATCGCCATCCAAGCACAGTACCTAGAATTACGAAATCCTCGGAAGCTAGTACTGTTGAAGATTTCGCTGTCATTCTATGAAAGATCTGAAGGATTCTTGATGCAGGCGAATACAGAGCAGAACATGTCCCACGATGGCCCTCCGAAACGTGAATATAAGCGCTGGGATTCCGATTCGTCGACTCGGAGCCGGAACCTTTCAGTTGGCTTACCAACATCAACAACGCATACCACAATCTCAGGCTTTCCTCTACCAGACAATGGCTCAGATGATGGATTTAAATCCCCATCTATAACTGGTCGTGCCAGAACCTTGTCAATGGACTCGACAACATCCGACTGTCCTGCCAAAAAGGACTACAAGAATCTGTTCAACAATACCATAAAGCACTACGCGGCAACGCCACCTACGCCGCCTCTCTCACCACTAGAGGATTCACTTCCTGCTAAACGGGAATTGAAACGATCTGGGTCGTCATCATCAGCGCATAGCAAAACCTCCTCAATCGATTCTATACTCGACGAATTTGATTTCTCACTTTCGTGGGATGCAAACTCGCGTCGCTCATCTGCATCATCATATACGAGTATAGCCAGCAAGACGACCACGGAATATATATCCCAGAAGCAAGCCCCCCAGGATACTGCACCTGAACTATATCTAAAACCCCCGCCTCCGCAGTTTCTAAAACCTTCAGCACCGCCACGGCCACGGAAGAGGTCTGGGTTTGCGCCATCGCTTCCCACCATAATATCCGATAGCTGCATCGCTGAGGTAGCTATGGACAGTTCTAGCATTTCCAGCACTGCTTCTCCTGAACGCTATTCTGCTCGGACTCACCCGTTACCTCCATTACCACTCATTACTGAGGACATACCAACCTGTTCCGAGATCCAGATACTTAGCGATAGGAAACCAAGAAGCACCTGGGGAAGCGATACTCAAACACTGAGCAGTCCCATCATTCCACCTCCCAGCAAGGCCCGTAGCCCGGCGCCCACAGCCGTCCCATTTCGCCGGCCTCTACCACCACTTTCACTAGCTGTTCATCAGCCAGTTTCAGGCTGCAGGCTCAATTTCTCCAAGCCTCGTCCAGTGGCTCCGCCTCAGCCTAGTCCAAGGACTTCACCAGAGACAGCTGTAGAAGCCATCTCTCTATTCCTTCTCTCCCAATCCCGTGCTCGCTACAACGCGCACATTCCAGAATTCTATTCGCGGATAAAGTACCACATGATGGAAGTGCGGAAGATGATCGCGGATGTGCAGTTTAAAAAGGCGGCGCTTGAGGCCGAGGGGCGTCCGGTAAAGACGCTTAGTATCAAGGAGCTGAAAGAGGGAACGGGGTGTGCGAAAGGGGTGCAGTGGAAAGTTGATAAAGAGGAAGTTGTGAAGAGAGTTAGGCGGGCGAGAGTCGAGGCTTTGAAGAGGAGGGGAGAGGAGCGGAAGCCTTGGGATGGAGGTAGGTATCAGGAGTTGTGTAAGCTGGCGTTGGAAGAGTTAAAAGAGAGATGAAGTTAATTTTGTATTATTATAGTTAGTATGTAGGGATAATAATTAGGTAGTTAGTATGTACGATTAATAATTGAAAGGAAGATTGGTTGTTTGAAGTCGGTCTGGCTTGGCGCATATTCACAGTCACAACGTATGAGAAGCTCACAGTAGATTCATCAGAATGCTATTTTGGTCTACCTACAGTATCTGCTTTGCAGCAATGTCGAAAACCTCCCATGGCCGAGATCCATCACGCTTTGCCTGGTCGTAGTTGGATATTCATTTCCTCACCGCCTCGACGTGCGTCCATCTCTGCCCGCGGATAACTTCAAGACGTAAACAAAGAAAAAGAAGAATCGTGATAAATCGGATCAGCCCTGAATCTAACAAGCTGACCAAACCCGGAGGGAAATAGATGCTTATATTCGCTGAAGGACGGCCTCTAATATTATGCTGAATGAACAACAGATGCGTTTCGTTAGGGCTGCAGCTGGGCGACCGGCGACATGTTCGGGCAAGCTATCTATAGGTCGGCATCGTCTTCGTCTGGGAGCGGCATCTGGGCAGCGTCGTGCATCTCCTGCTTGTACTGGGCAAGGAGAGCCTCGTCGACCTGGGCCTCGGGTGGGGCAAGAGCAGGGGCAGCGACAAATTCCTAATTCAGTTAGTGTGGGTGCCCAGAAAGCGAGAAAAATGGCGGGGTACGAACGAGAGTGGCGTTGCCAACAAGCTTGCGGGCCAACCACAAGAACGGCTTCTCGAAGTTATAGTTGGACTTGGCTGAGATATCGTAGTACTGGAGGTTCTTCTTGCGGTGGAAAGTGATGGTCTTGGCCTTGACCTTGCGCTCCTTAACATCGACCTTGTTACCGCAGAGAACGATGGGGATGTTCTCGCAAACGCGGATCAAGTCACCTATGGGATAGTCAGAATGGAACGCCTTCGGTTCTTGAGCTCGGGTGTTTGCTTACGATGCCAGTTGGGCACGTTCTTGTATGTGATGCGGGAGGTTACATCGAACATGATGATACCACACTGTCCGTTGATGTAGTATCCGTCACGGAGACCTCCAAACTTCTCCTGTCCAGCGGTATCCCAGACATCGAATTGGATTTGACCCAAGTTCTGTATTCCGTCAGTATCAGGCACAAAGGCTTGATGGCCTGATTCGAGGTCTGATGTGACTTACAGTGGTGAAGCCGAGAGGATGGACCTCTACACCTAATGTGGCGATGTACTTCTTCTCGAACTCGCCGGTCAAATGGCGCTTGACGAAGGTGGTCTGTTTGGAGATTCAGTTAGATTTCATTGTCCAGTTGAGATAAGAATGACCGGTCGGCGCTCCGAGAATGAGGGGTAAAGGCGCCAACGCAGTTCATCCCCCCAAAGCAAATTCAACTAACCTTTCCGGTTCCACCGTCACCGACAAGCACAAGCTTGAAGGTTGGTACAGATGGGGCTGCGTCTGCCATGTTGGCGGTTGAAATGGTAAGTGTGGGGTGATGTAAACAGAGGACGTTGGCGATCTATAGATCTGTGAAAGAAGTCAGTCCTGTGCGACCGGCGCTTTATTTATTGAAAAATCGCCACGAAGCCCTGGAAATGATGCGCTGGTGATATATACCTTGAGGTGGCAAGTTCACTGGTGGACGTGGTCTTGTATGATTTGGTTATCTATGTTTTGTTGCGATGAGCAGGCGGTGGAAAAGCTTAGCGAAGAGCGAAGAACTGATGTAATAATATCACGTGACTGGACGAAGCAAAGCAGCCTTGTCTGACGCAGACATCTAGTAGTACGGTACAAAGCAACCTCACCCATCCAGCTAATTTCTTATCAACGACGTTTCAACACAAGCCCTCCATACCGTGGTGGACCTCACACCATGGACGGCCCTTCTACTTATACGTCTTTCTCTCTGACGCATGTCAATTATGTAAACTGGCCTTATACATGACTTTGCGTGCGTCCGACTAATCTGCTCGTGTTTAGAATCCTCATGACCGTGTCTCGTACCTCTGTGCATGGCTTGCCATCGTTCCTCAGGGGCTCTGCGTTGCATACGCAACCTTGATCTATTCTACTCGTGAGATTGAGATTATTCTCATGTTTGCTGGGCAAATGGCATGTGAGGCAGTTAACTTTATCCTGAAGAGGATCATTAAGGAGGAAAGACCAAAGCGAATGCACGGCAAGGGGTATGGGATGCCATCGTCTCATGCCCAATTTGTGACTTTCTTTTCAGTGCATTTAGCTCTGTTCTTGCTGTTAAGACATACTCCGCCAAAGGCCACGAAAGCCTCGCACACACCAATACCGTTCGCCCAAAGAGTGGCGCTGTCTATAGCTGCACTGGTATGCGCAGGGCTAGTTGCAGGAAGCCGGATATATCTGAACTACCATACACCAAAGCAAGTTCTTGTTGGATGTGCAGCAGGGTTGGTAAGTGCTGTTGGCTGGTTCTGCATCACAACTATTTTCAGGAGGAGCGGGCTCCTGGAATATACCCTGGATACTCCTTTGGTACGGCTGTTTCGAGTAAGAGACTTAGTGGTGGAAGAAGACCTGTCACAATCTGGCTGGGAGAAGTGGGAAGAGAGGAGGGCGATGTCTCATACGCGCCGAAATACCCAAAAGACAAAGAAACGGTAGCCTAGTGAACAATGATGGAGTCAGGAATAGCACCTTCTCAACACAGCCTGGATAACATATGAATGCTGCGTATTGTAATGTCTCGGGCCCTGACTGGTGGTACATTTTTTGCAGAAGAATAACAACAACTCCAACCCTCACGATAGCACTACATGATACTCCAGAAGTCCATAACCCAAACCCCTTCGCTGCGCTACAGAATTGGAAACTTGGTATAACACGAAGAGCGGCAGCCTAAAGTGGAACGATATGGCACCCCAATAAACCCCTGCCCCCCCAGTCCTTTCGTGGAACCAAAGTCAAGTTCAATTCTTGCCTCTCGGCACCGAAACCTCTCGAAACCTTTACCAGAACGTTCCGCTGCACATATGTCAGTTAACTAATCAAACTGAAGAGTGTTTCGACCCAGTCTGTCCAAGAAAATAGGATGATAAAACTCACCCCCTCATTTCCTTGCACGCATTCTGCCACCCTCCTTAACCCATCATTGTTTTCACGATTCACGTATCCGAAATTGCGAATCAAGTCCCCTTCCTTCAACCCCGCTTCTTCAGCTGGACTACTCTCCACAACGCTGTTGACCCTTGCAAATGGGGTCTCCAACACTGGCTGGCACGACCGCGGCGCTTCAGTTGTGTGTACCCCATTGGTGGTTGCTTCTCTCTGTGCATCGGACTCTGGCAGAGGGTTCGCTTGGAGGAACTCGAAGTCGGCGTGGACTGCCTTCTCGATCACCTCCATGAGTGCTTTGTAGTCATTCTTCAGGTATATTATCCGCGAGCGGGTTGTTCGTACTAAATGTAAATATTAGAATGGTCCAAAGATGGTGGTAGGAATGTGCTCACTTTGCGCGACGTCGAGGTCTGCCCGCGGGAAACCATCTGGTGTCATGAGGTTTGTGTTCATATCAACGCCATGCTGGGCATCATTAGCTGTCTGGGAAGCTGCTTAACATAAGATATCTTCAGACTCACAGATTCGAGGACGCCTCCAAGAGCTCTAAGCTCAGCTTCCATAACCTCCTTCTTCAACTGAAGCTCCGACAGTGTGAGCCCCTCAGTCCGTATCCCACCTCCATTCGATGTCGTGGGACCGGACGGAATAGTAGGGGCGTGTAGGTTCTGCATATTTGGCAGTAGCTTCACTTCTGGATAAAATTTAAATGGTAAAGTGGTCGTGGCGTATGGAGGTATACGCCGTGCCACAGCCTGATGGCGGGGTATCGCTTATTGATAAGGAGTCTTGGCATGCTTTATCAAAGGACCCTCAATTGCGCAACCCCACGGGTGACCGAGGGAAGCGATGGGTTCGTCCCACCCACAGTAGTACGATTACATAGACTTTTACTTCTGCCTGACAACAAAAGTGATATATACTTCATACCCCACGACCACTTTACCGTCTAACTTTTACGTTGAGATCTTCCAAGAAAAAAAAAGCTAGAAATGGCGTCCAACCCTCCCGGCAAGTGCTGCACCGTCGGCGCGAAGCACCAGTATGTCCCGCCCTGTCAGCACCCCTCCCCAATCGCCAAAACATAAGCATCAGAACCCTCCCCTATTTTAACACCCCTTTCAGAGGCGAGCCAATCGGCACCCACGCCAGCATCGACAATGGCTCCCTCGATGTCTACATCGCCAAGCCCACGACCCCCAAGGCGGGCAAGGCCGTCCTCTTCGTCCCGGATGTGATGGGCATCTCTCAGAACGCCAACCTCATGGCCGACCAGCTCGCCGCCAATGGGTACTATACTCTGATCCCCGACCTGTTCAACAAGGATTCGCTCTCGAACCCATGGCGTCCGGAGAACTTCAACCTCATGAACTGGATCCAGCACGGCATGAAGGGTGATAACCCGCACACTGTCCCCGAGGTCGACGCTATTATGGTCAAGGCGCTGGACTACCTGAATGAGCAGGGCTACAAGGAGATCGCCGCTGTGGGTTACTGCTTTGGCGCAAAGTATGTAGTGCGTTTCATGTCTGAGGAGAAGGGAAAGCGCATTAAGGTTGGGTATTTGGCACACCCATCTTTTGTGGATGAGGCAGAGCTAGAGGCTGTTGAGGGGCCGGTATCGATCTCTGCGGCGGAGACGGATACGATTTTCCCGGTCGAGGAGAGGCATAAGTCGGAGGAGATCTTGGCCAAGATCAAGGTTCCCTACCAGATCAACCTGTTCTCAGGAGTCAGCCATGGCTTCGCCGTCCGTGGTGATCTGAACATCCCGCAGGAGAAGTGGTCGAAGGAGCAGGCGTTTGAGCAGGCTGTTCAGTGGTTCAACTTCCATTTGTAAGTGCTGGGATCCAAGTTTGGGAGAGACTTGTTGAGTTGGTATAGGGGCACTTTACCTGGCCATAAGGATTACAATGGAACGAAGGGGGTAAACAGCAAGTTCTAATACGATTGCTGAGGCTTGCACAATTTAAATATATATAACGATACAATATGCTTACTTATTAATTCTTGTCCGTGCGTCGTAGCTTCCATCATTCTCCTAATTGTTACCACCGCACTCATCCAGGTACGTTCAATTAAACACGAAAGCGAACATATTAAGAGAAGTCATTCATAATAGTCATAAATCATAAGTTCAATTGCAGTAGCCATAGTACTATATGCTGCTGTACTGTAAAGCGGGTATAAGGCAACTAGTATACAAGGAAACAAGACTCGACACGGTCCCTATATTCAACGCTCATATCTCGGAAGGCCGTCATGATGGCTGGTATATTGTCCGGCATATTCGTCCTCCTCATCCAAAAACGGTGCAGAGGGTTGTGGCGCACTGCTGCTCGCCCCTTCCCCTGCGGTGTCATCAAGGTCTGGAAAGTCCGAAGGCGAACTTGCTTCTGCTTGGAGGCGGCGCCGTTCTAGTTCACGCTTATCGTCGACAGTTGTTGCTGGGGCCTGTGGTTGTGGACCCTCGACCTGAGGAGTTGCCGGTGTAATTGTGTCAGACAAGTGGGCAATGCCATTGAGTGCAGTAGCGGGAGATCTTTGTTGTACTGAGTGGGCTACCGGCCGATAATCATCGTTGTATAGATCGTCATCAGGATCGGGAGGAGCCGTAGGAGTAGGCTGGGGAGGTGCTGAAGGGCCTGCTTCCTCCAGAGGCTGGCTTGGCAACAGGGTTTGTTCGGCAAGACGAACGCGGTCTTTTTCATTAAGGTTTTCGGAGGGCAAGACTTGCGGTGGTGGGACAGTACCCTGGCTATACTCGGGAACCTGGTTCTGGTCCGGTATGGGATGTTGTTCGTCATTATAAGTGTATGTTTGATCGTGTGAGCCTTGCGGCCATTGGGACCATTGTTGGCCGTATTCGTCGCAGTGGTATTCTGCTTCGTTTGGTACTGCATGTCCATTTTGCTGTCCCACTGAGTCGACCGGAGAAAGAGGAGTCGGGAGCGCCCTTTGTATCTCATCGGCAGGCCCCTTCTTAGTTATATTACCCCTTCCTCTCATGCGAGCGCTATCCGTTGTGCCAAGAATGATCTCGAACAAGCAAGCCACAACGCTTTTCTCGCGCCTAATACGATCTGTGTCGACAATATTGCCACCCCAAGCAGCCAGTGTCGGTGCTGTCGCAGTGTCCGTTCCAAGGACTGGGTCGTTGGGGTTGGTCATAGATGGCAAACTAACCATGCCCAAACGTGGGAGGTGTCGATCCTGGCCAGCCAGCTTTCCTCCCAAATCGACCACGACCTCAACGTAATATCTGAAGCTTATCATTTCGCCTGGCACCCCAGTAATTGTAGGGAAGACATCTTCTGGCACCCGTAATGATGTCGTTATCACAGTTGAGAGTGTGACTGGGTCTATCATTATCGGTGCAAGTGTCTGAGACAAATCTTTGCGGAAAACACTACTGGATCCCGCAGAGGTTAAAGATAGTCCGCCCAAGCCTGTTTTGGACTTTGGATAGTATTCTTCATGCTTCAGCCGTTCCAAGTCTTTGCCTTTAATATCCGTAAATAGTGATAATGGCGGCGCAGAGTCTATCCGGCCTTGCCGGTACAGGGTGATGATGATGCCATGCAAACTCTTGATTCGCTTTGTATGCTGGATGGATATTGTAATTGGTATGCTATCTCCTGGCAAACACCCAGCTTTCAAAAGCTCGATTTTGGCAGTGATGGTCTTATTGGGAGCGGGTTTATTCGAGGCCGTGTCAGCTCCGTTACTGACCGGTTTCGACGGTATTGAATGTCCGATAACGTAGCCAGTACTGCTACTGCTAACTACGCTACCCTCACTAACTTCGCTTTGCAAATCGCTATGCAACGGACTTGTGGGGGAGCTCGGAGGGTTGCTGGTAGATGCACGCTGGCTGGCAGATTCGGTAGGCTTCGGCTGCACAGAAGACTTTCCCGACTCTGCAGCCGCTTGCTCTGCCTTGGCGGCGGATCGAATATGCCTCCTTGAGCTCTTCGCTATTGGCTCCAGAGAAATGGTACGTGGTTTTGGAATACTCATGAGGCCAATATCGACTGTTTCGACTAAAGATATCTTACGCTCGCACGTCGACGTAGCAGCGATAGATGTTGGACGCGTAAGGGTAGAGCGAATCATATACGATATAGTTCCCCGTTCAAACTGTGACGCGATTAGTAGGTTGCCTTGTGGCACGCGCAGCATGTGTACTTACGTCGATACTTGACGGCAAGCCTTGGGATTGGAACTGGAGATTGAATTCAAACTCATAGATCCCCGGCTCGAGGCGCCCTTCGCCACAGAGTGTAATCTCATCATGGAACAACGACACATGGCCATTACCGGTGTATTGGGACCTTTTGTTGCTTGTAATATCGACGACGTGGTCGCTGGTAATAACCTCACCGGCTGCTGCAGGCTTTTTCAGGACGCGCACAAAGCCATGAAGAGCGACAGTGAGATGGGTAATCCGGATCGGCTTTACGACGGTGAGGACGACGATGCCCTTGACAATGTCTCCCGGTGAGTACTGGCGATGCGGCTCGTTGGCGCGGATGTGAAAATCGGTAGCATTCCTGGCCCGCGACCGCAAAGGCGAAGTCAACCTCGAAAGGATTGACCGACCGCTCGATGCTAGTCTCGAAGACGAAGTCGTGGGCGAGACATCCGAGTACATGCTATTGTTTTGTCGTTGATGCCAAGTCGAGATGGAAGGTAAGTTGCTTGCCAAGAGATTCTTGGATTCTTGGCTACCTGGATGGAGGAGTGGTGGAGGTCAAACGTGTTGGCCATGCGACACGACAGCAGTGGATTCGGCCCAAAGCCAACAACACGAGCAGGGGGAGGAAACTCTTTTGTCGGGCGCCTGAATGCCGCTGCCACACGACTCCTTGAGATGATCAGACGCTCAGAGAGAGATATATATACACAGGATTTGCGGCGAATGTAACCAAAGCTTATCGTTATTATTATAATCGCATGGTCAATGTGTTAGCAGGCCAAGTTGTCAAGGATGGCCTTGTGTGTGGTAGGAAAACACGTTGGCTGGAAGAGAGCAAGTTAGTGTGCAAGAAGTTTCGGGGGACGGGGTTTTCTAGGCGACGATCTAATACTATGTACTCCGTAGTCTTCTACACCGGTATTCCAAGAGTCGATATCGATACTCTACTGGATTATAGCGCTGTATACTCCGTATGCGCCATTACGCTGTAACAAAGCGCCAGACAGGACCCAGACAGAGGCAGATCCTGTAGCCATGGCAGACACCTAGGGACACAGCGGAGACTGCCCCTCCTCCCTTTCCTGCACCCACAACCAATTGTGGCGGAGTAAGCACCAACTGAGTACGGAGTATCTCCCGACAATACTTGGTTACCGCATGTAATATTGGCTGTTCGTTATTAATTACTGTATCCCACACCAATAGCCGCTTTCCCCTCGTAGCTACTCCTAACACGGCAAATATTAGGATCGGATTATCTCAAGGATCTCGGCCAGCCCCCGCCAACCCCGCCAACCCCTGTCCCATCATCACCGTGCTAGGTGAACTGTTCTCACTTGGGCTAACTTGGATCGCTCCCTCCCTCGCCAGCTGGACCCTTACAACCCTGGTAGGGTGGGTAACCCTGGTATAGTGAATCAGGAAGTCTCTCATGTGCGCGTCTGACTTTCCGACCTCCGGTATGGCAATTTGAGTGATTTTGGCCCCAATTCTGCAGCCTAATATTGAATTGCTCTCTCCCTACGGTTTGGTTACATTTGTGTGGGCACGTTCTTTGTATGGCCGAGAACTCGTGGCGAAACTAAAGCGAACAAGATGTTGAAATAAGATGGGGTCGGAGTTTGTCACGAAGCTTAATCGTCACTGGCCTGGGCTGTCACACACAGGATGGCCAAGTCGCGTTGCTCGCAAGGTATAATTAACGGCCATGGTCAAATCACCCCGCCAAGAATGCGTCCGATGTCCTCACAAGGATTCGATCCCAATTACAGCCATCACCAAATTGAGCCGTCGAAACGTTACTCATGCCATCCAAAGGTCTGAAATGGAGTGTGCACAACAACAGCGATTGCAGCAGCTGTAACTGAACCTTGGGCTGCAATCAAGAAGCCAGTTACTCATCAACAGAGGTAAGGAAACAAGTTCTATCAGCCTAAATAGTTGGTATCAATCCTCAACAAAAGCGATCCCTCATCGGACTTTGCGGCACGAGAACTGCTGATCGTTGCATTCAAGGAAGCTTGCACAAGATCTTAATATTAGCACAACAGCTATCACATGTAGTGCGGTTTGTTCCGTCACGTTTTCAGATCGTCACAGTCCTCCCCCTTTCCTCCGTCCCTGTTCAAAGTTCTTTGAGCCCTTCACCAGGGATATATTCATCTCCACACGTCGATTGCATCACCAGAGCCACCTGCTCTCTGTCATTGGTGAGGTCCAGGAGGTAGCTTCGGATACATTCGAGGTTGTCCGTGAACTGCTCTGCATCATCTTTCAAACTCTGGATCTCCTTTTCTTTGCGAAGCACTTCCGTAGGGTCGCTTCCGCTGTATCCGGCCAATTCCTTGTCCAGTGACGTCGTTTCTTTCAGGAGTCGCTCATGAGCTTCCAACAGTGCCTGCCTATCCATGCCGTTGTCCTCCAACATTTCATCATCTTCATCTCTTTGAGCAGTTTCCTCAGTAATGTGCCTCTTAATGTCGGCAATCAATGTCTTCAGCTTGGTCTCTTCTGTTTGGAGGTCGTGGAGGACTTTCTCCTTGCTTTGCTTCGCGTCAGAGACGAACGCCCAGTACCAATTTCCGCTTCCTATTTTCTCAACTTTGATCAATCCTTCGTCGCTGAGGGCTTGGAGGTAGTCCTTGACTACCATCCCACTGATCGAGGCAACAGCCGGAAGTGCTTTTTCGAGGTCCTTGAAGGAGTGGGCGCTGAGTGATTTGTGGAACCAGTCCAGTATGAGAGCTTGCTTTGCTGCAGGAGGGGCGGATTTGGGAGCCTATTATAAACGTGAGACGCGTTACATCCTTAGGGATGAGATAATTACCATCTTTCCGGGAGGTTCATGGGAGACTTGTGGCCGTGTAGATCGAATACAAATTCTCAAGTCTGGTCCAGGCTGGGTCACATAAAATTGTAACGGGAGGTTCAGGTTCTCAATGGCAGGGCGCAGTAATGGCAGGGCACAGTAATGGCAGTATTCGTGGAAAGTTCCGACCACAGAATATACAGGGCGGCGGTTCTCTACAAAATAGACAAACTAACGTCGTCAAAATGTAAGGTAGCAATATATATCATTTCTTCATATTTCATTGGCTATGAGAGCTTCGCTATACTTTAAAGGGCTTTGATCCTAGTCCTTATTTGATATATCGACTGCCTATCCTTCCCTACATTGCTTGCTGCTTGCCATCTTGTCTCCTACAAATCCTTTGGAGACAAAAGCTCCCCATATTGGACCAATTTGCCTTTGCTCACGCAAATTGACGACCAAGTATTTGACTCAGCCAAAAAAGCCAAACAAAAGGCAGGGTTGCTGGGAGCCGTGGCTTGAAATGAAACGTAGGGCATGGTAGCTATATTGCCATGTTCCAAGCAGTGCATTGGGGAGCCCGTCGCCAATAGTTGGGCGTGACGGTTATGTCGTGAGAATCGTTGAGGTCTTTCCTGTCACTTTCCATGCTTCAACCATTGCCATTCCCCGCCGCTCCTTGCTGAGCACTTTCTTCGACAACCCCAAACAAAACACGGAGCCATAAGCTGCAACCTCTGCATCCTACAGCAAGTTCTCCATCATCTTCTGCCTCTTCCAGATCCTTCTCGCGGATCAAAAATCCACGATCGTCTCCACACCTGCAGCTCCGGAACCAAAGCGACTCCTTCTCATCAAACTCCAGATCATCCAGATCAACAACCTCTACGCCTGTACGAAACCCGTTTTTCTGCTGGGCCCCAAACTCGCACGTCTGCTGGGACTCCAAGGCAAGCTCTCTGTCATACTCTTCACGGAACTTTGGCGTTGATATGATGGAGTAGGCTTTGGTTATTTGATCTACAGTATATGCACTACTAGGTTGTTTATTTGTAGCCTTTGTAGAATCATGGCCTGGCGAAGAAACTTGCTGGACTTTGTCTGGGTGGTGCTGGAGTAGTGATTTCCGGTATGCTGCCTTCAGAAGCTGTGGGGTGAGAAATCTTGCTGCGCCCCGTGAATTGGGGAGCCCCAGGATTTCATAGTATGTAACCATGAAGACAGCACTTTTGGCATTCTATCCCGTGATTTTGTTAACTTGGGATGGTGTTGTGATAAACGGCAGTCCTTGGAGTCAAAAATCGCTCTTTGTGGGTTGAGAGCCTGAGGCATTCATTTTTTGAACGAAAACATGTGGTTTGGTTTAAGATGGAGAGACCGAGGGGGCTTGAAAACAGTAATTTATGACAAGGCCACATGGTAGATTAAGACGGATTTCAAGAGAATGTTGCCATCATGAGCGTGGTGCGGTAACATGCATTATTCTATTTAGAATTTGATACAGATATGTACTACACATCCAACCATTGAAGCTCAGTTGACAAATATTGTGAACGCCATCCTCCTTGCTATGAGCACCCAAAAGGGTACAACAAACATATTGTACAATTTCCACTCCCTCAGATTGATATACACGTAGCTTATTTCGGCCACTTCTTCCATCCACGACCATGTCCTCTCTGCTTATTGTTAGCCCGATATCCTCAAAATTTGTGTCGGATATAATATAGCTCACCTCTTTCCAGGTTTGAATGAGTTGAGGCATCTCCAGCATTGCTTGTCTTCTCTTCTCCAATCTAAATGATATATGTCAGCGGCTTGTTCTCCTGTTCTTCCCATCACCCCAGAAAGTCAAGTCTAGAAGATGGTATTGGGGGTATAACATGCCGTCCCTTCATCTGCCTCTCGCTCTCTTTACCCTTGACACGCTCTCCAACACCGGTTCCCTTAACACGCAGCCCATTCTCCTCTCTTCTCCTCAATCTCTCGGCAGAGCTCTTCACGCTGAATGGCATCAAATCCTCAACCCCGTGGCGCTGTGCCAGCTTCACCAGATCGGCCTGTCTCCGTAACGAAAAGACCGGATCGTGCCATTTGCCCGTCGCCGGGTGCTTGTGAGCTTTGAAAGGGGATGGCGCCGCTTCTTGTGTGAATTCCCCAGTGATTGGAGCTTGTGACGACGATTCTCTCTGGGCGGGAAGAATGGCCGCTGGGGGGTAACGGGCGAAAAATCTGGTCAGCCTCGGAGGAAGCGCCTGCGCAAGTTGGATATGCTTTGCTGTTAATGCCATTGTGAATGTGCAGTGAGCACTGTCGCTAATTGGGGCGCTTTCTGTATGTTCGAGGTGATGTTCAAGATAAATTGAGGAAGGCCGAATACGCGCTAAGACGTTCTCGGCTCCGACGGCCGATCATTTATGAGGCGCATTTACAGCCTTGTCTAACCTTGCATGCCTTCAACATACAAGAACAAAAACACAATCACGAACCTTTTGCGCGTTGCTTCACGAAATTAAACACGGCGCCAGCTATACCACCTCGATCCATTAATTGCTTTGTACATCATTGCCACTGTTGCAGTTCGGCACCATGAGTACATCTCTTAATGGTAAGACGGAGTCCATAGCAAATGGCATAAACGGGCAGGGCGATCCGCCACCTCCACCACCCTCCGATTCTATACCTCCTCCGCCTCCAGAAAACTTCGCTCCACCTCCTCCCCAGGATCTGCCTCCGCCTCCTCCTTCCGAGTCGCACGCTCTTCCTCCTGCTCCACCACAAGAGCTGAAGAAAAAAGCTGGTTGGGGAGCACCGAAAGGCAGGCAGCCACTAAGTATAGAAGAGATACTACAGAAGAAGAAAGAGGCAGATCAAGCTGCAGCGAAGCCGAAATTTCTGTCGAGAGCACAAAGGGAGAAGCTGGCCTTGGAAAAACGAGAGAAGGAGGTCGAAGAACAACGACGGAAAACCGAAGCTGAGCGACAACCTATTGCGGCCGCCCCTAGGCAGGTACCGAATGGCTCTGGAGGATCCGATAGACGCAGAGATGATGATAGACGGGGCCCATCAAATGTGCCAACAGGCCCAAGGTCGATGCGACACGGGGATACAGCACCACCAACTGGCCTATCCGGAAGGAATGGAAATAACGGGAGACAACAAGGGAACATGGGCCCTCCAGATAAACAATCTGCAAATTCTGGAAAGGGGTCCTTAGCTGGAGAAAAGCGGCCCGCGAATGGCGAAAGCACAGAAGCTGCGCTCACTCGAGTGAGATACATGGGAGCGGAAGTAAATCAGTCTACATTTTCGGCCAACAAGAAGAGGAGGCGGACCACTGAGAAGAAGTTCAACTTCGAGTGGAATGCCGAAGAAGATACAAGCCCGGATTATAACCCCATCTATGCACAGCGGGCTGAAGTTAACTTCTTCGGAAGAGGCAGACTCGGCGGATTCGCAGAGGACCCCGAAAGCGGGGTTTTAAAATATGCGAAGGCGCTTGAAGAAAGAGATTCGGAAGCGGGCTCGGCACGCGCAAGGGAGCTTCTTGAGATGGAGCGTCGCAGAAGGGAGGATGCTGGGGGTAGAAACTCCCTCGACAAGCATTGGAGCGAGAAGAAACTCGAGCATATGCGAGAGCGCGATTGGCGTATTTTCAAGGAGGACTTCAACATCAGCACAAAAGGTGGAGCGATACCCAACCCTATGCGAAACTGGGGCGAATCTGGTTTGCCTAAACGGCTCATGGATGTTATTGCGATGGTTGGTTATGACGAGCCATCTGCGGTCCAACGAGCTGCCATACCAATAGCGTTACAAGCCCGAGATCTTATCGGTGTTGCCGTTACAGGTTCTGGTAAGACCGCAGCGTTTTTGCTGCCGCTGTTGGTATACATATCGGAATTGCCAGTGTTGAACGAGTTCACGAAGAACGATGGGCCTTATGCGATAATTCTAGCGCCAACTCGTGAATTGGCGCAGCAGATCGAAGCTGAGGCAAAGAAATTCGCAACACCACTCGGATTTACTTGCGTCAGTATTGTTGGTGGCCATTCTCTGGAAGAACAGGCTTACAATCTTAGAAACGGTGCAGAGATCATTATTGCAACCCCTGGTCGACTTGTCGACTGTATTGAGAGGCGCCTCCTTGTCCTCGGCCAGTGCTGTTACGTGATTATGGATGAAGCAGATCGCATGATCGATTTAGGCTTCGAAGAATCTGTCAACAAGATCTTGGACGCTCTGCCAGTAGGGAACGAAAAACCGGACACAGAAGAAGCAGAAGATCCACAAGCTATGACACAACATCTCGGAGGCAAGGATAGGTACCGACAGACGATGATGTACACAGCTACTATGCCTTCGGCAGTTGAGAAGATTGCCAAGAAGTATCTGAGGAGACCTGCAATTGTAACGATTGGAAATGTTGGTGAAGCTGTCGAAACCGTTGAACAGCGCGTCGAATTTGTCTCAGGCGAGGACAAAAGGAAGAAGCGCCTCAATGAGATCCTGGCCTCTGGAGAGTTCGCACCTCCCATCATTGTCTTTGTCAATATCAAGCGCAACTGCGACGCTGTTGCGAGAGATATCAAGCATATGGGATTCACATCAGTTACCCTCCATGGTAGCAAAACGCAAGAACAGCGTGAAGCTGCCTTGGCTTCGGTTCGCTCAGGACAAACAGATGTGCTGGTTGCAACAGATCTTGCTGGAAGAGGTATCGATGTCCCTGATGTCAGTTTGGTGGTCAACTTCAATATGGCGACGAATATTGAGAGTTACACCCATCGCGTTGGTCGTACTGGTCGTGCGGGCAAGAGTGGTGTGGCTATTACCTTCCTGGGTAATGAGGATGCGGACGTGATGTACGATTTGAAGCAGATGTTGATGAAGAGCTCCATCTCGAGGGTACCAGAAGAGCTGAGGAAACACGAGTCTGCACAACAGAAGTCCACAAGAGGTGGTGGGCAGAAGAAGATAGGAGAGAGCAGCGGTTTTGGAGGGAAGGGCGGGGGATGGTAATTATAAATCATGTGTAATATCTCAATAGATTTACGGGACAGCAACGGAGATCACTTGTATTCACTTGTATTTGGTCTGTCATAATATGTGCATTGGTGATGTAAATAAATTAATGTGCCTTGCTTCCTATACAGATTCAATCAACGCTCAAAAGAGCTATCGGTCTGTTCAAACCCGCGGCTTTATGAAATTAGTCTAGCAACGCCCAATCCTAAGATCAGAGAACGCCAGCATCTCGTCGAGTAGAAGCGTATGATGCTGGAAGATCTTATGTTGCAGCTTGGTTGGATCCCCAAGCCCAAGTTTGAGGGCCTACGGAACTCAAGACACCACCAAAATAAATAAAGCAAACCTTTCAGATATATTTATTGGCTTAGCCAACATAAATAAGGTTTCCGAGGAATCCGGAGTTGATTATTCGATTGCCATTCTCAAGAGGTGTCGTCGAAAAAAATATTTTTATTTTTATCGTCACTCTCGCTTATTTAAGTGGATCGTGGACTGCTTGGGACAACGACTAGCCTCATCTCAGAGGCATTATAAATTGCCGCCGGCAAGTAAACAAACAAATACGTCTATATGCAAATCTAATGATGACTTTATGGCGGTTGCCAAATGAATAATATATGACTGGCGCATCGAAGGTATGAGGCACTGGGCAAGATGGCGACTGCCTTGTTCGCATGTAATCATGTCAAGGACGCAATGCAGGCAGGTGCGACCTTGTCTATAACAATGATATATGCACAACAGAAGGCAGGTACATAGCCAATGTTTTACCAATGCTCTTTCCTTGCTTAAAGTGTTTTTGGGTTTTGTTATTTCGAGGCTACTGCCTCAGGATTGCAAGTTTGCTTTATTCTTTACATCATCTCATCTTCTACGTTTCCTGAGCATACTTCTCATTCATGGAACTGGTCTCGTTGGTAAACCAGATCTTTTTGATTATACATGCTTTTGGTATCTCTTCGTGCTAGTTTTCTTCATCAATGTCATAAAAATGCCGAGATATGGCATTCAGCACGTAGACAGTTCCACTTTATCACCGATTTCTCACCGACAATCGAATCCTATAAACACGTTAAAAGTTGATGATAGACTTCAATCTTCACCTCATGGCTCAACCAACCAAGCTAAAGGAGCCTTGGGTGCTGCCGATGGAATTAACGAAAAACATATCACGCCTCCGAGACGCAGCGATACACCTGATGATGCAGAGGGTTGGGACACTGTAGACAATATTACTGCCATTGGGCTAGCCTTTGGCTACAGCAATACACCCGAAAAAGCTTCGCCAACAAAAAAGAGGTTTGTATTGGAAGAGTTGGAACCGAGACATGAACCTCCCAGTATCCAGCCTACTCGGCCGCCATTTGAGAAGTGGGTGAAAAGCTTCAACAAAAAATCAACACGGAGACACAGGAGAGCGAATAGCATTGCCGGGACTGGAGTTTCTGACAGCGATTTTTATTCCTTGCAATCCAGAAATCGAACCCGACATCGCGTTCGAAAATCTGCATCTGGTTCATCGCTTGGGTTCGTGACGGCAGTGAAAAGTGCCAGTATCAGCCTTGCAAGCTTCAGTATCGCTACAAAATCCCGGAACCGTGGGCATTCCTCGAAGCATCAGAAGACCGACCGTAGCAGTAGGGCGTCTAATATTGGGCCCCGCACTTCTGAAGACAGTGCATGTGTTGCCAGGGGTATAGCCAATGATGTTGCAGTAACGAATCGTTCTATCCGGCGGCGTCGAGTGCTCGAAGAAATTATAAGCACTGAGGAGGGTTATTTTGGAGATGTGAAATTTCTAATGAATGTAAGTCTTGAGTTATCGTCGAAAATCCACGGGCTGATAGGTACCTCATAGGTGTATGTGACTTTTCTGGCTTCAGTTCCAATGCTACCAAGCCTCCGGGCTTCAATTAGTCGAAACTTGTCTGAGATTGTTGAGCTACATGACGAGCTTTTGGGAGACCTTCATCGAGTTGTCCCTCACTCGGAGTACACACAGCCAGATTATATATCTAGTCTCCCACCCGAGAAGAAGGGGCATCATCGCTGGAGGAGTCTTGATGCCGTTCCTGAGAATTCTGGTGACCTTTCGTGGGTGCAGAAAATCCCTGGGATGACAGCAGAAGCCCAAGTCGCTGCTGACGTGGCGAAAGTATTCGGCAAGAGGGTATGTTAAGGATTTCCCTTATCCTCGTTTTCCACAAATTCCCATACGCAAATACGGCCTGAAAACTGCTAACAAATTGCCCATAGATGCACCTCTTTTTTGCGTATGAGGAATACGGAGCGAAGTATGAGATGATGGTTAAGAATGTAGCATCGGCATACAAGACATTACCGCAGTGGGAGGAATATCAGAAAGGTCTGGAGGCCTTGGCGGCTTCTCTGGAGTCAACCAATATCCAAAACGGCCAACCTAACAAATCGTTAACTGTAGGTGATTTACTGGTGAAGGTAAGAAGCTGATCCACCGAAAGGCTGAGTATTAGCCGCAATTGCTAATACTGACTTAGCCTATACAACGTGTTTGCCGCTACCCACTCCTTTTTGTTGAGCTGCTTAGACAGACGCCCGTCTGTGATTGCCCAGAGTCGCACATGGAGATTGAAAAGGTTCTCGTGAGACTACGAGAAATGACATCGGAGATCAATAAAGCAACAGAGGACCCCCTCATGAAGGCAACAATGGAAAAGACATGGCTTCTCCAGGACAGACTTCTAATTCCTGATCAGGTAAGCCAATTCACACAGTTATTATTCACACAAGGTTGATGCTGAGATATCGGCAGGTTGATCCTCAATCCAAAACTTTGATTAGATCCCTGGGGCATGTACATCTATGTGGTGTTCTCCATGTTGCGTGGCAAACAAAAAATGGAGTAGATGGTCAACATATGATAACTTTATTATATCGAGATTGCCTGGTTCTTGCCACCGTTGAAAAATTGGAGGGCGTCTACAATGTGGGTGCAATTATATTTTTCAACGATATCCGAATCGAGGAAGCAGACAATGGGAAAGGTGTGTATTCTGAAGCGTATAACAATTTTACCACCGACATTGCAACTAACTATGCTAGGCATTCAATGCCATACAGCACCATATTCTTGGAAAATAGTGTTCGAGTGTGATCATCAGCTCTCTGAGATTATCTTTAGCGCGTGTTCGTCGAAAGAAGAACTAGAATGGAGGAATCGCCTCAACATTTGTACAAGCCGAGACCATACCGACAGTTGCGACCAGGCCTTTATGACCACAGTATCACTAGGAATCAAGTCGCTAGGGACTGTCTTTGGAAAACCAGGTTAGTATATACCTCAACTATTCACAAAGGGCGCAATCTAAAATGTTAAGGCACTGTTGCAAGGAGGCTTTCAATTCGAAGAGCCACGACAGTTGGACCGAAATCACCTCTGTGCCAAGTCATTATCAAGAATACAAGCGCTACAAAAGACACGGCGGCCCCGTCAACAAATGCAGCAGTCAATAGATCACAATCACTACTGGGGACAAGCCGCATCCCAGTTCTTGCCCCTTCAAGAGCTGAAAGGGTCAGATTGGAGCGTTTACTTTCAGACGTGTGGACAAAGCAAATTCTACCCTATCCGGGAATGTCTGGACGGGCCCGGAGTGAGCATGTTGTGCGCTCCTCGGCGAGCTCCATGATGAGAAAACTAAGCGTAGTAGGCATCACAAGTAATTTCGCCAAACTCTCAGGAAGCGCTGTTAGTCCACAGCATCCCCCTGGCTCACCCGGCGAGGACAATAGCGACAGCAAATTTGCTATTTCAGACAAATGCCCCGGCTCTCCTATCCGGTCTAACGTCTTAGAAACGGCAGCAAACAATATCCAACCGACGACTTCCATCCACGACTTGGACTTGCGCTTTGACTCTCTATTTGATAAAAAGATGGCCACCTTGGCGGCGCCCCCTGTTACTGAGAGTAGTCCCATCGGAACGATGAAGCGCTTGGCGGCGTTGAGAGTGAAGAACGTCCTACAGCCAGACAAAAATCGCTACGTTGCATCACCACCATCAACTCCTCGCAAAATCAGCCTGGGCCGGAAGATGATGAGAAGTGTTTCCGGAGGCAGTGTTGGTGGTCACTCTGGCTCTCCTTTGAGCCAGATTTCTCAAGAAAGTGAAAATCAAACACTGGTAAAGCCAGTCTGATGGATGCAGCTATGGGATCGCTGCTTAGGTATTTTAAAACGGTCTCTATTGTATACCGAGATCTTCGATTGGGGATGGGAGGTAGGAGGGTACATTCTTTGAACACAGCTATACCTCCCCTCGCCGTCCAAGAGTTCTCTACATTGTTCGGGGTTTCTGCAGACATTTATAGAACGTGGCTCAGTTATGCAAATACCCGTGTTATACTCCACCAATAGCAATTATCACACCAAAGACATCTCGAAGATGATAGAAAGTAGAGTAGTGGACCCTGAGGGGTATTGGCGTGTCCTGTCTGCCCCTCTCTCAATAATGACGTAGTGCGCCAAGTTAGGAACGTTCGGCTCACGGCGTCTGGGGCGTGCACGGTAACGATTCGATGACGAAACCATGAACCTCGCAGCTACAAAACCTCACTCAACCCCTCGTTTCCTTTTCTTTGATCTTACTATCATAAACACTTCACATTACATTGAAAACTCAATACTACACTCTCAATTTTAACTACTCCATACTCAACACAATACAAACCTCACCCCACCAACTCCAACTACATATCAAAATGGCTCGCGGAACCGGTGTCCAGTCAAAGGTCCACTACAAGGGCAGCACCGACGACTATGTCGTCTTCGTCGAGGACCCGGCTATGCTGAAGAAGTGGAGAGACGACAAGACCATCGCGCTGGTCGAGGTGGTCGACGCATTCAAGGTCTTCACGACCGGAAAGTAAGTCACCACCCCACTCCTCCTACCATTGCCAATGCGGGGATGAATGCTAATGACATGCAACAGGCACGGTGCACAGGGTGAGCTCAACACGGCCTCCAAGTCGCAGCTTGAGAACGAGTTCGGCACGTCGAAGGAAGACGAGGTTATCCAGAAGATCTTGCAGGATGGAACGCTCCAGGAGTCCGAGGTATGTGCTTCACTTACCCCGCTTACTTCCACCCCCATCACAACCCCAACGCAAGTATACTAACAGTTATGCTCCCAGGCAACCGCCAGGCAAGGCATCACCAACGAGACGATCGGTGTCCGTGGCCAGTTCTAGAGCGCTCGCTGCTGTGACGGATGAATGTACTGTTATGGATGACGTGAGGGGCCCGTCGGGGCTGGGGAGGATGAAGGGAACCATTGATGATCGGTGCATATGAGGCGTGACCGGAACGGCATCGGGAATAGGGACTTCTGTGATGGTAGCTTAGCTTAATTATGGCTATAGTACCTCTTGCAAGGAATAGGGAATCCTACAGTGATTTTCCAATGCTGACGACGTGGCCTTGGTGAAGTCACAGGAATACAATGTACGATGAGTTGGGGATGTGATGCGTTGTTATGCTGTGTTACTTCCATAATCGTTATCAGACACGAACAAGTAACACGGCAAAGATCATGGATGCTGTGCTCAGGGGCTTGGTGAGGTAATTCCTGTGTGTCATGCCCAGGAGGAAGGCTATTAAAGTACCAGCCAAGCCGAGTGTAACCTCTCATCACAGTTTCAAAAAACCTCTTGGTATTGAAGAAATAAACTGCTGCCCTCGCTCCATCTCCACCACGAGAAAGTTGGCGGCCAAAGCACCTCCTCCTTGCTCATTTGAATCTCCCAAGATCGTTCATGCTGAAGTTTTTAATTGGTATTATACTATCTATTCTAATTCCCCATCTGGCCCCTCAACGGCGTCGCAGGCTTTCTCGGTCTCAACATCATCAGTGTGTGACGTGAAGATATGTACCCATTCCCCGCGGGCAGCTAAAAAGACAGCGTAACGCCTCGCTCATGCCCACACAATACACATCCCACGCTCCCAAATATACGCCAAGCACCTCCGTATCCCCCTTTCATCTCGCTATACCTTGCCCGGTCTCCCGCGCTGCGGTAAGCTCCACGGTTTATCAACGACAATCTAGCATGTGTTAGCAACCGCCTCGAACATATGCGCGGAACAGGGAAGCTCACCTCGTTTTCGATGTATGCCCAGAAGTAGACCACGATGCCGATAGTGTAGTATATCGCAGGGTTGGTGGCCTGGTATAGTAGCGCTGCAGAGAGTACTGCGACGGGGTAGACGACCAGTCGCGCCTCGATGCTGCGGTGGAGGGCGGTCTTTGCGATTATGCCGAGCGGCCACTCCCAGGCTGTGATGACGAGCCCCATTATTAGGTTAATGGATTGCAGCACTGGTATGGGTTTTACAGCTCCGTCGAGGTTCTTGGTGAGGAAGTCCCAGAAGATCTTGGGCCAGAAGAAGCCTTCGATTGCGGCGGCTATTTGGTCTGGAGGTTCAGAGTTAGTAGGGTTCGTAAGGAGGCTGTGTGGTTCGCGGAAAACGTACATATAGAGGCAGAGAGGATGATGAGGCGCGCCCAGTGGTTCTTGATAAGCTTGCCCATGGTGTATTATATGTGTATTCCACTGCAGTCCCGAGCCTGCAACGCCTGATCTGCGCGAAGAGTTCAACTGGCGTAATTACAGTGGCTCCGACTCCAAATATAACAGTAGCAAGAATAAAGGCGAAAGTGCTGTAGGCGAAAGAAGTGACAGGTATCCGAACCAGCGGACCTGAGGAGAAAGTAGACTGTAGGAAAGAGAGGCTATGGACAACGACGGCGATGAGTGCGACAGCGTTGCTGGCGAGGAAGAGAGGCCTCTTGGCTCAACCGGCCATGCGCCCTACTATATCACTTCCGTTCGTGCCAGCGAGCGGGGCGTTGCGCGGGGGCGTCCGTGTTTCTGGTACTGTTGCAGGCGGAGGAGTGTGCGCTCGGCTTCGAGGGTTGTTCCGGTTCCAAGGCGCGCGATCGTTAGATGCGATGAAGGATGGTGGTATCGGTGGACTCGAGACGGGACGGGTGTTTGAGAGCGAGGGCTGGTGGTGAAGGCGGATATGAGTGAGTCCACAGTCTATGAATGGTGATACTCGGATGGTGAGAGGTGCTGAAGATGCCGGCGACCAGGAGCGGATGATGAGGAGAATGAAACCAGGGATGTAGGAGGGATGGGGTAAAGATCATACAGAAGAGAAAGAGAGACAGGGAAGGTCAAGTCAAACTTGGGGGACACCCTAAGTTACCTTGTACGTACTCGCACCATGCGCCTCCATTCCACGCACGTACTGTAGCAAACGCCGTGGCCACATGGCGTGGGACCATCGCCGGGCCGGGGGGGGGGAGGGCGGCTAGGCGGTCAATTGGAGTTTGAGAGCTATAATTGAACACACACCACAGAGCGGCCATAATTGATAGTATGGAAAAGCAAAAGAGGGAAGCAGATTACTGGTTTTGTGCATATAAGACGCCGATTGGGGCATTAGTCACTGGGAAGTATGTAGGTCTGTAGAGTGTAGAGGGTATTTTAACTGTGTGACCGTTGATACCGGGGATAAGTGAAGTGAAGAATGGCACGGCTGGAGGTGTCGAGGTGCAGTATGTGCAGGTTGGTGCCGGTCTTGCATCTGATTGGCCGATCGATATGTGCCAGGCGGTTAGGTGCCACAGTCATTGGGCAGTCCACACTCACCGTACCAGTATAGAGTAACTAACTAACTATCGCATCTTCGGAGGCGAGGTAAATAGTGCGCTTTCTTCGTCAATCACTAGATTGTTCCTATAATATGCCTCTGTTGAAGACAAATAATAAGATACTCCTATTGACCACCACATATGACGGAACCACCACCCCAACTCCTCCCGAGGTGCCGCACCAGCTTGGCCCACCCCTTGCCGCGACGTAGCAGAGTCTGGTCTGAGGCAGGTCACGTTTGGAGAGAGCACAGCCCGCAAACCCAGCATATCGAGCGAATCCAGCAAAGCCAACACCAACAGGTTACTATTTCTGTATTTAATCCTTCGGCTGCCTCAATATAACCATTCCTACTGCCACTGTTGGTCAAGGGGAGGCCTTGAACCGCCCTTGGTAAGGGTACCAAAGACTCATGCAGCAAGGAGACATCATCATCTTTTCCGAGGAGCGGGCGGGAGGTGACACTATTTTGGTGCCTCTACTTCAAGAAGGGGTCTCATTGGTCCCTCGCCTCACTCCACCACCCCTCCGCCTTGGCGTGTCTTACAGATGCGGAAGAGCTAGTCAACACAGTAGTATCGCCAGCCACGCCACTTCTTCAGTGGGATTCTGGAGGCGGTCGTCTGTGATGTGATCTGCCATGTGTTGATGGTGATCGTGTCGTTGTGTTGCCCAGTGAGGATGCCAATGGAGCAGAATTAAAAACTTTACTTTATTAAAAGTAGCGAGGGATCCTCGACTTCGGTATTCGCTTGCTGGTGAGAATGGATTGCACTTCCGTTCTCAACTCCCAAGATAGAAGCTGCAAATGGCCCGTGTGACAATGCCGTCGTCACTTCTCAAAAGGTAGTGGCTAATATCGATAATCCTTTGTGATTCCCCAAGTGATAGATACTTTATGTAGCTAGAAGCACATCATACCCCCTGCCATCGTAGTGCCTGAGCATCATCCTCTTCTAGCCATATCTGTTCGAGCACGCAAATATTCCCGTCTATCACATCAGAACCCTGCCAGACTTCACTCAACAACGTATTCACAAAGCCAAAATTCTATAGCTTGTTCCGCTTGTCCCTTGTCCGGCACGTATTCTTTGATAGCGTTTTGACCATCCGCTGCCGTTGCTGCCACGGCCAGCTCGGAGAAACCGTGGAACATATCGCTCAGCACATTCTTGGTGTGCTCCTGGAGCTGCCCTCGGGCGGAGCAGTGTGACAGTATAGTAACGGGCGAGACGGGCACTATTATTGGCTTTGATTGAAGAATCTGGCGCTGGCAGACGAAGATTGCCATGGATAAAGCGCGGAGGCTGTTGAGAGGTATGATGGACACTTCGAGTCTCAGGTCGAGCAAACTTTGCTTTGATTAGCTCATCTGGATGGTTATATAGGTATGAGTCCGTGGATTACCAACATTGTCTGAAGCTTTATGTATGCAGTGAAGCCATTCTTTCCGTCTTTCTCCTTCAATAGGAAAACAATGCCAACATATTGCCCTCCATTAAAGAGACTAAGTCTTTCTACCCTCTCCACAACTCCTTCTTGGGTGTCCAGGTCTGATGCGGATAAAAGCAGAAAGCGCATGGGATGCTGATGTTCTCCAGACCCGTATATCGGGACAGCTATGTCGTGAGTGTTGAGGGTTTTCTCTCCTCGGCGTCAGAATCTTTAACCTCTTTGTCAGAGGAGAGGCATTATCTTACCTTGCCATTTTGGAGCAGGTATGGACAGAAGATTGGACGGGACTGGCTCCCATTGAGGCCGTTTTCGTAAGCTGCTGCAGAACATGGTTTGATGGCACGATGGGAATTTATCCCCCAACGCAACAGGCAGAGTATTCAGATAGATTTTGATATTGAGATGTAAAAGGTCTACTTAATGTAAGGTTATGTGAATAATACGAATGAAATGCACGATAATAGCTTCTTGGAAATGGGTATATATAGTAGGGTTGTCTTATAGGAGCGATTTCCCCAGACAAGACACGAGAACATAATCTGATGTTCCCCAATCGCCGAACTACAAGAGCACCTTGCTAGGTACCCGAGCGGTCCCTTTGCCGGGTTGCCCCAACCATGGGAGAGTCTATGTAATATTATACAAACAAGTAGAGTATATACACCTACGCCTTCTTGCACTACTTATATAAATGTGCAAATAAAGCTGCGAACCTCGTTCTGTAAAGAGTCCATAGATCATGATACGAAATACTATTCGGGTAGCCAAGGTAAACCTTCCAGTTCTACGCCGTTTTTAGCTTCCCTGTAGCTCTTTCACTCTTCAGCAATTCCAAAGCTTGCTCAAGTACATCAACACGAAGTTGTTGCTTCTTCTCCACCTCTTCTAGTTCCGCTACCCTGCGCTCCTCGTCTTTCAGCAGCTCTGCTAATTCAGCAATCTTGACTGTATTTTGATCGGGCTTCGATTTGGATTTGACGTATTCGTATGTAATGAGGCCACCTGCAACGAGCAGGACAAACGCATCGCCCAGGACGTCGGCAAACAAATCGACAGCCTTCGCTTCTGGTATAGGCCTAAACTTGCGCGTCCATATGCTCCTGCTGGGGTCATAAGAAGAGACCTTTTCTTTGGTCCCTGTCGCCGCGGCCTTTGCAGCAGCAGCAGCCTTTGCGGCGGCCTTTTCTTCGTCGGCCTTCACCTGCTCCGCAGTCTTGACTGTCGGCGCCTCCGCCTTCTCTTTCGCTCGTTTCTCCGCCGCCACGTCGCGCATGGAGGCGACGGAGACTCGCATGGTTATTTGGTGTATCGTTTGTCCATATTTGGCTGCTATGCGCCGCAGTGACGGGTGTTCGTGGGCTTGGATCTTAATTCTATTCTATAGCTGGTGTCAGCAACTGCGGTGCATTGCGAGAGGGGGGGATGCACTTACTGCGCCATACTTGGAAATATGTCTAACAAATAAAGATGCAAGTTTGAACAATGGTAAAGGCACCATGATGGGATAAAGGCCTAATGGCGTCTAGATAATGGTAACTGCCAAGGTTTGCCTGGGCATGGATTTTAGACAGTCTCCAAACCGATGTGTTCTGTGAAATGTATGGGAAGCAATTTAACCCGCCCGCGACACAGGTAAAATAAGACAACTATTTCAACTCCATTGCAATATAGATATGGTAAAGAAAGGACCCTGGATAGTCTTGTCGGTAGTAATCTGCTCCAGTTCAATATGCTCCACAGTGGGTATCGCGGTCTGACGTTTGTTATCGGAGCTCGGCATATGTTATGACCGTCAGTTGCTCTGCCAACCACACCGTCCGAACTTGACTGATTTGAAGTGTATCTTTAATCAACAGCTGGTATTGGAATCGGTCTTCAGTAGTTTTTGGCTTCGACAACAAAAAACGACAGCCATCTCGAAGGCTCCAGATTTGCTCAGTTGCAATTGCTTAACGCTTCGCCTAGCTTATTATGCCAACGCTTCGAAAGACCTGAAAACCCAGCCAACCTTGTAAGTAACGCTCATTACCCGAACAGCACGCGATCATGGAGGGGGGATCCTGCATGCCACCGGTAGGATGGCTGTTATATGAGGATATGCGACTGCCACAGCGAATTATTGAGCATATCATCAGGAAGAAATGCGAGGTTGATCAACCATATTACTCTTCTAGCGACTCAGATAGCGAGATCGACTTTGAGCCTCCAAGAGACCCATGGTACCAGGAGATCGGGCCAGTGCACGATATACTCTATCAAGACGATGGGGAGGAGGCCCACTATCTAGCTGGGTCTATTTTTTGCCAGGCCCTGTCTATACCCAGGGACTGTGTCAGGCCTCTGCTTGAAGACGAATCTCACCAGTTGGTCTTTTTTACTAATCAACGAGTTATACAGATATACTGCGCTCACGATTCCAACGAGAAACAGTTGCTTGATAACCTTGCTCGCCTTGATTTTGAATATCACGACCGAGAAGAAGAGGATCAGCTTGAAGAAGACGAGACATACGAAGCTACCACAAAAGAGGCGTTTGCAACTGTAAATTCATATCTTGCTTGGGAGTGCCTGTATCCGGAAGGCATAGATATGGCCGCCTTATCGCCCCTGGATATTAATGCCAATCTCAGGCCTCGACAGGCTGCGCACAAGGAAAGAACCAAAGCCCCGCCAGCCAAAATTTCGTCGAGAGAGAAAGACCATCCCCCACCACCTCCCGCTGAGGTTTACGAGCCTCCGAGTTCTGATCGCCCAAATGGAGCAACATACACAACTGGAAAATTGCTGGGGAAGGGTGGCTTTGCGATTTGCCATGATGGTGTCCTGGCAGGCACAAGAGAGAAGTATGCTCTGAAGATAGTGAAGAGCATCATGCCACAAAAGAAGATGGAGCAAAAGGTAAGTTCCATAGGGGATCCGTTATTTTTAATGAAGCAACTAGCATTCTAACTTACTCGTAGTTTCAAACGGAACTGCAAATCCACTCCAAGATGAGACACGCCAATATCGTTCAATTCCACAGGGCTTTCACCTACCAAGAAAGTACATACATAGTACTTGAGCTATGCCCAAATGGCTCCTTAATGGACATGGTGAAGAAGCGAAGATTCGTTACCGAGCCAGAAGTCCGCTTTTATACAATTCAAATTGCTGGAGCTATCAAATATATGCACTCGAAGGGCATTATTCACCGAGATCTGAAGATGGGAAACATTTTCTTAGATAAAGATATGAACGTCAAGGTTGGAGACTTCGGCCTTGCTGCATTGCTCATGTCTGGGAAGGATATGACTGCGTGCCGAAGAACCACACTCTGTGGGACACCCAACTACATCGCTCCGGAGATCCTAGAAAAGGGAAAAGGGGGCCACGACCATGCAGTCGATATTTGGAGTTTGGGTATTATCATGTAAGTTCCCCCAATATGTCACAAATTCAAGATGCACGCTAACATTTATTTAGATTTGCCATGCTCACAGGCCGCCCACCGTTCCAATCCACTACGCAGGAAGAAATATACAGAAAGGCGAGAGAGCGCGAATACGACTGGCCTTCATTGGACAAAACTAATAACTATATCTCCCAAGAAGCTAAGGACCTGGTAGCACTCCTCCTCCAAAGCCCAGAAGAGCGTCCGGATTGCGATACCATCGTTCAGCATCCATTTTTCTCCAGTGGGTGGGTCCCACAGGAGGAAGAAATGACGCCTTCCCTCAGGGAAAATTCTCCTGACCCAAACCAATTTGCTACTCTCAGCCTTCGCGGAGGAAGGGCAAGCCTATATGCCAGGAATCTAAAGGCCCTTTGCGTAAAGAGTGATGTTGGGCCTTGGAGCACGACTCAAAAGGTGCATTCGAGCACTTATAGGGAGGTTGCAGCAGAAGAGAAGGCAGGCCTTACACCAGCGGTACCTCTGGCAGACAACGTTGTATACCGGCCATTTGACGAGGTAGTATGGGAGCATAAAGCGACTTTTGCACGGGAAGAATCTAGAGCGGAAACCAAGTCTAAGGCATACGACCAGAAACCGCTTACACATCGGCCAGTTACCCTGGCAGCCGCATATAAAACTGTACCACGGAGCTTCGCGGCTCAGCAACGCGCCCAGAACCAGCCGCCAACTATTTCGGCAACAGCTCGCCGGCCTAGAGCACAGGCCGAATCCGGGCCCAGCACACGACGAGCAACTCTTGACCAAGCGTCTGAGGAGGAGCAGACCTCCACCGAAACTAGGACTAGGACAAGAAGAGAGGGCAAAGGTAAAGGCGTTTCCGAGTCAGTCATGGCAACCGAAGCACGTCTAGGCGCAGACATGGTACAGCAGCTGGGGAAATCAAGATCGGAGACTACAGCGCCGGCTGTAAAGTCCTCGTCCCGTGATCCAGGCATTGCTTCCATATTCAGCCCTTCTGAGAATGCTGAATTTCTTCACCGCTCCAAGCCGAAACACGTCACTAAGAGCCTTCAAATTCTCTATACAGAGATCGAACGCACGCTGAACAGTAGATCAGTTGGGCCGGCACTGGAAGGGCCCGATTCCGAGCCAACTATAGTTGTGAAGTGGGTTGACTACACCAACAAGTTTGGATTGGGCTACATTCTGAATGACGGAGGTGTCGGATGCATCTTCAAGTCTCTACCTGTCTCTGGTGATCCGAATACCCAGGTTCCGCCTACTTGTGTCGTCGTTCGAAATGCCGAGAAGCACCTTCAAAACCGACGCAATCCCAACTATCCTGATAGAAACCAGCTTGTGCCGGTTTCAGGAGCGGACATTGAGTTCTTCGAAAACAATGGCGACGAAGGGATCTCCTGTGTTAAGGTTAACCCCCGTGCATTTGCAGCAAGCGAGGAATATGGCGTGGCAGGAAAATTAAGCCGAGGAAAGGACGAGTGGGAAGACAGAAAGCGTGAGAAGATCGTTCTTTGGAGGAAATTCGCAAACTATATGACAGTATTTGGCCGGGACCAAGATCACCCATACGATGACGCCCTCAACAGACTGTCGCTGGATGACGACTCGGACTCCTCGGACCTCAATAAAAGCAACGTGGTTACATTTTATCAGCGTTTTGGCGATGTTGGGTGCTGGGGATTCCTCAATGGTTCTTTCCAGGTAAGCTAAACCAGCCGCGAGTTGCTAAACCATCACTAACACGTCTTGCAGTTCAATTTCCCAGACCACACAAAAATACTTCTTTCGGCAGATGGAACTTGGTGCGACTTCTATCACCTTCCTCTTGAGGCAGCACGCGATTTAGCACTCACCGGCAACTTGCCCAGCGCTGCGCTAGATGATCGCCAACATCTCTCTTTCCCACTACAAGCTTTCTTGAACTTCATGACAAAGCCTTCCACACGCAATGGCATGACAAGTCGTCGCCGCGGCATCCAGGTTGACCCGATGATTCAGGGCATCCCGGCTGCAAATGACTTCCGTCGTAAGGTTGAGTTCATCAAGGCCATCGTTGAAGAGTGGATCACAAATGGTGGAATTGGCCGGAGCGCAATGGAGCCAGAAAGCCGATTGAGGTGGCTTGGAAACAGAGAGCTTGTTAATGTCAAGGTTCCGTTTAAGCACGTCTGGGTTACAGTCGGAGCGTACGGTGGAGATGACCGCCGAGTTGCGTGGTTTGACCCGAGGGAACCAAGCCAGGTTGTGCCAGATATTGAAGCTTGATCGACGTGCGACGACCTAATGTTAATGACATGACAGCAAAGGGCTGGGGTGTTTTTTTTTTTTTTTTTCGACTTTTTCCTTATCATGTGGAGAAGGCGCTGGTTGGCGGAGTATATGGATGCATGGAATTATGGTGTTTCGGAGGCGTTGGTCATTGTTAGGAGTACGAAAGCGCGCATTATTCCGCGAAATGGAACTTCATAGCCTTATATATAGGAATTGATTGTCTCTTAAATTATTACCATATGATATTGGTTATTGGCCTGGTCTCATCACATTGAGATTTGCCAAAAATCAGATCGGTAGATAGTAAATTAATTGAACAAAAATATATCAAAAATTCTCTAATAACGTAAATATCTCGAATAGAAACCTGCCAGGAGGCAGCAAGCTAAATCGCGACAGTCCAGCTATCAAGTTTGGTCTCCAACGTCAGTGTCGTCGAGGTCGCGTCTAAACTTCGGTATGGGCGCTTGGCGCCGCGCTTAAACGCCATCGTCCTAATCAACCTCGAGCAGCTAAATCAACCTCACACATCCCAAACCTCAGCATGAAGCAATTAGCGACCAGGACTACAACTCAGAGCTTTGGTAGATTTATCTGCCGTAGCTGCTCTCACCTAGCACCTCGACAGCGCCGAGGTTATGCAACGGAATCATCACCAGAACTATATGATGTGGTCTGCGTGGGGGGTGGACCAGCTGGTCTAAGTGTCCTGGCAGCATTGAGTATGACCAGCATCTTGAAATCCACTCTGTAACATCAATTGACTTCTTCCCAGGGGCAACTGCCGCCACTTCCGGCCTCAAAGTTGCTCTTATCGAAAGCCAGGATCTAAGCCGAACGCGATCATGGTCGCTCCCGTCAACACAATATTCGAACCGATGCAGCTCCCTCACACCCACTTCCGTGGAATTCCTTGATAAAATTGGCGCGTGGAAGAATGTCAAGCGCGACAGGGTGCAGCCGTACGAGGAGATGCAGGTGTGGGATGGAGTTACAGGGTCGAGGATAGAATTCGACTGGCCGCAAGGGTCGCAGGGCAAAACGATAGCATATATGAACGAGAACCTGAACCTCACATCAGGCCTTCTCAAACGGATTGACGAATTATCTGGAGTCTCGATTTTTGACAACACGAAAGTAGAGAATATTGAACTCGGCCAAGAAACTGAGACGGCAGACCTGCGGTCATGGCCTATTGTTCAGCTCTCGGGTGGCCGGCAAATTGCGGCACGGTTACTTATTGGAGCCGATGGCGCCAACAGCCCTGTCAGAGCATTCGCGGGTATCAACAGCTCGGGGTGGGATTATAACAGGCACGGGGTTGTGGCTACAGTCGAATTGGAGGGTGAGGGATGGGGCGGCGAAGACCGCAAGGTTGCATACCAGAGGTTCCTTCCCACCGGCCCAGCCGCCATGCTACCACTACCGGGACGTTTCTCAACCCTCGTCTGGTCAACGACACCGGGGCGAGCCGCGCTCCTGAAGACATTATCCACCGAAGACTTCACAGCCATGGTCAATGCTGCGTTCCGCCTGTCGCCCGTTGATCTCACATATATGCACACTCTTACTTCCGGCCAGGCCGATGAGTATAACTGGCGATCCCAGCATACTTCTTCTGATACCAATCGAATCCCTCAACGGGTTCTGTCAGTCCAGGAGGGAACAGTAGCCTCTTTCCCACTCAAAATGCGCCATGCAGATACTTATATCGGCGAGCGCGTAGCTCTGATTGGAGATGCTGCACACACCGTCCATCCTCTTGCCGGACAAGGTCTGAATCAAGGGCAAGGCGATGTCGAGAGCCTCGTGAAAACAATCGAGTATTCCGTGACTCATGGACTGGATATTGGTGTTTCCATGAGTTTGGAGAGCTATAATGCGGATAGATATGCCAAAAACCATGTGCTAATGGGCGTGGTGGATAAACTCCACAAGTTGTACGCATTTGAGAGTGGCCCCATAGTGCCTCTGCGAAGCATTGGCCTGAGCGCGGTGAATGCTTTGGGACCTCTCAAGCACTTCTTTATGGGGCAGGCCGCCGGAACTGGGGTGAAGATATTGTAAGAACAAGGGGTATATCAATTACTTACTGTACATCAAATTTGTATTTTTATTGGCAGCCCCGCCAACGGCCGCCTAGACCGGTTGCAACTATACCACAAGGTGTGAATGTATTGTTGGTGCTCAATTAAGGTGGATATGGGCGAGCAATTAAACACTATTCAGATTCCCAATACCAGCCAAGCTCGATAACTCTGGCAGTGATATCCTCTATGATTGCCTGGTTCTCTAGCATTCCTTCGACCTTTTATCAAATCAACATGGTGGTCTCCAGTCACCAGTACATTCAGAGCTTTCCAGTGATAGATATGAATGAAAACAGGCGTTAAAGGTGATAAATTGTTGCCTTCAGTTCACCACCACTCTTGTTTCGTCGTCCATATCCGCAATATTACCCACAGAATCCTCATAAGTCCTTCTAACTCTCGAACTATCGCTAATACCCATTACATCGCACATCATCCCCTTCGTGCCAACAAAAGCAAAATCTTGGAAAATGGACATCGTATTCGGTGGCAGAGGCGACGGTTGCGGGGACCCACGGTGCGAAGCCTGTTCGGGCGGCGGAATGGGTGGTTTCATGCCCCCATTTCCATTTCCCGGATTTGGAATGCCTCCTCCTTTTATGCCATGTGGCCATGGTTGCACTGGTGACTGCCAGAATCCCGGTGGTGGCTTTCCAGGACCAATGCCTGGTGGAATGAACTTCCCGGAGTTCCCACCACCATCAGGCCCGGGACCATCCAACTTTCCCGGCTCTGGGGGGCAGAATTTCCCCGGCCCTTATCCACAACCGACCGAATGGCCTGGCGTTGGTCCCGGCAACTTAGGAGGCCCTAGTGGTGGAGGTGGAGTTGCCGTCTCCGAATCCCCTTATGTATATCCTCTGGGAGCATCCGGCCAACGCATAAACTTGCTGATCGATACTGGGGCATCTCTGACATTAATTTCTACTGCTGCATACAACAAACATTTCCGAGGCATTCCTGTTCGCGCAGACAAAGGATAAACCTCGGAGGCATCGGTGCTGGACTGAGCCCTAGCTATCAAAGATTTAGGATGCCTCTAACATTTGATTTCGGCAATGGAAAAGCCACTGTTGAAGGAGAGGCATGGATTTGTGACAGTGGTTTTGATGTTGAGTGTCTCCTTGGTCTGACCAGATGAGTCTTGAATGGGGTAGCATCGGTGAACCCGATTCCATCATGGTTCAGGGGCACAAAATCCCCATTAATGTTGAATCCAAAGTGGTGCAATACCTAGTTGGCCACCGGAGTGGACGCAGCGCAAAGGGCGCCTGATTCGAGTTGGAGGAAAGCGAAAATAAGGAAGACTGGCAGTGAATGTGCAACTTGGAGGTGTGTCATATGAAATAATATTACAGGGTAACTGGGTTTGCTCACTATGGACGGCGAATAACAGCGATGATTTAAGTATATAAAGCTATACAATTCACTCTATCTGATATATCTTTATTACCTGTTTATCTTCCGTGTCTTGAACGCTTTGCTTTACCTCTACTACGCTCTGCTATTCCACATTCAACTATCCACCTCGATATTCCTTCGTGATTCATAAGAGAGAAGACGCCATGGGCGATATGGGATGGAGCCCAGGTGATGGGTGGGCTTCTGGACCAGGTTGCAACCCCAGACATGGTTCTCACAGACCCGAACCTGGCCACTATTATGGCCCCCCTCGTGGCACGTTTTCCCCAAGGCTTTCAATGGCCCCGCCACGGCGGCCCCCACCAGGTTTCATGCCCCACGGGTTTGGCCCTCCGCCTCAAATGCGGCCATTTCCAGACAGAGTCTTTGATGACTTCGGCGACGAAAACCGCTATGATAGAGAGTTCAGCAAGTTCCAGCGAGGACCTGCTCCTCGTCACAGTTCAGGCCATGGCCTAGGAGATTTTGCTGATATGTTTTGGGGCTTGAATCTCGATCACCAAGGGAGCAGTGGCGGTTCCAAAGGTGGTAATGGTAGCCATGGAATTGATCGTGACCGGTCGAGGGACTCTGAGACTCCGGTAACATTTCCTCTGTCGCTGTCTGGCAAAAAGATCCATTGCATAATTGACACTGGAGCCTCAATGACACTCATAAAGCGGTCTTCCCTGCGACGATATTTCCCAGGCATATCGGTGACACGTGGCGTGGGGATAACTATGTCAGGTATTAGCGGTAAGGGCGATTCAACGGATGAGCGAATAATGCTTCCCCTCACTTTTATTGGAGAAAGGGGGGAGCCGATTCGGGTTCAGGGTGAGGCATGGATTGTTGAGGGGAAGCATTTGGACACGGATATTTTGCTGGGCTTGCCATTCATGAGGGACAATGGAATGCATCTCCAGTGGGGTAGTGGAGCAGGTCGCCGTTCTGGAGGGGATCATGTTGCGTGTAGAGGATCAAGAATACCCATTAGTATTGATTCTTAAGCCTAAAGGAGAACGAGTATGCGAGCGAGACTTTAATGAAATAATACAAATGCCCAAACAATCGCAGTGACCCATGCATGATAATTTACACGGCAAGGGCGTCAGCCTAGGCATGACGTGAGGTGGTTCCAAATCCAAACGTTTCACACTTCACCGGGAAATGGTCAATAACTTAATAGACCCTGGCATATTCAGTACGAACTCAATTAACGTAAAATTTCAAGTTTCATTACACTCAGATGTGAACAATTCCGCTCGCTATCTATTGAACCGTTGACGTTTTCAAGTCAAGTCTTATGAGACATAAACCAAAGGCAAGCCTTATTCTATCAACAAAGATTATAGCCGCCTGAAACCCACTTGGTTCATGTATACTCTCATTATTGACTCAACGTACATAGGCGCCCGTTTCGTAGAAGTTTCCTTTAATGCCAACAAAAAAAACACAATTCATCATCCATGGTATCGGTTTGGTAATATCGTACTTGGATCTCTTTGAGTCTATATAAACAACCATACAGTGCATGTCTCACTCCATCCGAGTGGTTTTTTTCGCGCTGATTGGGTGCGTTTTGGCCTGCAGGGAGAGATTCGGCAACGTCCCGGTAAGCTTCCAGCTGTGTGGTCAGACCACCAAGAAGGCGTTGAAGCTCGCCTGCCATTTCTTCGCTTGTTGATGTGCCCGCCAACGCTCCCATAGAAGGCGGAATTGGCAGCGACGGAAATCGGTCCATGCCGTAGACTACGCCCTGGGGTGTATTCCAGGACGGGGCTGATTGGTGGTTGAACGGTTTTTCGATGATCGGAGGCTGCAAATAATCTGCGTCAAAGTAGTCGAACATCTGTTGGGCTCGCTGGCCATAGTATTGGCCATTTGGCGGGCCATATTGCTCGGCATCAGAGCCGGAGAAGTCAGATATATCTGCTACATCTTGCAGGTTGCTTCGGGCGCGGAAATGGCCTGCAAATCCTGAGTCCCCCGGAAGATAAAGAGAGGGTTCCCTTGGTGCATTGCGGAAACTAGTCGACGCATGGCGTTCCAAATCAAAAGGATTGCCTGAAACAAATTCGTTACTTGTTGTAGAATCAGCGGTAGATGGTCGAGAAGGTTCTGGGGCGTAGTCCGGAACGTATTCCGGTGCGGAATCTGGAAGGCCGAAATCAAGGTCTATCAGAGACTCTCGAATGGATTGTCTGGGGGAAGTGGGTGCAGACGCCATAAAGTTATTAAACCCAACGCCGAGCGGCTCTGTGGGGTGGTGCACTAGCGTTGGGCGACCACCGGATCCCAGCGTGACAGGAGGGCGGGCTGGAGCCGCTGTGTTTGGAAAACGGCTTGTTTCCACGTCTGAAGATGCTGCTGGAGCGGATGGGAATTTCCAGTCCCGGGTGCGACGGTTTGGGTTTTCAGCTGGATGCGATAACGGTTGTCTGCCAAAACCATGCATGGTGTTATCGTCGTAGCTGTATTCAATGTCATCGGTGTTATCAGTATCACTGGCGCGAATTTCTCGGTCAGGTCGGATGGTAAGATCTGGGAAACTTGATAGTCCAGTTTCAGTGTCATGCCCGCCCAAATCGATCATCGTGTCTCTGATAGATATCTGAGCCGTGTCGTCCCTTTCTCTCAGTGGAAGGTCAGAGACTGGCATTACAAAGTCTCGCCCATAATGTATCCTTGAGTTATCCTCGTAGTTGGAGATTGTATTAGGATCGAACAGTTTTTCAAGGGGAGCTTTAATTGGGTTCAATAGCTCTGGCGGAGGGCGGCGTCTGCCACGTTCTCTTGCCTGTTGTTGGCGGGAGGGCTTGGAAGTCTTTTCTGCTAACTCAGTGCTGAGATCAACGGAACTGCCATAAACATTTATGACGTCCTGTAGGTTGGTCGAATCACCAACGGCCTGATCAAACGCAGCAGTTGTGGAGAAATTCCAATTATCCTGATCTTCGCTAGATGGAAACGCATCAGATGGACCTTGTGCGCCTCCCAACATGAAAAGCGACTTTCGAGAACCGCCAGACCTCCCAGTGTTTGAAGGCCCTGACAAGTTCAACAAGAGAATATGCTGGATATGCATTGTTGGTGTTGTAAATATACGGATGCATCTGGACAGATTGATGTCCGGCCTGTCTGAAACACGCTCTTCGAGGCAATATGCCACGATATTCTTCAAGCCCTCACTATACTGGTTCCCCTCGAGCCGTGGGATGTGTTCTTTGAGATAGTCTCCCATTTCAGCGCCATCGGTAATTCCAGATCTTGCGTTTGGGGGCAGGCCTGTGGCCATTTCGTAAGCCATCGATCCAAAAGCCCATATATCAACCTCTTTGCCATAATGTGGGTTTGCGTTAAACAGCTCGGGCGCCATCCAGTTTATAGTGCCTATGAATGTGGATCTCTTATCGAGGGATGTCTCCATCATGCCAGCGACACCGAAATCACAAAGCTGAACGCATCTTCGGTAATGAGGACATTCGCACCTAGCATATGTTAACATGATGTTTAGGTCACAAGTTGGAGGAGAACTAACATTTCAAGTCTCGATGAATGATACCGGCTTGGTGGACCCAATAAACAGCTTCTGCAACCTCTCTCAAAATGGGAATAATGTACCGCTCGCGGAGGCCTTTTGGTGTTGGTCTCATCTGAGGGCTGTCAGCTTTGCGTTCGATACAAGCACAGATAATAACTTACCAATGTAGAAATACTGCCGCCGCCGCAGTACTCCGTTATCATCCACATTGCCTTGCCAACCGGAAGGGCTTCAATCACATGATTGATGTTCCGGGCCTTTGTTTCGCTGAGAAGCTTAAGTGCATTGACTTCTTTCATAAATTCCGAATAAGTATCGGCGAGGCGTGGGTTCAAAGTGTCACCCTCGTCAATATCGATAATCTTGACAGCGACAACCGCGGTAGAAGTCAAGTCTTTCCTAAACAGTAGATTCAAATTAAAACCAGGGCATTTGCGCGGGCGAATTGTAGAAAGACTTAAGCTTTGTAGACTCTCCCAAAACTTCCTTTCCCAATCAATTCCAGTAACATATAATTTGGAGGATCCCGAGAAGATTTCTTGCATTCCTCGATCACACTGACTTGCATTTGGCGTGCATCTTCCACCGCCTTGGTCTTGGTCGACTGGATATCATCCGACTTTGCGGACAGAAAGTCCATCTTCGCGATATTGGAACGAGGTGTGCGGTCACCACGCAACAGCCGAATAACAGTCTCGCTCCTACCGAAAGTAGAACTGCGATCTAAATTGCTCAGGCCAACTGAAGGCGTGGGTGGGGCCAGCCAACGAGATGCAATAGGGGCGGGTGAGGCAGCGCCTATTTGATCGATAACTGGAGGTAAAGCTGTCGTCCCCGTCGGTGTTAGCTGCCTGGTTCCCCGGGAAAATAATGGAGCAGGAATCAATTCTGGGTGTGGCGGAGTCCACCCCCCGGAGGGCATCTGCTGCTTGTCGGCCACTTTGGGGTTTTTACTTCCGCCCATGGTGGTGATAGCGTGTCTGCACAGATTTATGATAATACCGGTGGCAAGACAGTTAGTTGTTGCCTTGCAACAACACACTTCGTACTAGATGGCTGTGGTGGGGCTTCTGAAAGAGGAAGCAAATATGGTTCTTTGGATGAGCATCCACTAGGATGAGGATCAAGAGGGTTCGCAAGAAACTCTATGCTTGTAGAGAATGAAGCACTTGCAACAAGTGATTGATTTAGATGGTTGGTAGATGTAGAGGGGTGTTGTTGTGAAATCAGATAGAGAACAATGATAGTTGTCTTGAGAGTGGGGTTCCAAAGTGGTGAACTCTCTCGTATCATATATGGAAAGCCAAGTAGTATTGATGAAATGTGAGAAGTATGCAAATCAAAGTAGAGAGCAATATGTTTGAAGAAAGTTGGGGTCCGTGGCGTGGTGTAGACGTGGTTTTGTCGGGGTTGTAGATAGAAAGAAGGAATTAGACTCACGACGGAAACTCCAAAATATAAAAACGCTTGTTGCTAGGTAACTAGGCAGAGTTGGCTATTCTACGACAATAATTGGGACACCCGAGCGTCGGGGATGCCATTAGCACTGGCTCTCCAAGCCTTAGTAGTTTGGGCGGGTCATCGGGATACGGTTGCTCAAAACCGGACGGCCATTGTGCTTAAACTAAATCTTTTGCAGGTCAATATAGGCAAAACGATGCATCTACTAGTCGATTCCGGTTGTAAAAACTTAGGTTATGACGCTCACGATGCAGGGTGCTCATTGAGTAGTCGAGGACAACCTACGCGTTTAAATAAGCGTCGAACCCTGCGCAGCCCTAACGGGAAGTTTTACTTCTGCCGCTTCTACCGCCAATTAACGTAGCCACATTGTGTGGGGTTCTATTGTTTCTCCAGATTCGAGGCGGCAAGCGCTTAAATTTACGCTAGTGTACGCCACAGAAGTGTCACATAACAGAACTATATAGTAGGAACGCGGACCTCTACAGGAAGGTTAGTGATTAATCTTTTAATAGACTAATATATTATCTAAAATTACATATAATTTACCTGTTTGTTAAGACCCCACCTCTATACGATATCCTAAGGCCTATGAAAGCCACTCGCGTTGAATATAACAACTTGGTACCACGTTGTGGAATACATATATGCAATTTTCTACACTTAAAGAGAAGTGTGTGTTACATTGATGAAGTTTTTTAAAAGAAAACTAGGATGGAATGGTAGTTGCGTTGACTTTTAGTAACCATTATTTTGAAATTGTGAAAGTCGACATCACAAAGGAATCGAAAAAAATATATATTCAGCTCCCAAGCAGAGTCACAGCATATATCATCAAGGCCACAAAAGAAAGAAGTAGTTGCAAGCTTTGTATTCCTATATAGCCAATTCCCCAGAAAAGGCAATCATTTCCGGGTCTCTGATCATTATATCATGGATATGCCTAGATCTGCAAGTATTAATCAAGGTATAACTCGAACTCCACCAGCACATTCGCCTTCGCTTCAAAACGCCACACTTTTCCGTGTTTCCCATTCCTATACGCTATGCAGTAAAAGTAGATTGGCGTCAATTCGTATTATTTAGCGCCAGCCGTCGACGAGAATAAGTTTAGTTCTCCTCGTCATCCGTTGCTGTGTCGACCTCTACATCGTCGTCGTCATCCCCGCTATCATCTTCCCCAGAATCAGTGCTATCATCTTCTTCTTCTTCTTCATCTTGACGCAGTCCAGGTACGCCTCTCCAAGCCACGTAATCATTCTCGACCCATCTCCGACTCTTTGGTAGCTGATAAGGATCAAATGGGAAATATGCCACAAGCTGGTGCCAGCTCTCTTCTTCGCCATCCTCTGTGGCTACCCCTGTTGAAAAGCCGCTGTCTCTCAATAAGCCAGAAGATGCGTTCCCTGCACCTAATGCAAACTGCGAGAGCCTAATCCGCTTGTTTGTTGCCAGAAGCGGATAGACATACATGAAGCGTAGGTGGTGTGCAATCTTCGCAAACTCTTCCACGATTGATGGGGCACAAATTTTCAGCGGGTTGAGCTTAGAATAGATTGTGCGGTCTAGGAGTTCCTTTACTCCAGCGCGCCATTCCAGGTCCCGGCCAACAAAGTCCTCTTCGTCAATCTCACCCTCTTCGGCAGATGGAGAGACCACAAGGTCACGCCAGCGGAAACAAAATATGTACAGGAGGGCCTGGGTAGTCGCATAAAATGTGCTATAGCGTTGAAGGTCCGGTCCCCGACACGAAAGTTCATTCTCAGACCGGATGAGATCAAGATTAGTGCCGATATAGTCGAAAACATCACGCACAACATGTGGGAGTACATTGGCGCCACGAGAAACGAATGATGCGAGGTATGCTGCAGCGGATTGCTTTAATACAGCCGGGCGGCCAGACTTGAAGGCGAGGTCAACGCATTCTCCTGCAAAGGTGTCGATAAGGTGCTCCGAAGTCTGGGCGAAGTGAAACAAGAGGAATTGGGTATGGCGTGAACGGTATGTCGGTAAAATAATGTTACGAAAGTGAGACAGTAAGGTATCAAACGTAGATATTGCGCTGGAGCTAAGTGGATCCTCAAAGTGCGGGGTATAGAGTTCGAAGAGGGTATCCAGGATGGCATCCATCTTCTCAACGTTCTCGTGCATTGCCTTGACGCGGTTTTGCTCATCGTCCAGGGAGTCGTCGCTCGCATCGGAATCCGAATCGCTGTCGTCCGCCTCGGAATCATCCTCTCCGGTTAAGTCCGAACGATTCGACACTGACTGGACAACTGCTGCAGCCACATCGTCATCCAGGTCAATTTGCATTTGGACATCAATCTTGACAAGCCTTTCCGTGATTAGCGCAAAAATGTCCGACTTTAACTCTGGTGCGTAATCGATGATCTTTATTAAGTTGTTGATGTACGCCATGTGAGCTTTCTTCGACTCATCGGAGAAAGGGAATTTTGCCGCGAGGATGGGTGCGAGTGTCCCGGATGCTGAAGGGATCAGGCGCAATAGATATTTGAGAGCAGTGTGAACGCGAGCCGACAGCTGGGTGCGGTGAACGATGGGGCAGTCGTCCAACCTTCCATTTGAGATGCGCACTGCATTTTGTCAGTTATACTGTTAATCTCGTATGACGGGTCGCATATACATGTAGAGAATTTCTCAACCAGCATAGATAGAACGGTTCCGACATAAGCACCCTGTGCGCTGGCTAGGTTGCTCAGGAAGTTCACATACGCCCTGACGTACGGCTCATCTCTACCAACCCACTCCGACTCCAAGACAGCCCGGACGAGTCCTGACGAGTTCTTTCCCAGCAGCGAGACACAGTTAGTCAAAGCCAACAAATGCGCCCTCATAAGATCAGTCTCCGCTTTACCCTGCGGCCTGTTCTTCGTTGAAAAAACTTCCTTGAGGCCATCGTATCGACAATCGTCCCCTCCGGCTCTATTATGTTCATCTAGCGCTTTCCTCACAAGCCTTCTAACATCGTATAAGTCGGTTGGTGCCTCAGGCGATGAAGTAAAAAGTTGTTCTTGCACAAGTGGGTTGAAGGTCACCATCCTGGAGCGCTTTGCAGGGTTCATAGAGGCAGAGATGTCGTCACCGTCTAAATCAAGACCAGCATCGTCGAGTTTTCGTTTTCCAGCGAGTGCTGATTTTCGCAATAACGTCTTGGTTGGAGTAGGTTTCGAAGCCGACGAGCCTGACGGTTGAAAGTGTGTTGGTGAAGGGCGAACCATTGGCGCCATGGGAGCGCGACAGCCTATGAATAAGAGCCTGACAGCCCCTTACATGAAGCAGTTCAATATCATGAATGTGTATTGTGTAGAGTGTATGTGGCCGCGCCAGTCGGTATGGGGTCCACGGAAGGGTTGAAGTGAGTTTTGTGGTCGCGTGTTAGGCAGATTCGTCGTCAGAAAATGTTCCAAGAGTTTTGTGCGCTACTCTTATCGGGTGTGCACGTGCCTTCACAGTTGACGTGCTGGACTGCGTAATGCGAGGAAGTTTTTGTCGACTGCGTTTTTATTGTAATTTTTATCAATACCTTATTTACTGTATGGATATGTTGTGAATTATGCCGTATAATTTAACTTCGAAACTAGTTTCATTCTTGGTGCTAAATCCTTTTACAGGTACGTTGGGTTTATATTTTATATGTATTTATTGCATCATTGAAATACCAAGAAATTATAAGTATCATTTGAAACATTCCGTATAACCGCCACCTTACACTCTACTTATCCTTAGTAGACCGTGTACACCTAACCTCGAACATACAATCCTATGCTCCCCAAAAGAAAGCCCCGCATTCCTGGTGCTCATTAGGAGCGAAAAGTCTAAATATCGCCGCCACCCATACTTTTGGCCCGCGACTCCCTGTACAGCCAGAAGCGTCCAAATATAATAATTGACCCCTTTTAATCAGCAGCCAGAGACCAGCCAAAGGCTATCCGTACCACATAGAGTCGTTTTTGTAGTCATACACGCCAATGATAGGCAGCATCCTCAAGCGCATATCGGAGAACCGTAATGGCCAAAGTGAGTCGCATCATCTGGAAAAACAGCTTAGTATCCGTCTCCTCCAACAGATCCATTGTGTCCGCCTTGCATGCCGGTGCTGTACAAGCCTCCAAAGCCGCTCGGGTCATGTTCCCCAGATTCTGCCTGCTGGCCTCCAAGGATATTGTTTGACCCCTCGGTGCTGTTGAAGGTTCCTCCTGCTGCATTCACACCGGCTGATGACCCAACTGCAGCAGCTGACCCGAAGCCTTGGCTGTTGGGGCGATTTTGCTGGCTCTCACCTCTAGCCGACTGTGTCTACATCGAAGGATTAGATGAGGTCCTATGAAACAAACTGTATATATTATGACTGATAATAAACGGATCAGGATTATTAATGTGGACCTACTTCGCGGTATTTTGCCAAATAGATCTTCAGGGCCTCAGCGTAATTCTCGAAGCCCAATGAGGTCATGGCGAAAAGGATATCCTCTCCGTTAACAGTTTTTCTCTTTTCTTGGTGGCATTTCTCAGAAGCTATATTTAATTGTCAGCATGGCAGACTCTGATCAAATACAATATTCAGGACCTACCTTCGCTTGTGATGAAGCTAATGAATTCGCTGACGCATTCTTGCATGCATTCTTTAGCTTCCTTTGCAATCTTTGCATTTTCTGGTAGCGCCGTTTTCATGATTCGAGCAACTGGTGCAAAGTTACGAATGTCAGCGTCAGATCCACCATCATTTCTCTTAGACCTAGAAGAGCGGCGCGCCTGTTCAACTGGGGAAGAAGAGTCTTGGGACATTGCTGGGAACCTCGTCGCGGTAGCACATCTGAAGCTCAAGACTTTGCGCTTCAAGCTTGACGAGTGGCCAAATGGGGCCACATGCGCAAATACTGAAATATGACAAATGGAAGCGATGCCAGTAGGGGCGAGCTTAAACGTGCACGTATAGACACAATTGCTCCGCGCGAACAAATCAAAATTGGAGAAGGGGGTGACTAACCATTTGCTATTGGCAGCCATCGGTCCTGCTCTTTCACTTCGAACTCGTAGCCCAGTCCAGAGGCGTGTGGGTCTTGAGAATCCATAGGTCCTTCTCCGTTGCCAGGCGATTGTACTCCTTGTTCAACATCCGGTTCTTTTGGAGGGGATGCCGACATGATGTATATGGATACCTGCAGACTTCGGCTTCTGGCTTCCTTCGATTTCCTTGGTTGCCACGTTGGCTCTGAAGTGTTTGCTTACACGTTGGAATCAGGGCTTGCGCGACTCCTGCACGAAATAGTGGGCTGTGTTGATCGGCCACGAAGAGAAGAGCCGTGTATACCCTGTCATGCACGCTGACTGAGGTCGGCGTGAAGGTGCGGAGCGGGCGAAGTGGCGGTTTAGCTCGCACAGCGTTCAATTCCTATATGCGCGTATCCTGTGTGCGGGAGGAAATGTTACACCGTTGTTTAGAAAGTGGGCTAGAAGCTACTAGACTCGGGCTTGGATGCCCTTGGGATCGGAGGGCTGGGTGCGGTGGTCCTACTGCAAGGTCGCGTCAGGGTCTTGGGCACGAAGCGGTAAAAATAACAAAAGCCAGGGCAGCGGGCAGGCAGCCAGGATAGGGCTTTCCGTATACTACTCACCTGAGTTAAAGCATATAACGCGGCCTGGGTTTGCTTATTTTGATATTCAATCGTAGCGGGTGCAGTTGGGGTTGGCACAATTCTGGCACAATGTAAGTTAGGCTTCGATATTGCGTGCAGCGTAATACGGCGGAAGTGGAACGTGGGGTTGCGCGTTAGACCCGGACAAGAGCGAAGTATGTAGGTCAGATGCCAGCGACCTTTTAGAGCCAGGGAGAATCGGATGAATTGTAAAGTTTCGTTGGACGCCGCGAGGAGAGGTGCAGCACGGGTTTGATGACAATGGGGGGGTTGGCGAGTGTGGAGGTAGCAAGCATGTTCCACTAAGGTAAGGTAGGGAAGTACTCCGTAGTGTACGATGGATCTCTCGGGAATTGACGTCTGCGCCTGGGGAATTGGGGTCCAAGCTTTGGCTTGCGTATAGAGATGTATGCGCTGTGCAATGTTCACACATATTCATTCCAGCTACATATATTATATCCCTCCGTTGCCATGTTCCATGTTTACCACGCTTTTCGCGTCAAGTAGTTGTTATGGTACATACCATACCGAGTCCAAAAATGACGGTTATGTACACACAAACACCACAATGCATTGTTAGAGAGGTAAGTTACGCAGCCAATAGCACCAGTGACCTGCCTAGATGTACTGAGTACATGTTTTCCCAGCTGCACAATGGCGAGAAATGGCCTGTACCTAGTCTTCCCCTGAAGCCTGGAGATACTCCATGTGCGTGAGTGACGGTGAGGGAGGTACATCTGGAATCTAACATCCACCAAGCCGTCATCTCCGAGATTGTACGTAGGGGCTGGCAGTCGCCGACATCCATGGGATGGCTACCAGTCCTCTCGCCTGTTTTTTCGGGGCAATCCTGTCGTCGTCAAATCAACCTGCAAGAGCGGTGAATGGGCTGAAGGAGGCTAACGCACGGTGTGAGAAACAATCGATGCGAGGCTGTGACATATTCCCTGTGACTTAGGAATGAGGCTAATGCATTGTGAAAATGTGACGATTGCGACAACAACTAATTTTTGCTTTTGGAGCCCATGGCAGCCTTGTGATATGGTAGCAATGCATGGTCGGGGCTGTGGTTGGGCAGCGAGACGCTCTAGCCGCTTCAAGGCTGCACTGTGCCAACGCATCAATGCTGTTGGCTAGGCTTATTCTTGACGGGGAGGGCGACGGCCTGGGCCGGCTTGTTTGAAGGATTTGATATGACTGAGGAAATGTGTGAAATTCCGAAAAGTAGATTCCCTTCACAGATTTGAAGTCCGGCAGAAGTTAGTTTTATGATGGCCTTCACAAGCCTTCCAACACGGTGAAGCGTGAAGGGCATTCAGACTAAGCATTCGTCGTAGCTCGTAATGGTGCATGATATTTTTCTATCAACTCGGTCCTTAGTAGTATTGACTCCTGACGCCGTCGCTATGCCTCCACAGTGGCCGTTCTCAGCAGGTCACTGCCTTCGTTCGAAGCTCCGCCACCCTTCAATAGCCCTCGTATCTACTGCTGGACAACCTGGATATTGTTCTTCTTCTACTCAAGGTATTAATATTGGGCTCTTCGACCTGGGCGTGGGTATCAAGGACGACATACCTTCCACTTCTCCATCTCCTCCTGTTGTCTTTTATACGACTTAACCAGATCCTCCAGCACCTTGCCTAAACCCTCAGAGTTGGTCTTCAGCGCTGGCACTACATCCTCAACAGTTCTCTCGATCAGAACGCCGTTGATCATGCGGAAACATTTTCGGTCGCCTGGAAGAGGGGTCAAAGTTTCGAGCACGAGCCTGGATATGTTAGTGGGGTACTCCAAGCCGTCCAACGTCATTCTCAACGCGTAACCATGTCCTTTGACGCCTAATTGATAGGGGTATTCTCCATAATTCCGATATAACAAATAAAGAGACCTACTTGTGCTCCTCAGCTTCCTGTTCCACTTCCCCAATCTTCTGTGCGATCTGTTGGAGGCCGTTTTTGTAGGCGGAGTATTGGTTCTGCAGTTCTACCCCCCACCAGCGTTAGCAATGCTTGTTTAGCAAATTCTGACGTATATGCTGACCTTGCTGCTTTTTAGCAGTTATTTGTGATGCCATCTTTTGGTGTTGATGTTGCTTTACTTGTTGACAGGAAGCCCCAGAAGCTCAATAGCCTAGAGCGGAATTCGCCGCTTTCCCCAAACGACGCTTGGATTTCCGCCCTCAATTCATCGAACCTCGACAACTCTACCATTGACTGTGGCCCAGAACATCGCGTGTCTCACTTAACTCACTACCATAATATCTGCGTTACAAAACAGTCAATATGCATCCTCATCTCCATACAGAGGACAATAGGGGTATGTCCTCCAACTTTCTCCGCCGCGCACAGGGCTCAAGTTTCTAACGGACGATAGCCTGCGAAGATGTCATGAACATGCTCGACGAATGCCATTCTCGTGGATTTTTGTACAAGGCGGTTGGAATGTGCAATGGTGTTAAGAGGGACGTAACTCTTTGCCTGCGCGCTCAGCGTGTGGAGCGGACGGCGGCGAATCGAGAGAAGGCGAGGATAAAGCGAGAGCAGATCAAGGCCATATGGGCGAAGATTGACGAGGAGTCATAAGAACTACGGACGGGTCATTGGCATTGGTGGGAGGAATGGAGGGCGAGAAGGGAGACTATGATACGAATACATTGGGCGGAGTTTGGAAGTCTCATTAGGCGTTAAAGGAAACGTCCAAGCAGCGATGGGATTTGCCAGACTATTAGGATGCATGCAAAGAGCAGTCTCGACTCAGCGTGCGAGGCACTGTACAGTACAAAAGAATAACAACTCCTTCAATTGAATACACATGTTTCAACCTAGGTGCTTCTCCAGCTACAACCTATTCTTATACGCAGTGCCGTACGTAAACAGTCCGTACAGAGCAAGGAGACTCAAACCAATTGGAAGCCCCTTCTGAGTCTTAATAGCGCGAGGAATGGATGAGCCAGCAAGCACCAAGGAGGCAAGGAGGGCGAGCTCGAGCCCATATTGCTGGTTTGTGGCAATGCGGTAGCCGCCTAGGGCGTACTATGAACGGTTAATTTAATCTCATGCAGCATGGAATCATTCATACCAGAGCACCAACAGCAGTTCCAGCGATAACAGATGGCAACGATCCGGTGCGAATGTATCCGGTGATGCCGCCACCTGCTGTGAGAGCCGCAAGCACATAAGCGGGGACTTCGTTGACCTAGCATGGGTAAGTCAAGAGTATATAATTCACATAATTTTCCCTACCATTTTTGCTGCGTATATGTTTAGATACTATGTTTCAGAGCAATCGAAAAAGGTTTTCTAGACTTAATTGTTCGTCGTGGAGTTGATATATCCCAGGTGCCAAGCCAGTGACACCATCCTGGTAGATAAACGCGGCTGTCGCTTCGAAGGTCCCAATGGCGCGGCTACGATTGAGCTTCGTGTCCCCAAGGTACTCTACAGCGTCCCAGACCCCAATTCCAATCCACGCTCATTGAATCATCCCAACTTCCACAACTCTGCCCCTTCTGCTCTTACGATGGCCGCAAAACGCAACGCCCGTGACGTTACTCACTCCCCTCCCATCAACAAATCCGGCACATCAACTCCAACCACGCAAGCGCCCGCCGCCAAAAGTGCCACGTCGAAATCGAAAGATGCGAACCTAAGTGCACAGGAGGTTGCCGTGGCGATGTGGGATAACTACGTGAAGGCGACACCCCAGCGTACGAAGCTGATTGATGTGTTCATGGCATTCTTAGTGGTGGTGGGCGTTCTACAATTTGTGTATTGCGTTATCGTTGGGAACTATGTGAGTGCCGTTCAGTCCGTACGGATCAAGGGAAATTTTACTGATATTTCTTGTAGCCATTCAATGCGTTTCTCTCGGGGTTTTCAGCCACTGTCGGACAGTTCGTTTTAACTGGTATGTGAACCTACATTTCGGGCACAGGTTGTTGAATACATCTAACGTAGTGGATAGCTTCGTTAAGGATACAGACAAATGCAGAGAACAAGGCAGAGTTTGAGTCTATTTCACCAGAGAGGTAATGAAGCATTCCGTGGCGAACTAGAATTGTGATGAGACATGTCGCTGACTTCAGTACAGAGCATTCGCCGACTACGTTTTTGGTAGCCTGATCCTGCATTTCTTCTGTGTGAACTTCATCAACTAGCATAACGATACCACATAGCACACGTGTACGACACATGTATGATTAGCAAAAATTCAAAAAGGCGTTCAGAGATTGTTACAGTGAACCTATCACACGTTACTATTATCTGCTCTAGTGTTATTGATGTTATGCTCCAATCCAATTTATTACCCTTCAATGCTGTCTACCCGCCAAACACGAACGTACGATATCCCCGGGATTCGCAATCTCATACTCCGTCTTAACCAAAACCCGGTAAAGCGAGATGCTGTAGAATGCGGGGCGTTGCGGTTGGATATATAGTTTTAATAGGAGTCTTTGCCTGGTTGGTAGGTAATGTAGCTGCTGTTAGGGAGAATAATATTGGGACAGATTATTTGATTATTTTTGATTTGGGTGTCTTGGATTTATATTTTTATATTTTTTACAATATACATTTCATACGAAGTTCGTATATCATACTGGCAAATAAAACAATGGGTAGTATATAGCAAGCCCAAAATACAAACTTCGTAAAGTCATTACTTCCATTATCACCCATGTCGTCTCAAAACGTGGTCCATCTTTACATACCGCCTTTATTACTGAGATCTAGCGGACCGCTATTCCATTGAAAGTCGTCAAAGGAAATCGGCGGCAGCACCTCCATCATCACCCCGAAGAACGCATCGTCGCTGAAATATTGACCCAGTTGCCCCTCCGCAATCGTCATCCCTACGGCCTGCTCGAAGCCGTCCCCCCCAGATAGATCGTACTCCACGGGTTCATTTGCGCCCAGTACAGGATCGATATTATAACCCATATTGTTGTATCCCTGAGGAGCATGAGCCCCATTCGAGTCGGGGTAGTTTAGTGGCTGACTTGCTTGTTGTGCCCAGAGGCGTTGAGACATGGGTGGATATTGTGTGCGTGTATCGAGACGAGGTGTTTGTGCCGCACTGCTTCCAGTAGCCACTTCGCTGAGAAGCTGAAGCGGCGTGTTGGCCGGGCTAAATGTTTTCTGCTGTTGGTGCTCGGGAGTTTGATGATGATGTTTGGGAATGTTCGTTTTGCCTTGATCACCGGCTTCGGTTGGCATGTTGTTTGCCTTGCCGTTTGTTTGGCGATGAAACCAAGTCTTGAGCATGATCAGTACCATCAGGAATTTTGACCCCGCTCGCGACTTGTTGTCAGCAGCGGTGGCCTTAAACTTATCGAGCAGGCCGTCGAGGTACTGTTCAACCTTCATATTGTTCTTGTCAATCACTTTGCCAAGCTCAGAGCCGGGAGTTGCGGCGGCGAAATGCATCTTGATTAACACAACAACTGCGTATGCAATGCGAACGAAGTGCATAACAGGTAATGCTCTTATAGTATCAACATCAAGGGACATAAAAGCCTCGAAAATTCCATCAATTGAGGTTAGGCAAGTGGATAAAGCCGCAATATGAGTTGACGTAAGGGGCCGCGATGCTTGCTGGTCAGGGTTGTCGGGGCCTCGCAGCTTTTCCTCTGTAAACGGAGCATTAAAAGATTCAACATTATGATCGACATGCATGGCAACCTCATGCATATACAGATTTACAAGATGTTCCGTCATCTTCAACAGGGCTATTACACATGTTAGTATATTCGCTGGAGATATATCAAGCATCGTGGAAGAGGGAGGCGGGCTTACGGTTTTGTATGTCGTTCGGTATGTGGCTACTCCAGTGCTCCAAGTCTCTTTCAAATCCTTTCAAAGCATATTGAACCTTGGGATCCGTGATGCTAACTGACGCAAATGAATCGTCCATTGAGAACTGGGTTCCCACTTCCTCAGCAATATGTTGGCTCCTCACCCACTGACACAGAACTTTGTCCGAAGGCGCTGCGTCAGAGGAGGTTTCAAGAACTTCAACGCATTCGCCCATATATGATGTCCATCGGATAAGATTTGAGCGACGTAGCCCCATGGCAGCATTGCAGCATAAGAAATAACAGCTAACCCACGTCCGTTTCGCTTCCATAGAAGAGGCATCCGGAAATGCGGCTCGGCGCCACAAATGATCTTTCCACAGCGCAGCCATAGACTTTGGTGCCTGGCATGAGCTGTTTTTCTTGCTTAAATTGATTTCAATGGCCATAACTGCCGCAAGATGGATGAGCTGATAGAATTTCAGCTCTTCAAAATGTTCTGGCGGCCAGTACCATATTGTGCTAACAAGTAAGGCCTGGACCAATTCGAGAGTCTTTTCTCCACGACAAATAATCTTATCCGCGTATATCTGCATCACTTCCTTGGTAAACACCATTTGAACTTCTGGGTGATCAGTTGAAGCACCTGCACTCAGTATTGCCAAGAATAGAGTAGGTTTTGATTTGCGGATATCAGCTGCAGTTGTGCCTGGCGGAAATACGACTGCGGGCATGTGTGGAGACATGTCATTTACATATCTGTTGAACAATGCTGTTGCTGACTCCGCAGTTATGACACCCCTATCGATAACATCGGCATATTCATTGGGTGCGTTTGGCCGCGTAGTAAGTGGTGAATTAGTTCCTTCATCACGCCCTGAGATATAACTATTCATGCGATGTGGAAATTGGCTCGTGCTTTGGGTGTCAACTGCTGAACTCTGCCCGCTCGAGTCTCGACCCTCCTGATATTTCCTTTTCTGACCCGCAACGACAATCTGCGGTCTGGTAGCCGAGCCAGAATCCGCCTTATCTATGGATGGTCTGTGTATTCGTACGGGTGCCGCTCTATCGACATCTGGAATTCTGGGATACTGGCGGTCCGGTACTGTCCAGTCGTTTGGTTTTGAGTTTTGAGGCTGTTCACCACAAATTAGCTACAGTATGGAAGAGAAAGCGGGGTATTGTACTTCAGGGCGCGTCCCAAACTGAGGCCCATATCCGCCATTCGTAACTTGCTCATATGAATTTGAAGGGCGGCGCTTGAGTGACTCTGGAGTATCGGTAACATTGTGCGGGATGGTATTGGATCTCGTGGCATGGAGCACCGCTGTTAAGGCGTCTATTTTCTTCTCCAACTCTGCCACGCGGCTGTCGGTCTTCTTATGGCGTTTCCTACTCGGCTGAGTGACTACGCAGTTCCGGTGTGCCTTCGTACATCTTCGGCAGGGTCCCTCTTGGTTGTTAGGGTCAAATTCGCATTTAACTTTCAAGCCTCGACAGGCTTCGCAGGCCCGCGGCCTCTTTAGGTCGTTTGTGCCTTCTTCCGGCGTACCTCCTGCCTGCGCCATGTATTGGTTTGGATCGGAGGCTCCATCGTCGTTGTTGTTAATACCGAAATCACGCAATTGCGGGGTATCTTGTGAGTAATGGGGTTGTTGGGAAGCATCGTATCCAGCAGGGTGATAAAGTGGTGGAAAAGTTGTTGAAGGCGTAAGATCGGCTTGGTTCACAATGTTAGGGAGCGGTTCGGAGGATGCAGTTGGATTCTGGGGATACGAACTTTCCACCTTCTGACCGATGTCAGCGAGGCGGGGATCGATCTGAGGTATATGGTCCATAGCTGTGATGCCGGACTGTCGGCGTGTATGTTCGCCGTTCATGTCCGTTAAGGCGCTTTTGGGTGGTGCCCACGGCGCTAGCCGCATTCCGATGACACAATCCGGTGTAGTGTCGGCACGTGACCATGCCATGAATGAAGTCTTGGAAACTCGCAACTTGTCGTCGTCGGGGTGGCATTCAGTATTTACGAATAAATAGGGTATGTTTTATCCATTAATCCTGCTTAGCAGTGGCCTGAACTGCAAGAATAAACTCAAGTGCATTGGAGGGGTAATAAGGTGCTAATGAAAGGAAGTGTCACACACATCACGCTGCCTCACGAATTACATCAGGCATTCAAATAAATTTTCAAAATGCTATACAGTAGCTGATATTTGGAAAAGCTCAGCCGGAGCTTACAGGGGGTATAATTGCGACTTCATCGCCTGCTTTGATTGTGCCGTCTTCCTCCCCGGCCTCACTCTTCGGTACATCCACGTATTCTAGATTGATGGTGACGAGACAGCTGTCCAATATCTTAGACTTGATGCCCGGATACTTGGCTTCCACAAGATCGAAGAGCTTCGACAGGGAGACTGGAGCCTCAAATTCATCCGAGTCCTTGCCTGTGAACGAACTTGCCGAGGCGAAGTAAAGCAGGTTGAAGCTGCTACCAGCGGTCTTGCTAGACATATCTAACTCGAGATCAAGTAATCTGATGATACAGTAGTTAGCATAAGCTCTAATGAATGTTATCATGCAATTTGAATTGGGGTTGTTCTTGTCAGAGATCTTGTGTAGTAATCGTCTGGTAGCCAAATGGCCAGCATCATGTAATACATGCTATATTTCTTCCTCATACAAGTAAAGTAAGGATGTGGTTTATAGAAGTGGCTTACCTGTTAGCTGGACCCCTGCTTGAGCTGTTGACTTGCACTGAGACTACAGCTCATTGTTGTTGTGGGAAAGAGAAGACGAGTTCACCTGTCAAACGGAAAAAGTTCGGAGGATACCAATTGCATTTTAGCTCTGCACGTGATTGCGTGTCATGAACCGCGAAATGCCATTTCTTGCTATCCGAAAAAAGTTGAGCCCATGAAACACTCCGCCCGTGCTACCTCTCGATACTGAAGCTATACGCTTCCTTTCTTTGCGCCCGTCTCCAATGGGCCACAACAATGCTGTATAGTTATTAGAATGGACGTTTCTCGCAATGTAGCCAAGACCGTGGCCTCGCGGTCTGCGAACTGGACTGCCAGTATAATTAGGACGACTGCGACATCCCCCTCTACTTTTTCTCATTCAACACCACTTTTTAATAATAGGGGGATTGCCACTCTACCCAGTAATGTTCGATATGGCAGACACAATTTAATATATTCGAATACTTACATAGCCATAAACAAGACGTTTTGTCGCAGGGGGCTGCAGACTAAGTCGAGCTTCACAGCCACATCTCAGAGTACCCAAGTAAGCCACTGTGAGATATTGATCGTCTTTGACTACCGACTAATGCATTACAGTTGGCACAGGAAGGAGAAAACCTTGAAGCTTCAGCTGTCAGCGTAGATAATGCGTTGCCATTCCCGAAAGTCCCGCAACCTCCGAAACTACCAATCCGTGAGCGACTCCGCCGCTGGGAAGCTGAAAACGTTTCTGATGTCCCTGTCTTGACCGCGTCCTTTGACCAGGATCATGCCAAACATGGAGAAGTTACCAACCTATACACTCGCCCGGTCGAAGGGGATCAGATCCGAGAGGTTGATGATGGAAAACAACTTGAAGATCCACCTCTACCTTTGTTCGAGGGAGATGATCTGGTGGGATTTGGGAGCGAGCGATCGTTCTTGCTACGAGGAGACCTTGTAGAGCTACGGTTCGTAATAGACTTTGCCTACTGACGCGCCGAATGATGCTAACTACAATCATACAGAACAAGTGACGGCCTTCGAATTGAACTCGCGATCTTCGTCCGAGAATTGGGGATACAATCCCAGTTTTATACCATGTCAGGACGATGGGTTCACAAAGCATCTCGAAATGCTAGATTCTTTGTGCCAAACTTTGTCTCTCCTGAGGAAGTCGACCCTCTCATAGCCTACCTCCCTGATGCGGATGTCCCAGAGGCTATACAAGACAGATTACAGAGCTTTGAAAATGCTCTTCCCAGATCGATCGGAGCCCCACTGCTACAGAAGATGGCCGACTTTGGGCATGAGGCTGATGCTGTTTATCGTGAGAATTTGGATTCCCTTGATAATGCTTATAGCATTGTGGCATTGCCACAGCAAGTACGCCATGTGAGCTTGCCGAGACTCACCAAGGAGATTTTAAAGCTCCCACGAAATATGAACGGCGAAAATATTGCACCAGCAACACTATATGCAGTATACCGCACTATCATGAACGAAGGCATGGGCTTTTCTGTGCAAACAGCCGGGAATACGCGTTCCTGGGGCCGCTTTGAAATTGTACCAAGGAGGATAATCGACAGTATCAAGATGGTCACTAGAATCATAAGGAGTTGGCAAGTGCACACGGTCACTTCAGCTCGCGACGGTGAATCAGAAATTCGACCCCTAGGCCAATTCATGGCTGAATTCGAATCATTTCTCGGAACAGCTCGCCGTGCCATCGACGTGAGCCGAAAAAGCCGTGCCTCGACTATGAGCGGCCAGGTTGGCCCTGCCGGCGCGGTTGTTGATTCGGACGGCCCTGTTAAGTCCATCGAGCAACATTTCGACACGCTTGACCTGAAGTACATCCGGTTCATGAAGTGTTGGGTTGCCTGGGATACATTCTCTCATAGCTCTCCTATGAATGGCATCGGCTCGGCTATATTACGGGCTACGGGGCGATACGATGGACAGACTTTGGATCGGTCAACGGGATGGCAGTTTTTGCAAGAGATTGGCATCATCGCGCCGTGGGAAACGAAGGCATCTTTTGAATTGCGACTGCCAGGGTATGGGTACTATAAACATGCTGTGACCAAGAAAGAGGGCGGCAAAGAACCGGAAGACGCACTGGCAGGAATGCGAAAGGACTGGAAAGAACAGACGGTTTACTGTATTGACGATACAGGGGCTCATGAAATTGACGATGGCGTCTCAATCGAAGCTTCTGAAACTGAAGGTGAGCACTGGGTCCACATACATGTGGCTGACCCAGGCTCCGTAATCGGTCTTGACAGCTACCCAGCGCGAAGAGCAAAGGAAGCCATACAAACGGTTTACATGCCCAACCGAGTTATCCCAATGTTGCCGGATAGCATTGTTCAAGAGAAGCTCAGTTTGGCTCCGAATAGGCCAACGCTGACCTTCAGCGCAAAAATGAACGAGAAAGGGGTGATGATCGACCACAAGATTGCTGCGGGCACGATTCGAAAAGTTGTCTACCTCACGCCGGCTACGCTTGCAGAGCTACTTGGGAACAAGGTTACTGACCCAGAGGAGGTCCTAGCGGTGGGCGACAGCGAGACTATAACAAGCTTCAACGACGGCGTCATGCACCGTGACATGGCCTCCGTGGACAGCCTCTCTGCTTCAGACAAAGCGAACCTGAAGCTGCTTGTCTCACTCGGCGACGCACGACGCACATACGCCTTACTCCGGGGCGGCATCGACCTAAACAATGCCCGCGCCTCTGTTATTGTCAAGATTGACGAAGACATTGATGTGGACTGCTACAACTCCCCACGCAACTCAACCCACGTCCACAGTGACCCTTTCATCTCAATATCAATCCCACCCGCCAGCAATGATGGCCCATCTATCTACGGGCCGGTAACTAACTTGATGACACTCGGGGGTGAAATCGCCGCCGGCTGGTGTTCGGCACGCAACATCCCCATCGTCTATCGAGTCACACAGGCTCACCCCGACAAACCCGACCCAGGAGCCTTCTTCCGGGCAAACGTTCTCCCATACGTCCTCCGCGGCGAAAGCGTGCCCAAGGATGTACAGTCAGCGTACGTCTTGGCCCAAGGTCCCGTACTACCTAGCAGCGTGCCTGGGCCACACGTCGCGCTCGGCGTGGAAATGTACACGAAATGTACGAGTCCGCTGCGGCGGTACTCGGATCTTCTCGCGCACTGGCAGATTCAGGCTGCTCTATTAGAGGAGGCAAAAATAGGAGAGAGCCTAGTTGGGAGCTCACGTGAGGACTATCTCCCCTTTCCTAAAGCTAAAGTTGATGGCCTCATTCCAAAGATCGAGGGGAGGGAAAAAGCACTTGGAGCAGGGAGGCGCGGGGCAGAACGCTCATGGGCACTACAGGCTGTGCTGAGAGCGTGGAAATTTGGGCATAGCAAAGGGTGGAGGGATGAGTGGGAGTTTCGAGTATTGGGCATGATGGGGGGAATGGTGAACGGATTTGTTGATGGGCTGGGATTGATGGCTATGATGGATATGCCGGCAGGCATGGAACCCGACGACATAGGTGAAGGTGATGTGTTCACCGTGCGGATTAAAAAAGTGTCTCCGTACGAGAAGTCATTGTTGATGGAGCCAGTAACGCGAGTCAGCATAGCGGGGTCTGTGGAACAACGCGAGTAGCAAATCATGGGGGACACGGGAAGGAATCTTCAATCAATAAACTCTTCAAGTGACAAACCACCCACATACTATCTGTCAATAGAGCATACATATGATCCGATGTGTCAACTTTCCTTGGGAGCTTCCACTGGATGGATGCTATCTATCTATGACGATACCGGAAACATGTGAGAGGCCCCATCCTTGGAACGGTTTTGTTTACCGTTAGGAACCGATAAATCCTATTTTGTACCGGCGCACAATAGTTTGCATCTTCAGCCCGAAAATCACCTCATGACACGGCACACCATCAGGTCCCCCGCAGCGCGGGTAGAGTCTCGCATCCCATTACCACCGCCCGCATAAACAAGCCGCATAAACAAGCCGCATAAACAAGCCGAATAAACAAACCGCATAAACAAGCCGTATAGGAAGCCGCATAAACAAGCCGCGGATTGCCGATGCTGGAACGGCTGCTGCACGGCGGTGAAACATTCTCGAAGTCCGGCACCTGGTGTCGGCGGCAAGTGGAGCAGCGTACGGATGCAGCAAGAGGGCCTTCGGAGATGGGCGGCCCAATGAAGCTAGCAGGCGCCGAAGTTGTGGGGTTTAGCGCACCACCCCCAGCCCGTTCCCGAAAGCCCAGTCCCACCCAGCCACCACTCTTAGTCGCTGGTGGGTGGCGGGAGGCCTCAGGCCCGAGTTCGTGGCGGCGAATAGCTACACAAAAAAAAAAGATACAACGAGAAAAGCACCGTGTCTCCGCTTGTGTGGAAAACAATAACTCATTTTGAAGCAGAGCACGGGCTCGGGGACAACCAGATGGAGCGGAATGAAAGAGCATTGTGGCGAATATATTCATGAAATCCAATTTCTGTGGCCCCGTCCGAGAGAGTAATATGGGCATATCCACACGGCGGCGGGCCGCTCATGATGCGATCGATACAGCACATACCTTACGTTTCCGCTCCCATCTCTGACTCGAGATGAGATGTCCAGCGTGTCCGTGCTATCATCTCGTGAGAGGACTGGCGAAATCCAACATCACATGGCGATGGCCAGGTCTCCACTTTCTCGCGCAAGAGGCAAAGAAAGGCTCATCAAAACCCAGAAACGCTGTAAATCCAGGGTTTACCCCAAACCCAGAATCAACAGGCTAGTAGAACCCATAGTTTTGGGTGCTCCAGGAGGATTCACAGTGAAGTACTGTACGTACATCTTGCCCGCCCGATAAGCCTGTCGCGCCAGCAGCTTTCGCAAGACTAAGCCATTTGGGGTGCAGATCCATCGACAATGAGGCAGAAGTCGACTATTTGAGATTGTTGAGGCGTTGTTGCGTTGCATTAGGAAGAGCCCAAGTGTCGTGGAAATTTGGCCCGGAGTCCGCGGGCAGGGTCTAGGAGATTTGGGCCTGTAGGGTCACGACATTGCTTCCGGCCGCTCCGCTGATGTGAAATGTTTACGACGATGAGAAGTGAGACGCGGTGAAGGGTTTCGGGGCACGTCCGTCAAAGCATCCGCCACTGTGTTTTATTTCCGAAAAGATGGCGTGCAAGCTCTGTTGGAATGTAAGACTGCATTTTTTTTTTCTCAACATGCAGAGGTGTACCCATTTCCCATGGATCATAAAACACGGCTTGGGATTTCACAGTTCACAACAGGAAAGTTGCTGCAGGTACCATGCAGGCACGGAAGATCAGGTCGGTCAGAGAGGCGGCCCATTCACAGAGGCGGTAAACACCGCGTACCAACTAACGGCGAGCTACAGCTCTGGAATACACAACCAGCGCTGTGCGAGTACTACTCTGGTCGAGCCTCGACTCCAGACCTTCCAGACCGCCTCCAAAGGGACATGGCGCCATTCCCAACTGACGCACTCGCAATAGTTTTTGGCAGCGACCGACAGGACTACTTTAGTATTGCCCCTAACGCCATCGACGATTACGACTGATAGTGGTGGATCCGTATCGTGGCCAGAGAGCGCCCCGGTTTGGAAGTTATACTGTGGAGTCAAATTTCCAAATTTCGCGCTTGCATAAACTACGAAAGTGGTTGGCTGCACGCACACCCACCAACACCATAATTATCGCCGAGGTGGCCCGTGGGTAATGTATTCGTTAAAGCAGCAACGACGGACGTGACAACCATTTGGGGGACACGAAACAATTGGATGAATGGTGATGACGACGGCATATAACACGCTGGTAGGAATATTTTGGCCGCCTCGATAATGTTTCATCACGGACCCGTCGCTGTATCGGACACCCACTTTATCCTATCGTGAGACGATAAGTAAGGTGAATGGTGCGGACGTTAAGAGGGTTCAACTACCGAATAAGAACCTGTATCTGTCAACGTGGAGGTGTGACGAAAGCGACGATCGAAGTCCTGTGACGATAGGGACCAAACGGACCGACGATCGGAGACCCGTACGGGTTAGGTGAAGTGGGAAAGCACCACAATAATGGCACAATAATGGGGATACCCTGAGGGAGAACGTTGGCGAGTTGGCAAGTTGGCTCGCCCTATTCCATGGTTCTGAGGTGACATTGACCGATTGGAAAGTGAAGATCTGTCACAAAAATATCGCGATGAGCGCGGCACATGAAACCCCAACGTTGGAGCTGGGGGGGGGGAGGAACGGGTGTGCCTGGGTTCGGAGGCTTGACTGTTTCGGACCACAGCGCAAACCAGTTACGTGGAGAGAGCCGCTGGTGTCTCCGTGGTTGGTGCTGTCAACTTGACGGATCAGCCAGTCAGGCCGCCCATCACACGAGCGCGGGTCTTGGCTCCAGCAGCAAGGTGGGAAAAACCTCAAGTGTGTTTCTTTCAGTCCGCGCCCTCATGTGGTCAAAGCGGACGAAATGGCTCGAAAGCGACAGCCACTACTTTCGGGGGGGGTTTTTTTTTGGGGGGGGGGAGGGGGGGGGGGCGAGCCAGTTGCGCCCGTAGTTTGAAGCCATACAGGTAAGGAAAAGGAAAAGAAAAAGGAAAAGAAATATCGCCATCGCGCAGCAACAGTGTGCCGTTTTGTACCAAGATTTCCGACGGGATTGGCGTGTGTGTTTCGAATTTTCGTATACACCACACCAACGCAGGCACTTCGCCCACAGACGCGGGGGACGATGATACGGAGTCCGCAGCGACCGCAGCGAGAGTGAGAGAGTGGGCGAGTACTCCGTAGGACTCGTGGCCTTGCGCACCGCCATTGAAGTCAAGCAGTCGAGAGGTACACGGGCTGGAGTGGATGCATGGACTGGGCTCGAGCTACCACCACCGTACATGCATGGTTGGTACACACCAGACAGGGCAAATGGGGCTGTGATTGGGCGAACGGAGTGTCCCAAAGTCTCGCTGGTGTTGGTGTCGCTGGTGTCGCTGGCTATGTGGTGCATCCACTATGGACACACTTCCCGTACCCATAATTGCCGCGGGAAGAGGGGAACACCCCTGCTAAGGAAGGAGGTTGTTGATTGGATGGGTTGTTCTGAATTTAGAAAGCAGGCACGACACGACTGTCACAACCACAACGACTGACTGCCAGTAGCGACGGCCACACACATGCACAAACGACCAACCCACGGCCGCGACGACATATCCCCATATCCCTCCAAGTTGTCCAGGCACAGGATAAAAGACTCGTCCTGTGCAGGAAGCACAATGCACTACTAGTACTACTAGTAGTACTACTACTACCACTACTACTAGTACTACTACTAGTACTACTACTACCACTACTACTACCAGTACTACTACCAGATACTACTCCCACCGCCACACACACACACCCACTGACTGTACTGTACCTGCACCCTTACCCACTTTACATCTGTATCCACTCTATCACCGTCCATACCGATAACCCATAGCATAGCCAGAGCATAGCCATACCCATCCCATACCCATCCCATACCAATCCCATACCCATCCCATACCCTTCCCATACCCTTCCCATACCCTTCCCATACCCTTCCCATACCCTTCCCATACCCTTCCCATACCCATACCCTTCCCTTTACCCATCCTCCCAAAACCCCAATCCCAATCACTTCCTTGACCACTTCCTTGCCCACTTCCTTCCCACCCACACGCCCACCCACCCACCATCACCCCCCCCCACCCCCACCCCCCACCCCCCAGTCAATCCTGTCCCTCCTCTACATCTTTCTGAACACACGAACACCCTTCGTTCTTATCCTTCTTATACCGAGACACTGGTTCTTCTTTTGTAAAATCAATTCTTTTTTGGAATTCTTTCGAGTTGTGCTTATCCTATATAGCCCTGTCGGTCCCTTTCCTGTACCCTCTTTTGGTCCCTCATTCCGTTATCTATCGACAACTTCTCATACATCCCGACTCGCTCACTTCGACACTTCATCTTACCTACGACTTGTTTTCTTTCATCGACTGAGAGAGTGCATCATCGTCGGCCTCGAGTGTTCACGTACATGTATCATCACGACCCTTAACTACTACTACTATTAGACAGTCTCTGCCTCGTGCAAGCTGTTGTCCAGTCACTCCCTTTCACTTCAGTTCAGTTTGCAAATAGAGTCTCTCGGCCCTTCCGTGCCTTGAAACTGCTTCACGCCCTACGATATCTACGAGACCTACTATTCTCGACCTAATATAATCTTAACGACCAACCATACAAAAAATACAATATTGACGATAATAAAACAGGCTTCTCTGGTATGTTGGTCCCTCTGCTGCTCACTGGAATGCGGGCGCCATGAAGAATTCAAGAGACTGACAAACACGTAGCTACAAAATACCATGGATTCCACATATGTTCAACCCCCACCAGTGATGGGACAATCACCGTTCTTCTACTACAACCCGGACCCAAAGCCAGATAACAGACAGCACGGCCACTTCTCGCCTCACCCAAACATGCAGGTGCAGACTTACCAGCATGTGCTGCCTTCGACCCCGACTTACTCGAGGCCGACATCTTCCTGCTCACAGCCGCCGATGCCCATGCAGGTGTTCAATGCCTCCATGCAAGCCTCGATGACCCCAATGGCTTCCCCAAGGCCCATGTACCAGAAGCCCACCATCTTGATCCAGGAGCACAACTCGAGGCTCTATGACTCTGAGAGTCTGGATGCCGATACCTACTACTTCCCATCGACCCCTCCTCTTTCATCGCCAGGAAGTAGCGCCGCTAGCCCTTCAAGCTACGACATCCTGCCAACTCCGTTGGAGCACACTTCCTTCTTCGGAATTGAGAGCTTCGAGGGTGTGAAGGAGGGTTGCCAAGGTGAGGTTCAATCCGAGAACCTTGCTGGCCTCGACTGGGCCCGTTGTGGATCACCACCAATGACTCCAGGTACGTTATTTTTGCTGTGAAGTTGTAGATGCGATTTCCGTGGTGCCAAGTAGCGATACTGACGGTTCGGCTCACAGTGTTTATTCACCCACCTTCGCTTATGACCAACGCTAGCGAGCTCCTTTCTGCGACAGCCTGCCCCTCACTTTCACCTTCTCCCTCCCCCTATCCAAGATCCGCGATTTCAGAACAACAAGACTTCGACTTCTGCGACCCACGAAACCTCACTGTTGGTGCCAACGATTCGCTAAACCCGACTCTATCCATTGCCTTCCCTACTCTTCCAACGCTCTGCACTGGCGACGGGGAGGAGCAAAAGCTTATGTTAAGGGGTGGAATCGCACACAAGGCTGCCGAGAACAACTTCTTCGATTACACCGCACACGCTCACCACGGCCTGCCAATTTTTGAGGAGTTGTCCGATCTCGACTCGGAGGACGAGTTTGTCAACGGTCTCGTCAACTTCCCTGCGACGGACAACGTTCACTTCGTTGGTAGCAAGAGACAGCGCACCGAATCTACTCTTTCCGCCGACGATAGCTTCCTATGCGACAACGACTTTGAGGATTTCGACGAGTCTGAGCAATTTGCAGTTGCCTGCTTGCCCAGCCCACCCTCATCCGCCAGCGAGGAGAGCGACGCTCTCCCCGAGAAGCACAACAACAAGGCCAAGGCAGAGGATATCTACGACGATAGCACTGAGTTTGACGCTATGGTCCGAAGCCGCAAGTTCACTGTACCAATGGACGCTGCTGAAGGAGCACCTGCTCAAGAGGCCAGCGAGGGTCAACAACAAAACTCGACTGCCGCAAGCCAGAGTGGCTCCGAGAATGCGGGCAACAATGCCACTAGCCCAGGCTCTAATGAAGGCACTAGAGCTACCCAGCAGGCACCCGTCAACAGACGCGGCCGCAAGCAATCTCTGACCGAAGACCCGTCCAAGACCTTCGTTTGCGAGCTCTGCAACCGCCGCTTCCGCCGCCAAGAACACCTCAAGCGTCACTACAGATCTCTCCACACACAAGACAAGCCATTCGAGTGCCACGAGTGCGGCAAGAAGTTCTCCCGCAGCGACAACCTCTCTCAACACGCTCGCACGCACGGCAGCGGCGCCATTCTCATGGGCGTTCTCGAGGATGGCGAGCTCCCAAGTGATCACAGGTATGGGGAGTCGGACAGCGAACCAGAGATCCGCAACTACGGCAAGGTCCTGTACCAGGTCGCAGCCGCAGCTCCCGGCAGCGACGGCGATCCCTCCAGCTCGGATTCTGACAGCCAGTCGAGGAAGAAGAGGAAGCGCTCCGAGTAGATCAACTCCAAAATTTGGCGGGATAGGGTATGCATTTACAAACGCGAGCTACGAATCATGACTACTATCGATTCTTCATAATGGGTCGTCTTTTCCATCTTTGGGAATGTGCGATCGATAGGGCTTTTTCAAGTCTCCGGACTACGACGGTGCAGGTGGTGGGAGGTGAACAGTGCGCGCAGTTCCAACCAAAAAGTCGTTTATACCTTTTTTATTTTTCTTCTTCTTCACTGTATTATTTGGGCTTATTAGCTTCACACCTTTTTAGTTCTCTGCTGCGATTTTTGTTTTGCTGTTCTTTTATTTTTCTCGATACCTTTTCTGACGATTAGCGTGATGATGGCTGTTTTTAACGGGATTTGGCTTCGATTTTTTCAAAAGGCGCGAGAAGAGAAGAGAAAGAAAATATCCAGTTTCTACAAAGTTCGCTTTTAGTAGTGCTGGCGGTGGCCGCAGGTGGATTGTAAATGGTCTATATGGCCCTCAAGAGACGGACACTTCTCCTTCAATCCCTTCATTCGCTTTTCTAGTTTCCTTTTTTATTAGTTCCTACAGTCGTTTTAATCTGTGGAGGAGGGCGGGAAGCTGGACGGGAACCCTAGTTTCTGTTTCCATACACGCCCGTCCTCTTCCCACTTTGTGCGTTGATCGTTATTGCTTTTCAAGTTTCGGAATGTTTTTGAGAGAGGAGGTGATGGTTATGGTGGGTGGTGGTTGTAGCAAGAGTCATGTGCTGGTCACTAGATAAATAGCCTTCAGTTAATTACTGATGTGTATACATTTTACATTTAAAACCCTCCTATCTGTCATTGCTGTGAAGTGATTAATTACCTGAGTGAACCCCCGATTGTGTCCCAAACTGCGCTGATGATGGAAGCGGCCCGCTCAGGCACCACCCAGCACCACCTTATCGCCCACCCACAACCCCTCCAAAAATCTCTCCCCCTCCCTCGTCCACAAAAACCACCACCCACCCACGCCAACAATGACCCTGCCACCAAAACCCCTAAACGTCATCGCCCTCATCTCCGGCGGCAAAGACAGCATCTACAGCCTCCTCCACGTCCTCTCCCTCGGCCACCGCGTTCTGGCGTTAGGGAACTTGTATCCCCAAGCCGCCGCGCACGCGACGTCAACTCCCTCCACCAGCACCAGCACAGCCACCTCCTCCACCACAGCGAGCAATGCCGGCCCCACCGCTGATGATGATGCGCCAGATCCAGATTCGCACATGTACCAAACGGCCGGCCATGTGCTGATTCCTGCTATTGCAAAGGCGCTGGGCTTACCCCTTTTCCGGGCGCCAATCGTGGGAGGGGCGGTAGTTGGGGGGAGTACATACGCGCCTCTATCTGGGGGAGAAGGGGGGGATGAGACAGAGAGTCTGCTCCCGTTGCTGCGGGCGATCAAGAAGGCGCACCCTACAGCCGATGCGGTGAGTGCTGGGGCGATATTGAGTACATACCAACGCACACGGATTGAGAGTGTAGCGGCGCGGATGGGCTTGGTGCCGCTGGCGTTTCTGTGGCAGTACCCCAGTTTATCCAAGGAGGATGGAGAAGCGGGGTTATTAGCGCATATGGAGGAAGTAGGCATGGAAGCGCGGATTGTGAAAGTCGCGAGTGGAGGGCTGGGAGAGGGGGAGTTGTGGGTTGATGTTGTGAGTCGACCGGGGAGAGAGAGGGTGGGGAGGAAGGTGGGGAGATTTGGGGGCGTGGGGGGGGTGATTGGGGAGGGGGGGGAGTATGAGACTGTTGTTGTTAGTGGGGGGAGGGGGTGGTGGCATAGGAAGGTTGGGGAGGGGGAGAGGAGGGTGGTGAGTGGGGAGGGGGGGACGGCGTGGGTGGAGTTTGAGAAGGGGGGGGTTGTGACTGAGGAGCGGGAGGGGGGTGGGGAGGGGGGAGAGGTGAAGGTTAGGAAACCGGCATTGCTTGAGAAGTCGTTTGTGGAGACTTTGAAAGCTGTGTTGGCTGCTATGGAGCCAGCATCCAAAGATCTGGGTGCCGGTATCGACGACACAACTACCCCATTCTCTGCGAGCGCAACCTGGAAAACAACAGCCCACCCCGACAGCAACACCTGGACCATTGTCCCTTCATCCACATCCTCGACCCCGCCCACAGCAGCCGAAGCCATGGCCTCAATCAGCACCCAGCTCTCCGCCTTACTCACCACCCACAACCTCTCCATCAAAGACATCGTTTCCACCACCCTCCTCCTGTCCGACATGTCCACCTTCGCCTCCACAAACACCGTTTACGCCTCCCTCTTCTCCGCGCCCAACCCCCCCTCCCGCGCTTGCGTATCCGTCGGCGCCCTCCTCCCGGATTCCGCACCGGTGGTGATGCATATCTCCCTCTCCTCCGCGCCGGCAAGACGCGCTTTACATGTTCAATCGCGATCCTACTGGGCACCTGCGAATATCGGACCGTATTCGCAGGCGCAGTGCGCGCCGCTGTTGCCTGGGAAGGGGGGTGAGGGGGTGTATATTGCGGGGCAGATTCCGCTTGTGGCGGCGACCATGGAGGTTGTTGGTGCGGCGGATCATACGCTCGCGAAGGAGAAGGAGGGGGGTGAGGTGGGGTTGCAGATTGTGTTGGCGTTGCAGCATTTGTGGCGTGTGCGGTTGGCGATGGATGTTAGTTTTTTTGCGTCGGGGACGGCGGTTATGGCGAGGTGTGGGCTGGATGTTGCGAGGAGGAGGGCGATGTTGGCGGGTGTGGCGTGGGGCCAGAGGCATAAGAGGCCTGTCGAGGGCGAGGAAGATGGAGAGGATGAGGACGTGGATTTGTGGGAATTGACGAATAGACGCGGGGAGGAGATGATGGGGGGGGGAAGCAGAAGAAGATGCCATTAGAGTGGGAGAACGTAGAGGGGGAGGAGACGGGGTTGGGAGTGAGTCCGTTTTGGGCGGCGGAGGTGGAAGAGTTGCCGAGGGGCGTGGGTGTCGAGTGGCTTGCTGGAGCTGGGGTTGTGGGGGAGAACGTGAAGGTGCGGTCGGTGGCTTCGGGGGGTGGGAGCGGGGTGCATGAGTGTGTGGTTGGGGGGGAGGTGGTGATTACGACGGTGTTTGTGGGGTATGAGGATGCGAAGGGTAAGGAGTCGGTGAGGGCATTGCTGGGAGGGGTGTCTGGGAAGGAGGGTTTGACGGGAGCGGAGATGGTGTATCTTGATGCTGGGATTGAGGGGTTGTGGGGGGAGGTGGGGGGGAATGTGGTTCCATGCCGCAGTCTTTGGGATAAGGAAGGCACGAGGTTGGGAGCGGTTGTGGTGTTTAAGTCGGAGGTGTTATAAGTGGCAGGTGCCATGGGGCGTAGCTGCCATATCTGAGTCGCATCTACCATAAGTTGGAAATGGAATAAGTGGCAGGAGCCATAAGTCGTTCCTACCGTGTGTCACTAGTCGGTCTTTCCATATGTCGTAAGTCGTGCTTGCCATATACTATAAGTCAAAGCTTCCTAAGTCGTGATTACCATAAAACAGCCTCCTCAGATCGTGCTTGCCTTGAGTAGCTGCCACGAGTCGTACCTGCCATATGTCTCAGGTCGTACCTGCCTCAAGTCGTAGTTGCGCAGTTAGTCAAATGAAACCCGCACTTCAAATCTACGGATTTACACAGCAGATGAGGTTTCTCGTCGCAAGTATCTTCCCATCACCATCATCGCCTCCTCCTCGACCCCCAGGCTCCGTAGATCCAACTCCACATGACGCAGCCCTCTCATCCCTCCCTCCCGTCCCTTTCTCCTCCTATACCAAGCTATAGCATTGTATATAAGTACTCTCCGACCTCTCCGACCTCTCCATCCATAAGGCTCCCACCCATCTCGTTCATCCCCCAGCACAGTAGCGAAATAGAGTTTCGTATCAGCATATCTCCGCGGCTGTATAAGCCGGCTACACATGCCGGGATTCTGCTTACTGAGCCGCTTAAATGTCGTTATTTCCCTCGATTTTGGTGATTAGATAGCAGATGGTATTGATTAACAATGTATGATTCTAGCCCTTTGCCACCAAAACAACGTGCTCATTGCTGCTCACTGACCTAGATACGAATACGGAGCAGATAGAGATAAGAGTACGTACCCACTCAAAAAGCCCAGTAGAAAATAAAGAAGGTCCCACACGAAAATGGGCCACTTTAGCATCGTAATTTGAGTATAGCAGCGTAGCAGCTTTAGCCTAGATAGGAAATGATGTAACTATAATCCTTGCGCCCCCCTATTGCCACTATTTTCTAATGTAGTCTAAAGCTGATACAGTGTAGCAGCTCGGGTCTTGGCAGTCTGGTCCTAAATAGGTTAGTATTATAAGTAAAATCCAATGTTAGAAAATGAAGCTGTACATATATTAACTGTATAGTTATATATAATAATGAACAACACTTTTACTAACCCCTATTTGCAATACCAAGTGCCTATAGTGCAGCCCTAGCCTACCTAACCTACCTAACTGCCACCTTACAAACTCTCAACTAATACTACTAGTGAATGTTAGCTTAACTGCCTGAAACTGGCAATTCTACTATCCTTAAAGACTCTCTAGCAGCTACAGCTCAAGGTGCTTTAGCTTAGAGTAGCTAGGCTAATAGCATTGTAACATTGAAAAGGGGGGGGGAGAAGGGGCTTACAATAGACTAAAAGACAATGATTCTCTAGCTTTGCATCTAAAAAAGCGATATATATAGCATTATTACAGATAGATCCTTTTAGCAGCTTATAACTAAGGAGGCAGAACACTTGCTAGGTTTAACCTATAACTCTCTTAGAAGAGTTATTACTAGTTTTATTCAAGGGCGCTAGAGCAAAGTCTCATTATAACTAGAAGGACGAAGTAGTAAAGAAGATCCCCCTTCTTTATATAACTATAATGCTGCTTCCTAAACAATAGGATGTATAGAGGTTTTGTGTATAAGGTTAACTTAACAAAGGAGGCAGGGGATCTAACATAAAGGCTTTTGTAAAACTAGCATATAACAAATACTATACTAAGTTAAGCACAAAGCTCCTATCTAAGAAATAAATGTCTACTTATATAGTAGCGTTATACCTAGTAGACTCTAAGGAACTCACTTAAGTCCTAGAGTCCTAGAATGTCATACTGACATTCGTTGCACTCAGTTTGCTATCAAACTCAAGAGCAAACTTGGAAATCTCCTCCTCAAACCTACAAGTCACTATACATATTTTGGCTTATCACACCAACAACAAGAGCAATATGTAATGGTGGGTGCACCAGATGTGAGAATCTAGCCACCCAAGGAAGGGATGAATTTACTAAGACAACACACTGTCTTAGAAAACAGAGCCAAAGGGTCGTAGCTTAGACTATTCCACAACGCAGCAATCAGGTGTGTGATGTAGTGAAGTGGTTCAGACAAGTTGCAACAAATGTTGAGTCTGGGAACTCAGGGGTAAGTCAGAGGTTAACACCTCACTGACTTTTCAGAAACAAGGAGTAACAAGATGAATGCTTGGAAGCTTGGAAAAGACGTGGAAGTATGTGATAGTCGATTTACTGTATTGTCTGCTTGCCCTTTCTTAAGGAAAGGGCAATCCTATTTATGCTAAAGGAGTGTAGTTCTCTCATTTTCCAAGACTTTCCATGATTACCAGGCTTGGTAACTGTAGTCGACGTAAGAGAATCCCATAGAACCATCTCTTAGGTTCGTAGCCTATAGGAAGTAAAAGGAGGTCCAAGGTCAGAGTACCCCTATAGACAAATTATGTCATAGACAAATTATGTCATAACTTAACCAATCTTGTGGGTAACTAAAGAGCGATGACATGTAATGAATCATAGAGGTTCGTAGGAGCTTTTAGAGCTATCGTTCATGCTCCTAGGCCTCTAGTTGGTAGAGATATGTCATGTGGTAGTATGAGTGATGTCATGTAATGAATCATAGAGGGTTGTAGAGATATGCTATGTGGTAATATCGGCCCAGTAACTAAGGAGCGATGACGTGTAATGAATCATAGATGGTTGTAGCAATCGTTGAGTAGTATTGCTCTTGTTGTTGGTGTGATAAGCCAAAATATGTATAGTGACTTGTAGGTTTGAGGAGGAGATTTCCAAGTTTGCTCTTGAGTTTGATAGCAACTGAGTGCAACGAATGTCAGTATGACATCTAGCTGTACTCTACCGCTCTATGGCCCGTTATAGAGCTGAAAGAGTATAGTAAGTTGCTAGATCTCACTCATCAAGAACCTATTTATATATAATACAGGCAGAATCACAGGCGGATCACCATATGTACCTATATACGACGACATCTCGGGCTTCAAATTATCATATATTATGCTATATACGGCAGCTAACTACTCTAGGCTAAAGCTACACCACATCGCAGCTGCTACACTCGCGAGTGTAGCAGCTGCTGAAGTGGCCTAATGCCGAGGTAAACGCGAAAGAAAACCCAAGACCACGTCGAAGCCCTTGGCACGGATTGTGTAATTTCGCAGCTTCTGATTCGTCCCCGGGGAGCAGCGTGGGTTTTACACAAGCCAGCTAAGCCGTTCGTTCGCGTTCCATCGCGGACCTTTGTAAGGCGCGCCACGTAATTGGGTGGGTTTGGGGGGGACTCCCAGCTGTGTTTCGGCGGGCGCGGAGAGAGCCGGACTGCGTAAGCCGGAACTTCGTTTCGCTGGCTTTTCCAAACCTTCATCTACAACTTTTGTACATCTGTCAGATCGTGACATCTTTTCTTTCACTCTGTGTGGTCTCTGTGTGTTTTCTTGATATAGTTGATTGAAGGGATTGATACTCTTCTTCTTCTTCTACTTTACTTCACCTTACTCTATTTGAGCTCTCGTCGAGAAAAAAGTTTACCGCCAAAATGGCCTCAACAACCACCCGCACCTTCGCCCGCGCTGCCCTCCGCTCAACCCCAGCTCGCAGCGCCGTCTACGCCCTCCCCCGCCAGGCATTCCGCCAGCAGTCCCGCCGCGGCTACTCGTCCGAGGGCAGCTCCGCGCCCAAGGCCTCAGGTGGCTCTGCGCTCTACTGGCTCGGTGGTCTCCTCGGTGCCGCCGGCGCCGGGTACTACGTCTACGGCCAGCAGAACGGCTTCTCTGCCGCGGCCAAGGGCCCGTTCCAGCCTACCTTTGAGGACTACCAGAAGGTCTACAATGAGATCGCGGCGAGGTTGGAGGAGAAGGATGATTATGATGATGGGTCGTATGGACCTGTGCTCCTGAGACTGGCGTGGCATGCGTCGGGAACTTACGATGCTGAGACGAAGACGGGAGGAAGCAATGGAGCGACAATGAGGTTCCAGCCTGAGGGAGACCATGGTGCGAATGCGGGATTGAAGGCTGCGAGAGATTTCTTGGAGCCCGTTAAGGGTATGTCTAGTTCCCCTATGCTTCCCCTTCCCTCCCTCTATAAAACAGCATTCCTACTTTTGGAAGGGAACATACCTTCATTGGAACACCACGCATTGGCAACGAACCTTTGAACACAGCTAACACCCCCCCAGAGAAGTTCCCCTGGATCACCTACTCCGACCTCTGGATCCTCGCCGGCGTAACCGCCATCCAAGAAATGCAAGGCCCCACCATCCCCTACCGCCCCGGCCGCACCGACAAAGACGTCGCCGCCTGCACCCCCGACGGCCGCCTCCCCGACGCCACCCAAGGCGGCAAGCACCTCCGCAACATCTTCGGCCGCATGGGCTTCAACGACCAAGAAATCGTCGCCCTCTCCGGCGCCCACGCCCTGGGCCGCTGCCACACCGACCGGTCCGGCTTTGAGGGACCCTGGACCTTCAGCCCGACGGTGCTGACGAACGACTTCTACACGCTGCTGCTGGAGCAGACGTGGCAGTGGAAGAAGTGGAAGGGACCGGCGCAGTATGAAGATAAGGCGACGAAGACGCTGATGATGCTGCCGACGGATTATGTGTTGATTAAGGATAAGGGGTTCAGGCCGTGGGTGGAGAAGTATGCGAAGGATAATGATTTGTTCTTCAAGGATTTCGCGGCGGTCGTGACGAGGCTGTTTGAGTTGGGTGTGCCGTTTAAGGAGGATACGCCGAAGTATGAGTTCAAGCCCACGGCTTAGGTTGCTTTGGTGCGTTTGGGGGGGGAGGGATAGAGCGGTGGGGGAATGTTGTAATGGCAGTTGGGTGGTGGTCGAGATCACGCCAGGAAAGGAGCCAGGCAAAGAAATTGTCCAACTCCAGTGTCTCGTCGCCAGCGACTCTCCCTTTGGCACGGCACAGCACGGCACTCCACAGTCGAGTGCGGTACCGAAGCGGGATTCGCGGCCTTGATAGATTGTACTCTGTATCGATTGTGTTTGTTTACCTACTACTATTTAAGATTATCCCCGAACCTGCCTTGCCTCCTATCAGTGCCTGTCTACTTTCCGTGCTACCTACGGAAGGCATCCGGATTAGGACGAAGGGGAGAGTAGGATTGGGAGATGGCAGAGGGGGATCGGCAGAGGACGATTTTGTTTTGGGAGTGGCAGTTTATTGGCACGGGCTTTTGAGCAATAGAGTATGTGAGAGGTGTGATGATGGGAGATGATGGGAGATGATGGGAGATGATGGGAGATGATGGGAGATGATGGGAGATGATGGGAGATGATGGGAGATGATGGGAGATGGCAGGCAGGCTATAACAAGTAAAGCAAGAGCAAGCAAGGCACATGTCTATTCAGTCTTTGTTGGTGGTCATACCCCTGTTGTTGTTGTTTGTACAGTACATCCCCTTTGTCCTTTGTACCCCATTCGTCCTTTACCCCCTCGTACCAACCAACCCACACCCACCCACCTGAACACATACGGGTCCTGCAAGGTACAGCACATGTACGGAGGTATGTACGGAGTACATCCACCATCGCGAGACAAGGCCAAACTCACACAGAGACGGACAAGACACAGTCGCGTACACCTTGCAGCTCACACAGAGACACACCAGAACATGGCACTGCACAGGGCACAGGGTGCATGGCACAGGGCACAGGCACACTGCACCCTGCGTCCGAATATAAACCCCTCCCCCGTCCCATCTTCCAAATCCCACGACCGTACGACCGAAGCCCATACGGACGCGCGCGAACACTACCACCACCACCACCACCACCACCACCACCACCATCCCCCTCCCCCTCCCCCTCCCATGCATCCCCATCCCTCCCATGCCAATCCCCATTGGTCCCCCTCCCCTCCCATGCCAGTCCCAATTGGTCCCCCTCCCCCCCATGCCAGTCCCCATTGGTCCCCCTCCCCTCCCCATCGTGATCATCTAATCTCCCACATCCCCAATCCAACATAGCGCGCTGTCACCCCTGGCATGGCCCGTAGCGCTAGGGCGGCTAGTCAGGAACACGGACAGGGATGGGGATTAGCAGGGTACTGGGCAGAGACACGGTACTGAGCAGAGACAGGGTACTGAGCAGAGACACGGTACTGAGCAGAGACAGGGTACTGAGCAGAGACAGGGTGCTGAACAGGACGCACCCAGCAGGGTTGATGGTGACTTGGGCATACTCGAGTACTTGGGGGTGCTGCTACCTCTCTCTACCTGTACGGAGTACTGATGCATCACACCCAGTTGGATTGCACCCAACACCCCACGAGATTATGGGCCAGGGGGTGACTTGAGCGGTTGCAGGGGGGGCTTGAGCGGTTGCAGGGGGAACTGGCTTGAGCGGTTGTTAGATCTGGGCTGATGCTGGAAAGAAGATGACTGGCCCTACAATCTACGGAGGTAAGTTACTCCATGTCTCCACGTCTCCATGTCTCTCATCCCCCCTGTCCATACCCCCCCCCCTTCCCTCCCATTCTTGGCGAGCCATTTCAATCAAAATCCTTTCCTTCCCACCACCACACACACATCCCTTCCTCTTCCTCTTCCTCTTTCTCTTCCCTCTCTCTCCATCCTCAATCTTCAAATAACCACCGCTTCACTCTTTCAGCGGGCATTCCTTTCTTTCGGCGTACAGTGTAACGACAATATCCCCTACGAATATTACCTTCACTCTTATCGTATTACGAATCCTCTTCAACATGAAGGGAAGCTTCTTCGCTGTTGCCGCAGCTTTCGCTGTCGGCGCCAGCGCGGCCAACCACCACGCCCACGGTGCCTTCCACAAGAGAGGAATGGCCCCATCCGGCGTTGCCGGCGTTGCCGTCGGCACCGCAGGTGCTGTTGAGTCGTGCGGCTGCACCACCCGCTGGGAGACCGTCACCGGCGAGCCAACCCGTATGTCAACACCTCGTCCTGATCTGCTTCCAGATAGATCCATCCTAACTCCTCATTCCTAGTCCACAACCCGCCGCCAACCTCCACCAAGGTGACCAGCAGCAGCAGCGTCGTCCCCGTCCCCACCAGCACTGAGGCGCCCGTCGTCCCCGTTGTGACCGTCCCAGTTATTCCGCTCCCAACCCCATCCCCCACCACCCTGCAGCCAGGAACCCACACCATCCCCGCCACGACCATCACTGTGACTGACGAGACCACTGTCTGCGCCGCCACCTCCACCAAGGTCCCAGCGGGCACCCACACCTACGGCGGTGTCACCACCGTTGTCGTGACTGCCACCACCGTCACCTGCCCGGTCGCCACCGTCAGCACCTCCAACGGCGTCACCACCTCCATCATCGTCGAGACCACCTACGTCTGCCCATCCGCCGGCACGTACACGATCGCCCCCTCGACCACCACCGTGACCGACTCCACCATCTTCGTCTACCCAACCCCCACCACCGTGGTCCCAGGTACCTACACCCACCCAGCCATCACCACCACCATCACCGAGACCGACTACGTCGTCTACTGCCCATACACCTCGTCGGCTGCCGAGCTCCCAGTCCCAACCTCCACCTCGCCCGCCCCAGTCCAGACCACCGCGGCGGCCGTGCCTTCCAAGCCCGTCGTTAACAAGGGCGGTCTCGGCACCGACGGTGACCAGTGGGCCATCACCTACACTCCTTACGACCAGGCCGGTGCTTGCAAGGGCGCCTCCGCTGTCCTCGCGGACCTTAAGGACATCGCATCCAAGGGCTTCACCGCTGTCCGCCTCTACTCCGCCGACAAGACTGACTGCAACGGTCTCGAGAACGTCTCTGTCGGATGCGCCGCCCATGGCCTCCAGCTGATCGTTGGTGTCTACATCAAGGAGACCGGAATCGAGGGCGCCAAGCCGCAAATCACCTCCCTCTCCACCTTCACCCGCTGGGACCTTGTCGTCCTCGTCGTCATCGGTAACGAGTCCATCTTCAACGGTGTCTGCTCTGCCGAGGAGCTCGCTGCCTTCATCATCTCCTCCAAGCAGGTCTTCCGGAACGCCGGCTACACCGGTCCCGTCACCACCACCGAGACCCTGAACGTGCTCCAGCAGCACAAGGGTGCTCTCTGCCAGGCCATGGACGTTGTCGGTGCCAACATCCACCCCTTCTTCAACTCTGCCACCGCCGCCGAGGATGCCGGTATCTTTGTCAAGAGCCAGCTCGACATCGTTGACCAGCTCTGCCCAGGCAAGACCGGTATTAACCTCGAGACCGGATGGCCTTCCGCCGGTATCTGCAACGGTGCCGCCTGCCCCGGCCCATTCAAGCAGGCTGCTGCTATCAAGTCCATCCGCAAGGCTGTTGGTGGAAAGTCCGTCGTCTTCTCTTACCACAACGATGACTGGAAGAACCTTGGCCAGTTCGACTGCGAGCGCAGCTGGGGTATCTCCTCCCTCTTCGACATCGTCGGCGCTGTCGTCGATGGTGTTGTCGATGTCGCTGACTCCGTTGTTTAATAGCGCTTAAGTGATTGAGTGTGTTTTTTCAGTTGGATGGGGTAAGTAAGGTATAGTTGAGATTATGGCTTGTGGGGAGGGTTTTGTAGATGATATTGGATAAGGGAGGATCAGCGGGAGAGTACATATGATGAGAAACATGCGTGGCTACGTTCGGCATGGCATGGAGAAAACCCCTGGGTCTTTAATTAATTCTTCGAGAGAGGGCTCTATATTGTATTGTATTTCTTCGTCGTAATTCTGGGGGTTTGTTGGATATTTTGTTACGCTTCAAAAAACTTGTGGTCCGATGTGATTGTGAGTGAACGGGCAGGTGGTGTGATTGTCTTAATTGTTCCATCGTAAAGAAAGGAGTGATGTTGAGATGTCTGCGTCTAATTTGCGTTGTTACTCTCCCTTAACAAATCGATGGGGAAAGAGCGAAGCATCGTCGCCTTCTGCTCTTTCCTCCTCTGCTCTTTCCTCCTCTGCTCTTTCCTCCTCTGCTCTTTCCTCCCCTGCTCTTTCCTCCCCTGCTCTTTCCTCCCCTGCTCTTTCCTCCCCTGCTCTTTCCTCCTCTGCACCTTCCCCTCCATTATATATACCAAAGCACATGAGATTCTTTCATCCTCAAGAAGTGGACAGCATCCCCACCACTCACTCGACACCAACAGCCGCGTCATCACCACTTAGTCGGTGCGCCTACTTATAGAAAATAAAGGAACGAAGGTATAAACAATACGATGGATGTGTGACGGTTTGATAAGCAACTAATCAAAACCCGGGGGGACGGCTCTTGGCGCTTTTTGCAAGACTGCTTGTTATGTTATGATATTGGGATTCTTCAAAGGAAAATTTCTTCAAAGGAGAATCAGGATATCGGACTATACCTACTGTGTTTCAAACGATCTGAGGCGGATCATACACCTCAGTCGACAATTTACTCCGGGCACCGAATTTCTCTTGCACGATCTAAATGGAGATAACTTGCAGATATGTCTCCCAAAGCGTATAAAGGGATATATGCAGCATTAGGGAGACATTCATGTAGCTAAAATGCTCTCTGTGCAAATGATCTCCGAGTCGCAGAGATGATCAAAAGACTGAGTCGAGGCTCAAGCACGAGGTTACCGCCAAGGATCAGGCAAACCTACAAGTGGGTGTTATGTACTGTGTGGTGAGGGGATAAGATTAAGCATGTGGTTGGTAGTGAGAAATCGCAGCGACAGGAATAAGCAGCGACAGGAATAAGCATGTGGCAGTGAGAAAAACCCCTCCGCAACAAGAATAGCTGCTCGACAGCAAGAAAACTACCTCGAGAAAAGGCACAATCCGAATAACGAGCTTAGAGGGAGGGCGTAGTTGGCGAGTTGGAAAACACTCGGAGAATGATGAGAGTGCGGAAACAAGGACTTCCGGAATCGTAGCAAGAGATGTTTGCGGCGGTTGGGGGGGGGGATGAAAGAGAGAGTTGCAAATGCAGTTCTGTACTGAAATAGGGCGGGCCGTATGCAACAGACGAGCATGGAAGAAAATAATCAACAAACCCAAAGTTTTTCGACTCACCTACCTCCTAACAGTCATCGCACAAGAACATAACAACCACAGCACCTTCAAAGCACAGCAATGTAAAAGACATCAAGTCCATTAAAATCGGCTCCTCAACCCCTAACCCAACATGTCCGATCCCCCCATCCACTCCCCCTATTCCCTCCATCAATCCTCCCAAATCGTCTCCAAATCAATATCCCCCCTCCTCTCCGCCCCACACACACTCCAGCGTTTACTCTTATCCCTCCCAAACCCGGGACTCAGTTTCCTCCCCCTCCCCACCACGGCATCCGATCCCCTCCCCCCATCCTCCTCCCCCTCCACCGCATCCGCCGCCGCCTTGAGCTGCGCGATCCGCTCCGCCTCCAGCGCCGCCTCCTCCGCGTCGGGGGTGTCGGGGATGGTTTCCAGACTCGAGATGCTGGGGCTGCGGGAACGGAGGGAGGAGGGCGTGGTGGGGACGGAGGAGGTGGAGGTGGAGGTGGGGTAGGGGTAGCTGTTGAAGGAGTCGTAGCGCCCGTCGTATCTGCTCGTTGGGTATAAAGGTGATGAAGTGATGGAGGATGGTGATGTAGGGGTTGTGGCGCCGCTGGTGGGGTAGTGTATTGATAAGTTCCTCGAGGGTGATGACGACCGTCTGAGGTGTGGGTTTGAGGTAGATGGTATCAGCCCCGGTGAGCTACCCCTCTCGTACCCCCTCGGCGTCTCCTCCTCCTCTTCCTCCTCCACTTCTTCGGGAATAGCAACACGGTCACTAGTATCGATCATAAGCCCACGATTCGGCAGCGGCGGCGCCACGGGAAACACCTCATCAACCGGCTTTCTCAAAGAGCGATTCCGGTTCGGCGACCCCGCTGGGCTGGACGGCCGCGCAGGTGACCCGATATTGAACCCGACTCTGCTGACGCCCGGCATGGACTTCGCACGCGACATAGGCGGTGTCGGTGTGCTAGCTGCAGAGTGCGAGCGTACATGGCTGCGGGAGTAGGGAGAGATGTTGCGAGGGCGGTAGGCGACGGTAGTTGGGCCCCAGCCGAGGGGGGAGGAGGGCGTGGGGTCGGTGGCGCGGCGGGTGCTGGGGGGTTTTTTGGTCCATGATGGGTTGTTGGAGAAGGGGAGAGTGGGTTGAAAGGTCGGGGCTTCGTGGATGCGGAGGGTTGGGACGGGGGAGGAGCGGAATTCCGACATGCGTTCTGTCTCCGGGACAGGCTCCATGGTGATGTGGTTTATGGGGTTGCTAGCTAGCTGGGGATGGGGTGTTGTCCCGAGAGAGCTGGTGAAAGCATCAGAGAGTGTGTGTCTCAGTCAGTGAGGTCTCTGTGAGGAGTTTGGTGGTGTTTGACGATGGGGATGGATCGAAATGAAGTGGGAGGAGTTGTGTTGAGTAGCCGCGAGGGTTACAACAGCTCGCTCGGGGTAAGAGAGGCTGAGGCTGAACTTCGGTCGCAACGTCGGTCGCAACGTCGGTCGCAACTTCCTTCCCAGTTGTTATGGCGGATTATTAGCGCCTCGCGGTGCAGGAGTTGTCCTTGGCCGCGGTTCTTCGATCTCCGTTGATATGCTCTCTCTTTGTTTGTCTATAGCCGCCGGGCTACGGAAGGGTTTCGGGGATAGTACAATAGGACCCTGGGCCTATTGAATGCATGGCTGAATGAAAAGATGCCACGATGAGGGGAGTTATAGACACGCCGTCTTGCTGTTTCTACAGCATAGTAGTTATATTCATGCGAGGAAGAAATGAAGTTTTTGTCGCATCCGAGGAAGAAGGATCTGACTCGTTGGTTGAGCATCGCCAGCGACCAGTAAGTTAGCCAGTTGGTGGAAGTGAGATGAGGAGGTACTGGCAGCTGAAGTACCGCATCAGCCAATGAGGGTAAGTATATACATGTATTATATGTTGGTACGAAGGTACTCCAGCATCTTAGCGTGTGGGGGTGTAAACGACTAGAGTATCCGTTCCCGTATACCGTATTAATGTCTAATTATATCACGTGATATTCCACCTTAAAGTCCTTATCGCTACCCGTACAAATCTCGGGACAGGACAGACACTTAATGAATTGAATACTTTTGTGCAATCTATATCCCGCTCTCTTATTCCCCCCCCCCCCTTGTTATACAGATTCTTATATCGGATATATTTTATCCTGCATCTCTCATAAACAATTATATTGTCCTGGCTGTGCTTGTGGTGTGGTGACAACCCCCCTGGCTGGGGACGTCTGGTATGTACTACTCGTACTCGTCCGCTGGCGTCTGGCTTCAATCTTCCTCCCCGAATCCCCCAAAAGGCCATTTTGCGCTCAGCTCAATCCACCATCACTGAGTACTCTCGGGCTGACACATGTTCAATGAATTGCAGATGACTAGACGGCTGACGTAGGACACACCACGTTCACGACGCCATGCGCTCTCTTCGTTTTCGACGCGTCAGTCCGCTGCCGACTCTGTTAGGGGCCGTTTTTTTAATAGGCATCATCGTTTTCCTCCTATCTCCCTCCGCCCACGATTCCGCATCATATAACCTCCGAAAAGCAAGCGCTGCGTCGAACCCCCTCTCACCGCCCACCTCGCCCTTCCGCAAGTCGGCCGGCAGCAAGAATGGAAAACGTATCCCTCCGCCCGTCATTCGTTACCAGCTCAACAATGTCACGACGACGAGCACCCCGATAGAGAACCGCGAGACTATCCTCATCCTCACCCCGCTGGCCCGCTTCTACCAGGGCTACTGGGACAACCTGCTCAAGCTGAGCTACCCACACGAGCTCATCACCCTCGGATTCATCATCCCAAAGAACCATGATGGCAACGCTGCCACGGCTGCGTTACAAGAACAGATCACAAAGACGCAGACCGTCGGGCCAGAATCGAAGCGCTTTGCATCAATCATCATTGAGCGCCAAGACTTCCCACCACCATTGGCATCGCAAGATGAATCTGAGCGGCACAAGATGGAGAATCAGAAGGTCCGCCGGGCAGCTATGAGCAGGGCGAGAAACTCTCTCCTCTTCACCACCCTTGGCCCGTCCACCTCATGGGTCCTCTGGCTGGATGCAGATATCATTGAGACACCACCATCTCTGATCCAAGACCTTGCGTTACACGACAAGCCGATCATCGTACCCAACTGCTTCCAGCGCTTCATCAACCCCGACACCAAGAAGCTCGATGAGCGCCCCTACGACTACAACTCTTGGCAAGACAGCGAAACTGCGCAGAAGCTTGCCGCACAAATGGGCCCAGACGATATTCTACTTGAGGGGTACGCTGAGATGCCAACATACAGAACGTTGATGGCCCGTCTATACGAACAGGGGGGGGATATTAAGACGGAGATGGAACTTGACGGAGTAGGAGGCACGGCGTTGTTAGTGAAGGCGGACGTGCATAGAGATGGTGCTATGTTCCCGCCATTCGCATTTTACCACTTGATTGAGACGGAGGGGTTTGCGAAGATGGCCAGGCGATTGGGCTGGTTGTCTTATGGATTGCCAAATTATAAGGTTCGTTCCCCCACGCCGTTCCTCCCCAATTCTTCCGATTTGTGTCTAACAGAGCCCCCTAGATTTATCACTACAACGAGTAAGGCAGTCGGGGACGCCTACGACCCTATTGATAGAGAAAAGAGAAGAAGGCGCTGAAGCCACGGGGTAATTGCGTTGGATTTTCTCCCCGCGTTTCTGTGTGCATGACATGGCATCCTCTGGGAGGCATACATATATGGCTTACGGAGGCAGCCAACGATGACGGAGCTTGCATTTGTATTGTACATCATAGACTGGGATTGCATCTCAGGGGCTGCATGTGGGGGGTGGCACGCTCTACATGTACAAAAAATGAATTGAATTTACTGTTTAGATTTTCCACGTGTCAAGATCTACTATTGCTAATATACATGCATTATGGCGCAACTTCACGTTTTATATTGTGTTTATATCAGCATCATCAGTATTTTCGATTCCCTATTTTTGAAAGAAGCTGCAAATGGGTATCTAGCACTTTCCATTGTACCCTACACTCCCCCCAGCAAGCAAGCAAGCCATCTTCCCAAACCACCCCGCTTCAACCCACCCCGCTTCAACCCACCCCGCTTCAACCCACCCCGCTTCAACCATCCAACTCCTTAACCCTCTTCTCCAACTCCCTCACCCACCCCTCCACCGTCTTCACATTCTCCCCCCCCACCCTCTCCCCCTCCCTCACCGCCTCCTCCACCCTCTCCAAGCCCACCCTCCACTTCTCAATCTCCCTCCCCATCTCTTCCTGCCTCATAAGCGCCTCCACCATCTCCGAATGCGCCCCCGCAGCATCAGCATGCACCTTCCTCAGACTCCTCATCCTCTCCAACAGCCCCGGCAACAACGGCGCCAGCCCCTCAATCGTCGCCAGCGTCCCAAACAAGGCATTTATCTTCGCCGCCTGCTCGTCATCCTCGTCTTTCTCCCCATCAGCAGCACCACCGGGTGTAGCCGCCCGAGCTGCCTCTTTCACAGCAGTCATTTTTTCGGTCTCGGCAGTGAGGGCGCGCACGCGCCGAGAGAGGGCGTCGATGCTGGAGGGGGTGGCGGAGCCGATTACGGATAGCTTTTGGGAGAGGGTTGTTAGGGCGGGGAGGACGGGGTGGAGGGCGGTGGAACCGGCGGGGGGGAGACCCAGAGCGGATTCGAGAGAGGCGAGGCGGGTGTCGAAGGTTGTGATGCGTGCGAGGGTGTGTGTGGGGTCGTAGGACGGCGCGTAGGTCACTGTGTACGTCGCCGGCCCAGCAGCATCAGAAGGCTGCGCTTCTGCAGGTTGTGGTGTCGAAGCCGCCGCTTCAGCTGGTGGTAGAGGCTTGCTCAGCGCTTTTGAAAGTCGCGACGCCGAGCCCTCTTGTCCAGCGACCGGTCTCGCTAACTCCTCTAACAACCGACTCAACCCCACCGCCTCATTCTCCACCTCCCCTCCCTCCTCCTCCCCATTCCCCTCCCTCCCCCTCCTCCGCTGCTCAGCCTCAATCCTCACCTCCTCCACCTCCCTCCTCAACCTCGCCATCTTCCTCTCCAACCCCTCCCCATCCTCCTCGTCGCTCAGATCCCCCATCTCCCTCGTCCCATCAGCCAGCACCCTCACACGCCGGCTGCTGGCCCGGTAACTCTTCTTCTTCCCGCTGATGCGGTCGCTGAAATCGACACCTTTGGCGTCGACGAGGGAGGGCTCGAAGCGCGAGCGTGCGGTATCGGGGTGGAGGCGGGCGCGAGAGATTTGGGGGGAGTGCGAGGGCGTGCCGGGGGGGGAGTCGAAGTCGGTGTAGTGGGAGGAGGCGGAGCCAGAGCGTGCGGCGCCATCCTGGGGGGGGTTAGCTGGGTCTGGTGGTAGGGAGAGGGGGGACGTACGGGGGCGGTGGAGTTGTCGTCTGTTAAGGAGGGGGTGGTTTCGTAGATGTCTGGCGCGGAGTCCTAAGTTGTTGTTAGGGTTGCTGCTAGGTCAATGGGGAGGTAGAGGAGGGTAGTTACCAGATCGGGGAGAGCGGCATATTTCCTATTGAGATTCATGGTGGGCTTGGTTTGGTTTGGAAGAGCTTGGAGGGCGAGGTCTTTGAAAGAGCTTGGGGTTTGGGGTTGGGGAGCCACGATGGGGTTTAGCGACAACCGCGTTTATGCGGGTACCCCTGGAGTACAGGGACTGACTGGCGTGTCCTGAGCAATATGGCAGTTAATAAGGTCAAAACCAACTTAAATATAACAAACCTTCGCATAGTATCATAACTTACCTAAACTAGATATATCCGGGGTTGGGTGTCTTATACAAAGCTTTTTATTTAATTTTTTTTATCCACAATTTAATTTAATTTATAGTCATACTTCAAAAATTAAGTTAATAAAATTGCATTGCGCTGTCATGAGGAATACAGAACCTAAGGCTCATTCCCACAGCTGCATGATTCTCAATGTCAAGCCCGGTATTCTTGCACCGAAAGCACGTATATATTGGTACAAACCCACCAGCAAGTCAGAAGCTCCCAACCACCATCCCCATCCCATATATACGCCCCAAACCCACTCAATCTACAACCCCCTCTCCCCATCACTCGGCTCCGACTCCGCATACCCACTAACCCTCTTGGCCCTCCTATCCCTCTTCCCGTGACTCGACATCCTGATCTCCTCCTCTTCCTCCTTACTCGGCACACTCGGATGCTCCTTCTCATACGCCTTCCGGAACGCAATCGAATCATCATCCCACACCCTACAGAGCTCCTTATAATTCGCCAGCGCCGCCAGGTAAACCACCTTACCCTCGTTCGCGCGCTGCTTGTACGGGACCTTCTCCTCCTCCGACGCATCCTTCCACATCTTCCCCAGCATCGTCCGCACCTCGTTTGACACCGGCCGCCCCTTCCCGGGACGACGATTCGCCTCGCATCGCTGGCGCGCGAGCTCGGCGTTGGCCTTGCTGAAGAGGACGTAGGGGTTTATGGTCAGCTTTTGGGGGGAGAGCGGGTATTGTCCGAATTTGGCGTAGATTGCAGTCCAGACCTCGTTTTCGTAAGCTTGAAGTCGGGCTTGTCTGAGGTCTTTGGGTTGGTTCTCTAGCTCGGCAGCTTTGCGCTTCAGGGTTGAAAGAGAGTCTTTGGGTAGGACGAGGGGCTCGGGGACGTCGATGGGGCCGATCATGGACTCTAGGACTTCTGAGGCCACGCGGAGACCAGAGAGATATGCACCATGGACTGTGGCGGGATGGGTGCCGCAGGTGTGTTCTCCAGCGAAGAACAGGTTCCCAATGGGTTTTGCCATGACCTCGTAATCATCGAGTTGGAAATTCGGGCCCGTGTATGAGTAGCTCCCGCGAGCAAACTTATCGGAACCCCATCGTGTAATGATGGCTTCCACAGGTTCTGGGACGGTCTCGCCAAAAATGCTCCGCAAGACCTGAGTAGCTTCGGCTACCAGAGATTGGTTGTCCTCCTTCTCAGTTTGGAACGCTGCATCACCAGCCATCAGGGCGATGAGAGTAGGAACACCACTGGTTTTTGTACAATTAAACCATTGGAAGAAACGGCCTCGCTTGGTGGAATAGTCTGCCTGGTTCAAACTTGCGCGGTAGATGGGATCGCGAAGAACGCCAAATATGTCTCTTGTAGTATCCCAGAACGGCTCTTTATAAACAAGGGCCACCTTGTTGAGGACCCCAAAGCCAAGTCGTTCGATTGCGCCAGTCTTCCACTCGGGAAGCGCAGGCTCGAAATTGATACTCGAGTCTTTGAGAACTCCCAGAGGGATTGTGGAGACAACGATATCGGCCTTGACCGTCGAGCCATCCTCACAGTCAATAGTGGCAGCGCCAGACTGATCTGGCGAGTACGCAATCCGCTTAACAGCGCTTCGCTTCCTGACATTGAGAGGATATGGGCAATGCAGCAAGCCACGTGGCACCTGCTGATAGCCGCCCACAATCTGCGTATGTTTGCCTTCCCACTCATTCCCAGCATCCACATCCCATCCTCTCAGACTGAGCTCTTTAAGGTTGATAGCGTTGCTGTACTCCAGATTGGCAATGTGCCAGTTCATAAGGCGCAGGTCGAGTGGTAAGAGGTGAACCACGCTGCCAAACTGCTTGATTGCTGCGTCCACTACGGAACCTAATGTTGATCCCTCACGATCAGCAACCTCATCGAGGTCTAAATCTTTGCTATCCTCAACCTCATCTTGTAGCGTCCAGCCAATGAGGCGTGCTTTATACGCTGCTTTATGCACTGCTGGTCCTCCGGGTTCTTTGTGCGGCCTTCCAGTTATGCGGTCTGTCGATACTGGGACCACATCAACCGGAGACTTAGATAAGTGGCCGTTTTGCTCCGTTCCGCTTTCATCTGATAATACGTGTGATTTTGAAGCCTCTTCGTCTTCAGCCACAGCGATTGTCTTGCCAATATCTCCATGTCCATCGCGGTATGCGTCGACAAGATCATGGTCGCCTTCTATGTTAACTACTTTAGGCAGCTTGAATTTATAATCATAGAGTCGATCCAATATATCGTTGTAAAGCTTTTCCGCTAGATGGTCTCGCGTTGGGTCGACAGGCTGTCCATTGAAATCGTACAACGTGGTTGTTGGACGCAGCGCATGATAATCAAGTGCCAGCTGCCCTCTGACCAGAATGTTCAAGGGATTACCGCGCTCAAAGCCCGTGATGATCATGCCGCCCATTTCCGCTGTGCAGCGGTATCCCTCTTCTAGCGTTGAGGCGGAGGTATCAGTCTTAAAACCACGTGAGTAGACGCGTCCTCCCACTCTGTCTCTCCCTTCTAAGATAACGACATTTGGGACCTCTTCGCCCTTCTTGAGAAAGCGGCTTTCGAAGTGTGCGAATAGGCCTTCTAGTTGTCTAGCACAACCCAACCCGGACATCCCAGCTCCAATCACGGCAATTGTCTTGCGTGGACGCTTTCCAGGACGTTGTTTCGATGCTGGTCCGCGGGGTTCCATATTGTCTAGACACCCATAGTTGATGTAGCCTTGTCGAACAAGCCACTCGTAGCAGACGTTTGCTAGGTCAAACCAGCGTGCATCTCTTGCACAACCAATTGCCTCATCCTGCAGGACGCGGACTAAGGGATTCCTTATCCACAATCGGAGAATTGCATTTCGGATATTTAGGTAGGTTGTCACCTGGGTATGGATGAGATGTGTTCTTAGAAGTTCATACTCGTCGGTATGTAAGGCATATGGATTGAGCCGTGATGATTCTGCCGCAGCAATACACTGACGAGCATATTCTGATATGTGAATGTTTATAGGTATGGAAGATTTCGGGCGGACATCGTATTTGGCTCGTTTCCTTGTCGGCTCTTGTGATAATTCATTCTTCTGCAGGCCATCATGGTCAGACAATGCAGTTTGACTTGATATCGATGAAAGAGAAGATGATCCATCTGATGTCTCTGTTGCCATAGATGATGCCATTGAGGAGCGCGACTCATTCGGCTTGGCATCTCCATCACCACCTGACAAGGCTTGCAAATGTTTCGATGGCCTTGGCAAGAATCAATGTTAATATTTCAATGCTCCAAATCTAAAGAAGACGCGTAATAAAAGGGTTAATACTTACATTGAGTTGCCATTGGCTTTGAGACTCCATGCTCCGGTACTAGAAGGTAGTACTGCATTCTCACTCTTCGGGAAGGTTCTCGAGATATTGCTCTCATCCATATGAGCCATTGCCTTGGCATCACCAACGCTAAGTGGAATATCCATTGTTATATCTGATGCCGTAGCAGCCAAGACCTCGGTAGACAGGTCTGCTGATTCTTCGAATATAGCCAGCTGAGAATCCAGCTCTTGTAGTCCCATTAAGGTATCTTGGCCAAAATCGTCGGTGAGCTGCACCTGAGCATCGATTGTGAGTGACATTCTTGACTGTTGGCGTTCTTAGCCCTTGGTTAATGATGGGGCGCAAGGGCCGCTTTTTGACGACGTCGTCTTCGTTCGGGATATGTGGATTTTGCCGTACTACAGGACACTCCTCCCATTTATAACCTCACATGAAATATCGCCTAGGCTGACATCGGATATATTGCCAAGTTAATTACCCGTTGACTTCCTGTATATTTGTTAGCAAACGGCCTAGGTCAGTCTAATATCACGATATATATACCAATTCATTGGGTGGCCTGGTTGTCGCAAGTTCGTATATGTCTCCTTAACCCCAGAACCAAGGTCGGTATTCTCGGTTGCGGCAATCAGAAAGTACTGGGTTCGTATCATACCATTGCATATTATAAAGAGAGATAATGCTAGGGCTGCGTCGGCTGACTTGGACACGCGGCGTTCTTGATATTCATACGGAGATGAGGAGAATTATGGCTCTTACGGGAACTGGTTTCCCATGCACGTGATCACTAGTACCCTTGCCGAGACCTCAATTCAACGTCGGGTCATCCATGAGGCAGCGAAATTATCATTTACTCGGCCAATATAGTTTATTTGTGGTATTGGATATCGTATACGCTAATGTGCACAATAATGGGATTCTGCCTTCATTCTAAATACGACCAGTTTCAAGACTGGCTAGCAGCGTTCGCAAAATCTCCCTTCTCAATCGCAGTATCCATCATCTTGTTTCCGTTTATGATCGATGTTGTACAAATGATTATATTCTTCCGTTCTATGCGCTGTTAGCCAGTGTAACCTGATGCTAAAGCACTTCTCCTTACCTTCTTCCTTCTTGGCAATGAACCTCAGCGCCGCGATCTCCGTGTATGTTATGCCACCCAAGAAGACAATAATAACAGTCTTTTTCTCGCCACTGTTCGTCAATAGTGATCTTGCTTTCACAGCCGTATCTTCTCCCTTTTGTATCTCATCAAATGTTGCGCCTCTTGCATGCTTCACAGCCTCATCAAAGCCCCTCCAGCCCTGCCCACCACCGCCGCCAGCGTTGGCGTTGGCATTGCCGGGGGCCGCGGAACCGCGAGTGAATGACAACAGGTATTGCTTTTGGAGTATGCATTGAACAAGTCGGACAGATAGCGGTGCATAGCCACTGTAAACATACGCGATATCGTTTGGATCCTGTTCGTTGACCTCGTCGACGATGAGACGCAGTTGCTTCCGTAGAAATGTGTAGTTTGTTTTGGTTCCCGTGCCGACACCGGTTCCAGGCATCGGGATCATTAGGGCTGTAGGGGAAGAGCGTGACAACAGTAGGTGGAGTTTCCCCAGCGCGTCCAACGTCAGGATATGCTGGTACCCGTACGCGTGGAGTATGAGGCGCTTGAAGTTCTCTAGCTCCTTCGGTTTTATCCCGCCAGAAATACAAGACTCGAGGCAAAGGAGTCGAAGAATCTCGGTAAGAGGGGCATCCCGGGAGATCAAGTCCTCCATCGCCTCGTGTTGTGATGACGGATCTGCACCGGCTGCCAGATTTTGTTGGATTTCCAGCAATTGACTAAACTGAGTTGTCCGGGTATGTTTCATTATCTCTTCGGCAAGACCGGTGTGGATCTTCAGGCTTTGCTGTTCAGCTTGGTAGCCTTTGAGATTGTTTACAAACTCTCGCAGTTCTGCTGTGGTCTTGTTCCCATGCCTGCTCTCGTAGTCTGTTTTTAATCGTCGAGCCACTTTATTCAGTAAACCACCAACTACTGCAAAATTTGTATCTCTTAATGGAACGTAGAGCTTGTCGGATGAATCGAGCTGGATCTTCCGCATTTTCCCTTGTGGTACTGACGTGCCGATACTCTTTGCCGACCCTTGCTGAGCGGGTTGAGGAGCTGCACCAACGATCGAGGAATCTATTTCGGCCTGGTTGTTCTGTATCCCAACTACTTCGTCTATCAAGCCTTCATATGTAAGCTGGGTGAGCAATGGCGTTGCGTAGTCTACCTCCCGATCGATGACAATTAAACTTTCGATTGTAGTGCTTGGGCTCATTGTAAATTTATTGTCGTTGCCCTCCTCTCCGGCAATAGCTTCCTGCCGCATTCGAGTTAAGAGGTCCGCTAGCCGCTTCGCATTATCGCCTTTGCCAGTGATTCTTGGGAAAAGGCCATGATTCTGTTGTATCAGCATGAGCGCCTTGGCCATGAGAAACGTTGGCGTCGGATCTTTTCTGAGATACAAGTCTCCAAAGGAGTCGTTGAGTTCTAGAGACAGAAGGTCCTTCTCGAGGGATACGAAATATAGCGGCAGTTCGAAAATGTTCACATCCCCCAAAACGCCGGCATCCTCTAGGATCTTATCGGATACCAGTGTTCGGCGAGGGACCCAGAATATAGAAAACTCGTGACCTGTCTGCGTTTCACGCTGGATGCGTTTGATGTGATCTAGAAAGGTTTAATATCACGGGAGTCTGGCATGGACAGTACCATAACGTACATACCCGCAATCACCATGGTGTTCCTCGCGCTTTCTCCCCTGGCAATGAATACCACATTCTGCTGGCTCGCATCTGCATTTCCGTTCTCCAAGAAGAAAACCTTGCCGACTCCATAGTCTTGTAAAGTTGAGAACTTCACAAACAAGCCAATGGGCCCGGCGAGGTCTCGCTCTAAGACAAGGTTCTTCTTGCCTCGTACCTGTCGAGGGATTAGCACGGCCAGCATCGTGATCTTGCTGGGTTTACTTACACCCTCAAGCAGAGCCAACAAGTCCCGCCGAGACTTGTCGGCGATCGCATCAACAGAGAACCCAGCATGGAGAGCCATGGTGAGCTCTACATACGGATTATCGGATACGGTGTGTTTGAGGGCCAGACGCAGCCTCGTGCAGCTACTCGAGTAGGACGTAACCTACGCGACGTGAAAGGCGGGGTTGGATTAACGATGTTCCGCGCCCTTAGACACACAAGTCTTGGCACTCGGGATGTTCAACCAGGCTACCAATCTAATCAAATTCTCCATGTGAGATCTCCTCCACAGTCCCAAAGAAGGCTGAGTTTTGCCCAGCTGAGCCCAAGTACGGAGTACGTGGTGGTAATTTCGTCATATGTACCGCATTCTTCAAAATCGGTGTACTTGCCATCGCTCCACTCGCTCTCCACTGTCGCTTCATCTGCCCCGCAGATCTGGACCATCTTTATCTCGGGCGAATGTGAGAGGGAAAACTGTACGGTACGTGCGGCGTTGCCTTATTTCAATGGGGAAAACTGATCCGGTGTTAGCGGGTGTTCATAGTGTTATTAAAGTAGCGCTGGATTGGTGTTAGCGGGTGTTCACGGTGTTATTAAAGTAGATGCCCACCTTCCGTATCTGACCTTTTTTTCGAAATCTAAATCTTTTTTGCGCTGGAACTGGAATGAGACACGTATAGGCGACACGTATAGGCGACTTTCTGTGGAAGGAAATGACGGCTAAGCATCCGCGGAAGAAGTTTAGCGTCAGCCACTCGACGGTGCTAACTGCACCACAAGTTCGAACTTCCAATTACTCCGCCTGCCAAGTTTCCTACTTTGCCTGATATGGGCTAGTGGATTAGGGCATAGCCAATCTAATATCGTTTCCACCCCTCGGCAGGGCCTTTTCAGGTACATGAAAGTTGTAGATGCTGTTCCGTAGATACGAGCTGATCCTGCAAGAGTACGGAGGTAGAAGCAGTAGTGGAGTCTTCTAAATGTACCTCCGCCTTGCGTGGCGTCGGTATGCATTTGGATGTACTTTTAGTGTTCCCTTCTAACGCGGTTACAGTCTGATGAGCAACTACTCGCAACATACGAGTTATCCTGATCCTTATTGCCTCGACTTTCTCCCTATAGTACCACCGACCTTGCTCCCCGAAGAGTCTATTAAACAGGTAAACAGGTAAAAGGTCAAGTAAAAGGTCAAGTAAAAGGTCAAGTAAAAGGTCAAGTAAAAGGTCAAGTAAAAGGTCAAGTAAAAGGTCAAGTAAAAGGTCAAGTAAAAGGTCAAGTAAAAGGTCAAGTAAAAAGGTAAACAGGTAAAAGGTAAACAGGTAAAAGGTAAACAGGTAAAAGGTAAACAGGTAAAAGGTAAACAGGTAAAAGGTAAACAGGTAAAAGGTAAACAGGTAAAAGGTAAACAGGTAAAAGCTAAACAGGTAAAAGGTACCACCGACCTTGCTCCCCAGAGAGTCTATTAAACAGGTAAACGTAAACTGGTAAACAGACAAGTTCGGCTCTGCAACGGATCATATTATAGTAGTGTTGTCGATTATTGTGTGTGTGGATGTACGGAGTACTGTAGTAGTAATACGACCAAGTTATTCTTGCGTGCTGAGGTTATCCGGCCCACCTTCATCCCGCATCTCATCCCTCCTCTCCTCACTCATCCCTCATCTCAGCCCGTCTCAAACATCGAACTAACTCCTGCCTGTGTTCGGACATGCCATGTGAGATACGCCCGCTTTCCTCAATTAGATATTGTACCGTACCTATCTTACTCCGCCACCGCTTGTAATACTCGTAATATAGAAGTACGTAGCACCATACTTTACGCCCTCCTCCCCACCCTACTAGTTACTCTTAACTTGCCCGTTCGATCGTCGTAGATGTAGCGTGGGTGTGTGGTGCGGTGCTCTTCAACAACACAATCTTACCTCATCTCGAGATCCGAAACCTCCAAACTTCACCTCACTCCTACAAACTCCGACTTCATTCCATCAACAACTCCCCTCTATCACGACGCTCTTCTCTGGTCCAACGGGACCGTCCGCTCCTTTACATCTCTCCGTTTGTTCGCACAGCGAACCCACCAAATTCAACGGCATTCCACCTTCGCACCAAAGAGGACCTTCGCATCAACGATTCGCGCTCTTGAGACACCGGCATTGACGACATCTCTACGGAGCCTTACAAAGCTTCAGGTAAGAACTCGAATCTTATGCATACCGACCGTCCAATGCCCACCTGTTATTATAAGCTTGAAAAGCAATCTATGTTCCGGCACTGACAGTTGTTTAGTTTGTCTCTGGCTATTCGGTCCCTGCTCAACTTCCAACACCAACGATCAAGGATATCGAACTGCACTTCCAGCGACAACACACCCGCAGAATATCTTAGTTACGACTCTATTCAACATTCTCGGGAACCTAATGACATCATCTTAGCTGTAGTGCATACTTTGGCCGCCGTGCGGCTGTGAGAAGCATGGCGACCATCACCTCCAGCAACCATGGATCACACCCCAGCATACCCTTCAGCAACGAAGACGGGCAAACATCTTACAGCATGTACGCCGAACCCTCCGACTCTCCTCGGTCGCCAGTCTTCCCTCTGGATGACCACCCGAGCACCGACGGACCTCTTCCGAACCCTCCCTTCGTCTTCCCCGCTCGTCCAGCATTTACACCATCACCCTTCTCTCGAGCTGGACGTAGGCCCCAATCCGCATACGACCTCCCCAAGCAGTCAGGACTCAACCAGGACTTTCAGCTTGGTGGAGGCCGATCTGCACCCCCGCCTCTCCCAAGCTTCTCGTTCAACCCAACGGCTGCTGCAACACTGGACTCGGGCATCTACAGTCCCCCACTGTCACCCATGTCAGCTACGGGTGGCAGACCAATACCTTCAAGGCCAGCTGGGCACAGAAGAGGAGGCAGTGAGTTCATCGGGGGAGACGGCAAGACCGGAGCGGGCAGTCTTCTCAGCACCAGCCCAACAAAAACAGAGGGGCACCTCTCCCCACCTAACCCAAGCGTGCCTTCTGGCCCTCCTGGTGGCAGACGAGGCCATGCTCACAGACGATCTGCAGCCATTTCATGCCACGATCTGTCCGCAATCATGAAACCGCAAATGCCGGCAGCTGCTCCTCTCGGTGGTAGCGCTCCAACCAGCCCTTCAGAGGCACAATCGGATGTAGCATTGGCGACCTCCCTGGACAACGCTATACAATCCGGATTGGAAAATGCGAAAGCATCCGATACGGTTACAACACCGCCAATCCTAGCGGCTGCTACAGCACGTCTCCCAAAGACAACCAGAGTGGGCTTTTCTGATAACGTCGAGTTTATACCCCGCCCTCTGTCCCTAGTCTCAAGCGATGCTTCGAGCACTATGACAGTGCGTCAAGGCCATTCGGCCACTGGCAGTCTCTCTTCGGTCATCTCCCTCGCAGCCGCGAGCCCGCCATCAAAGGAGCAACAGCGGGGTCTCCCAAATCCAGCTACAAGCCGCAAACCGGACGAGCATCGTCCGAGTACAGCCGGACCAGTTCTTGGTGCATCAAGCCAAGGCCACTTCTTGGAAGAGACCGGGTCAGTTAGGAGAAGGAACTCCGACCCTTCTATGTCGGAGGAAGCAAACGGCGAGGACTTGCCTCTTACGCCCCGAACTGCCGCAAAACGGTATTTCTTCTTCAACCAGCATGACTACCCCCTTAGTGATGTGCCTCCAAATCAATCCCGCCCAGTCAGTGTCTCGTCATCTAACATGACACGAGAGAAGTTCAGCGGCCCTGCCCCTTCACCAAAGAAGCTTCAGTCTGCACATGAGGACGCAGACCCCACTGAGGGAATGCCCAAAGTCACTCGCAAAACTTCTATGACCAGGAAGCCCAGCAAGAAACAGAAGAAAGTCAAATCTTGGGCCGGTTCTATTCTATCGCGCAAAGGGAAGCCCCGAAGCTCCAAGCACAAGGGGCTTAGTAGAAAATCTCCTACGCCTCCTCTGCGAAATTATGAGCCTGCTACCTACGATACAACGGAGTATGCCCTTCCATCCCAGGCTGAGATGCCAGAACAGACAACGGAGGAAGTTACTCCTCAACAAACCGCTCCAAGTACTCGAACCGACTTCGCCAATTGGAGACCAAGACATGTCGCTCCACAAGATGATGAGACTATGAGCCCAATCATAGATCTCGATGCTGCTCTTGGCCCTTTCAATACTCCAACTAGCCATGACCTGGAATGGGAGTCATCACAAAAGTCTTTTGGCCAAACCAAGAGAAGAATGCACAGCGCTGCAGGCATGACCGGGTTCAAGGGGCCAGGCCTGCACTACCACAGACGCACTGAAAGTGCTCCTGAGATGGTTGCATCTGAGAACCCACGCTTTGGCCTTCACCATATCGGGAGTAGCTCTACCATGGAGGATGTGTTCGAGGAAGATGAAGAGGATGAAGACTGGGAAGAGGTCAAAACTGTGTCACACAAGGGCTCCACAATCAGGGCCGAGGATGAAGAATCCTCTGGTCTTGGAATTGAGATTAAGGTCGTTGATGCAGAGAGCGGCCATGATAACGTCATGGACTGGACTCTGGACCAAGGCAGTAATTCGCAGCGAGGCCTGAAGAGAAAGACCAGCGCTTTGAGCGAGGGTGAAGGCTTCCAATTGCAAACTGCATCGAGCATGAATTCTGCCCGATCAGTGAGCCCATTGAGAGAGACCTTTATAATGGAGGACCTCAACCCATCTCCAAGGATTGGAGATGATACTATCATCACAAGACCGATTTCGAGCTCAAAATCGTCCAGCACCTCCACGCCACCATTCCGAGCGGTTGCGTCCAAAGATCTCGCGCCAATGGATATGCAACCATACTCTATCCAACCACCGTATCTCACACCAACCACACCCAATTCGACCTTCCAATCGCCTTTTCCATCTCCGCGTTCGCCCGTTTCCTACGACGCCCGCAGAATGTCGACCGCCCCGTCTTCGATTCTCGATGAGCCGGGCTTCAACCCTCTCTGGCTCGGCGAGCCGGGCCCTGAGATTCGCATGTCCGTGGACGAGGTCCCATCCTTGACTAGCAGCAACCCCACCATGATTCGAGAGAGCATGATGAACCCTGGCCTCGGAAACCCTCAATTCCGAAACGGACAGCGACCGGCCTCGCTTTCCAACCCGACTGTGAACCGCAAGCGGTCTAGCATTGCTAGTCTCTCGCGCCTCCTCAGCTCGCACGGAGAGAAGAGCAAGCTCTACATTGAAGAGAGCGCTGATGACTTCCCCGAGTCGAAGAAGGAGAGCAAGGGGAAGCGTCTTAGCCGCATGATGCAGTTTTGGAAACCGAGCAAGTCGGAATCCTCAGAGGCACGAGAAGCATGAGCATTGAGTGGAGGAAGAGAGAGAGAGAGTGGGGGATTCGTTTTTTGCTCCCTAATTATGCGAAGACCCTCACCACCTACATATTTGCAACACAACACGAGCGAGCAAAGCAAGCGTGCGTGCGACTTTGAAGCATCAACAACACTGAAAAAATCGACACTTTTCTCGATTTTTAAACAAACAATTCCAACTTTGGGAATATGGATATAAAACGACTTTCATAACGAACTCCTGCGGATTGTGTTTTTGTTCCTGTTTCCCTGGTTCCCGGTATCCTGGCGTTCTTCCTTTTTTAAATCATTAGATTTTTTGTGCATTACTGAGAGTGGGCGGCGAAAGGGCTATAAATAAGATGCTCTCTTCATGTTATATCTGTAGAGCGAGTGTGCATAACAATGATACTTTACATGTGTAAATCAATCGTGCAGATCAGTGACCAAAATATGCCATGAATAGTGATACATCCCATCCATCCTCTACTCCCGTACACATGCCCCGGCACCAACCGTCACCCTACCGTCAGCAGCTCGGTAAGCTCCGCCCCCCCAACTGACGCACCTCACATGAAAACCCCCCAAATCACCACCATCACCACCATCACCACCACCAATTCCCCAATCCACCTCCACCAAACACACCACCTCAAATTCCCATGCCGCCCTCCTCCAAAGCACCAAGCAACACCTCCTTCCACACCGCCCGCACCACTATGCCCCCCCCCGCCCGCTCCCCCCTCAAGCGTCTCCACGCCGAGCTCTCCGCCTTGCAATCCCTCGGCCCCCGCCCCAGCAGCGATGGAAGCGCGATAGAGCGGCTCGAACCGGTTGATACGGATGATTTGTTTAAGTGGGAGGCGGTTGTTAAGGGGAGGGGGTTGGGGGGGGGGTATGAGGAGGGGAGATGGCTGTTGGAGATTGAGGTGCCTGAGGCGTATCCGAATGCGCCGCCGAAGGTGAGGTTTAGGACGAGGGTTGTGGGGAGCAATGTTGATTTCGAGGTATGTACATTTTTGGTCGCGGAACTGCGGATGGGGGATATGGTGGCTAATTGAAAAACAGACGGGCGAAGTCTGCCTCGACCTCCTAAAGGATAACTGGTCCCCAGCCTACACCCTCGAGAAGACCGTCGAGGCTGTAGCGCTCATGCTTGCGAACCCCGGGGTGGACAGCCCGCTGAATGTGGATATCGCGGCGCTGTTGAGGAGTGGTGATGCCGTGGGGGCCGAGAGTCTTGTTCGGTGGGCGGCGGCGGAGACTTGGGGGCGGTATGAGGGGAAATAAGCTTGTGGAATTAGTGGAGGGGAAAGGGCGGGATATATATATACTTCGTGGGGAGCGATGGCGTTTTGCTTTCGATACATGAATGGTCAAGAGATTGAGCTTTTGGATGTATTGAGAGAGGGAAGAAATTGTATACACCCGTAGATACGTGCGTGGAGTTTGTAGGACAAAGAAGCAAATTTCATTCTTATAGGATCTCTCGCTGATCCAGGAAACACAACATCGTCACTGGTTTATACTGTGGAGAGAGAATATGGTCGATAGCCATATAGGCTCTATTCTTCTATTATCTGTATCTATGCAGGAGCGCTTGAATCTATATCTATATCTATAGCCATTCACACGATAAAGCCAGTAGACATAACCGTCTCACGAGCATGAGTGCACCAACCAACCCATTTTGCTTTTGATGCCCTTTAACCCACCCCAAAATATACCAATCCCCCTTCTCTTCATAACACCCCGACCGCAGTCTAAGCTTCAGCATTACTAGTAGGCGTAACCTGACCATCCTCCTGCAACAGCATCCTCGCCACCATCTGCTCGCCCTTAATCTCCATATCCTCCTCCCCGGACACCTTATTATCCAGCTCCAACTTGCTCTGCCCAAGCGCATATATCTGCTCCTCAATCGTGCCCTTAGTAACTAACCTCACCACCTCAACCTCCCTCGTCTGGCCCACGCGATGCGCGCGATTCTCGGCCTGGATATCATCCTGAGGATTGAAGGAGCTGTCAAAGATGATGACTTTGTTGGCATACATCAGGTTAACGCCTGTTCCGCCTGCACCAGTGCTGAGGAGGAACGCAGTGATAGTTTCATCGTCGCGGAAGTCGTCGATGAGAGTCTGTCTCTCGTTGACCTTTGTAGCGCCGTCGAAGCGGGTGTGCTGGATGAGTTCGGTCTGGAAGACTGCCTCGATGATGTCAAGCACCAGCGTGAACTGCGAGAAGACGAGGACACGGTCGCCGTTCGCTTTGTACTGCTTGACGAGGCGGACGAGGGCGTCGACTTTGCCGCTGTTCATCCAGGTGAGGTTGGGGGTGTCGAATTTCTTGATGCAAGGGTATCGGAGACACCACGTGTGGAGGTAGTAATCCTGCAGAAGCTTCATCTCCATCAGGATCTTGTCTCGTGGTTGGGAGAACTCATCCGGCGCCTGTCTCCTCAGGAGATCCACCATCTTCTCGAGTTTGTCGTCGGTGAAGTGGCGGCGGAAGAGCATGGGGTGGATGGCCGCTTTGCGCAGCTGCATGAGAGGGTTGTTCTCCCCATCATTGGGGGCCTTGCCGCCTGAGAGTCGGAGCTGGGCGCGCTCACGCGCTCGGCCGCGGAGTCCGTTGTAGATTTCGGCTTGGGAGGGGTGCATATCGCAGTATTCCACCTTGCAAATCTTGGCGGGCATATGCTTTAGCACTTGAGCCTTCTTGCGCCGGAGGACGAAGGGCGTAAGCATCGATTTCGCGCGGGCGATTCGCTGGGCTGAGAGAAGTGCCGCGTGGTCGGCGTCGCGGGTGGATGCTTTGTGCTTGAAAATGAACTCTAGATCTTCTTGACGCTCGCGGAAAATATCTGGTAGGATAAAGCCGAGCAAAGCTGCAAGTTCCATTAGGTTGTTCTGCAGCGGCGTGCCGGTGAGCAGGAGCCTGAACTGGGCTGGAATCTTAATTAATCCCTGATACTTCAGAGACTTTGGATTCTTCAAAACGTGGCCCTCGTCGTAAACGCATGCATTCGGCTTCAACCTTCGCATGAACCTGTTGTCCTCTTTTTTGGCAGCAAATTCATATGTGGAGACGACGACATTGACTTCATCGCGCGCATCAAGGATGCGTTCTGCGATATCCTGGCGCTCTTTTTGGTTGCCATAATAAGGCTCGACAACTAACTCTGGTGCAAAGTTTGCAAATTCTCGCAGCCAGTTCTCCAACGTCGACGGTGGGACGATGACCAAATGAGGGCCGGTCTCTCCGGTCTCGGCAAGATGTGACAGAAAGGCAATGACCTGGCAGGTTTTCCCTATTCACTGTTAGCAGAGAACGAGTAGAGGATATCAGAATAGCTTACCGAGCCCCATATCGTCAGCTAAAATACAGCTCAACTTGTATTTATACAGAAGCGCCAACCAATTCAACCCAACAAGCTGGTAGTCCTTCAAGACAAGAGTACTAGCCATCTTCTCCGGTTTCTTCAGGAACTTATTCTTCCCCTTCTTCGACACGGCCCTGACATCATCATCATCAACTTCCGACGTCGACTTGCTGCTCTGTGTCCCCAGACCTGAGTCATGGAGATCCTCCTCCAGCGAGACCATTTCCAGTTCACCTCCCTTCGCAGCACCATTGACATCAAATCCCCATCTAGTCATCTCTTCAGTAAGCGGCTTGCCCAGCTCCGAGCACGTAGCAACAAGCGCATCGACAGCCTCGTATCCCGACATCATGCTCATTGAGGTATCGACAATTCTATCCCCAATAGGACCTCTGGCGCTCTGCCTTCCAGTCTTCGTTTCCTTTGCATTGGAAACTTCCCTGGCACTATCCAAGTTCCCAAACGGACGCTTTGATAGGAAGAATTCCGCGACGTCGGGCTTGATATTTGCCAAATCGATGAGGTCGCCCTTGCTACACTTATTAAGGAAGCTCAGGACGCGACCCTCCAGTTCAGGGTTATCCTCCTCCTCAGAAGCAGCATCAGAATCGTAATCTTCAGCATCGGACAGAATAATCTCTTCAACCTCTTGTATTTTCTCTGGGATCTGCTTCTTCGGCGAAGGATCCGGGTTTCGGCGCCCCTGCATCAACTTCCTCTTCGGCTTCGGGGGCGTCACAGCCACCGGTGAAGTTGGTACAAGCGGGACCATCTTCTGGTACTGCGTTGACGAATACCTCTCCTGGATAGATGCAATAGGCTGTTTAAGCTGACGTCTCATCTGCGGCTCCGCCACTTCCACTGGCTGGGCCTTTGGCTTCGCAACACCCTTCTTGCTATCGTCGTCGGAGTTGATTTCAATGACCTCAAGAATATCAAAGACCATCTCGGTGGCGTCGTCAACCCTGCCATGGCACTTGATAATGCAATCCACGATCTGGTAGATCTTAGCCTGAGGAGCAACCTTCACGACCCGCTCGACTTTGCGTCGTAGCACAAGATCGTGAATATCTTCGATCCCATAATCAGTCCCAGTCGGCAGAGCCCTCGCCGGTCCATTCTGCATTGGAGTCTTCCGCTTAACCCCATTCAGCGAACCCTCCCTCTCAAACATCGCCGTCGTCGACGCCTGTGGCTTGAACGTCGATATGAGATCCCTAAAGCTAGGACCACCAGAACCCAACGGGCTACCAAAAGTAATCTTGCTCCTCGCCTTGAAGATAGAGGGCTTGATATCCGCCGCCGAATCCTGGATCTCGTCATCCGAACTCCCGCCTTGGTAAGTCGGTCCGTCGTTCTCGTCGAGGTCAATGACCTTCGTCTTCGTAGGCTCCTTCTGCACACCATTCGGCACCTTAAACGCAGTTCCCGCGGGCGCCATCAACGACGCAATGCGCCCCGGTGCATTCTGCTGTGGCGGGCTACTCCTCGAGTTCCCAGCAAACGGCGACGATGCAGGCACAAGGACTTCTTCTCTGGTGCCGCCTAGATTGAACCCCGGCGCCGAGGCATCGATAATCTGCGTCGGCTGCGTGAAGTGCTTCGATTCCGGCACGATCCCCTCGAAGAGGTCATCGCCACTATCGTCAGCGGAATTATAGCCGTTTCCTTGGTATCCCCCTACCGTCTTCTGACGCTTCGCTGCTGGAGAGTCTGGGACGGATGGTGGGTCACTGGAGGTGACGTTGGGGAACGCCATGGTCTCCGGCTGGTGTGGTGGTGGTCGAGAGGGTTGGATTCGATCGGGGCTGTGCTTCACGTAGTTAGTTAATGTGCTCTGTCGCGTGTGGTTATCCGTGGCTCGAGCCATGGTTGCGGCGGTGAATGTGGCAGGTAGAATAACCAGAGAAGAGAATTAACGTTAAGGGGCGCAAGATCAGCTATCCCAGCGAAACAAAGTCTCAAAAAGAAAACTCCTCTCGCAGCCCCCCACAAACCCCTTCAATCCAGTCTCAAATGCAGCTCAAACAAATCCCCCTTTAGCTGCCTTTCCTCTCTTTAATCAAAAATCGTGCTCAGTCCGCAGCAAAAAATGTGTATTTCTTATCCCAAAAACCAAAAACGACTGTGAACCGCCCTTCCCACTATGGCGATAATTCGCCTCTGCCAGAAAACCCGCGCTAAGTAAAACCGGCCCGTTCGTCTGTTCTAACGCGCTCCGTCCACTCTACGCGACTGCGACGCGCAGTCAGCGGACTAAGTTAGGGCCGCAAAGCCACGCGAGTGAGTTTAGCAGCCTCGCAGCCTTATCACCAACGTCTCTCTCCTCTCTCTCTTCACCACCAATTCCAATTATCAGGATCCCTTGGTTTGATAGATATAATGGCGACACGACGCTCTAACGCAGTCCCGGCAACTGGGGAAAAGACCGGCGGTGCTGAAGATTTCAAGCAGCCGCTGGGACAGCCGTCTATTACTGCTCCTGCTGTGCCAATGTGGGTCCCCCCCTCTTCCACCCCATCCTAGTATCGCATAATACACAGTGGCAGTAACTAACCAAGCACCAGGCATGTTATCGTCAAGCTCCTCGCCTTCACCTTTGCTATGGTCGTCGTGCCAATTGGCTCCTACTTCCTGACGCTGGATTTGGTGTTCTCTGGTACGCCCCTCCCCTTCTCACGTTTTAGGCTCCCCGCAAGGGTCCTATTATTGTTCTCTTTATAGTATGTAGTGTGTGAAAGAGTTTGGGCTAACAGTATTAGGCAACTCGACATTCGCAGGCGCCACAGCTGCGATCATGGCTAACGTGGTGCTGGTGGGCTACATCATCGTAGCCATGCGAGAAGACCAAAGCGAGGCCATCGAGGCCGCAGAGCGGGAGAAGAAAGGGCGCTGAGTGGTGCTTTCAGCAGCTTTGGATTTCTTCTCTACGACAATATGTGCATAGTTTAGGCGTTGCAAGGTAGAAAACTGAAAAGGGAATTTTTGTGTATTATTATGAAAACAAGCAAAACTTTATCAATCTGAGCCTCGCTGTTTGCTTGTTATGTTTCATAAAGAGCAAAACATATCAGAAGTTATAATCGAATCTTGATGCTAGACAAGAGTGTTTTCCCTGTTATATATCCCATTCCCGCTTGCAAATTTCCCGCTGTTGCCTGTGGAAGAAGACTGAATTACCTATGGTAGTAGTAAGTAGTAGCCGTGGTTCGTGTTATCACTTTTGGCAGCAAGTCGCTGCCCCCCCAGCGAAAAACCTCCCTATATTCCAATACAAAGAATCTCTTCCCGAAACGCCGCTGTGTCAACAAATGACGAATCAAAGTTGCAGAAAAATAAATAAAAAATATAGCTTCTAGCCCAGCCATAAAGTCCCAATCTTCATGTGCAAACCCCGTATCTTTCACATAAAGACATTACCATAAGAAAAAAACTCCCATCCTAAAGCATGTCAAGATCGGATCCTCTAGGATTTGCTAAATCGCTTCGAGAACCAGCTCTTGGGCTTGTCCGGCGCGGCCTTGGGGGGATCGTATTGCTGCGTCGGTGCCCCTGGGGCGGATTTACCCAGTTTGATTGGGACGCGCGGGGGTTCTCTGTCCTTGACCGGCGGCAGGGGGCCGTTTTTCTGAGATGGGTATCCGGCTGCCTGATGGCCCTGCTGGACGCCTCCTACGGGGTATTGCTGCTGGTTGCTTTGATAACCATACTGTCCGTTTGACGGAGAGTTGTTACCGTAGTCAGCCTTTGAGATCGGGGCGACTCTGTCAAATGAGCTGTTGTCACTGCTTGGATCGGTGCTGTATCCAAGGGGCTCCGCAGAACTGCCGCTTCCGGCAGCTGTGGTTACCGTCTCATATGATTGCGCGTTGCCATTTGGCGGGTAGACACCAGCCATGGTGTTCAGGGCCGGCTCCAAGTCATTGCGAGGGTAACGTGAGCGATTTGGGAAATAACCATTCTTACTGTTATTGTTGTCGTAGTAATAGCTGTCGGGCCTGGACCCATTGCCATTTGCATACCCATCGTTCCGGTAAGACTGGCCTCGTCCGCCATAACCATTGCCTTGATGGTTCCTGGGTCCCATAGTGGATCCTATAGAAAATCGCCTGTTAGCCGCCTATCTGAACCGCCTTCACGATAAATAAAACAAGAGTGCGATCACCCAACTAGCAACGGCATAAATATTTCCGCGGTATATATTTCCACGCTGTGGAAATATATACCGCGGTTGACAGCGAGTGGGCCAATGCACAAACCCTACTCTCTTGCTCGTGATTTACAGTGATGGCATGAGCCACACCATAAATAGCATCATTTGCAGGAATACGAGACAACGCGCCCAAAGAAAGGCCGCTTATTGACATACCTCCGTAGTAACTTGAGCGGCGAGATTCTATCGCCCCATCTGCATTCGAAGTCAGTAAAAGAACTGAAAAAATTGAGTTCACGAAATTTAATGGGGGCTTACCATAACGTCCTGATTTCCGGGCATAATTGCCATCTATAGCTGCCTCAAAGGATCTAATTGTATCGAGCGGCCTCTCCCACCTGCTTCGTGTAGGATTTGAGCGATCTGGGTCGGCTATTTTATTGACAATTAGCCCATGCAGTCCTCGTTGCATTGAGTATTGGGGTGGACTAACCGATCGGAAGGCCATATGTATCTCTATGTTGAATCGCACGCAGTGACGCCAAACGTGTCGAATGGTCATTGGCAATATCAGCTGTTACCGCACATCAGTAAATGCTCCTTTGCGACTAGTTGCGCCTCGCTATCTCGTAACTTACATGGCTGGGCCTCGGACATGGCCAAACGAGGGTCTGCCTTCGTACTCAACCTGCGCGCAGCCTTCTCGCGCGGCGTCTCCTGTATCTCAACCTTTGGCGTACTTCCATAGCTGTCCTGCGACTTGTGACTCCGGAAGCTGAAGCCAGACCTCGATCTGGGTCTTAGGGACGGCCTCTGTTGCGCCTGGGGGCGCTGCTCCTGGGTCGGTTGCGGCGCAATCGGCGGAAGCTGCTGCGCGGGTTGCTCCGGTTGGGTCATGTTTGTGACTTATCGTGAATTTGTCGTGGGAAGTGTGGAATCGTCTTTGGAGACGTAGACGTAGACGCCGGTGTCGTTCTGTTTGTGGAATATGGCGGTGGTGTGAGTGGAACGAGCGTGAATGGCAGTAAACTATCAGATCAACAACAAATCGATAGCCTGTGAATAAATTGGTCGTCGATAGCAGTCAACCCTTCACTATATCGTTGATGTGTTGAAGGATGTCACTTTTCTTCTGACCCGGGATTCCGAGGAATAACAGGTGTGAGTGTCGGAGGAGGAGGCTTGGATATTCGATGAGGTTGGGGCGACAACGTGGATTGGTGCTGACGTAGTGAGAAACGGCGCAGGCTAGCTAATTGATCAAACGCAACAATTGCATGAGGTTGACGAACTAGGATCAGATGGAAAACACACAACGATCGAATGAGGACAGTAACGGTGTGTCGATGGATAGATCTGAAACGAAGGAATCGTACTCCGTATTCTTGAGGTTGATGTTTGGAGGAAGTGTTGAGAGATGTAAAGGCGGGTAAGTTGCTATGCTGGCGTATTATGGTATTATGGTATTATGGGCGCATTGGGGATGGGGATGGGGATGGGGAAGCTAAGAGTAACCTGCTGTCTGGCTGGGGCTGTGAGGTGATGTGTGGTGATGTGTGGTGGTGTGTGGTGGTGTGTGGTGGGGGAGGAAGGGAAATGATAGGCATGACACGACGGGGGATGGAGGGTGGAGGGCCTCGTCCCTCGTATCGGGAAAGTTTCGGCGGCGCATGTCAAGGGATGGGTGTGGTGTGTTTGGTGTGTGTGGTGTAGTGTATGGGCTGGACTTGAGTTTCGCTCCAAACGCGGAGATTTAATGTTAATGTCACAATATGCATAGTATGGACAGTTGGGATACAGTATAATCTTTGTGCCATCTGGACACCGGGGGGAATAAGATTCCCCCCGATGTCGAGTAGTTGTGGCTCTGGTGCTACGAAACCACATTTCCATGCCATCAGAGGGCTGCACGCATGCGTCTTGTGTGGAGCAGGTACTGAGCCAGCAAGGTACACACACTCCCATAAGTGCCATACACGTTGCCATACATACCGCTCAAATACAGTACGTACAGCTCCAACTACAGTACAACAGCTCAGCTAACAGCGTACCTGACGACACTGACAACCAACTACACGTCACCGTACTCTGGCACCAGCCATGCGGATTGGGCCGACGCTCGAAACGGCCGAGGTGTCCAATGGGGCGATTGGGATTTTTTGGCATGTCGGTTCCAAGGTTTTAAACAGGAAGAGAAAACAAAAGAAATTTAATTAAAATGGCTTGTGCACATCATATACTCACCGCATCGGAAACGAAACTCTCACCGTTCAACCGCATGGGAACTCACTTCCTTTCCAAAACATGGGTTCCTAGCTCCGGAAGGGCATTGCCCGGCCTCGCTCTTTTTTTGCCTCCTTTTCTTTTGCTTCTCTATTTCTTGGTTTTTTTGGCAGTCTATTTCTTCGAGCGCTGTAACAGGGCGCTGCTTGTCGTCTCTCACTGTGTGTGTGTGGTAGCCGCCTGTGCACGGGATGCGGTGCACCGGTATACAGAACCCCCCTTTGTGCGAGGATGGGCAGCGAGACGGCCGGAGGTGACTCGGTTATTGGTAAACAAGCATCTTTATCTCCTAGGAGCGAGATAGGTGTTGTGGAGTGAGTGATGAGGAGCGTCGGGGTGGCGTTTATAAGATGGCTGTCTGTTACTTATATGTTGATGGGCCGTGAGACTTAAACGGGGAGCACAGAAAGCGCCATGGGGTAGATTTTGCTGTCGATCAACAGCCATGGGAATGTTGACGACGTTCGTTATCATTTTGAAGATGAGGGGGAGAGGGGGTTATATGCGAGATGAGGGTGGGAATGGGGAGATGAAGGAAGCATCATCGCAACTGATTAATATGCCTTGCTTTGCTATCACCCTGGCGCCAAATATGGGCTTATATATGTAACTGAGATGCAGGATGAGGAGACTAGGGAGGAGACGAATCACCATGGCAGCTGATTTAATATGTCTTGTCACCCCCCCAGCATGAACGACAAGCATATATATGCATCCGCAAGGCAGTCCCTAGAAAGGGAAAGTCAATTGGCCGTGGGTTGTTCATCGAGGAGAGTCTTTACTATCCCTTGGAACGGTAGATGAGATGTCGGCAGCTGTAAAGTGAGACGGGGAAGCGAGCAGATAAATCACCTAGGCCACCAATTAAGGGGCCCCGCCAACCTGCCAACTGGGGGGGAGGTTAACGGAGCAGACAGATCACCGTAGGCCACCAAGGGGCCTCGCCATCCTGTCAAGTGGGATGTCAGGTCTGGCAGGTCTGGCAGGTTGCAGGGAGATTCTTGGAATAGGCCAGAGAAGGGGTATGAGTCGATGATTAGCTGCTGATATTCCATGAACCCATAACGCCCCAGAAAGCTTATTAGTTTCACACATCCACACATCCACGAAAACACTCGCAACACGCAGCAGTCATGAAATCTTTCCCGTCAGGCGGAACCTCATGGTTGGTATTCTTTCGATTGTAGGCTACCAGCAAAAAGCTACGCGTCGAATTCCTGCCCTATTTTGCAGTGACCGAATCCCCAGCATACCATAACAACCACAAACCACCGTCCATGATGCTACCAACTCCCGATCCCAGAAATTCTTTCTTTATATCGAGGAAGGGTACAACATGACTCTGACGGACGCACCGAACGACTTTGGTGGGAGGTTGCGTCTGAACTGTGCGCGTACTACACCGGAGTTTCCGTGTGGGCGGGTGATCTTGCCCCAGATAACTCTAATCTTTGATCCTCTAACCTCGCGCTGGGCACGGTACACGAAAGCGACCTTCTTTCCGAGGTAGAAGCTGGGTAGAGGGTCAGTATTGCGTCTTCTTCCTTCCTTCTTTCTGGCAGAGGGATACATACTTTGCGCCCTCAGTGTTCTCAACACCCTCAATCTTGATGAGCGAGGTGCCTGGGGTAGTGATGCGCTTGCCACGTTGGTAGCTCAGGTGGCGACCCCTGGGAATAGAGCGTCAGTAACTGTCACATAATTTTTCCAGCAAGCCATTGTCGGTCTTCATCTCCCCCTCCGTGCGTCGTCTGAACTCCCTCCATCTCTTGCTGCGATGTGCCATCGTCGTCCCACTTCCACTTCCACTTCCTCCCAAGTCTCGTCATTCGGAATGGTAATAACTCACTTGACGTATACTAGAAACGAGACACGTTAGCAAAGACTCTCAAAGGTATAACTCCTGTAACCCTCAGTCCATAAAAACCCCACGCACCTCCCGCGCACCCGGCGGGACAAAGTCATCGCGACGGCTTCCTGGACTTGCAACGGGTCACAAAAAGTGGGATATAAAGCGGTTGGCACTCACGGCGGTGACCTGCTTCAGTTGGCATCTTGACGAAGGGACTTCTCGACAGTCGGTGAAATCGAGGAGTTTTGATGTTATTGAAGATCGACTCGTCTTCGGAATTGTCGATTTGTCGGGGGGTCGTCGATTGGGGCTGGTTGGGGCTGTTCCTATTCGGCCGTACAGGCGAAAACATCGGGATGAGGGCTACGAAACCCTTTTCGCTTAGCGAGTCGATTCGATTTCTGAATTTCCTGAACAAAGTGGGATTAGGTAAGCGGGTTGGGGCTCGGTCACGGGTTTTCGGTACGATAAGAGATTAGCTACGGTGAGGTGTCTTATCGCTTATCGTAACTCCGTGGAGATACTCCTGCCCATGGTTTTACAAATTATGCTTTAACGCTGCCCAAAAGTCTCCGTAGGGTTCGTGCACCACGGCCAATTAGAACGTATTCACTATGTACCCAGGTACTTAGAATATGAGAATCAACGAAGCAGCACCTACCACTCGAGTATAGCAGACTCGAATACAGTCAAACACCGTTAAGACGGTGGATTCTAGCCACCATTTCCATATCGTCTTAAAGCATATATCGTTTTATACACACTTATGTAAGCCAATTATCTAGCGTCCTTTGCATGCGCCCATTCCGATCCAAAGCCTCCAGATCTTGGTTGTCATACTGACATTCGTTGCACTCAGTTTGCTATCAAACTCAAGAGCAAACTTAGAAATCTCCTCCTCAAACCTACAAGTCACTATACATATTTTGGCTTGTCACACCAACAACAAGAGCAATACTACTCAACGATTGCTACAACCCTCTATGATTCATTACATGTCATTGATCCTTAGTTACTTGTAATGGTGGGTGCACCAGATGTGAGAATCTAGCCACCCAAGGAAGGGGATGATTTTACTAAGACAACACACTGTCTTAGGAAACAGAGCCAAAGGGTTGTAGCTTAGACTATTCCACAACGCAGCAATCAAGTGTATGATGTTGTGGAGTGGTTTAGACAAGTTGTAACTGTTACGATATCAAGTGCGCCTTGCAGCTCGAGTGGGGGTTCAGGGTGTGGGGAGCTTTCCGGGGTTGGAGCGAAGTTTTCAGTTGTGGAGTGAATTCTCAGAACTGGTCTCGCTAAAGAGAATTCACTCCACAATAGCTGTATATAGATCGAGCCACTGCTCGAGTGCTCCTCTTCTCTTTCCTTTCTTCTCTAGATTGAGTTTAATTCATAATACCCAACTGGCGCCCTATGCCTTGGTGAACCGTGACATAAAACTCAATCTCTCTTATACCTCTTTTCCTGCTCTTTGAGCTGAACCCTCTTCTGAAATCGAAATCGAAATCCACTCTTTGAAAACCCCAGAACCAGAAACCTTATCCTGAAGTCAATTCCAGGACGATCTCCAGGCAACCCCTCAAAGTTGGCTTTCGACAGTCAGCTCGACACACACACACCACCTTCGCAAGTCAGACCTTTTACAATGCTCCCTCGACAAGGATATAACTGTGAGGGAAGTGCACTCCTCTCGAGTGGCTCCTACAGCCAACAACTGCACAATAGGGTCTTTGGCAATATGTGTCTGACTTGACGATATAAACCGAAATTGAAATAGCAACTCGCTATGGCTTATACAGCTGAAGAAAAAGCTGCAATGGCAGCTCGAAATGATCCAGAACAAGACCAGGAATCCCTGGCAGAAGGAGCATCAATTCCAAGCTCTGCAAACCAAACCAATGAACTTCATGATCCTAATTTCAAATCTGAAACCTTCCTTCACACTCTGGGCAAAACAGCTCAAGAGAGACATGAATCTATACTTGCAAATCGACATGAAAAGGCTGAATGGAATGTTGAAACCTTTGACGAATTCCAGAAACTATCTGTCGCCAACCAGAAAATGAGAACATTCTTCGGGACTATTTGGCCCTAGCAGAGGACTCAAATTTGATACTGGCTGAAAAGGATGATGCCATTCTCCAGTTACAGGAACTGATCCAGAGCAACGAGCAACAAATCACAGAGCAACAAACAATTCAGAAATATCTTGAAAAGCAAACCCAACAAGCTCTGAAGAATGAACCAGGACACCACTCTCACAGTCGACTGTCAGCTCGGATTCCAGACCCTCCAATCCTCACAGATGGGATAGAGCCAGCATTTGAAGACTGGGTTGTGAAAATTTGCCTCAAGCTCGAAGCCAACATTGATCATTTTCCAACACAGACTTTACAAATGAGCTACATTCAGAGTCGACTGGGAGGACTGGCAGTTTGACATGTCAATCCAAGGCTTCGACCAAAGTCTACAAACAAATTGCAGACAGCAGAAGAAATTCTCGAACCTTTGGAAAAAGTCTTCAGTGATCCCGATCGAAGGCACACAGCTCAAACTGAGTATCGAAAGCTGTATCAGAGAAACAACACCTTTGCAGTGTTCTGGGCTGAGTTCCAAAGGCTCACGACAGAGCTTGATTACTCTGAAGAAACTTTGCTGGATGACTTGCGCTTCAAAGTCAACCAACAGATGCAGAAAGCCTTAGTGGCTGAAGTTGGAGCTACTACACTTCACGAGTTTGCAAAGAAATGCATGCTCATCGACCAGAACATTCAGCGGATCAAGGAACAAGAAGACAAAAGGAAGCCAAAGTCATTTTCGAACAACATGGGCCAAACTCAAAATCAGGGCCAGGCACTTCTGTCATACTGACATTCGTTGCACTCAGTTTGCTATCAAACTCAAGAGCAAACTTAGAAATCTCCTCCTCAAACCTACAAGTCACCATACATATATTGGCTTATCACACCAACAACAGAAGCAATACTACTCAACGATTGCTGCAAACTCTTCTACTACATCTGTTTATGCTACATACATCACGGCATATCATTTGGACACTCATTGAACAAGTTATTAAGAAAATCTCCTCCTTAAGGGGGTGGGCCAATACTACCACATGGCATATCTCTACCAACTAGAGGCCTAGGAACATGAACGATAGCTCTAGAAGCTTCTACAACCCTCTATGATTCATTACACGTCATCGCTCCTTAGTTACCCACAAGATTGGTTAAGTTATGACATAATTTATCTATAGGTACTCTGACCTTGGACCTCCTTTTCACTTCCTATAGGCTAGGAACCCAAGAGATGGTTCTATGGGATTCTCTTACATTCGCTACATGATTAGCAAGCTAGTTGTGGGTCGCACTTGATTTCTAATACATTTACCAAGCCTGGTTAGTCATGGAAAGTCATGGAAAATGAGAGAACTACACTCCTTTGGCATAAATAGGATTGCCCTTTCCTTAAGAAAGGGCAAGCAGGCAATACAGTAAATCGACTATCACATACTTCCACGTCTTTTACAAGCTTCCAAGCATTCATCTTGTTACTCCTTGTTTCTGAAAAGTCAGTGAGGTGTTAACCTCTGACTTACCCCTGAGTTCCCAGACTCAACATTTGTTGCAACTTGTCTGAACCACTTCACTACATCACACACCTGATTGCTGCGTTGTGGAATAGTCTAAGCTACAACCCTTTGGCTCTGTTTCCTAAGACAGTGTGTTGTCTTAGTAAAATCATCCCTTTCTTGGGTGGCTAGATTCTCACATCTGGTGCACCCACCATTACAACTTCGAACTTCAATCCCTCAACCTACAATGGATTCGAACATGCAAAACAAGACGCAGAAGCTGTATCGACCACCGCATCAAGATCCAGCAAAAGAAATGCTCATGAAACTTGGGAAATGCTTCATATGCCGACAAAATGGACATCGAGCTCGAGACTGTCCCCAGAAGCTCAAAGCTCAAGTAAATGAGGTATCTACAGCTGAGTCTATCATCGATTCGAAAAATGAATAGCCTCTAGACAAGTCATCACTAGAGGCAGTGCAGCCAGAATTGCAGCTTCTTCCTCGAGATCCAGTTTTGATCCGGACACCCCTTTCTTAGCTACTTGTAGAATAGGAAAATACAAAGCTATTGTCCATGCATTGATCGATACTGGTGCCACAGGTGGAAACTTCATTAATGCTGCTGATGCAGAAAGAATATGTGAAATCGAAGGGATAGCCCCAGTCGAACTTGTGAAGCCAAAACAAGTTGAAGGATTCAATGGAGAGGCTGCCCCTGCTATCACACATGCTATATATCCTCGACTACAAGTGGGAGAGCATGTGGAAAGCCTATGTCCATTATTCATTACTTCGCTGGGAAAACATTCCATCATTCTCGGGAAAGCTTGGATGAAGCAACATGGAGTTGTTCTCGATATGATCAATGATCAAGTCCTCTTCACTGGAGATTATTGCAACCATTCTATACCAGATCGAGCCCTCGAAACAGAGCCTATATCTAAAAGCGAAAGACAAAGGCCAAAGAAGAAAGCCAAAGAAATGCCTCCTAAAACCAAAACCTTGCACCATAGCAATGATTGGCGCAGCACCATTTCGAATGCTCATGAAGCAAAGAGAAGCTCAAGTCTTTGCTATATCAATGAAGGACATAATCGAGCACAAGAACAAGACCAAAACTGAAGAAATTGACTCTCGACTGATCCTTCCGAAGGAATTTCATGAATTTTTGGATGTTTTTTCAAAAATGGCAGCAGACAAGCTACCTCCCCATCGACCTTCAGACCATCATATTGAACTCGAAGGTGATGCAAAGCTGGGATATGCACCACTCTGGAATATGTCAAAGGAAGAACTTGATTTGGTTGAAGAATATGTCTTCGAGCACTTGCCAAAAGGGTTCATTGAAGCAAGCAAAGCCCCATACTCTTCACCCATTATGTTTGTGAGAAAGCCAGGTGGTGGTCTTCGATTCTGTGTTGACTACAGGAAGCTAAATGCCATAACGAAAAAGGATCAATATCCCATACCACTCATTGATGAAACGCTGGCCCAAGTCATAGGAGCAAAATATCTCACCAAACTGGACATTCGACATGCCTTCAATCGAATTCGAATGCAGACAGAAGAAGATGAAGACCTCACTACATTCAGAACTCGATTTGGATCCTACAAATACAAGGTCATGCCCTTCGGACTCACAAATGGTCCAGCAACATTCCAGAGGTACATGAATGAAACCCTCATGGATTACCTCAACCAATTCGTCACTGCATACATGGATGACATTCTTATCTACAGTGCTACTCGAGCGGAGCATACAGAGCACATAAGGAAAGTCCTACAGAAGCTTCGAGAAGCTGGACTGCAAGCAGATATCTCAAAATGTGAGTTTTTCGTCCAAGAAACCAAATTCCTAGGACTCATCGTGGGAGTCAATGGCATTCGCATGGACCCTGCAAAGGTTTCTACTATATTGGAATGGCGAACTCCAAAATCGCTCAGGGATATGCAAGCTTTCATTGGATTCTGCAATTTCTATCGAAGGTTCATCCGAAATTACTCCAGCATCATGAGGCCATTGGTGAACCTTACCAGAAAGGATCAGATATTCGAATGGACTCATGCATGCCAAACTGCATTTGAGCTGTTGAAACAAACAGTCACAGAAGCTCCTGTCTTGAGGCATTTTGATAGAAACAAGACAGCCTATGTCGAAGCAGATTCCTCAGACTTCATCTCATCAGGAGTCTTGTCACAAAAAGATGATCAAGGGGTTCTACATCCAGTGGCATACTTCTCGAAAAAGCTAGCACCTGCAGAATGCAATTACGAGATATATGACAAGGAATTGCTTGCAATCATCAGATGTTTCGAAGCATGGAGACCAGAACTTGAAGGGACAGATTTTCCAGTCCAAGTCTTGTCTGATCACAAAAGCTTGTAATACTTCATGTCCACCAAGAAGCTGACAAGAAGACAAGCTCGATGGGCTGAATTCCTCTCTCGATACAACTTCCAGATCATCTATAGGCCTGGGAAGCAAAATGGAAAAGCAGATGCTTTGACTCGAAGGCCTGGTGACAGACCAGAAGGCAATGATGAGGATGATCGACAAAAGCAACAGCTTCAGGTGTTGCTACCACCTTCGAGGCTACATCCAGACATTCAGAAACTCAAAGAACAAGGCCAAACAGCTCAGCTAGCTCCAGTGGAAACTCATATCAGAGAAATGACAATTCTTGAGAAAATCCAAAAGTCTCAACTGGAAGACAAATTCTGCAAGGCTACACTACAGAAGCTTGAGAATGGTGATCGAACAAGCAAAGAGGTTGCATTGGCTTATTGCGAACTCAAAAACGGCATGCTAGAATATCAAAATCGAGTTTGGGTGCCAGAAACCATTCAGGTGGACTTGTTGAGAGAAGTTCATGAACAACCTTCTATGGGACATCCAGGAGCTGGAAAGATGCTGCGAGTCATGAAACAGCACTATTACTGGCCAAACATGGACAAAACAATAATTCGATATATCAAAAACTGCCATAGTTGTCGAAGATCGAAACCATCTCGAGATTCCTACAATGGACTTCTACAACCAATCCCTATTGACAGTCGACCATGGATGGATATATCAATGGATTTCGTGACAGGATTACTACTCTGTGAAGGGAACAATGCTATCTTGGTTGTTGCATGCAGGTTGACGAAAGAAAGACATTTCATTCCGTGTTTCGCTGGGCAAGAAGGGACTACTGCAGAAGCTACAGCACAGCTCTTACTTCAACATGTATGGAAGCACCATGGTCTACCAAACTCGATAATATCAGACAGAGGTCCTCAGTTCATTGCAGAAGTCTGGAGTTTGCTCTGCAAAATTTGGAAAATTTCGGCCAAACTTTCAACTGCCTTCCACCCAGAAACAGATGGACAGACTGAGCGATTCAATGCAGAGCTCGAACGCTACTTGCGAGCTCATGTGAACTATCTTCAAGACAATTGGGTTTCATACTTGTGCATGGCGGAGTTTGCTGCCAACAGTTTGCCATCAGATGCAACCAAGACAAGTGCGTTTTTTGCGAACAAGGGCTATGAACCAAGAATGAGCTTCGATACAGAGCAGCAAGCATATCACGAAGCCAAACAAGAGCACAAGAACATAGCTCAGACCATGGCAAAGGTTTGGGAGTTTCTGCAGGATGAAATCACGCTCTCGCAAGCAAAAATGGAACATTTCGCAAACAAGAAAAGGAAACCTGCACCACGCTATCAAGTGGGAGACAGAGTATGGCTTTCAACTCGAAATATAAAGACACAGAGGCCATCAAAGAAGCTAGACCACAAGCAAGTGGGACCTTTTGAAATTCTAGAGCGAATTGGGCAAGTTGCATATCGGCTCAAACTTCCAAACAGCATGAAGATTCATCCAGTATTTCATGCCAATCTATTAAGACTTGACTCGAATGATGCAATCGAAGGGCAGCAACAGGAGCCAGAGCCTCCAGTCATTGTCAATGGCGAAGAGGAGTGGGAAGTGGACGAAATCCTCGACTCAAAAGTTATTCGAAAGAAGCTTTTCTACAAGGCAGCTTGGAAGAACTATCCACCAGATGAGACATGGTATACTGCAGAGAGCTTTGAAAATTCTCCAGAAGTTACCCAAGCATATCACAGAAAATACCCTCAGAAACCAAAATGAGAGCTGGAGACAATTGTTTTTTTTTAAAAATGGGATTTCTTGATCAGGAGATCAACTCTGGAGTAGGGGGGGGGTAGTGTTACGATATCAAGTGCGCCTTGCAGCTCGAGTGGGGGTTCAGGGGTGTGGGGAGCTTTCCGGGGTTGGAGCGAAGTTTTCAGTTGTGGAGTGAATTCTCAGAACTGGTCTCGCTAAAGAGAATTCACTCCACAATAGCTGTATATAGATCGAGCCACTGCTCGAGTGCTCCTCTTCTCTTTCCTTTCTTCTCTAGATTGAGTTTAATTCATAATACCCAACTGGCGCCCTATGCCTTGGTGAACCGTGACAGTAACAAATGTTGAGACTGAGAACTCAGGGATAAGTCAGAGGTTAGCACCTCACTGACTTTTCAGAAACAAGGAGTAACAAGATCAATGCTTGGAAGCTTGGAAAAGACGTGGAAGTATGTGATAAGTCAATTTACTGTATTGTCTGCTTGCCCTTTCTTAAGGAAAGGGCAATCCTATTTATGCCAAAGGAGTGTAGTTCTCTCATTTTCCAAGACTTTCCATGACTTACCAGGCTTGGTAACTGTAGTCGACGTAAGAGAATCCCATAGAACCAGCTTTTAGGTTCGTAGCCTATAGGAAGTAAAAGGAGGTCCAAGGTCAGAGTACCCCTATAGACAAATTATGTCATAGACAAATTATGTCATAGACAAATTATGTCATAACTTAACCAATCTTGTGGGTAACTAAAGAGCGATGACATGTAATGAATCATAGAGGTTCGTAGGAGCTTTTAGAGCTATCGTTCATGCTCCTAGGCCTCTAGTTGGTAGAGATATGTCATGTGGTAGTATGAGTGATGTCATGTAATGAATCATAGAGGGTTGTAGAGATATGCTATGTGGTAATATCGGCCCAGTAACTAAGGAGCGATGATGTGTAATGAATCATAGATGGTTGTAGCAATCGTTGAGTAGTATTGCTCTTGTTGTTGGTGTGATAAGCCAAAATATGTATAGTGACTTGTAGGTTTGAGGAGGAGATTTCCAAGTTTGCTCTTGAGTTTGATAGCAAACTGAGTGCAACGAATGTCAGTATGACATATTGTTGAATTCAGATGGGAAATCAGAGAAGGTGAGGGGGATAGGGGGCACTAGTAGCATGCTTTCTAGGTTAGATAGCTGTGGCTGCTGCTATCTAAGGCTATTTGGAAAGCCAGATGGAGGAATAGGGGGGCTATAGGGTATATTCAGTAGATTCAAAGGCTAGATAGGAGGCATATTAGCTTTGAACGTTAACTAGAACGTTAAATAGGGGGATTCATACTGCAATTATCATATATAGATCAAGGAATTATCACCAACTTTATCTTTATACGTTAGAACACAGTTTTACAGCTAACCAATTCAATTTAACTAACTACTTATGGATAGTAACCCTAGCTGCTACACTATAGCAGCGGAAGCCTACTAGGGTTTATATTTCCTACTACGGCTAGTTTTATGGGGCTGCTACAAAATGGAGCAGCGTTACAGCAAATCTAAATTGCTCTATTGAACTTGAAGGCGGTAGTAACGAGTATAAGGAGGGGCGCGCAGATTGAATAACATGGTATAAATTGAATTATGAATCGTGGCGTCATTAGTGTAGGACAGAACTTTTGAAAGCCCCATACATCCATGCTTTATCATCCTCACCAGCAAAGCGCACCGTTATAGAGCACCTATCCTCTGTACGGAGGCGGCAAAATGCACGTCTAGTCTAGTATGTAACGTGGGAAGGCGGCATGATCGTGTGGTAACACTGCTCACGACCGCACCTCATCGGTCTCAAGAATGGATGCGGACATTCCACTCTGTATATACTTGAAAGGGAAGATGGAATGGACATTCGGTGTGGGTTTGCCCAGAAACGGCCGCTTCGTCGCTATTTATATCACCACCATGCCGAGCAAAAATTAAAAATCAAAGAAAGTGTTGATGGACCGATCCGTTTCCATTTCCATTTACCCAGCCATACATACTCGGCTAAAGGGGACCGAAGTGCATATGCGGCGCCCCATGGGACTTTCTCGTAATAGTAAAGGTGGTTTGGAATTTCTGGGCCGTTTCTGCCTCTTTACTGGCCTATTTGTGCAGGCGCCGGATAATCAATAGATAAGTTACTGTAATGATGCAGTATATGCAAGTTGGTATGTAAAGTTCTTTCTTACTGTACGGTGGTGTAAAAAGTACATTCCAGCTTAGTAGCAATTGATTGGGCAATGGAGGTCCGGCAGCCGGAGAAAATGGTGAATTAAACCCCACGGCAGAACCGTGGTGAGGGGGGAGGGGGGGGGGTGGTGAGGGGGGAGGGGGGTGATGGGGGTGACTGACGGTGACCGGGGTGACGGGGTGACGGGCCTGTTTCACTCAACCATTATACCACCCAACCCTCTAGTCCCATAGTCCCCACCACCCTCTTCTGTGAGCTCCCTTCCATAGCACTCACCTCCCCTCTTCAGAGCTACAAAATACAAAACTTCCAACACCAACCTCACATAACACTACCCTATTTCTCTCTATTATATTCTACTTTCGTTTGAATCCTGTACGGCGTTCTGTCGCTCGTGAGCAATGGCTGATACTGTCATCAAGAAAGAGGAGCCACAAGGTGCTGGGTGAGTTGGTATTTCCTGCCGATCTACGTCACAGCTATCGCTGGAAAGCACAACGCAAAAATGTCGCTGCCGCCCCATCGTTGTCGCCCATGGCCACAATGATTGGAATGGTTTTCAATCAAGGTTATTGAATTCGCGGTCGCGGTCAATCTGATGTTTTTGCCATTCTTTTCTCTTTTCCACCCGTGCCATGGCGGGGTATCTATCTGTACTGACGTACTTGTCCCAACAGCAACATCGAGTTAAAGAACAACACGGTCATCGTTGTTCTGGGCGCCTCTGGTGATCTGGCCAAGAAGAAGACTGTAGGTTTCAGCGATATTGTCATCCCAATTGTAAATACTGACCCTCTTCTGCAGTTTCCAGCTCTCTTTGGATTGGTAAGATACCCCGACTACTCATAACTCCGGAAGTTACGGGATCATGTACTCATACCATCTAGTACCGAAACCAATTCCTCCCCAAAGACATCAGAATCGTCGGATATGCCAGGACGAAGATGGACAATGAGGAGTACCTCAAGCGTGTCAAGTCATACATCAAGACCCCAACAAAGGATATTGAGCAGCAATTGCAGGAGTTCACCAAAATCTGCACATATATCTCGGGGCAATATGATGAGGACGAGTCGTTTGTCAACTTAAGGAAACATCTCGAGGAGCTGGAGAAGGGCCGGAAAGAGCAGAACCGCGTGTTCTACATGGCCCTCCCCCCAAGTGTCTTCACCACCGTCTCGCAGCACTTGAAGAAAAACTGCTACCCCCAGAGCGGCATTGCCAGAATCATTGTAAGAAAGCTAACCACTGCGTGCTATTTGCTGGTCGCTAATATCAGACCGACAGGTCGAGAAGCCATTCGGAAAGGATCTTGGCAGCTCCAGGGAGCTCCAAAAGGCATTGGAGCCGAACTGGAAGGAGGAGGAGATCTTCCGTATTGATCATTACCTCGGAAAGGAAATGGTCAAGAACATCTTGATCTTGCGATTTGGCAACGAGTTCTTTGGCGCAACCTGGAACCGGAACCACATCGATAATGTGCAGATCTCCTTCAAGGAGCCGTTCGGCACCGAGGGACGTGGCGGCTACTTCGACGAGTTTGGCATCATCCGCGATGTCATGCAGAACCACTTGCTTCAAGTTCTCACCTTACTGGCTATGGAGAGGCCAATCTCGTTCTCAGCTGAGGACATCAGAGATGAGAAGGTCCGCGTATTAAGAGGAATCCCAGCCATCGAGCCGAAGAACGTTATCATCGGCCAGTACGGCAAGTCCCTGGACGGAAACAAGCCCTCCTACAAGGAAGATGACACAGTCCCCAAGGACTCCAGGTGTCCAACCTTCTGCGCCATGGTGGCATACATCAAGAACGAGCGATGGGACGGCGTACCCTTCATCCTCAAGGCTGGAAAGGCCCTGAACGAGCAGAAGACGGAGATCAGAATCCAGTTCAAGGACGTCACATCCGGCATCTTCAAGGACATCCCCCGCAACGAGCTCGTCATGCGCATCCAGCCCAACGAGAGCGTGTACATCAAGATGAACTCCAAGCTCCCTGGTCTGAGCATGCAGACGGTCGTGACAGAGCTGGATCTCACCTACCGTCGCCGATTCTCTGACCTGAAGATCCCAGAGGCCTACGAGTCGCTGATCCTCGATTCCATGAAGGGCGATCACTCTAACTTTGTTCGTGACGATGAGCTCGATGCCAGCTGGAGGGTCTTCACCCCGCTCCTCCACTATCTCGATGATAACAAGGAGATCATCCCCATGGAATACCCATATGGTGAGAGTTTTTGAATTGCTGTTGTAAAAATGTACCAACTAACGGTTTGCCCAGGCTCCCGCGGCCCCGCCGTCCTCGACGACTTCACCTCCTCCTACGGCTACAAGTTCAGCGATGCCGCAGGCTACCAATGGCCCACCACCTCCACCCAGCCAAACAAGCTATAAACCCCTCCTAAACCCACGAACAAACCGCAGGCAGCGACACAAATGGTGGCGGGACAAAGGCAGACGGGCGCATGAACCTGCTCAGCGAGCTGCTCGAGCCACAGTAACCAGCGAAACCTCACCTCCTTCTCGCCACCAGCCAGCCAATCTTTACATGCGTTTCTTATCGGTCGGAGTCGGTACTGTTTGGTGCGGGTGCGGGGCACCCCCCCTTCTCCAGGTCCCTGCGGCGGGTAGATGCGCTGGCGGGGCTGCAATTGCGTAGAAAGGAATGGGGTTGGTTGATAGAAGAAGCGCGGAGGGGAATCGGTAGCAGATTACTCGGACGGCGGAGGACGGGCTGGGGCCGGAGGGGGGTGCTGACGCGGTGTTATTTATACATTCAATGATACATGTTTTCCATGGCCCATCTATTCTAGGTTGTCTTGTCTCCTCCTTAACTACTCCTCGTCGACCACAGGTACTACCCGTGCCATAATATGGATCTTATGCTCCATCCTCGGCCCAACCCACCACCCCCTCGTAACAAACCTCCTTACCACCTCCTTAAAACCCCCCCTCCCCATCATCTCCATCACAACACCCCATCCCACATCCTCACTCCGCCACGACTCCCAAGGCCCCTTCACCACAAGATTCCACACATCCTTATCCGACTCATGCCACATCTCCTCCCCGGGCCTCAACACCTCCACCCCCCCGGCAAACCCCCACACCACCCCCATCAACCGCCAATTCCCCAGCGCCTTCCGCCGGTCCTCCATAAGCGCATAGTCAAACTGGTCCCAGAACCGCACATCGCGCAGCGCAGCCTTATCCTCCGTCTTATCATACGCCCACTCCACCTCCCAATCCCTCCTGCCCCCCTTCCCAGGGTGCACCCCAGAATCCCCCCAGGCAGGCAGTAGATCAGCACGCCAGACCGGCTTACTCGGCGCCGCTTCCTGGAACCTCGTTATACCAGTCATGCAACTGAGAACATCCATATGCACCCTCACCACCTCCCCCTCCCTCACCATCCCTATCTGCCTATCCATACCCACCCGCTGATGCAGTTCCCACAGCGCTTCACCCCCCGGATAATTCAGCGCCGACACAAAAAGCATCCCCATCGCCGCCACGAAACTAACTCCCACACCCCCAACCAGCGCCAGCGCCCCGATCCGGTAACCGACAGTGCGCGCGCGCCGCGTCCAAATATACGACGCCCCCAACGCCGCCGCCGCCGTCAGCGGCGGAATGGTGTATATAACAAACCGCGCCTCCTTATGCGGCTGCGCGCTGTACAGCGCCACGAATGCCAACTGCGGGATCACTAGTCCCCTCGCCGCGCGCGATGTGGCGGGGAAGTACAGCGCTGCTGCTAGCATTGGGATAGCGAGGGGGTTTAACAGGAGTTTCGGGAGGGAAGAGGTGAAATAGGTGTGCCAGGGCGAAACACCCCATTCCGACGACGCACCGTGGTAGGCGTTGAAGATGAAGGATGCGAGTTCGGGCCAGACGGGGCGGAGCCAGAACGCTGAGTCTACGATAACAGAGGCTGTGATGGAGAGGGCTGCGGCGGGGAGCCCTGCAAAGATGACGGTGCGGAGTGTTGTGCGTCGTGTCCAAAGGAGGAATCCCACCTGCGTAGCGAGTAGCAGTGCGATTTCCGCCCTGAAAACCACACCCGCCGCAACCAGTAGGTATATCCCCCGCCGCACCTGACTCCGCTGGTTCGCAGCATTATTCCCCGGTACCGGGAGGAACGAGCGCGCGGCCTCGGTGGTGAGGAGGAGCGCGAAGGTGTTGGGCAGGGTGCGCGAGGCGTAGAAGGGGATGTGAAACTGCGTCGCCTGAAGCAAGATATACCACCCACCCACCCCCTTCCCAAACGCCCTTGAAAGCGCGCGCGCGTACCGCAGCAACGCAGCAGCAGTTAGCGAACCGAGGATGAACCGTGCGGTTTGCTGAGCGGAGCCGTTGACGAGGGAGTGGAAGAGGAGTTGTGAGTGTACGAAGTGCAGCGGGGTGCCTAGGAAGGCATTGGCGAAGGTGCGGATGTATGCGAAGGAGGTGGCGTGTAGGAAAGCCCGGGTTAGCTGCGCGAGGAGCAGAGAGCCGATGAAGGTGCGTGGGACGGCGCCGGGGAAGGAGATGTGGTCGTAGGTTGTGCGGATGTGGGGGGCGAAGGTTGAGGGGGAGAGGGGGGGAGGGTGAACGAGGATGTCGTGCGTGGCTTGGAGGTTGAAGGATTCTTCGACTTTGGTGTAGGGGGCGGCGAGGAGGTGGAGGAGGATTAGGGCGGGGAGGAGGAGGGGGAGGGTTGTCTCTGGGGGGGGTTGTTAGCTCTCTGTCTGCCATTTGTTATAATATAGCAAGGAGAGACGTACGTAGTGCTCTCATCTTCTATTTCCGCGATGCCATTGTCGTAATAGTAGTAGTAGTAATGTACGATATACAATATCTATCCTCAACCCCCCCTTCGTACTTCCTTATATACCAACTGTAAATATAGTTGATGCCTCGCTGGCCCCTCGTCGCGCCTACAAGCTCGGTCGGGACTGCCTCAAACAGCGAGCTCCCACATCTAAAATGTGGGGACGGAAGTTCCCGCACCAGAATTCTGGCTTCAAGCTCCCACGTAGGCAACCCATCGACCAACGCCCTCCCCGCCGCCCGCAAACAAACATCCACCCCCCATCCGAGCCCGCATCTTTCTCCGGGGAAAAGCTTCGAACCGACAAGATGATGTTCTTTGGCCTCGGCGGCGTTTTCTATTGTACGTCCCCCCTTTCCAGTCCCCCACCGTCCCTGTCCCTGTTACCTTGGCCCCCGTCCCCCCTCGAAGCGGTCGCAAGAAAACTAACAAACACAAGTCTTGGTCCTCGTCACAAACGCCATCGCCATCCTCTCCGAAGACCGCTTCCTGGCGCGCATAGGCTGGTCCGCTTCCTCGGCAGCCGAGCCCGCGTTCGGTGCTGGGCCAGGGGGCGACGCGAGCGTGAAGAGCAAGATTGTGAATTTAATTGCCAGTGTGCGGACGTTGATGAGGAGTATGTCACCCTTTTCTTTTCCCTTATCATTTAGTGTATATGGCGCAGAGGCGGTGGGCGCGGGAGGGATGGGGGAAGGGATGGGCGGAGGGAGGGAAGGAGAGGGAGGGACAGGCAGCCGTATGATGGATGGATAGCTAACACCCAACGCAGTTCCTCTAATCGGCATCAACCTCCTCGTCATAGTCTACGAGCTGATCCTCGGATAAAACCCCCCACGGGGCTCTGGGCTGAGACGTCCCTATCCACGATATCAAGCCGCAGGAGGGTGAGCGCATGGAACGCGAGTGCGGGTATCATAATACGAAAACACAAATGGTTGGAAAACTGTACTATAAACAAATTACGGGAACACAGCGAAGGCATTCATAAACGGCGTTTACCAAACAGGGTTGGTTGGCGGAGGGTAGGGGCCTTTACAATAGCAGAACGAATGATCACGAAATGAAACCTCTTTTCAAATTCACAAAAAAACGAGTCAATATAAGATATAAAGAATCGAGCACGCCGGAAGGAAGGGCAAGGTGATGCGGTGGTAACCAGACAATATTTCCATATCCAATATAGTCTCTACTACCCAAACCAATCCTATCCAATATATCTCCCCCACTTCCCCCTTCAAACCCAAAAACAGACACCCTGACACCCTCAGTGCCTCCCTATCCCGTCCGCTGGGAGTGGTTATCCACGCATCCCCCCCCCAACGGCGTCCTGTGTGCTACATAATACTGTCTAATATTAAGTCCCTCCCCTCCCTACCCCCTCCCTCCACTCTCCCTCCATCCAGAATAAAATGCTGTACACTCAAAAGTATGTCCAACGACGCCTCGACCATGAAATGCGCGGCAATGTTTGACAGCGCGGACAGAACAGACAAGGCAGACAGACACCCCTCCCTCCCGTACTTTTTGGCGGTCTCATGCTCACAATATATGTACTTCCCCATTCCACCTCCAGACCCATCTGCATACACCCCCCCGTCCCCTACTATCCGATCCAATCCGCCCTCCATCACTATGGCGGCGTAAGATTACTCTTCTTCCTCCCCAAACTAAAGCTAAACCTCTCCTTCGCCGGCTTCGCCAACCGATCCGGGATAGGCGGTATAGCCTGATCGCCATCCACCGCCACCTCTCCCTTCGCGGAGTCATGCTTGAGCCATCCCAGCGACCGGCGACTCATGCTCTTCGCGCCGGGCCTGTTGCGGTTGACGGTCAGACCACTGATGAAGCCATTCTCCTTCTTGTCGTTGTTGTTGCTGCTGCTGCTATCGGACGGTCCATTCGCCGGCGACCCCACCGACGACGACGACGCAGCCTCGCGCCGGCGCTTCTCCTCATCCTCAGCCGCCGAGATCTTACTCGCGTTCATCGCATTCTTCAAGGCCTCAGCTTGCGTCCTCTGCGCCTCCCTGCGTTTGTGTTCGACTTCCTTCCTCTGTCTCTCGTCCGCCTTGGCCTTCTCCTTATCAGCAGCAGCTCTCTCCTTCTCAGCGTGCTTCCTCGCCTTCTCAGCATCCTTGCTGTCCTTCTTCGCGGCTGCGCGGTCGGCCTTCTTCGGCGCCTCGAATTGCGATGGTAGGGACTGTGCTATTGTGTCTGGCACCTCTGGGTGCATTTCAGGGGAAGTCGATAGTGTGGGGTTCGTTTGTGCCTGGGCTAGGGGTGGTAGTAGTTCGTCCTTGGTCGGTGTCGGAGGCAGTGCCATCTGCCTCGAGATAAGGCCTGCGTTTGCCCCGGGCGTCTGCGGTTGCGTGGTGGGAATGCCCGCTTCTTCTGTAGCGATTGCAACCTCCGCGACGCCTTCGGCCTCTTGTTCCTTGCGAACAGCTTCTAACGTCGTTTCCTGGTAGAACAGGACGTATGCACATGCCATTCCCGGTTTATCGCCAAAGAAGTTGCGCACGTAATGTTTATCAACGGGCTCGACCATCTCATCGTCGAATAATAACCAGCCTCTGTCTTGTGTCTTGATAATTGATATGTAATGACCGTGGTATGCATTTCCTCCAATATGCACAACAACGGCGTAGAGCTCGTACAGCCTGTCCGGATCCTCTGCGTCGTCTGTCGTGTTGAACATACGTAAATGGTATGGGTATACGACTCTGTGGAACAGCTTCTGCAGACGCGTCATATCCTCGGTATACTTAAATCTCTTCAAGTGTAGCGTCAGGATCTTCGGCAGCCGCTTGATCTTCATGCGTTTCTCAGCTTCTTGCAGCCCACCACAGTTATCGCAATGAAACTTGTTTCTCTCGCACAGCATTTCCTCCGCAGAAAATTTGCGGAGGCAGGACGTGACCGACGAGTGCTGTTCTAAGTCGATTGACAGATCAATGAACGTCTCGTCTCGCTGGGACGCAGCTTCGCAAGTAAGGCATTTAGTCTCAGACGTCAAAACGCCCTCAAAGATATCATGAACCCATCCGGTCCCAGGGGACTGAGCACCAGTTGACAGGCCCATCACCGACGCAGAATTGGCAAAAGCCGACATCATTCCATCGCCCATAACTTCTTCATACTTGGGCGGCTCTAGTTCTTTTAGTCTTCTTGCATTTTCTTCCACATTTGTAATCACAGCATTGAGCAAGATTCCATAAAATTCGTGTGCATCTTGGTGCATAGTAGTGCGGAACATCTCATTGTCCCGCTTGAAGATCTCCAAAAACCTCTGTGGGCTGAGTATACCCATCCTCGTTTGTGACTGTATGAGCGTCGTGAAAATGTCCTTCAAGGCCGTGAAGGTGGACTCCTCCATGCCGTATTGACGGGCATTCTCGTATGTCAAATCAACGATAGGCCCTGCCAGCATGGCCTGCTTCTTTTTATACTCTGGCGAGTCTGGCTTATCTTCTGGTCTAATCTGACCTGGAGGCGCCTGCGGAGGTGGCGTTGCCACTACGGCCGCTCGCCGCTTCGCTGCTTCTGCTGCCGATAATCCTTTTGCGGTTTGTGGGTGAACTGCTCCTCCGTTCATGGAGCTCGATATGACAGGTTTTGGGTTTGCGTTCGGGGTGTCGTGAGGCGAATGAGGGGGGTATCGTAGTACATGTTCTCGGAATGGTATGGAGTAGTATAGAGCTTGAACGATTGAATTGCAGTAACTGTATATTGTCAGAAAGGCGATCGCGCCTGGGGAAGTATAATCACAAACCAGGTATTCCCAAACTATTTCGCAAAGTCAGTAACTGCGCAACCTGTGTGGAATGGAAGGATCTCGTACATTTTCCATCCCAAAGAACTTGTCACTCCCGTCTGGTCGGATAGGCCCAGCATTGAGCAACATCTTCTCCAGCGGCGTCAAATCCACCACAGGCTCCTGCTGCTTCTTCGACGCATTCGCATTCTGACCCGGACTCGACGGTCCCTACCACACAGTCAGCACAAAGCTACCAAAAAAAACCCCGAAACCGCACCGCAAAGCCAACAGCTCGGGCCCAAAAAGAACCCGCCCTCGCCGCAGCCCCGCCATTGGTCATCGGCGCATACGACAAACGGGAAAAGAGAGACTCACGGTGCCTGTCTTGAACTTGCTGAACAGGCCCGTCATGGCGACGACTGTCGTGGCGTTGCGCTGCGGTGCGGGGGGGTGCGTGATCGAGTTGGTTGAGGGGCGGGCGACGGCCACTGTGGGACGTCGCACACAGTTTCGCCAGAGGCAGGTGGGATGGAACTTAGGCTGTGCTCATCTCAATTCGCGACCAGTGGTGGAGGGTCGATGGGGAAGGAGTTATTCTCGCCCTTTGCCAGTTTCCGGGGAAGGAGAATTGGGCTCGGGGGAGAGGTTGTCAAAGCGGGGAGAAGGGTGGGAGCGCTTTCTTTTGCGGGTTCAGCTTTGGGTATGGGGTCGGTCAATGGGGGAGAGGCTGGTGCTACTTGGTGGAAGATAATTGCTGTTGATGGAGAATAAGGATGGATGAGCGAGTTGACATGGACTTGGACATGAGATGGGAGCAAACGAGCGCAAAGAGGGCGGAGGGCTGGTTGTTGGTTTTGGTTTCGGTGGTTGTGGTGGGGGTGTCTGGGGAAGGAGTGGATTAAAAGGTGGACCCTTTGTAACTGGGATGGAAGCATGGAGCAAGGGAGGAGGAAGAAGGAAGCAGCGGGGGGAGATGGAGAAGTGGAGGAGGGAGTGTGCGTGGAGAGCGTTGGTGCATGAAAGGTGGAAGGTGGAAGGTGGAAGGTGGAAGGTGGAAGGTGGAAGGTGGAAGGTGGAAGGTGGAAGGTGGAAGGTGGAGGTGGAGGTGGAAGTGGAAGGTATGGGGTGAGCAGCAAGCCTATGTACCTCGTTTAGCACAGTAGGAGGGCTCACAGTACTACAGAGAGAGAGAGTAGAGTACAGAATCAGGTAAGCCACGTCTATTTAGGCAGGCGAAAGGCTGGTTTGATGGAGGGCTGTTATGGGGTGGTTATTGGGGCTACTAGAGGCTAAGTGGTATGATTAATGGGGTTTGTTGTTTGTTGGGACAGAGAGAGCTGGAGGGCTGGAGGGGAGGGGCTGGAGGGGAGGGGCTGGAGGGGAGGGGCTGGAGGGGAGGGGCTGGAGGGGAGGGGCTGGAGGGGAGGGGCTGGAGGGGCTGGAGGCTGGAGGGTGTAGGAGTTAGTAGTAGGAGTTAGTAGGAGTTACTAGTAGGAGTTAGTAGGAGTTAGTAGGAGTTAGTAGGAGTTAGTAGGAGTTAGTAGGAGTTAGTAGGAGTTAGTAGGAGTTAGTAGGAGTTAGTAGGAGTTAGTAGGAGTTAGTAGGAGTTAGTAGGAGTTAGTAGTAGGAGTTAGTAGTAGGAGTTAGTAGTAGGAGTTAGTAGTAGGAGTTAGTAGTAGGAGTTAGTAGTAGAAGTTGCAGAGTAGTAAGGGTTAGTAGTAAGAGTTAGTAGTGCTGTAGAAGTTGCAGAGTAGTAGGGGTTAGTAGTAAGAGTTAGTAGTAGAAGTTAGTAGTAGGAGTTGCTAGGTACATACAGTCTCTCCCACCAATCCGCTTCCACACCGCCATCCCAAACATCCCTGAACTGCCATGTGCTCAGTTGTTGATAGACGTAGTGGAGCAGCACTAGGGCGTTCTGAGGCGTTCTGAGGGCGTTCTGAGGGCGTTCTGAGAAACCAGCTGCCTCCTCTCCTGTCTAAGCATGTATGTAGTATAGACAGCTCCTACCCAAGAAGCCCTGGTCAGACACCGGTAATGGTGGTAGGCCATCACAGGTAGAGCAACCATGTCTCCACTCAGAGCTCTACAAAGGGAAGTTAGAAGCAAGGCATCATGGTACCGCCAGCTGCCCAGCACACAATCACAAGCCATATCCTCAACAAGCAGACCAAAACATGCATCATATACACATTGTATTCCTAGCAACATCGCGCCGCTACAAGTGGTATCCCTCCAAACGCCCCAGCCATGACCGTATCGCATCATACTATACAAAAAAAAAGGCTCCCTCGCAGCAAACAAACTTACAAAGCAACCTACAATCGCTGCCCGCTCCCCAAAGCACACCTATCGTACCCAAGGCATACCCAAAATCCCCCTCCCTCCCATTACAAATACCTCAACCTCCTCGTCGCATACGCCGCCCCCAACGTACTCAACGCCCCAATAAACAAACAAACCGCAATCCCATTAACCCTCTCCTTCTTGACTTCTCCCCCCTCCCCTCCCGCCAACTCCGGGCTCTTCCCCGGCTCCAACACCGAAAACACAATGAGCGAGATAAACGTCCCCACAAACTGCGGCAACGTCGTATAGATATTCAGAATCCCAAAGTAAATCCCCGACAGCTCCCCCGTCGACGCGATATCCTCGTCGCCGCTGCGGTGCAGGAGAGAGGCCGAGGAGGGGCGCAAGAGCTCGAACGAGTCGGAGCGTCGGGCGTTGGAGAGGCGGCGGTAGGAGGTGGGTTGAGCGCCGCTACTGAGGCGGTTTACTTCGATGCCGAGGAAGGCGAAGGGGGCCCAGGAGCCGAGGACCCAGGGGCTGGCGGGGGGTTAGTTGTGTTTTATTGGGGGATAGGGGAGGGGAAGGGGGGTGGACTTACAGTCCGCAGAATGCGACGAGGGCGGTGGCGAAGCGGAAGGATGAGGCGAGAGGTGCGAGGATCATGGCGCCGGCGAACATGAAGTGTCCTATGAACCAAGCTGTGAGAAGGTCAGGCTTGTGCTTAGTGACAAGCTTGACGAGCTTAGCGATACTGCTTGGTGGGCGCGGCGTAAAGTTATCTTCCTCCGGCGAGCGCACGAAGAACGGCAGAAGGAAGGCCCCTGCGAATGTGACCATGGAGAACACAACCAGCGCCATGCTGCCCATGCGCCCGACGTCTCCGAGCGCGTCTTCTGACTGCTTCACGTCGACCGGCGCGTCGTAGCGGAAGTACGTCTCACCCACCCAGGTGCTGCCGTAGAAGAGGAATGGGAACCAGCCGATCCAGGCCCAGAACTGCGCCCAGCAGATGGCCTGGATGCGGGGGGGGAGGTGCATGATGGTTTTTATGATCTTGCGCACGACCTTGACGCCGCTCGTTGTCGCGTCAGATGTCTTGCCAGAGATGAGGACGCGCTCCGTTACGGCCCAGGAGGAGACGCCGACGGTGAACATCAGGATGAAGCAGGCGATGAGGACTAGCTTCTTCAGCTGGGTATCCCCCATTCCCTTCCCAAAGATAGAGACGAGGTCGATTGTCCCCGCTGCGTACCCAACCAGGTGGCCCACTGCGACCATCCTGCTCGCCCACGCCGATCCGAGTTGCTGCTTAGGGATAGGCAGGGTGTCCACGATCAAGCTGCGGCCACAGGATTGTATCGCATTTATTGCAAAATCCACGGCGTAGATGCTAAACACAGCCACCACGATTGTCCACGTTTTGGCCTTCTCCTCGTCCGACACGAACGCCCCCACGAGCTCCTTCGCCCATGCCATAGCGATCAGCGAGATCGTAACGATTATCGATGCGATGACCATGAAGGGCCTCCTCCGGCCGAATTTCGACTTTGATTGGTCCGCGATCACGCCGACGATGGGCTGCATTATGAGTCCGGAGAGGGGCCCGGCGATCCAGACGAGGGAGGTTCGAGTTTTCGTGAGTCCGAGTGCGAGGAGGTATGGTGTACAGTCTGTGATAGTGTGTTAGCATTCCATAGTCAATAAACAAAAGCGATTGGGGTGCTTACAAGTCATCTCAACTCCCCATGTGAACCTAGAAAGCTATGAGCATAATTATCCCCCCGAATCTGAGCAGCTGAGCTTACTGAATCCCAATGAGGGATATGGTCAATAAAGCCATCCGCATGGACTCCGTAGAGCCCTTTATGGACGGCTGCCCTGCCCACGAGGCCATATCTTTGCCGTCTCCCAATCTATCCTCCCTCAAGTCCTCGTGCTCCTCCGGTCGCCGCCAACCGCCCGTCGGATACCTAGGCACAGAGTAGCCGTTGGCATCATCACTCGAATTGTCTTTGAGCACTATCATAGCTGCTCTGCATATTTACTTGCGTACACCCTAGTCGTGGTCGTTTCGTCAACAGATTGGAAACGTTTTTGAGGGCTGGGTGACCTAAGAGGTTGACTTTGGGGATATTTTGGGAACGACAGGGGTGCCCTCAAGCGGCGGGTGAATTGGCTCGCGTTTTGGGACATGGGGGTTCGCCAGGGGCAGGGTTATCGCAGGTCCCGATCGCTGGTCCTGACCCCTCCTCATCAAAAATGGTTGCGTGTAAACCACTCTAAAACGCATTAATTCTAGACGGGATAAGTAATCTAGACCACCTTTTGCTATGTCGATGATCCCCTTAGCAAAAAAGCAAAAAATATAGTGTTCTTAATCGAGGTGATCCTCGACTCGCAGATTGCGGCTTCTGTGGATCGAACACAGTGCCTCCAGATATCGGAGCTGAAGTTGTCTTCAGTCTGGCGCTCTCCCAAGTGAGCTAAAGCCGCCTTGGTGTTAGACTGCGGTATTATAGGTGTACATAACATGATCATTGTCGACTTGAATGAATAGAAAATACATTTGATCTACGAGTATTTTACATGAGAATTTCCATATATATGGAAGGTACAACTGTGAGTAGTTGCCATATCTGTCCAGTCACAACCACAGCTACAACCTAGGAAATCCCTTGTATAGCCACTGTGAAAGCTGAGCTGTAGGAAATCAAAACTACGATTGGATGGTAACATATCACTCAGCACACAGGGCAACTGGGGAGTTATAAACGCAAAGGTGTACGTGTTGGCGTTAAATCGGGATTTTGGCTTCCTGTGTAACATACAGAGATGATAAGCCAAGGGAGGATACGGAGTAATCGTCGGTGTTCGCACCGACCACCTTACAGGTGGTCGGCGAAAGCGAAGTGCATCCGGAAAGCGAAATTGCATCCCGCCAGCCAGATATCATTAGTATGTAGAATCTAATATAACCACTATCTAAACAACTAAGTTATACAACCAATTAAGTGATTAAATTATTAAATAAAATTGACGCTATTCTTACTTTAAAACAACCCTGAATCCAAATTCTCTTCTGTCCTGTCTGTAAATATGTCCTCATCCAAACCACTAAATCTTATAAATCCAGTCTCATCGTCGTCGTCTACCTGTGATCCCGACCACCCTATTGTTGAAATCAATTGAATATTGGCTTCTTCTTGAATCTCTGACTCCTGTGCAATTTTTTCGGGATCAGGAATTGGATTAAGTAAATCAGGAGGCACCTCCTGCTTTGCTTTTAACAACTGGGTAACCTGCCGCTTTCTTAAAAGCTCGGCTTTGCGGGCCTCAACACCACGAATACGAAGCTCCTTTTTGACCTTATTCAAGGCTATTCGTGCTCTGAATTTTGACTTCCGCTCTTGAGTTTCCTTCTCCTTTTTAGCCTTGTCAGCTATTTTTTTCCAAGAATCTTTAGCTGTTAATGGACCACACGTTGCTTGAACAACATTGCGGCTTTTGACCTTTGCCTTTTGCTGGTTCGCAACCTTTGTAGATAGTAAATCATATTGTAGAACAGCTAACTCTCCTTGAGCAAGGACGTTTTCAGTACCGCGTGCCCAAGAATCCCATTCTCGTGCCGATGGACTTGAAAAAAGGTATGGTATCTTTGCCTGCCAATGCTGTAATTTGAGCTCTGAATGTACAAATTTTGTTGGAGTCTGTGGAATTTGCGGTAGGTCTAGAGCCTTTTCAGACAGTGTATATACCTTCATTTTTTTCAAGGCTTCTTTAGGGTTTATTGGCCACATTCCAGCTTCACGAAATGCTCCTATAATTGTGCCTTTCTTGAATGTTTCCTGGCGGATTTTGCCTAAGTCTCGAAAAAATGAAGCAATATTGTAATCAATATCAAGATTTCGCATTGCATATTGAATTGCCTTCTTATGCTAGTGTTTGTAAGGCTGAAAAACACCAACATCAAGCGGCTGCATAGTATGTGTAAGATGTGACGGGAGCGGATATGGATGAATATTCATCGCTGTTGCTCGTATGACAAACTCGGGTATTGTATGACTGATATGGCTATCCATAAAAAGGACTTTTAATGGTTTATTAGGCCCAGCATCAGAATGTTTAATGAAATGCTCTAAATAAAGCATTGCCAGTTCGCCATTTGTATATCCAGAATCAGAGAGCAATATAAGCTCGTCGCCGCTTAGCTTTTCATGATACCAGGACTCCATATGTTGTCGTCCTTGTATAATAATCACTGGTGGAATCACTTGTCCAATTGCACAGATTGACCCGATTATAGTAATAGACCTGCGATTTTCGGCCATTGGAACATACATCTTAGTAGGGTCAGTTCAATTATATTTCAATGACGATAACTAATTATACATACATCTGTAATATATATAGGAAGTATTACTTCCTCCCCTGGTGCTACTCCAACACGAAAGCCAGTTTCGTCAAAGTTATAGACGTTTTGCGGCTGGATATCATGTTGGATACACCATGACAAATATACTGAAAACCAGCCCTCTACCGCCGAAATATCATGAGTTGTAACTTGAACTCGAGAAATCGCTTTCGTTTTAACGACTCGAAAAAGGTTAGAATGGCTTTTTATAAAGCCCTGAAACCAGCGCCATGAAGGCGCTGGTTTCGGTGGTATTTCTGCTGCCCGCAAGTGGCCAATTGCTGCAAAAACCATTGCTCTTGATGCCCCGTAACCTGCATGATACGAATCTTCGACATATTTGTATATCGCCTTAATTTGTACCTCCGAGAGTATCTTATTTTGTCCTCCGCGTTTAGAAATAGGAGGCGATATTGGGGCTTCGGCGGCTTTCAACTTCGCTCGTCGAGTATAGGAATTAAGCGTCTTCGTATTAACATTATAAATTCGAGCGGCGGTGATTGGCTTTTCGGAAGGGTTCTTGCGGAGGAATTCGAGGGCTTGGTCCATTATACAGAGCAAATTTATCGCAGGTGCATAGTTGAGAGTGGGAAACGTATATATTTGGGTGTAAATCTCTGACTCGGCTATGACGGGATGCAATTTCGCTTTCCGGATGCACTTCGCTTTCGCCGTTCACCTGTAAGGTGGTCGGTGCGAACACCGACGATTATAGAGTATGTTGTCCCATCGGGCCGGATGCTCGATATATTTGGTCCAGGCTGTGCCATGTGCCATCCTTACCGAGTGTGATCCCATCAGCTGCATGACGCCTGTTTCCGCATAAGCTCTCCGGCATATTACCCTGGCCGCGCAAGATTAGGTCTTCATCTGTCAGATCGCTGGGTCTCTCAGAAGGGTATTTGATGGTAAGGGGGGCTGCGACGTGATACAGTGAAGTATAGTTGCCAGTTGCCGATACGGAAACTGCGCTATGCACAGCATGTCCAGTGCGAGATGTATGTGAGACAAAAGGCTGGATGTTGGATATCAAGAGTACTCTAGTATCGGCGAGCTGGAATAAGGGCAGTACTGTGCATCCTCACCCCCACGTCGCCCAGCAAAGGAAAGCGCAATGCTGCCTCTCCTAGCCGCCGATTACAGGTATTGTCGCCACCGCTGAGGGCTGAGAGAGTCTATGTGTCTGGCTATCCCCACAATTTCCCAGAGCCAGTAGACGTCCCCCGCCACATCACAGGCACCCGCTACTGGCCAGCGTTGCCCTACAGTCAGTGACATGTCCCCAGTGACCTCGCGACAACTCATATTCTATGTCTATTGCAGATTCACCAACTGATCTTCACGTCATCCACGCCTTTGGTTCGTACTCACATTTAGTCGCGGTGGTGGAGGCCGCGGTGGTTTGCGACAGCCCCAACTGATCTGCGTCTCACTTCGACTCCCCGCCCGCGGCCACTCAAGCCGGTTCCGACGGTCACTACATTGACGTCGCACCACTCACTCGAACGTCGGTTCACGATAAACACACTCTCGTCGTGTCCCCCCGGCGATGAGGGAAACGATCGTCATGTCCGGCAGTCTATCGGGGAGCCCTCTGGACGGGGAGCTCAGCCCAACCTTCGACGACGACAACCATAATGGTGTCAGCATCTTCGCTGGACCACCTCATATGCTCGAAAGCGGGGAAACTCAGCCTGCGGGGCTTGAAATACAAGAACCGCCATCCACCCCAGACGAATCTGCGCCATATCCCATGAGTGACGACGAGGGGGGAATGCTGTCAGATGGCGGGGTTCAGCTGGATATCAGTCAAGCTCATACCGAGTCCGTTGATCCCGACACAGATATGGCTCTGCCCGCCGAGGAAAACTCCAATTTACTTTCAATTCCACAAATGCATGTCATCTCGGAGCATGGCACCACCAATATTGCCGTCGGATTAGAGTCGGACACCATGCAACCCTCGTGGCCACAGGAACACGGCCCTGGTGTGGCTTATCAGATTTTGAACCTATTAGATGAGATATCAGGCTTAACACAACAAATACAGCATACTCAGGACGAGCATCCAGAACTGCAACATATCGAGCAACAAATACATGACCTGCAACAACTTCAAACCTTGCAACACATCCAAGGCGTACAAGAGCAAGGCGAGCAGCCAACGATACCACACGGGGTGGCTTATGATCAAGGTAATCCACTTCATTTTTATAACCCTGTACTTTTTGCTCCTTCATCGAGTACCGGAAGCCAACTTGTCCATGCAGGTTCGATGCCTACCGTATCCATGCCTCTCAATGCGGAAGACTCGGGTGCCGTTCCATCACTCTTGGAACCTGGTGGCCAGGCTTTAACTCATGTTTTGCACATTCCTCCACCAGTGAATACTTCAACACAGTCTGGTATTGCTGGCATCTTTGAGGTCATGAATGGCGTTGATATACCTTTCAATGCTCCTCCAGCTAATACCGTACAAGTCGACGATGCACATGACAACATGACGCTATCTGACTTCCTGTTCCGCTGGAGCCTCACTATCAGATCCGAATCGAGGAAGGCAAACAGAGGCCCTCGATTAGAGCGTTTGCGCGAGTTCGGAACATCCATGCCAACCGAAATCCGAAGGACGGATTTGCGAGGCGAAAGGTGTGATATCCAGGGGATAAACTGGAAAAAACTGGAGGTCAAGCGACGAGACGCGAGGAGGATGCGGATCGCGAGTTATAAGAATTATCACAACTTAACTCCACCACCCTGGCTGTCGCATGTTCTCAGCGACTCGTATATCCAGGACGACAGCAAAGATTTTTTCAAGTTTCGCCGGATGAATTTTAAGCACAAGATGGACCTCCCTCACTTTCAATTGCGGAACCTTGTTGCCTGCACCTCTAGGAATAACGTTTTCCTGGCCGGATCATATCGCGTGATCCAGACAAATCCTAATTACGGACAGCGTTGCATTGCAATGAACCTTTCCGAGCCAGAAGTTCAGCCTACGCACGGGCCGCCCTGGGGTGGCGTTCAAATATCGACTCTTGCTGCCAACCATGGTGTTCTCATTGCCGGCGGCTTTCATGGCGAATATGGCATGAAGGCATTGAATCAACCAGACTCCAAGCACATCGAGGGGCTTGTTGTAGACCATCCGAACTGCATAACAAATCACATCCAAATCAACCTCAGTCGTCAGAGCGGAGTTCCCGAAGCCGTCATTGTTTCAAATGATAACGGAATCCGCACACTGGACTGCACCACCAATAAGTTCACAAGGTACCACCACTATGAACATGCCATCAATTGCTCAGCCCAGAGCCCAGACCACCGACTCCGAGTGCTTGTCGGAGACACTTGTGATGTTATGATCTGCAATGCCGAAACAGGAGAAATTCTTCAGAGGCTCGAAGGGCATTGTGATTACGGATTTGCCTGCGACTGGGCAGATAACGGATGGCACGTCGCAACCGGAAACCAGGACAAACTAGTCAAAATCTGGGATGCCAGGATGTGGAAAACAAGCCACGGAGAGGCTAACCCATTGGCAACAATTTCCTCGACAATGGCCGGCGTGCGGAGCTTAAAATACTCCCCGTTAGGGAGTGGCAAGAGGGTACTGTTAGCATCGGAACCTGCAGACATCATATCAGTCATTGATGCTGAGACATATGAGTCAAAGCAGACGCTCGATCTGTTTGGAGAAATTGCTGGCACCGACTTCTCCCCAGATGGGCAAAGCATTTTTGTCGGCGTACACGATAACTCTAGAGGTGGGCTCATGGAGTTTGAGAAGTGCGGATTTGGTCGGTCATACGAACATGAAAACATTTTCCGGAAACGAGATCGCGAGGTTGACATGTATGATAGTGAGGAGGTCGATGAGGACATGAAAGATATGGCGGCCGGGCTAGACTGGAAGAGATCAATGTCGGATGTGGTTGCTAATCCAAAATCTAAACGCACTGCAATGCATCGACGGAGACGAGCAGCTAAACTAGGGGATCTAGAGGCTTACTGAACTGGAGTTATACATAAGGGAGACGATGCAAGGGAGAAGGTGCCGATTGTTACTATCAACAACGGTTTGGACGATACGATGCTATGACACAATCATTTTTCGCGATATCACAATCATTTTAATCAAGGGGCGCTTCAAGGAGATGATACTAGGGAAAGGCATGGACATATACAGGGTGGTGGTTGGTGAGGCTTAGCATTTTGCGGCGTTTTCAACAACTGGAGCACAATGGCTCGAGGAGCCCTAAAACATGGGCAGCTACTATTGTTCTCTACATGGGTATTTTGATTCGACGGGGATAAAATAACACTTAAAATAATATCAATTTATGACGAGTAACTTTGCTACTATTCTGCTCTTCACATAGAAATTCAACGTCTTGCCTGATATGTTAGGCGTGAATATCGGCTAGGATCACAAAAAGTATGCACCCGCATCGTTACCAAAGTCGCGCCCACACTCCTTTTAGTGATTGTTCTTTCTTATTCATAGTCAATGCGTGCCTCTGCTCTTTCACTGGTCAATTTGACTGTTCGCAATTCGCTATATATACGGCCAGCCCTTCGCAGGTTCCCTATTCAGCGGCGCGGCTTCACCGATAGCAACCTGCCCTATCGAGCTCTTTCCAAGACAACGTACGTAGACAGAAGCTAGCCCTGCTACTGCCTGATACCCCACGCCCCCTCAACTAACAGAAGACAGGACAACATTATCTTCCAACCGGCCACAACTTTCAATTGCCAGCAATATAATCAAAGCTACCTCGGCCAGACACTGCTCCTACCGACGTCACGAAATGTGCAAACTACACGGAGAAAGCGCTGTGGGAAGTGTTGTGGACGTTACACAGGGAAGAGAGATCTTGCCCGCGAATGTTATCCCAAGACACTACCATTTGACACTCGAGCCAAACTTCAAGGACTTCACCTATGAGGGGCATGTCATTATCGACTTGGACGTCGCGGAGGACACCACCTCTGTTTCGCTCAACACCTTGGAGCTGAATATCAAGAGCACCAAGGTGATCTCTGGGGACCAGACGATTACGTGAGGCCCCGCATTCCCTGTTTACTCTCCTTTGCACTGTAACTGACCATTCTGTTCTCTAGGTCATCCCCCGAACTATCATACAATGAATCGACACAGACGACCAAGGTTGCGTTCAAAGAGGTGATCCCAGCTGGTAGCAAGGCACAGCTCGAGATGACCTTCACGGGCGAGCTTAACGACAAGATGGCTGGTTTCTACAGATCATCATACAAGAACAAGGATGGATCGACTGGCATACTCGCAACGTCTCAAATGGAGCCCACGGACGCCCGGAGGGCCTTCCCATGTTTCGACGAGCCAGCGCTGAAGGCTGCCTTCACCATTACGCTTATGGCGGACAAGAACCTTACCTGCCTGAGCAACATGGATGTTGCCTCGGAGAAAGAGGTAACGTCGGAGATTACGAAGACTACCAAGAAGGCTGTCACCTTCAACAAGTCGCCATTAATGTCCACATACCTATTGGCGTTCATCGTTGGAGAGCTGAACTATATCGAGACCGACAAGTTCAGACTGCCAGTTCGTGTCTACGCTCCCCCTAACCAGGATATCGAGCACGGCCGCTTCTCCTTGGAGCTTGCTGCCCGCACTCTGGAGTTCTACGAGAAGACATTCGACAGCGAATTCCCACTGCCAAAGATGGATATGGTTGCCATTCCAGATTTCGCTGCTGGTGCTATGGAGAACTGGGGTCTCATCACCTACCGTGTCGTCGATGTGATGTTTGACGAGAAGACCAGCGGTGCTGCCACCAAGGAGCGTGTTGCGGAGGTTGTCCAGCACGAGCTTGCCCACCAGTGGTTCGGAAACCTGGTTACCATGGACTTCTGGGACGGACTATGGCTTAACGAGGGATTTGCTACCTGGATGTCGTGGTACTCGTGCAACATCTTCTTCCCAGAGTGGAAGGTGTGGCAAGGATATGTTACCGACAACCTTCAAAGCGCCCTTGGTCTCGATTCTCTGCGTAGCAGTCATCCTATCGAGGTCCCTGTCAAGCGCGCTGATGAGGTTAACCAGATCTTCGATGCTATTTCGTACTCGAAGGGTTCTTGCGTTCTGCGCATGATTTCTACTTACCTTGGTGAGGACGTATTCATGGCGGGCATCAGACTTTACCTCAAAGAGCACGCCTATGGCAACACTCAAACTGGTGACTTGTGGGCTGCGTTGAGCACTGCCAGCGGCAAGGATGTCCGGAAGGTCATGGACATTTGGACCAAGAATGTTGGATACCCTGTTATCACCGTGACCGAGAATGACGACAAGAGCATTCACGTCAAGCAGAACCGCTTCCTTCGCACAGCTGATGTGAAGCCAGAGGAGGACCAGATCCTCTACCCTGTCTTCCTCAGCCTTCGCACCAAGAATGGCATTGATGAGACTCTGACCCTCACTGAGCGCGAGAAGTCTTTCCCCCTTGCTAGCAACGATTTCTTCAAGCTTAACGCCGACCACACCAACATTTACCGCACATCTTACACGCCAGAGCGCCTTAAGAAGCTCGGTGAGGCTGCCAAGGGTGGTCTCCTGACCGTCGAGGACCGTGCTGGCATGATCGCAGATGCTGGTGCACTTGCGACATCCGGATACCAGAAGACTTCGGGTGTCCTGAACTTGCTTAAGGGCTTTAACAGCGAAACCGAGTTTGTTGTATGGAATGAAATCATCACCAGACTTGCTGCTATCCAAGGCGCATGGGTCTTTGAAGACCCGAAGGTCAAGGAGTCGATCGAAGCCTTCACCAGAGAGCTCGTGAGCGAGAAGGCCCACAAGGCCGGCTGGGAATTCAAGGAGTCTGATGGCCACATTGAGCAGCAGTTCAAGGCCATGCTCTTTGGTAGTGCTGGTCTTGCCGGCGACAAGGTTATCATTGACGCCGCAAAGGACATGTTTGCCAAGTTCTCCAAGGGTGACCACTCTGCCATCCACCCCAACATTCGTGGTAGTGTCTTCGCCATGGCCCTGAAATACGGCGGTGCCGAGGAGGTAAGCTTTCTAACCAACATTCCAATCTAGTCCTTTAGCTGACCCAAATAGTACGACACCATCCTCGGCGTCTACCGCAACTCGGTCAACACTGACGAGCGCAACACCGCCCTCCGCTCTCTCGGCCGCGCCAAGAACCCCGAGCTCATCCAGCGCTCCCTCGCGCTATCCATCAGCGACGAGGTCAAGGAGCAGGATATATACATGCCCATCAGCGCGCTCCGCACCCACCCCGACGGCATCAACGCGCTGTTCGAATGGATGACTGTGAACTGGGACGAGCTGGCCCGCCGCCTCCCGGCAGGCCTCTCCATGCTCGGCTCCATGGTCTCGATCTGCACATCCAGCTTCACGAGCCTGGAGCAGATGACGAAGGTTGAGGCGTTCTTCGCGGAGAGGAGCACCAAGGGCTTTGCTATGGGATTGGCGCAGAGCTTGGACTCTATCCATGCTAAGAGCAGCTGGTTGGAGAGGGATCGCGAGGATGTCGCGAAGTGGGTTAAGGAGAATGGGTATACCGCTCCTATTGTGAAGAGCGAGCTTTAAATTCGGGTAGATCTTTGGGATGCTCTATATGGGAGAGGAGTCTGGGAAGCGGCGTCAGGGTGAACTACTATAAGGAAGGTCATGTTTGGCATAGATGCGGTGGATTTACCCAAGCCGTTTTAGCTGGTATTTATTATAATGGGAATCTTCTCTCTGGTGATCGGGTGGATTAAAATATATCGTTTGATTGGGATTGAGATTGATAGCTGATAATGCTCGGACCTCGGCAGGACTGAGAAGACTACTGCTAGATCATTATGCCCATCGCTTTGTTTAACCTTTTAACCCATTAACCCTCAACGAATCAAATCCCAACAGAAATCATCGTCATGGACTTAGCCATGACTCTTTCCCTTCCTTGCTCAATAAACACCGTGTAAACACCCATGACGATGAATATCCAAGGAGCAACAGTTAGTCCAGACGCGTTATCTTCATGATATCGTGCCTGTGAAAGAAGCTCCTGTTTCGCTTCCCGAAGATGTCTAGAGGAGAGGGGAAGAGGGTTAGCTTTGAACTCGGCGCTGTACATCTGATGGAGGGGGTGGGGAGGGGAGCTTACACATCGGGACGCTGAGCAGACAGACGAGGACTTGAACAGTCGAGATGACCATGAAAACATATCGCGTGTCGTTGGTGCTCACCCACTTGAAGGCCACGAAGGTGAGGCCAAAGCTGAAGAAGTTCTTGAAGATGAGGAGGCAGGTGAATGCCTCGATGGCGATGTTGCCTAGGGCGGTCAGTTAGCAAGCTCGTCGCCAGCAGCGAGCTGAAGGGAATGCGGCGAAAACAGCGTGGGATAGTAAAAGGCCTAAAAAAGGGGTACCTACGATGCGCATCAATGATATAAAGCGAGCTCGCCACCGCTCCCACCACCATCCCCATAACCTCCAAACAATAAAAGAACACCGCCCACGCCCAATGAAACCTAACCAGATCCGTCGCCACGATCCCGAACCCATATAGACCCGCACACCCAAACACAAGCTGCGGAATCACCAGCACGATACGGAACTCCGGCTCATAAATCCCCCCATTTCGGCGCGTCATAAACTTTGCGCTCCAGTCCGCCAGCGCGCCTGCGATCAAGAAGCCGATTAAAGCGCCGATGAAGGGGCCCGTATACGCGTACCCGCTCTCGACTTCGCCCCAGTAGTTGGGCGAGCCGAGGAAGATGGAGGCGACGAGGATGCCGATGAAGATGGTCCAGCCGATTAGCGTGCCTTGGATGAGGCAGGCCCAGAGAATGGCGGGGTGGAAGAAGAGGGGGAAGGGGCGGAGGAGGATCTTGAAGAAGTTCTCGTCTGTGTAGGTCCCGCTGAAGGGCTTGAGGGATTGGATGTAGGTGCGTTTGGGGGTGTCGGCGCCGGGGTAGCGGTGCAGTGGTATGGCTGCCTCTGTTGAGGGGGGGGAGTCGTCGGATTTCTCGTTTTCGTTGCCGTTGGTGCAGGCGCCGTTGCCGTTGGTTTGGGTAGCTTCTAGGCCGGAGTTGAGGGTTACATCTTGGGTGCTTTCACTGGCTGCTAGCATGTCTGTGTTTAGGCGCGGGTCGCGTCGGTATGCCGTCTCTGGGACGAAGAAGATTACTGCCGGGAGACACAATGCGCAAAATATGGCCACGAAATTGAAAATCCACGGCACGCCCATATTGTTTGAGATCTTGCCGGCGAGGATGGGGGTGAAGAATGCACCGCCGAAGAGGGCAAAATTCATTAGTGCCATGCGCTTGCCGCGTTCCTATTACCGTTGTCAGCTGAAGACACTCACCGGTTAGGGGAGTTGAGGTTCATACATGAACGAAATATAGATCTCCCACGATGGCGTTGATGAGAGCCTCGAAGGGCGCATTGGCAACGCCCTGAAAGATCCTGGCCCATAGCATACTCGTATAATTCAGCTCGGCGGCGCCGGCCCAGGCGCTCGACGCAACCAACAGTATAGTTCCGAAGATTAGCAAGTGCCTCTTGCCCCATTTCCTCGCCGAGGGCACGAAGAAGGTTCCAGCGAACCCTACCCCAAACAGGAAGTATCCTGTCAGGAGAGCCCCATCTGTGACTGTTCTTCCATATTTTTCCGAGATCGACAAGGTATTCGCTGCTAAGATGGGACCTAGTGCCGTTGCGAAGATTGCTGTTAGGGACAATACGAACATTATCACATCGCGTTTCCACAGCGGCCAATTCTGCGCATATCATTAGCCTTCAAAGCTACCCCCCGGATTGTCCAAGCCATACCAGAGGATCATTCGGGTCATCGCTGGGCTGCGGGACGAGGATAATCGGATCCGCTCCACTTGTATCGCACTTGAGATGGGAGACATCTTCTCTACCAGCTTCTTGCAGATGTGGCTTATCGAAATATCTAGTGGTGCCTTTGCCGCATCGTCAGTTCTAGGGATCAGTAGCTGGGTGTGAATGCGCATACCTGGAACATGGTCCATCACCTTATCTTCCAGAATCCAAAGACCCATCTTGCCGCGTCTGCACAAAAGCTTTCCGTCCTCGAGTTTCTGTCGAAGCGCTGGTCGGGTATGGTGATCAGGGTGGTATACGGAGCATATGAGAAAGTAGGCAGAGAGCAGCGCCGACCGCCTGCGCACTGCGTCTCCTTTTGAAGCTGTGCGAAAGGGGTGTGATGAGATTGATCATCTGTCGGCCATTCAATCAAGGGCGGCGGAGACGGCTGTATCACCGTCGAGGCATGACGACTAACCGCTTCTGGACCGTGCTCACCTAAATGTCTGTGAAGTATTAGATCGATTGGCCCTTAACTCCAATGGAATCCCTTACCTCAGCCGATTTAGAAATAAGAGCGTCCATCGATATTTCTCGATGTCTCGATTGTTTACCTTACATCGACCTTGCATTAGTGCTTTGTTGGCTTTATAAGTTTCTCACCAGCGACCGTTACTACCCCAGATTCCCCAGAGTTGCTAAAAGGTAGCGGCCGAGCCTTGTTGTCACATGTCACTGTAAGTAGTTTAGCGGCCATCCTGTCAACATTCAAGGGAAAATCACGTCGCACGTTGCTTTATAAGAATCAAATCCCCCTTGAAATTATATTGTAACCATATTCCCAACCATGCAGATCTGCCATTTCTCAGTGATTCACCGTGTATCACAGCGGTAAACGGCAGGCCAAGATGTAAGACTTCGCGGGACTGAGACGACCGGATTTTGGGAGGGGATGTCACACCTTACTGTACCGAGTAGACCCTGAACCCCTCTGTTTAGCCGTTCCTGCATGGTCCCTCAATATCCGAACTGACCCCATCTCTTCAATTGAACGTCGACCGCTTCATCTCATCATCGTCTTGCCATCGCAATCTTTACCACTACAACCCATACAGCTCACCCGCTACCTTCCAACATGCGCGCCTCCGCCGCCATCGCCCTCGCCATACTCATCAGCGTCAGCTCCGCCGCAGGCGGCGTTCCCGACTGTGCCGTAAGCCCCCCTTGCGTCAGCAGACAGACAAGTACATTCTAACCTGTGCTCCTTCCCAGAAACCTTGCGTCGACCAGTTCACATCCGGCTCCAGCATCGCCGGCTGCAACAACCTCAACACGAACTGCATCTGCAGCAACAAAGACTTCCTCAGCAACATCGCCTGCTGCCTCGTCAACAAGTGCGACGAGGCCGGCCGCAACGGCGCCATCGCCTATGCGAAGGCCATCTGCGGCACCGCCGACCCGCCAGTCCAGGTCCCGGATCAGGTCGTCTGCAACTCCTCCTCCTCCTCCTCCTCCTCCTCCAGCAAGGGGATGGCGGCCGCAACAACGGGCGGCTCTACGACTGGCGGAACTACGCAAGCTCCTACTACGGAGACTACCTCAACGTCGGCGGCCCAGACTTCGAGCAGCTCGGGCGCGGCGATGGTGAACTTGGGCAGCAGAGGGATGGGGTTGGCTGCTGGCTTTGCGGCGGCTTTGGTGCTCCTGTAAACAGTGCTTCTGTAAATATGGAGGGGTGGTAATGCGGTGCACTCGGTCAAGTTCCTGTAGGACGCCGTGTGACATTCTGATGCGGGGTATGAGCGATTGTTATGTTGGCGGCTGCGATGTGAAATTGTTTGTTTTTGTGGCCTACCACTTGGGGCATTTAATAATAGTCCATGTGTGGTTAATATTCAACTCAATAGCTTAGGCCGTCTCTAGTATTTATTCGAATAGCATGTTTCATCATCTGCGCTCGAAGACTGAAAAACCTGCTTGCTTCCACTAAGACTTTAGTAAATGAAGACATGCATCGAGGAATCCCATGGTCGATGTTTCGAAACCACTAAGGCAGCATATGATACTTTCCAATCCGAACGCTGCCAAAAACGCCTCATAGGATGCCACAGACGATGCTTGAACCTAGAAAAGGCAGCATGTGATACTTTCCAATTCAGACATTCTGGAAACGCATCACGGTCGTTTGATGCTTCGAAACCACGCAAATAACATGATACTTTCTAATCCGAACGTCCACAGAAACGTGTTAGCTTCCTGGGCAACGCGTAGAAGGCACTCGGCGGTATATGATAAAAGCTCTCAACACAAACGCCACCAATAGGACCACCAATGATGATCTAGGTCGTGTCGTAGACTCAAGAAACCACTCTGATAGCAAATAATCTCCTCCCAACCCAAATGCGGAGATGCGTCAGTGATAACCTGGTGTCACTATCGTGTAACGCGTGATCCTCGAGCCCGTCACACCATTGGAACAGCACAGAAGCTAGGCTCTCACACACCAGCGTCAGCGCCGAGGCCCCCTTCGCTTCAAGACGTGCACAGCATTCCGATCAGCTCGCACAACTTCCTGTAGTCCTCGAGCCCCGTCTCACACCGCCCGCCCTTATTGCGCAGCCCCGATGTAGTGCCTCGCAAGGCCAGCCGCAAACAACTGCTATTTTAGCCATGCCGCGGCCGGTCACGCATCGGCGACAGCTTGTCATGCTTCGGTAAGCGCTATCGTCGCTGGCAATATAGCCTTCCTGGCCCGTCATGCAGCGGTGGTGGGGCACTGGGGCTCCTCTGCAATATAGAGGGGGCAGGGAGGCGGTTATATGCCAGCGGTCTTATCGGCCTGATGCTTTCTGGGGGCGGGAGGGGGACAGAGCTGGACCGGCTTTTGGGTAATTCGATGAGACCCTGCGAAGCATCATCCTGGGTAGTAAATTGTAACACATAGTCACTGGAGGTCATTGGAAGTGTTGGTGGTAGACAAGTTGTTGATTAGTTGAAGTATATAGGTTACAACTACTGAGAACTAGGCTGCGCACTGGGTACTCACGAGTCGAGTAGTAGAATTTTTACTCACCCAGCTGAGTTACTCGCTCATGTCCCGAGTATTGTTGAATGAGGATTACTCACTTGCTGAGTACCTAGTATGGGTCTTGGCAACTCAGTTATATCACGTGTTTGATTAGCCATTACTTATGTTAAAAACGGGGTGCGACTTCATTGATCAAGACGCCATAACTCCAACTCCATTCCCATATTGTTGATGTCCTATTCCACACTATAACCTTTGGCCTTTAGGTACCAGGTTACCAGATGGTTGCCAGAACTCATCTGACCTTCATTCCTGGGTGAGAGACATTTCCATCGATTAAGCCCACAGCTTAAACATCATATCCTGCAAACGCCGAACCAATATCATACCCTTTGCCTGAATTGTCACTCTCTTCGCATGAATAGCGAGGAGATTTGTCACTATAACTGTTAGTATGTCCCTGTCACTATGTTTAAACATCATACTCTCAAATTCTCGAATGAGGAAGCATTCAGCAGCTTCCTAAAGAGCTAGGATAGCAGATTGCTGGAAGCGAAGATTGGACTTGAAGTCTTCTGTGATTTCCCTAACAAGACGCTGGAATGGGAGCTAGTATCAAGTTGCTGTCTTCTGATATCGCGGAGAGCCTTGGTGCCTATATGTTTATTAGAGAGTTCTGGTAATCCTCTGGTAATCCTCTGGTAATCCTCTGGTAATCCTCTTACTAGACTTTGTGCAGCGCGTGGCCTTCTGAGCATGATTGTTGCTAGCTTGAGATGAGCAAACTGGAGCTTTTCTTGCTGTGCCCACAGCCTTTTCCTGTCCCTTTCCGCCAAGCCCAGAGCCAGCCCGTAATCCAAGTGGCATCCTTGGTGCTATGCCGCCAGTTGATCTCCTAGCAGTTTGCTTGGTACGAGTCATTTGCTAATATCAAGGTGAGTTAGTAAAGTAAACACAAGATAAAGAAGTAGATCAAAAGATATGTGTACTTACAGTGAGTTTGTAGAAAGAATATTGCAGAAGAAGAGTATAGTAAAGAGGTAGAGGTTGAAAGGTATGTGTTTTATATGAAGGTGCGCATTGTGGTGTTGTTTTTGGAACAGTAATTCTTTGTAGGTGAATATTCCTTCACAAATATTTTTGTTTGCAACTTTAAAATAACCACGACCTTAGAACCACCTTCCTTGGTTACTCTCCGATCTACACATTCTTCTTCCCTTTTGAGCCTTTACCTCTTTACTAGGACTTCAACTAAGTTTATTATCTTGATTCTATAGCCAGAACTTCTGGAGATCTCTGCTAATCACGTGTTTAGTTAGTATGGCGAAACTCAAGGCACATGAAGAACTCTCCACTAATGCGAATACTATCAAAGCTCGCAACTGCGTCTCCAACCTTACTGAAGATGAGAAGGCTGTTCACTTAGCACTCAAGGCTGACCATGCTGATCTGAGCTACTACTTAAAGAAGTTATATAAGTCTGCAAAGTGTAAGGATGCCTCCTTACCTAGATACTCGAAGAACCCGCCTCAGAGCTGTTACGGTCACCACAAGCATGAAATCCGACTCGGTGTGGTTTCGGACCAGTAGAGGAGGACATAGCGAGTTACACTATAGTGGGGGACAGTAAGGGTGTAGGGTTCAGGGTCGATGCGGACCTGTTGCGGTGGAAGGTTCAGGGCTAGGGTTGGGATAACCGAGTCGGGCCCGTTTCGGGTACTTAAGGAAACAAACTTAACGGGGTTCCCCCTTCATCTTTTTTGTATCCTTCGTAGTAGACCTATAGGATAGCATCCTTTTAGCCTCCAACTCGCACTCTCATATGCTATTACTGTGAGCTGGGTGCCCTGTGTCATTACACAAAGTATATCGCTGCCTCTACTGAAGACAAGACACGTCTACAGAATGAATTGAAGGTTGAGCGTATTTGTGTTCGGTAAGTTCCTTCTGGTAATCTCTGGTAGCCTCAATCTAACTATAAACAGGACTGAGAAGGGTACCCATGCATCTTGCATTGCGAATCAGAAAGTCAAGAATATTAGCGCCTCTTCTTCTCCACAAGCCCCACCATCTACTCCGCCCAAACAACTTCTGTCTGAGCTTGCTGCATTTGAGGGTATCTCAAGTATTCCAATCGATGACAATCATAACAGCGAATGGGAGGATACTGAGGTTGAAGACGATTTGGAGTTGGAGCTTATGTTACAGCGCGAGATATTTTAAATGACGAGGCTGTTCTACCAGATGAGCTTTCCGATGAAGAGATCACTAGCACCCAGGCTCTCTTAACTCAAGCGCACATTGATGTATGCTACCTCATAATCTGGTAATCTTCTGGTGATACTAATAGTTGATAGGCCCATGAAGAGTCCAATTTCCGCAAGTGGCAACATTTCTGGGATAGCTGTATCCACTCATATACGAGAAAGGCTGGAAAGCTGAGAAAGAAGCCTGAGCGTCTCTTTGAGTATATGCCGTGGATTGATGTAGAGGAAGGGTACGTCTCTGATCATCCTAGCAATCTTCTGGCAATACTAATTGTTTATTATAGCACTTTTCACGAGGTTATCCCACCACATAAATATTTCTGTTTGTACGAGCAGGCAGTTTGGAAAGTGGGCCTAATTACCAGGACCTGTGCAGTGGTACCCAAAGTCTTACAATCTTGTCGACAATGGATGGTTGCAAATATCCACTCATAGTTCTAGCTTCAAAGAGGCGTTCTTACTTGTCTACTCTAAGAAGTTTGATAAGGAAAAGTGGGCTAAGGTATCAGCTGCACAGGATATGTTGTTCCTGGAGCTAGAGTAGAGGAGAACTTGAGTTGCTAAAGTTATAGCGCTGGAGTACCTTTCGCGTTGGAAAACCAGGTATTTAAGTACTTCATCGTAGCCAGACTTCTGGTAACCTTCTGATAATCGAGCAATTTGCCAAATGCCATCTCAATACTCAGAGTTGTTTGATTCTGACAGTATTCTCAGACTCTTTTCCGTCTTCTCAACGACTATCCTCATTAAATCAAGTCTGTAAGGACACAGGGCACCCAGCTCACAGTAATAGCATATGAGAGTGCGAGTCAGAGGCTAAACGGATGCTATCCTATAGGTCTACTACGAAGGATACAAAAAAGATGAAGAGAGGAACCCCCGTTGGGTCAATCTCCTTAAGTACCCGAAACGGGTCCGACTCAGCTAACCTGCCTTAACTCTTATCATGTGACCGTAACCTGCCCGACTCAGATCCTTTCCATCACTGAGGGACAGGCATCCTTACAAAGTCCCTGCAGGCCTTGAATATATTGGCAAGTTAAACCAATTCGTCAAATGGACTAAGGATACACACGATATATTCATTGAGTGGTGGAAGCTATCACGATGGTATGAACAACACTCAGATCATACTACAAAACTTCTTATGAAGATTGCATGGGATTCAACCAACTGGAGTTCTCAATACTGGAGAAGTTATCACCAAGGAGCAGACCGGCTTTCTGGAGAACCATGTGTTATTTGTACTTATTGTTCGAAGGCCCTTACGCATCCTGCAATCAAGTCTGCTGGCCCAAAGTCTATGGCAACACATCTTGCACAGACATTTGCAAAAAGAAGTCACAGATGGGAAGGATAGTCTCTATCAAATGCGAATCAATCAAATGCAACCTCAACAAGTAAGGATTACCAGATTATTACCAGAATTATGTAGGTTAATACCTATAATAAGATCATATTCTCACACAAAAGACATTTTATGAACAAGTTCTATACACAGTTATCTTGACTCATAGCTCGTTCCGCTCAGTCGAGGATCCTCATCAAGACCCTATAAATACTTTAGGTATTAGTAGGTCTGGCCGGCCTCATCAAGCAAGGTGGAGGGATGTTCTTAAGCATATATAATAGATAATAGCGTTCTAATAATCTTCTGATAATCATGGTACTTAGATAGAGGAATATACATGATTCGTTCTCACAGCTTACTAGAGATGGCGAGAGTGATGCTAATAGATGTAATACTTTAACTTAACCATAAAACAGTATTAATCGT